TAATTTAAAAATCTTGCACGGCGTAGTTACAATTAATATGGTTATAAAATCCTGTCTGTCTGTTTTTTTTCGGACTTTACTAAAGATTGGACGTATTTGATGGTTTTAATATTTTCGGTAACTAAATAAAAATTTAAAAAAAAAAGCAAAAACAATTTGGTTTTCACGTGTAATGGCGGCATAAACAATGGCATCCTGCTATTGGATAGGCCGACATAAAATTTATTGTACACATTGTAAGCTAAAAATAGAAAACTAGGTCATGGGGTTTTAAATTTGCATTGTTATTTAAAAACTTGATCTGCAAAGTTTTGTAAACAAATAGTTATCGATCACTAAGTTACTGTACAGCCAATCAATATTTGTCTTACGAAAGTGAAACATCCGGTTATAACTTAGGCTTGATGAAAATAAATAGAAATGTAGCCTTAAACTCAACAAATTATTTTCAAGTTCTCTGGATTTGCAACTTTTATAGCATTTATTCTAAAAATATAAAATTTCTAAATTAATTTTAGGCTTAAGTTTTTTTTTTTTTTTTTTTTTACGGTCTAAATCTAAAAAGCACGTTTTTATTCCATGTCAACAACATTATGGAAGGAATCTCGTCAACTCGCTCGCCTCCATTAGCCCTAAGCATTGGCAATAATTATTGCTAGAAAAACATATCCAATTATTTTGCGTTATTTATACAATTCTCTATTTAATAAGTAGATCTATATTGTGCAGCATTTTAATAATAATAAAATAATTCAAGCAAAATGTATTAGGGGTTATCTGCCTTGAGCTTAGGGCCTGGTCTAGGTTGTTCAGATAACAGAAAATTCATGTGTTCAAACAAAAATCTATTTTCAAATTTAGTTATCGAATACATATATTTTATCACGTCAGATAGAAATATCGATACCAATGTGCTGCATCGACCCGTCGATGGAAACCGGAAGAAATATTTTGGTGCTGAAGACGGTGCTAGTGGGAGGCTACAGCAGAAACATGGGAGAAGGCAAGATGTTGAGGAACACACAAAACATGGGAGAAGGCAAGAGGAACAGGTGGAGTTGACGTATGGGGATAAACTGATTCAAGACAATGGTGATAGGGAGGTACACGGGCCTGATGATGGTGATGATGGTGGTGATGGTGATGGAAATATTCATGTCGGACTTGAAAGCCCTGTGGTTAATGCCGAGCTTAATGGCGAAGAAGAAATTAATAATGAGCTTAATGACGAGGGTAGAAACAACATCGAAGTTAAAGACAATAATGAAGACAATGATGAAAAAAATGATGAAGAAAATTATGAAGAGAATGATGAAGAGAATGAAGTTAATGTCAAAGAGCATAAGACGGACGCTAGGCTGGGAACAAGCCAAACCCAGGGTAATCCTAAGATTGAAGCCCAAAAACTGCCGCTGGAATATCTCATCACGAACCACCTGGGCGAGGTTGTAGGCGAGCAGCTGTTCGCTGAGGGCATCAACCACCTGGGCAAGAAAGGTCGTCTCGCAGAAAGGAGAAGGGCGGAGCAGCTGAGGAGAGAGTCATTGGCCGAGGCAGACGAACATCTGCCCGAGGCAGACGAACATCTGCCCGAGGGACCTGGAGATGGAAAACTACCACCGGAAGTGGCCATTGAGGGTAGACAAGGAGAACCTACTCGTCCCCTCCAGTTGAACAAAACGGTCAACGATTTACAAGACGGTAATCCCAAAGCTGCGGATACCCGTACAGATCTCGAGAAAGGCTTTGAAGCTTTTGGGGTAAAAAAGGGACAAGTCAACAACGTTAGAGGCAACGCAGCAGAAGAGCACAAGGAATACATACCGTACGCCGTACGCCATGGGCTCGTCAAGGCCGGCAAAAATAAGCAAGTGGCGGCCAACAATGGGCAGCAAGTGGCGGCAAACAATGGGCAGGGCTGGGCAAACCAAAAGCCACCAGTTAACGGCCTGATGGAAAACAATGGCCAAGTAGCGGATGGCCAGCTGGCCAACGAGTTGCCGAATGACAAGAAATACATCCCATACGCCCAGAGGCATGGGCTCGGGCCACAGAAACTGATGCAGGGCGGGAACGGGAATCAACAAAATGTGCCGGACCAAAATGTGCCGGAACAAAATGTGCCGGAACAAAATGTGCCGGAACAAAATGTGCCGGAACAAAATGTGCCGGAACAAAATGTGCCGGAACAAAATGTGCCGGAACAATGGATGCAGAATGAAAATGGCCAAAACCAAGCACTACAGCAAGGCCACTTTGGAAACTTGGATCCTATAGAAGCCCTCCCGCCCGCAGTGCTGGCCGCAGTGTTGAAACACAAGCAAAAAGAGTTGATAGAACATCTACAGAACAGGCGGAACCTACCACCACTGCAAAGGGTGCCTGTTCCCATTCAACAGGGGAACAACCAGGGGAACAACCAGTGGAACAACCAGGCACAAGGAGGCAACCAGGTTGAGGAGGACAACCAGCAAAAGGTGGAGGAGCAACCAGGAGACAACGACCTACATATTGAGGACCTCTCTGAACCACTCCCAGTCACGATGCACTGTGTCCAATTCCGATTCCCCACAGGCTTAGCTCCCCTCTGCCTTCATCCCCCGGCCAAGGACTCCGGCGCCCCGGCCAAAATGGCGACTGACGGCTCTTACGAGCGAGAAATCATGGAGCAGTTCTACCAGATCATGTCCCAGGACCCGTCCCTGGGGCTGGTGGATGTCGGTAAGTCATTGCTTCACATTTCCTCGGCCATCGTCTCATCCAATCACACATGTCTAAATTTTGTCTTGACAAAAATACTTTCAAATCTCTCTGATACCAGACTCAATCATTTGACGTCTCTCTGATACCAGACTCAATCATTTGACGTCCCTCTGATACCAGACTCAATCATTTGACGTCTCTGGAATTAGCCTACACAGATTCTATTGAATGTTGACATTTTAACTGTCACTTGATATGTGACGTCATTTGCCACGCCACTATTTCTTGTCCAGGTTCTCACGTGGGAGTGTACGTCATCGCCGCAGCACTCATGCAGCGGAACGTTTTGGCAGTGGAGCCCATGTTTCAAAATTTTAGACTGCTGCACAAAAGTGCACAGGAAAATAAAGTAAGTTCCGTAATATTCCGTACTAGCTGCATACCCGTGCTCTGCCACGGTAAATCTTTCAAAAATGTACCAACTTGGGAACAGAACAAACCTAAACACAACACAAACACAACACAAACACAAAAGAAAACACAAACACAAAAGAAAAAACAAACGCAACACAAACGCCAAAGAAAACACAAATACAACACAAAAACAAAAGAAAACACAAATAAAATGCAAACACAAACGAAGACACAAACGCAACATACAAACACAAACACAAAAGAAAAAAAAACGCAAACAAAAACACAAATGAAATTACATACACAATGCAAACGCAAAAAACAACACAAAAGAAAAAACAAACACAACACTCATAACATAAACACAACTTAAATGCAATCATAAACGCATAGTGCTCACAGTCTAGCCCGTGTCTAGAGTTTCATGACTAAAACCATTGCGTACTTAATGAATGTGATGACGCGTGTATAATACTGGGGAATTGTTGATTAAAAATTATAATTAGTAAACAGTACGTTCAGTGAATAAAATAAATAAAAGATATCCTTTTATCAATCCATGCTATAATATTCCAACAATAATGTCCTCTTACACATCTGCAGAATTTGCATTCACATTTTGCTAATTATATTATTCCAACAATAATTCCGTGTTGGAGATTTCGCATACACAATTTTTTTTATCGTGAGTTGAATTTATTTTTAAATTACCTCCCTTGGCAAAATTACAAAACAGTTTAATTAATTAGATTTTTCTACCCTACTGTTATTTTGTTATTAAAATGTATCCACTTTTTCTAAGAATATAAACGAAAATGATATTTGACATTGATCCTTTTAATATGCTTAAGCAATTTGTGTGTATTTGCGGACAATCTTTTTCGGGGGGGGGGGGGGGGGGGAGGGGGGCGGACACTGGTAAAATGGCACAACTCTTGTCCCGTTCTAAAAATAGAATACGGCCAAAGGTCAACACAAATGTACCAAGTTCGTGGGGACTAAAATTACAAGTGTAGACGACTAAAATAAATAGCGGATTTAAATGGCAAGTTGCTGACCCATGTGTGTGGTTGAAGTGGCAAGTTGCTGACCCATGTGTGTGATTGAAGTGGCAAGTTGCTGACCCATGTGTGTGATTGAAGTGGCAAGTTGCTGACCCATGTGTGTGATTGAAGTGGCAAGTTGCTGACCCATGTGTGTGGTTGAAGTGGCAAGTTGCTGACCCATGTGTGTGATTGAAGTGGCAAGTTGCTGACCCATGTGTGTGATTGAAGTGGCAAGTTGCTGACCCATGTGTGTGATTGAAGTGGCAAGTTGCTGACCCATGTGTGTGATTGAAGTGGCAAGTTGCTGACCCATGTGTGTGATTGAAGTGGCAGGTTGCTGACCCATGTGTGTGATTGAAGTGGCAAGTTGCTGACCCATGTGTGTGATTGGCAAGTTGCTGACCCATGTGTGTGATTGAAGTGGCAAGTTGCTGACCCATGTGTGTGATTGGCAAGTTGCTGACCCATGTGTGTGATTGAAGTGGCAAGTTGCTGACCCATGTATGTGATTGAAGTGGCAAGTTGCTGACCCATGTGTGTGATTGGCAAGTTGCTGACCCATGTGTGTGATTGGCAAGTTGCTGACCCATGTGTGTGATTGAAGTGGCAAGTTGCTGACCCATGTGTGTGATTGGCAAGTTGCTGACCCATGTGTGTGATTGAAGTGGCAAGTTGCTGACCCATGTGTGTGATTGAAGTGGCAAGTTGCTGACCCATGTATGTGATTGAAGTGGCAAGTTGCTGACCCATGTGTGTGATTGAAGTGGCAAGTTGCTGACCCATGTGTGTGATTGGCAAGTTGCTGACCCATGTGTGTGATTGAAGTGGCAAGTTGCTGACCCATGTATGTGATTGAAGTGGCAAGTTGCTGACCCATGTGTTGCTGACCCATGTGTGTGGTTGAAGTGGCAAGTTGCTGACCCATGTGTGTGATTGGCAAGTTGCTGACCCATGTGTGTGATTGAAATGGCAAGTTGCTGACCCATGTGTGTGATTGAAGTGGCAAGTTGCTGACCCATGTGTGTGATTGGCAAGTTGCTGACCCATGTGTGTGATTGAAATGGCAAGTTGCTGACCCATGTGTGTGATTGGCAAGTTGCTGACCCATGTGTGTGATTGGCAAGTTGCTGACCCATGTGTGTGATTGAAGTGGCAAGTTGCTGACCCATGTGTGTGATTGGCAAGTTGCTGACCCATGTGTGTGATTGAAGTGGCAAGTTGCTGACCCATGTGTGTGATTGGCAAGTTGCTGACCCATGTGTGTGATTGAAGTGGCAAGTTGCTGACCCATGTGTGTGATTGGCAAGTTGCTGACCCATGTGTGTGATTGAAATGGCAAGTTGCTGACCCATGTGTGTGATTGGCAAGTTGCTGACCCATGTGTGTGATTGGCAAGTTGCTGACCCATGTGTGTGATTGAAGTGGCAAGTTGCTGACCCATGTGTGTGATTGGCAAGTTGCTGACCCATGTGTGTGATTGGCAAGTTGCTGACCCATGTGTGTGATTGAAGTGGCAAGTTGCTGACCCATGTGTGTGATTGGCAAGTTGCTGACCCATGTGTGTGATTGAAGTGGCAAGTTGCTGACCCATGTGTGTGATTGGCAAGTTGCTGACCCATGTGTGTGATTGGCAAGTTGCTGACCCATGTGTGTGATTGAAGTGGCAAGTTGCTGACCCATGTGTGTGATTGGCAAGTTGCTGACCCATGTGTGTGGTTGCAGGTGACGGACCGTGTTGTCCTGGTGGCCCAGGCGCTGGACGACACCACGTACGTGGGTCAGCTGGCCTACCCTGATGACGGCACCTACAGCCAGATCAACATCTCTCGCCTGACCCCCGGGCTCAAGCATGACCCCGCTCACATAGGTAAAACATGAACCCCCCCCTCGGCTCTAGGGCATTTCTCCCACTCACAACCCCACGACACGACCCCCCCCCCCCACCCCCCACCCCACTCTTGAGAATATCTAGTACGTTACTGGCAGAAGGAAAAGGAGATAAATCAGATTTTGTACTTAATCGAGACAGATAAAAATAACATATGAGATGGCCCCATCGAGAATATTCCGTGAACATAAGTGTTAGCTTGGGGGTGATAATCTCTTTCTCAGTTTTTTGGTAGAGAGGTGTAGGGATACACTGTGGTAGTAGAGAGGTGTAGGGATACACTGTGGTAGTAGAGAGGTGTAGGGATACACTGGTAGTAGAGAGGTGTAGGGATACACTGTGGTAGTAGAGAGGTGTAGGGATACACTGTGGTAGTAGAGAGGTGTAGGGATACACTGTGGTAGTAGAGAGGTGTAGGGATACACTGTGGTAGTAGAGAGGTGTAGGGATACACTGTGGTAGTAGAGAGGTGTAGGGATACACTGTGGTAGAGAGGTGTAGGGATACACTGTGGTAGTATAGAGGTGTAGGGATACACTGTGGTAGTAGATAGGGGGTAATGTCCTCCCCCCACCAACTATACAAGTGGGTACTGTCCTCCCCTCACCTACTATACAAGTGGGTAATGTCCTCCCCTCACCAACTATACAAGGGGGTAATGTCCTCAACCCCTCACACCAACTAGACTAGTGGGTTAGCATGTTCTCAGATGTAACCAATGAAAACGTGTCCCCAGTTCACGTGACGACCCTGAACAAGTTGGTGCCAGCCTTCAGGTTCCAGAGGGCGCTGCTCAAGTTGGACGTCAGCGCTGGGATGGAGGCCAGAATACTGGCTGCAAGTAGGTCACCAGGTCATCGGCCGTTAGGTCATCAGTCGTTGCCATCAGTCGTTAGGTCATCTGGTTATTAGTCGTTAGGTCATCAGTTTTTAGGTAATCAGTTGTTAGGTCATCTGGTCATCAATCGTTAGGTCATCTCGTTATCAGTCATTACCAGTGTTTCTTCCAGACTTTTTTCTCCGGGGGGGGGGGGGGCACTTGAAATTTTCGGGGGGGGGGGGGGCGGTAAACTTTCTTCGGGGGGGGGGGGGCGGACACTGTTAAAAGTATATATTTTCTATATGAATTATATAAATTTCATTTCGTTCAGGGGGGGGGGGGGCGGTAAAAATGAGATGCCTGGAAGAAACTCTGGTCGTTACGTCATCTGTCAGCAAGAGGTGAATCTCTCCTGCCCGCTGACATCATGTTTTTGTTTACGTCAGGCGAATCCTTCTTTGCCCAGCTGGACGTGCCGTACGTGCTGACGTCATGGACGTGGGGGGCCAACCCCCAGGGGCACCAGCTGACCCACGCCCTGCTCTCCGGGCGCGGCTATCGGCCCCGACTGGGCTGGAACGGAGCGGAAGTGAACGAGGAATATTTGAAGAAAGATTTGCCGTTTTTGGTCTGGAAGAAAGCCTGAGACAAACGCTTTGTAACACAAACACAAGTCTTCTAATCATAGGGCTAATAACAGCTCTTAAAGGATGTAAATATATTCAAGGGAATCATGGGATATAATTAGATGGCTCAAACTCTACAGGTGAACGGTCGGCGTGTATCTGACATGTGGGGATACTGGGCCCACGGAGCGGGCCATCGTGGCCAAAGAAATGTTACTTAAATTAAAAAAAAACATTTCGCGAGTGTCTCGTTTGTTTGTTTATTTTATAATTTTGAAAAATGTTTAATTAAAGACACATTTATCTTTATATAGCATATAAATAAATAAATAAATAAATAAATAAATAAATAAATATATATATATATATATATATATATATATATATATATATATATATATATATATATATATATATAGCCTGCATCTAACAGCATAAACACAACATTATGTGAACAGCTCGTGTAGACTGTAATCCTTCTTGTGCACACATGTTGATGACGTCATTAAAGTGTAGTAAGTCAATACAATTTGTTTGATCAATTTTTTTTCCACTTTGTGAGCTGAATGTTGTTACCCAACCGACAACCAACCCATCTACTCGAGCCCCCTTAGTAAGTCAAGATATTGGACACGTTGTACTCACTCCCTCCATTTGTCACAAAAATAATAGTAGACGTTCAACACAGGTTACCATCTTTATAGATCAAGTTAAGGGGACATAACCATGAAAATTCTTTATTAGATTATCTGTCTGGATTGTGGGCCCTATCGGTTGTAAGTCTTGTGCTCTGAACGGAAGGAATGTCATGTGACATCCGAGCTGCCAAGACATCGATTTTCACGGAGCCACTTAGTCGAATCAGAGCCCTTGGCTGCCTAGTCCAGCATTGTTACTTATGTAGTCTAAGTATTTTTCGCATGTATAGTAGCAAGTGTGGGCGAAATGAAGTTTATGTGTTATTGTCGCCGTTGACCATAAAGATGCGCAATGAAAAATAGGTAACGGAAAAATGCTCAGACAGAAATTTGCGGACACAGAAAAATGCGCACACAGAAAAGTGCGCACAGAGAAAAGTACACACAGATCACTCACCAATAAAGATTATGGCAATGTGCGTGTGTTGTGTGCGTGCATGTTTGAGTTTGCATGTGCCTATGTGCATACATAGACAGAAATATTTTACTTCAACATCTGGTGTTATTGTTAGAAGTCAGTTGTGTTTTTTTTTTACCTTCGTTAGAGGTTAATTGTAATTATTTTTGCAGTCTAAGACACACATGGACTTTAAATAGACAATTTTCTAAGTTATATTTGGAGAGAGAATTATTTATAAATATCCTCGATAACGTGCTTAATAGGGCCTACGAGAGAGGAGATACGCAAGGTGTTATATCCACCTTTGTTTATATAACGACTTAAATTTATTTTAAATTCACCACTGTTTTTACTCTTTTGCTTAACGTAAAGAAAATATTAAATACACGCACATTGCTAAAACATATTAAAAGGATCAATGTCAAATATCATTTTCGCTTAGATTCCTAGAAAAAGTGGATACATTTTAATAAAAATAGGGTCGAAAAAACGAATTAATTAAACTGTTTTGTAATTTTCCAAGGGAGGTAATTTAAAAATAAATTCAACTCGCGTTAATAAAAAATGTGAATGCAAAATCTACGGACCTCCAAGAAGGAATTATTGTTGCAATAATAAATTAGCAAAATGTGAATGCAAATTTATGAGCGTTGTCTTTTGTGTTTGTGTTTGCATTGTGTTTGTTTGCGTTGTGTTTTCTTTTGTGTTTGTATTGTGTTTGTGTTTTCTTTTGTGTTTGTGTTTTTATTTACGTTTGTGTTGTGTTTGTATTGTGTTTAGATTTGTTCTGTTCCCAAGTTGGTACATTTAAAAAAGAGTTACCGTGGCGGAGCACGGGTATGCATGCAGCTAATATATATATATATATATATATATATATATATATATATATATATATATATATATATATATATATATATATATATATATATATATATATGTATGTGTGTGTGTGTGTGTGTATGTCTATACATTCTCTAAACATGCCCCCAATAGGCAGACAGCGATAACACAACTCAAAAATAGTTTTTATTTAATATTTTTTAATTTTGGCAGGGATGATATATCGGGCTGAGTTTTTCTCTTTTGGTGAGATTTGTACTCTCCTGTTCAAAGTTAAATTTTATTGGAACACAACCTGTACATGGACGGACAATGGTATCACAGTTCAAAGTTCAATGTATGTACACAATGTAAACAATCAATGGCGGCGTTGTAGCGTCACACTTGAGCACCTACTCGAAGTAGGTGGCGAAGATGTTGGCGACGGCGAACAGGTCGCCAGACTTGTAGGAGGCTGTGGCGAAGTTGTCGGTCTCCGGGTTCCAGACGCTCCTGCTGGCCACTGCCACGCCCTGCTGCCTGTTCTGACCAATGGTCACCACACACACAAACTTGTAGCGCGGGCTGAAAGTGACGTCATGTCAGTAAGTGACTACAAAATTAGCCCCTCCCCCAACCCATTCCTTCAAAATTAGCCCCTCCCCCAACCCACCCTTACAAGATTAGCACCTCCCCCAACCCACCCTTACAAGATTAGCACCTCCACAAACCCACCCCTACAAAATTAGCCCCTCCCCCAACCCACCCTTACAAGATTAGCACCTCCACAAACCCACCCCTACAAAATTAGCCCCTCCCCCAACCCACCCTTACAAGATTAGCACCTCCACAAACCCACCCCTAAAAAATTAGCCCCTCCCCTAACCCATCCCTTCCTCTCCCCCACCGCCAAGAGTCACGTGACCTACCTAAAGCCCAAGTCCTTGACCCTGCCCTTGATGACGTCAGAGATCTGCTGGACGATGTTCCCGCAGATGTCTGTGCTGTACCTCTCAGCGCTCAGGTACGACTCGAGGACCTCCCTCATCACCCGCTGGGCTTTGGACGGCTGGAACTTTTCGCTGGCGTTTGGTGCTATCCGGTAGGTGTTCTGATACTGGCAACACAACGGTTTCATTCTCTTTACAGCAGGACATTAAACCTTTACAGCAGGACATTAAACCTTTACAGCTGGACATTAAACCTTTACAGCAGGACATTAAACCTTTACAGCAGGACATTAAACCTTTACAGCAGGACATTAAACCTTTACAGCAGGACATTAAACCTTTACAGCAGGACATTAAACCTTTACAGCAGGACATTAAACCTTTACAGCAGGACATTAAACCTTTACAGCAGGACATTAAACCTTTACAGCAGGACATTAAACCTTTACAGCAGGACATTAAACCTTTACAGCAGGACATTAAACCTTTACAGCAGGACATTAAACCTTTACAGCAGGACATTAAACCTTTACAGCAGGACATTAAACCTTTACAGCAGGACATTAAACCTTTACAGCAGGACATTAAACCTTTACAGCAGGACATTAAACCTTTACAGCAGGACATTAAACCTTTACAGCAGGACATTAAACCTTTACAGCTGGACATTAAACCTTTACAGCTGGACATTAAACCTTTACAGCAGGACATTAAACCTTTACAGCAGGACATTAAACCTTTACAGCAGGACATTAAACCTTTACAGCAGGACATTAAACCTTTACAGCAGGACATTAAACCTTTACAGCAGGACATTAAACCTTTACAGCAGGACATTAAACCTTTACAGCTGGACATTAAACCTTTACAGCAGGACATTAAACCTTTACAGCAGGACATTAAACCTTTACAGCTGGACATTAAACCTTTACAGCAGGACATTAAACCTTTACAGCAGGACATTAAACCTTTACAGCAGGACATTAAACCTTTACAGCAGGACATTAAACCTTTACAGCTGGACATTAAACCTTTACAGCAGGACATTAAACCTTTACAGCTGGACATTAAACCTTTACAGCTGGACATTAAACCTTTACAGCTGGACATTAAACCTTTACAGCAGGACATTAAACCTTTACAGCAGGACATTAAACTTTTACAGCTGGACATTAAACCTTTACAGCTGGACATTAAACCTTTACAGCTGGACATTAAACCTTTACAGCAGGACATTAAACCTTTACAGCAGGACATTAAACCTTTACAGCTGGACATTAAACCTTTACAGCAGGACATTAAACCTGTCACAGGTTTTTTCTCCTACCTATTTCATGGCACACACTCAAAACAAAAATCAACCCTTGTTCCTGTAATTTCCATAATTTTATTGGTTCATAAGAGCTTCGCCTTCAACTTCCAGACATCGCCATGTTGTTCGCGCGCTATCTCCCTCTCGCTTCCTTTCCTTTCGCGCATGCGCACACCCACACTATATTTTATATTTTATCTCGCCTTTTTAAGACACACACTCGCAACATACATTCATATACATTTGACTGTTACACAATCTTTACAGCAGGACATTAAACCTTTACAGCAGGACATAAAACCTTTACAGCAGGACATAAAACCCTTTACAGCAGGACATTAAACCTTTACACCTGTGACCTAGACACACAATGCCTACCTGAACGGGCACTTTGAAATCTTTCAGCAAAAAGCTGGCACCGGAAATGCTGCTTCTTGAGACGTGTGACATGCGCCGTCCGCTCATGCCGTACTGGACGCTGGCGCGAGGGGCATCCATCCGGGACATCCGGCGGATGTTGGGACCCAAGGTCATGCCATCACCGTCACGCTGCAACATGAGGAACCGCTAGAGGGCTGGGTGGGGGGGGGGGGGGCTGGTCTGTTATAAGGGGGGCTGGTCTGTTATAAGGGGGGGGCTGGTCTGTTATAAGGGGGGGGGGGGCTGGTCTGTGATATGGGGGGGGGGGCTGGTCTGTTATAAGGGGGGCTGGTCTGTTATAAGGGGGGGGGGGGGGCTGGTCTGTTATAAGGGGGGGGGGGGGGGCTGGTCTGTTATAAGGGGGGGGGGCTGGTCTGTGATATGGGGAGGGGGGGCTGGTCTGTTATAAGGGGGGGGGGGGGCTGGTCTGTTATAAGGGGGGGGGGCTGGTCTGTTATAAGGGGGGGGGGCTGGTCTGTGATATGGGGAGGGGGGGCTGGTCTGTGATATGGGGGGGGGGCTAGTCTGTTATAAGGGGGGGGGGGCTGGTCTGTTATAGGGGGGGCTGGTCTGTTATAAGGGGGCTGGTCTGTGATATGGGGGGCTGGTCTGTTATAAGGGGGGGGGCTGGTCTGTTATAAGGGGGGGCGGGCTGGTCTGTGATATGGGGAGGGGGGGCTGGTCTGTGATATGGGGGGGGGGGGGCTGGTCTGTGATATGGGGGGGGGCTGGTCTGTTATAAGGGGGGCTGGTCTGTTATAAGGGGGCTGGTCTGTTATAAGGGGGGGGGGGGCTAGTCTGTTATAAGGGGGCTGGTCTGTTATAAGGGAGGCTGGCCTGTTATAGGGGGGGGGGCTGGTCTGTTATAAGGGGGGGGGGGGGGCTGGTCTGTGATATGGGGGGGCTGGTCTGTTATAAGGGGGGGGGGGGGGGGGGGCTGGTCTGTTATAAGGGGGGGGGGGCTGGTCTGTGATATGGGGAGGGGGGGCTGGTCTGTGATATGGGGGGGGGGCTGGTCTGTGATATGGGGGGGGGCTGGTCTGTTATAAGGGGGGCTGGCCTGTTATAAGGGGGCTGGTTTGTTATAAGGGGGGTAGTCTGTTATAAGGGGGGGGGCTAGTCTGTTATAAGGGGGCTGGTCTGTTATAAGGGAGGCTGGCCTGTTATAGGGGGGGGGGGCTGGTCTGTTATAAGGGGGGGGGGCTGGTCTGTGATATGGGGAGGGGGGCTGGTCTGTTATAAGGGGGGGGCTGGTCTGTTATAAGGGGGGCTGGCCTGTTATAAGGGGGGGGGGCTGGTCTGTTATGGGGGGGGGGCTGGTCTGTTATAAGGGGGCTGGTCTGTGATATGGGGGGGGGGGGGGCTGGCCTGTTATAAGGGGGGGGGGCTGGTCTGTTATAGGGGGGGGGGCTGGTCTGTTATAAGGGGGGGGGGGGGGCTGGTCTGTGATATGGGGAGGGGGGCTGGTCTGTGATATTGGGGGGGCTGGTCTGTTATAAGGGGGGCTGGCCTGTTATAAGGGGGGGCTGGTCTGTTATAGGGGGGGGGGCTGGTCTGTTATAAGGGGGCTGGTCTGTGATATGGGGGGGGGCTGGTCTGTTATAAGGGGTGGGGGGCTAGTCTGTTATAGGGGGGGGGGGGCTGGTCTGTGATATGGGGGGGCTAGTCTGTTATAAGGGGGGGGGGGGCTGGTCTGTTATAGGGGGGGGGCTGGTCTGTTATAAGGGGGGGGGGGGGCTGGTCTGTTATAGGGGGGGGGGCTGGTCTGTTATAAGGGGGGGGGGCTGGTCTGTTATAAGGGGGCTGGTCTGTGATATGGGGAGGGGGGGGGCTGGTCTGTGATAAGGGGGGGGCTGGTCTGTTATAAGGGGGCTGGTCTGTTATATGGGGGGGCTAGTCTGTTATAAGGGGGGGGCTGGTCTGTTATAAGGGGGGGGGCTGGTCTGTGATATGGGGAGGGGGGGGCTGGTCTGTGATAAGGGGGGGGGGCTGGTCTGTTATGAGGGGGCTGGTCTGTGATATGGGGGGGGGGGGGGCTGGTCTGTGATATGGGGGGGGGGCTCGTCTGTGATATGGAGGGGGGGGGCTGGTCTGTGATATGGGGGGGGCTGGTCTGTTATAAGGGGGCTGGTCTGTGATATGGGGGCTGGTTTGTTATAAGGGGGGTAGTCTGTTATAAGGGGGGGGGGGCTAGTCTGTTATAAGGGGGCTGGTCTGTTATAAGGGGGGGGGGGGCTGGTCTGTTATATGGGGGGGGGGGGGGGCTGGTCTGTGATATGGGGGGGGCTGGTCTGTGATATGGGGGGGGGGGGCTGGTCTGTGATATGGGGGGGGGGCTTGTCTGTTATAAGGGGGCTGGTCTGTGATATGGGGGGGCTGGTCTGTTATAAGGGGGTGGGGATGGTCTGTGATGTGGGGGGGAGGGTAGGGGGTTGGTCTATCATAAGGGGCTGGTCGATTATATGTGACTGACCCTACCTTAAAGGCCGGGCACAAGCAAAAGGTTAAGTGGGGAAAAGTCACAGAAAAGACATAAATATTTATTAAAAATGCTTGGATTTACTTGTTGAGAATAGGCTTGAAAAGTCTATGAAATCATAATAAATATTTTTTTTTAATATGACATTCGATAAAATTGTAGCTACATTTGTAAAATTTAAAGCTGTTTGGGAACCGTTGATTATACTCTATATTTTTGTATTGAATATTAGCTGTTGAAAAGCCATTTTGAATTAGTTGACTAATTCAATTTTTTTTTTAAACCGCCCTCAACCCCTATTTGAAGTCGACCGGGATGGTCAGGGAGAGTAGAAGAATGAAAGTGTTATAACAAATTGTTTTCCCATGATAAAATACACAATACCGGTTATTAGGGCATAGCCTAGTAGTTTATTTATATTAAATAATATAACATCCCCTATCACCAAAAAACCCTGACTCTATTAATCCAAATAAAAATAAAATTGTTAGCTAAATTACTGTTATATTACTAGTAATTATTTGCTTGAATATTTCTAGCCTTAATAAAATCGAAAGTCATATTGTACTTATTTCACATTATGTTATAAAATAAAATATTCAATTTTGGTTGAAAAATATGCTTTCTAGCAACAAGTATTTGGAACCATTTTGAACCAGCTTTTCAAGCCTATCGTAAAATTTTGGGTGTTTATAAATATGGGTGTTGTTTTTAGTATCATATTTATAAACTGTAAAGGCCTTATAATGTAATATTGCGACTTTGAATCTTCTCAATGAATAAAGGTAATATAATTTACACAGCAGCCTCAAATTCCGTTACATATTTTTAAAATACCGGGTAGAGAAATCGTAAAAGAAATTTAGGCGCGTCTTTCCCTGTCGGCCTTGCCCGTTCCCAATAGTCCACATTGTGTTTTATTGACGTTTTGCGTCAATGACATGCTTTGTATTGCGTCAGCTTTTTGTCATGATCCTATGCTTCGTTATGTAATGAGTGCGATAAATGTGGTTGAACTATTGATGCATCCCATTTCACACTGATTCAAAATTGGTATTGGAGCTTTCTACTTAATTTTATTCTATAACGTGACTCCCCCCCCCCCCCCCCGTGACTTTTTTCCTGTGACGTTTTTCCACCAATGAAGAAAGTTTACCGGCAGTATTGATTGTCTCCTCCTGGCAAAGTTTTCCCCGGGGTGATCGGCCACGTCTGTCATTGCGCCGGATAATCTGAAATGTCATATGTCAAGTTGATTGATGAATTAATCTGTATGTCATATGTCATGTTGATTGATGAATTAATCTGAAATGTCATATGTCAAGTTGATTGATTAATTAATCTGAAATGTCATATGTCAAGTTGATTGATGAATTAATCTGTATGTCATATGTCATGTTGATTGATGAATTAATCTGAAATGTCATATGTCAAGTTGATTGATTAATTAATCTGAAATGTCATATGTCAAGTTGATTGATGAATTAATCTGAAATGTCATATGTCAAGTTGATTGATGAATTAATCTGAAATGTCATATGTCAAGTTGATTGATGAATTAATCTGAAATGTCATATGTCAAGTTGATTGATTAATTAATCTGAAATGTCAAATGTCAGGCTGTTGGATGATTTGAAAAATGTCTTGTATTGCTTATGTGACTGTCTTCTGTTTGTCTTTGGTTACTCCACTGTGTTGTTAAACTCTTTGGTTACTCCACTGTGTTGTTAAACTCTTTGGTTACTCCACTGTGTTGTTAAACTCTTTGGTTACTCCACTGTGTTGTTAAACTCTTTGGTTACTCCACTGTGTTGTTAAACTCTTTGGTTACTCCACTGTGTTGTTAAACTCTTTGGTTACTCCACTGTGTTGTTAAACTCTTTGGTTACTCCACTGTGTTGTTAAACTCTTTGGTTACTCCACTGTGTTGTTAAACTCTTTGGTTACTCCACTGTGTTGTTAAACTCTTTGGTTACTCCACTGTGTTGTTAAACTCTTTGGTTACTCCAGAAATGTCCGCCATCATTGACCCCCCTCACACACACAAATGTCGGCCATCACCATCATAGACCCCCCACCCGTATACATCAATGTCCGCCATTCTTTTACTGTAAGTTGCAACCACCCCCCCCCTCGTAACAACGACTTACCTTAATGTTAAAATCAAACCGAAATGTCCTGTAAATGAAAAAACAAGAGAGGTCGAAAAGAATGTGTCAACAGACGACCAACCACAGGTGTGAAGCAGACGACCGAACACAGGTGAGACAACCAGCAGAGTTGACAACCCGCTGTCGCTAAGCGGACCCACAGATCGATGTATTGATATCGACCCGCTGTAATACAGCGCCATCAGGCAGGGGATCAAACTGGTGGAACTAGGTCAAGCGCTTTCAGTCCTATTTACCTGCATGGGGGGGGGGGGGGGAGTGAATGGTGTGCCGGTCAACATTATTTATAGCACATAAAGCCTACACACGACGTGGAATGTAGACTTGAGTGTTTCGCTGTGTGTGGTGGGGTGAACGTTGGGAAAAAGGTGAAGTAATAAAATCAGTTTTTGCCATGGAGAAAAGCAGAGGCCAGCATTAACACACATTGTCATACTGATATGGCCTGAGATCTGCGTGCCTAGAGCGCTAATTGCTGTTGAATGCTTTAATTAAACTTGAAACAACAATCAATGGTTTCAGATGGGGCAACCCCACCTAAGGAATCAAGACACTCAATTTTTTACATGAAAACAAATTTTATTTTTGTACACATTGTAGTTTAAAATAGCAGAGAAAAATATCCATACAGGCAAAACTTTGACATCACAGAGTATTTGGTTTGACCAGAAAATCTGGCCACCTAAGGACTTGCCCTAGACATAAAAAAACCAAGACATACTAATCAACTTGGTACAGCTTTGTAAGACAGGCTGGTGAGCCCATCTTGTGACCCCCACCAATCTGGTCCGCCGCTGACCAAATGTTTGGTCCGCCGCTGACCAAATGTTTGGTCCGCCGCTGACCAAAAGTTTGGTCCGCCGCTGACCAAAAGTTTGGTCCGCCGCTGACCAAATGTTTGGTCCGCCGCTGACCAAAAGTTTGGTCCGCTGCTGACCAAAAGTTTGGTGTAAGATTTGTCTCACTACGGCCACCAGCCAGGACACACCTAGGAGACCCCCCCCCCCCTGAGTGATGTCATCATTACTAACAACATTAATAAACAACATCACCAGTGTGTTGTGAGACAACAACATCACCAGTGTGTTGTGGGACAACAACATCACCAGTGTGTTGTGGGACAACATCACCATAGTGCTCTAACACGAACACACTCACATGGTTCTTTATGAGAACCACACTTATATCTACAACTGAAAATGTCAGCACCCCCCCCCCCCCCCCCACACCAATGGTATTTACCTCCAGTCCACCAAGTTAAAAATTAACATAAGCCATTTAAAGTTAGTTCACATAAGTTCTTACATAATTATTATTTTTACAGTCATACCAGGTCAAGTCAAATACCCAGGGTATACATAGGGTAGATGCTGTAGAGTTCACCTGTTTCTAAAGGGATTCTGTGCTCTTTATTTTCCTTGACTAGAATTCAGTCAACACTACCACTTATGGCCAGGTAGTTCATCTGTCAACTTATGGCCAGGTAGTTCATCTGTCAACTTATGGCCAGGTAGTTCATCTGTCAACTTCTGGCCAGGTAGTTCATCTGTCAACTTATGGCCAGGTAGTTCATCTGTCAACTTATGGCCAGGTAGTTCATCTGTCATGGCCAGGTAGTTCATCTGTCAACTTATGGCCAGGTAGCTCATCTGTCAACTTATGGCCAGGTAGTTCATCTGTCAACTTATGGCCAGGTAGTTCATCTGTCATGGCCAGTTAGTTCATCTGTCAACTTATGGCCAGGTAGTTAATCTGTCAACTTATGGCCAGGTAGTTCATCTGTCAACTTATGGCCAGGTAGCTCATCTGTCAACTTATGGCCAGGTAGTTCATCTGTCAACTTATGGCCAGGTAGTTCATCTGTCAACTTATGGCCAAGTAGTTCATCTGTCAACTTATGGCCAGTTAGTTCATCTGTCAACTTATGGCCAGGTAGTTCATCTGTCATGGCCAGTTAGTTCATCTGTCAACTTATGGCCAGGTAGTTAATCTGTCAACTTATGGCCAGGTAGTTCATCTGTCAACTTATGGCCAGGTAGCTCATCTGTCAACTTATGGCCAGGTAGTTCATCTGTCAACTTATGGCCAGGTAGTTCATCTGTCAACTTATGGCCAGTTAGTTCATCTGTCAACTTATGGCCAGTTAGTTCATCTGTCAACTTATGGCCAGGTAGTTCATCTGTCATGGCCAGTTAGTTCATCTGTCAACTTATGGCCAGGTAGTTCATCTGTCAACTTATGGCCAGGTAGTTCATCTGTCAACTTATGGCCAAGTAGTTCATCTGTCAACTTATGGCCAGGTAGTTCATCTGTCAACTTATGGCCAGGTAGTTCATCTGTCATGGCCAGTTATTTCATCTGTCAACTTATGGCCTGGTAGTTCATCTGTCAACTTATGGCCAGTTAGTTCATCTGTCATGGCCAGGTAGTTCATCTGTCAACTTATGGCCAGGTAGCTCATCTGTCAACTTCTGGCCAGTTAGTTCATCTGTCAACTTCTGGCCAGTTAGTTCAACCTTGAATTGAATGCTATTAGACTGCTGCCAACATTAGATTCCAGCCAATGCAAGTTACATTTGGTGTCCAGTCCTTCCTGGACGGCATGCAATGACGGGACCCAGCCCAAATCAGATGGAAAAATCAAATGTGTGTAGCATCTAAAACTATTTCAGCCAAGAAATAGAAGCATGAAAGAGTGAATCAAACAACATTTGTAACAAGTACCAATCAAATGCCATGACATGATCTAGCCATGACATGATCTAGCCATGACATGATCTAGCCATGACATGATCTAGCCATGACATGATCTAGCTATGACATGATCTAGCCATGACATGATCTAGCCATGACATGATCTAGCCATGACATGATCTAGCCCTCCCCCAGGTTAAAACTCCATGTCTTGACAAGATCTGGGTGGTCTCCCCTTATGTTCCTTCAGCTTGTCCAGAATCTCCTGACAAATGGCCAGAACTTTGGGGTCAATGTTGGAGGACTGCATCAGTTGGTAGATGTGTTCATGTCCACCTTCATCATTCAGTAGAGTCAGGTAGCGCTTACCTGGGGAAACAACACCTGCATCAACCTCCAACACCTGAACCCCCCCCCCCCCCCTCCAAAAAATGTTATATCTACAACACATTTGCAAACAAAAAATTAACAATATATAATATATTATATATTTCTATTATGGTAGGTCATGTCAAGTCTACTGTGGTAGGTCATGCCAAGTCTATTGTGGTAGGTCATGTCAAGTCTACTGTGGTAGGTCATGTCAAGTCTACTGTGGTAGGTCATGTTGTCTACTGTGGTAGGTCATGACGTCTATTGTGGTAGGTCATGTCAAGTCTATTGTGGTAGGTCATGTCGTCTATTGTGGTAGGTCATGTCAAGTCTACTGTGGTAGGTCATATCAAGTCTACTGTGGTAGGTCATGTCAAGTCTACTGTGGTAGGTCATGTTGTCTATTGTGGTAGGTCATGTTAAGTCGACTGTGGTAGGTCATGTCTATTGTGGTAGGTACAAACTTTCTGGTCAACTAGTTTGATTACATAGACATATCTGTTGTGCAGAACTTTTTGAATACTGTGAATACTCAGAACTTTATCCAGGTTAAAACCAAACAAAACTAAAATCTAGTCGAGTTTACTTTTAAAAGAAAACTAAACTAAAATCTAGAAGAGTTCTAGTAAAAATGCCTTGTATTTATAAAGCGATGTGTAGAAAATATCTCTGCAGTCCTGTCAAACAACTGCACTACATTGAAAACATGTTGACATCACTTGCGTCTTTCATCCAACATTTCATTACCAACATCAAGAAAGTTTTTAACACGCAAACCAAATTAGTACACCATATAAGCAGTGACATTTTATGTATGTTAAATTTAATCTCTTTGGAATACGTATATCCATACATATCACTATTCTTATCCATCTACAAAACTTATACCTATGTCATCTACAAAACTTATACCTATGTCATCTACAAAACTTATACCTATGTCATCTACAAAACATACCTATGTCTTCTACAAAACTTATACCTATGTCATCTACAAAACTTATACCTATGTCATCTACAAAACTTATACCTATGTCATCTACAAAACATACCTATGTCATCTACAAAACTTATACCTATGTCATCTACAAAACTTATACCTATGTCATCTACAAAACTTATACCTATGTCATCTACAAAACTTATACCTATGTCATCTACAAAACTTATACCTATGTCATCTACAAAACTTATACCTATGTCATCTACAAAACTTATACCTATGTCATCTACAAAACATACCTATGTCATCTACAAAACTTATACCTATGTCATCTACAAAACTTATACCTATGTCATCTACAAAACTTATACCTATGTCATCTACAAAACTTATACCTATGTCATCTACAAAACTTATACCTATGTCATCTACAAAACTTATACCTATGTCATCTACAAAACTTATACATATGTCATCTACAAAACTTATACCTATGTCATCTACAAAACTTATACCTATGTCATCTACAAAACTTATACCTATGTCATCTACAAAACCTATACCTTTGTACAGTTGAAATGGGGTAATAGGGAATAACCCAGGGGTTAAATACAGGGGGTTGTATGGTGAGGTAATTGTCTGGGGGTTGTCTGGTGAGGTAATTGTCTGGGGGTTGTCTGGTGAGGTAATTGTCTGGGGGTTGTCTGATGAGGTAATTGACTGGGGGTTGTCTGGTGAGGTAATTGACTGGGGGTTGTCTGGTGAGGTAATTGACTGGGGGTTGTCTGGTGAGGTAATTGACTGGGGGTTGTCCAGGGCGGTAATTGACTGGGGTGTATCAAATGCCACTTACCATTCTTTGAGCAGACATGATGGATGGCCCAAACGGCCCAGAGCTGAATGGGTGTGTCCTGACTTTGTAGAAGTGGGAAAAATGGACTAAAAGACCTGTGGGGGAATCAACAACTTTGTGCTTATTTCATCAATCACTACAACAATATGATATAACTGCTGATGGTGTATGCTTATTGTTACGATCAAATACGATTCTAGGCACTGTTCAATTGAACTTATCATCTTTATCATTACACCACAAGCTCTCGACCCTAACCACTACTAATAAAATCCATCCACCCTAACTGCTACTAACAAAAGCCACAGACCCTAACCGCTACTAACAAAAGCCACAGACCCTAACCGCTACTAACAAAAGCCCTCCACCCTAACCACTACTAACAAAAGCCCCAGACCCTAACCTCTAATAACAAAAGCCCTACACCCTAACCGCTACTAACAAAAGCCCCCCCCCCACCCTAACTGCTACTAACAAAAGCCCTCAACCCTAACCGCTACTAACAAAAGCCACAGACCCTAACTGCTACTAACAAAAGCCACAGACCCTAACCGCTACTAACAAAAGCCACAGACCCTAACCGCTACTAACAAAAGCCCTCCACCCTAACCACTACTAACAAAAGCCCCAGACCCTAACCTCTAATAACAAAAGCCCTACACCCTAACCGCTACTAACAAAAGCCCCCCCCCCCCCACCCTAACTGCTACTAACAAAAGCCCTCAACCCTAACCGCTACTAACAAAAGCCACAGACCCTAACTGCTACTAACAAAAGCCACAGACCCTAACCGCTACTAACAAAGCCCCCAACCCTAACCGCTACTAACAAGTAAAAAAAAACAACTAATGTGGTTTTCAGGCAATTGTCACAATCTAGCAATCAGAGATTTGGGTAGCTGGCAAATATTCAGGCAAGTCAATCAAGTCATTGGTTTGTCTGTGTGAGGATGACATGTGCTGTAGGTGGTGCATGATGACATGTGCTGTAGGTGGTGCATGATGACATGTGCTGTAGGTGGCGCATGATGACATGTGCTGTAGGTGGTGCATGATGACATGCTGTAGGTGGCGCATGATGACATGTGCTGTAGGTGGCGCATGATGACATGTGCTGTAGGTGGTGCATGATGACATGTTCTGTAGGTGGTGCATGATGACATGTGCTGTAGGTGGTGCATGATGACATGTGCTGTAGGTGGTGTATGATGACATGTGCTGTAGGTGGTGTATGATGACATGTGCTGTAGGTGGTGCATGATGACATGTGCTGTAGGTGGTGCATGATGGCATGTGCTGTAGGTGGTGCATGATGACATGTGCTGTAGGTGGTGTATGATGACATGTGCTGTAGGTGGTGCATGATGACATGTGCTGTAGGTGGTGTATGATGACATGTGCTGTAGGTGGTGCATGATGACATGTGCTGTAGGTGGTGCATGATGACATGTTCTGTAGGTGGTGCATGATGACATGTGCTGTAGGTGGTGCATGATGACATGTGCTGTAGGTGGTGTATGATGACATGTGCTGTAGGTGGTGTATGATGACATGTGCTGTAGGTGGTGCATGATGACATGTGCTGTAGGTGGTGCATGATGACATGTGCTGTGTGATGACATGTGCTGTAGGTGGTGTATGATGACATGTGGTGTAGGTGGTGTATGATGACATGTGCTGTAGGTGGTGCATGATGACATGTGCTGTAGGTGGTGTATGATGACATGTGCTGTAGGTGGTGTATGATGACATGTGCTGTAGGTGGTGCATGATGACATGTGCTGTAGGTGGTGCATGATGACATGTGCTGTAGGTGGTGTATGATGACATGTGCTGTAGGTGGTGCATGATGACATGTGGTGTAGGTGGTGTATGATGACATGTGCTGTAGGTGGTGTATGATGACATGTGCTGTAGGTGGTGCATGATGACATGTGCTGTGTGATGACATGTGCTGTAGGTGGTGCATGATGACATGTGGTGTATGATGACAAAAATCTCACCTGTATGCTGCTATGTTTACTGTATGAGTTGTCTACAAAAATCTCACCTGTATGCTGCTATGTTTACTGTATGAGTTGTCTACAAAAATCTCACCTGTATGCTGCTATGTTTACTGTATGAGTTGTCTACAAAAATCTCACCTGTATGCTGCTATGTTTACTGTATGAGTTGTCTACAAAAATCTCACCTGTATGCTGCTATGTTTACTGTATGGTGTCTACAAAAATCTCACCTGTATGCTGCTATGTTTACTGTATGGTGTCTACAAAAATCTCACCTGTATGCTGCTATGTTTACTGTATGAGTTGTCTACAAAAATCTCACCTGTATGCTGCTATGTTTACTGTATGAGGTGTCTACAAAAATCTCACCTGTATGCTGCTATGTTTACTGTATGAGTTGTCTACAAAAATCTCACCTGTATGCTGCTATGTTTACTGTATGAGTTGTCTACAAAAATCTCACCTGTATGCTGCTATGTTTACTGTATGAGTTGTCTACAAAAATCTCACCTGTATGCTGCTATGTTTACTGTATGAGTTGTCTACAAAAATCTCACCTGTATGCTGCTATGTTTACTGTATGGTGTCTACAAAAATCTCACCTGTATGCTGCTATGTTTACTGTATGAGTTGTCTACAAAAATCTCACCTGTATGCTGCTATGTTTACTGTATGAGTTGTCTACAAAAATCTCACCTGTATGCTGCTATGTTTACTGTATGGTGTCTACAAAAATCTCACCTGTATGCTGCTATGTTTACTGTATGAGGTGTCTACAAAAATCTCACCTGTATGCTGCTATGTTTACTGTATGAGGTGTCTACAAAAATCTCACCTGTATGCTGCTATGTTTACTGTATGAGTTGTCTACAAAAATCTCACCTGTATGCTGCTATGTTTACTGTATGAGTTGTCTACAAAAATCTCACCTGTATGCTGCTATGTTTACTGTATGAGTTGTCTACAAAAATCTCACCTGTATGCTGCTATGTTTACTGTATGAGGTGTCTACAAAAATCTCACCTGTATGCTGCTATGTTTACTGTATGGTGTCTACAAAAATCTCACCTGTATGCTGCTATGTTTACTGTATGAGGTGTCTACAAAAATCTCACCTGTATGCTGCTATGTTTACTGTATGAGTTGTCTACAAAAATCTCACCTGTATGCTATGTTTACTGTTGAGTTGTCTACAAAAATCTCACCTGTATGCTGCTATGTTTACTGTATGAGTTGTCTACAAAAATCTCACCTGTATGCTGCTGTGACCTACTTAGGTCTGTTTGGCTTTATGTATATTTAATCTCCTGAGTTATGTATTTGTCCTTGGGAGAATTGTCAGTTCACTGGTACAACCGGTCAACTGAACGCTGTCATATCATGTGATTGTAAGTTTAATCCCTGGCAGACCCTCAACCAATGGACTTGCGACCGTGAGGATCCTTGACTGACCCTCAACCAATAGTCGTAAGACTTTTGAGTTATTTCCCCTTACTCTGAGTTGTATTTAATCACGGGATTTTCATGTCCAGACGCCGCCAGATTGACCTAGGGACCAGGAGAGGTGTGCCTGTGGTTAGGTACGCCATTTTGCAGTATTGTTATTTTGTGACATGATTTCACCTTTTGTATAAGGGATTATGTGACTAGTTGTAGTTTACTGAATTTGTGTTCTGGTGTATTATTACACCTTTTTGACTATCGGTGATAGTTTAACCTGTATAAGGATTTCTATTGTTATAGAGGCAACTTGTCTCTCCCTGGTTTTTTGTTGTGGTTATTATGAGGCCAGTTCAGTTGTGTGTATTAATGATTTATCACAGCTGTGATATTGTGATTTTTCTCAAACTGTAAGTTGGAGTTGAGTTTATTTATATTACACTGAGAATCTGTACATTTTGATCTTACTTAGTGTCATTATCTTGTACATAAATTAAAAAGGTATTCATAGTTTAAGTCGTGTGAGTCTCTTCGATTTGTCGTGTTTTACCCCTAGACTGCATTAACGAGCTCACGGCAAGTTGTTGAGATTCCGTTACAACGTCTTCTATCGGTACCATACCAAACGAACCTGGGGTGTCCGCTCCTGACTGGCTGTCGGAGGTCGGACATAACAAGTGAGGGCTCGTCCGGTATTTTGATTTGTGTGCAAGTTTGGCATTAGTTTGAGTTTGTGATTTAGAGTTTGGTCAGTAGTTCGAAGAAGTTGAACTAGTTCTTGAGTAGTTGTTTTTGTTATCAGTTGAAGGTAAACATTGTTACTTGTTAGCTATGGAGGCTTTGTTGTTAAGTCCTACTGTGGAAGCAGTTGAGAACTTAAGTAGGAAAGATTTGATAACAGTTGTCAAAAAGTTAAACCTGGACTATATTGTTACTCAGACCTCTAGGGTGTTGAAGGACAAAGTTATTGTTTACTTCATTAATGAAGGCATGTTAGATGAGAGTTTTCTTTCTGAAGTTTTGGCACGGGAAGTGGAAATTGTTGATAGGGAGTTTGAGGCCAGACTAAAGTTAGAAAGAGAAGTTCAGATGAAGCGGTTAGAATATGAGTTTGGTATTATTGACAGTAGTTCGAAGTCAGGAGGTCCTTCTCAGTTGTCTGTGGCCCAAACATTGGCCCAGTTTTGCAAATTAGTCCCTAAGTTTGATGAGTCAGATCTTGTCGTATTTTTTAATACATTTGAGAACATAGCTGAAAGTTGTCAATGGCCTAGTAACGTAGTCACAACGTTACTAAGCACTGTTTTAATTGGTAAGGCTGCCACCACATACCAGGCACTCTCTCGCGAAGTCCAGTCAGATTACAAAAAGGTCAAGGCTGCCATTCTGAAGGCTTACGAAATAACTCCAGAAGCCTACAGAATTAAGTTCAGAAAAATTAGGAAACAACAGAACCAAACCTATGTTGAGTTCCTTTTTGAAAAAGAAAAAGTCTTTTCAAGATGGCTCCATTCTGAGAATGTCAACGACTTCGACAAACTCAGAAGTCTGATACTAAGAGAAGATTTCCTCAACGCAGTACCTGAAGAGATCAGACTACACATCTTGGATAACCGAATAACAGACATCAAAAGGGCAGCAGAATCAGCTGATACATACGAGCTGGTACATAAGAAGTCACAGGGTTCTGGTACCAAGTACAATCCGGTACTACCTCTCATCAGCAACAATCCCTCTGCTGGCCAGTTGCTGAGATCTCGTCAATCAACACAGATACCCAGAGTCACAGCCAGGCGACTGATCTGCCACTATTGTTCCAAGCCTGGGCACATCATCAAGAACTGTTTCCTGCGACAGCGAGACAACAGAGAGTATGTACGAACATCTCGTAACGCTCTCCCCCACCAAGCAAGTCCAAAGGTGAACCTCGCCCGTCGTGATGACCCTACACCAGCGTGTCCACAGGGAAGTAATGAAGTGACCACCACTTTCGTCCAGTCATCTTATGACTCTCCTTTTCACCAACCGGTTACATCAGCAGCAACCAATTGTGAAGAATCGAGAACTGTTGGCTTCACATCATTCATGACAGATGCTGTCATCAGCAACCCTGGAGACCCAGCATCATCGCGGAACATCGTCGTCCTAAGAGACACTGGGGCTTCTCAGTCACTTTTGCTGAGAGACTCATTGAACATTGCACCAGAAACCAACACCGGTGATGTCACCATCATCCAAGGAGTGGGAGCTGAACCAACAGTAGTTCCACTACATAAGTTCAACTTGAGACATCAGCTCATCCAAGGAGATGTTATCCTTGGGGTGATAGATTCCATACCTGTCCCAGGAGTACACTTGCTCCTAGGTAATGACTTAGCGGGAAGCAAAGTCCACCCCCAGGAAGTTCAGAACCCGTTCTCTACAGACCCCGACGGTGAAAATGAACTGTTCTTTTGGCCGAGAATGCACAACGATGACACTCGTTATTGCAGACATTGTAAGAACTGTCAGTTGGTCGGGAAACCTAGTCAAAATATTCCCAAGGCCACGGTGAAATCTATTCCTGTGCTAGACGAAGCATTTGACAAGATTACCAAGGACTGCGTCACCTCTTCCCAGACCGGAGAAAGAAACAACTGGTTTATCATGTAAACTCACTATCTCTTTCTCCACAGCTAAGTTTATGTTACATATAAGTATTTCTAGTAAATTTGATGATGCTACTCTTAAATTGTTAAAGTCTCCATTTTTGACCCAGTTAGATCATATTGAACATTTATCTTCTAATGAGAATCAGTCATTCTCACAGGTAGTTAAAACTTTACACTTCATGCTTAGGGATGGCTGGTTATTATAGACGTTTTAGTAAAAACTTTTCAGCTGTAGCTGAGCCACTTACTGCCTTATTGAAAAAGGGTGTTGAGTTTGAATGGTCAACTAAATGTCATGAAGCTTTTTTGACCATTAAGTCATTTTTATCTAATGCTCCTGTTATGGCTGCACCAGATTTCAGCAAGCCTTTTAAACTTGCCATTGATGCTAGCAATTTAGCCATTGGCTCAGTCTTATTCCAGGAAGACAACCGAGGGATCGATCATCCAATAGCCTTTTTCTCTAGAAAGTTAAATGAGAATCAAAAGAATTATTCCACTATTGAAAAAGAAGCTTTAGCTTTGGTTTTGTCCTTACAACATTTTGAAGTCTATGTCACCTCTTCCATAAATCCAGTCATGGTATTTTCTGACCATGATCCTCTTAAGTTCACTACTAAGTTGGGACAGAATAACAATAGAATTTTAAGATGGTGTCTATTTTTCCAAAATTTTAATTTGGTAATTTCCCATATTAAAGGAACTGACAACATTGTAGCTGACTGTTTGTCAAGAATGTAAAACAACTTTTGACGTTCACATTGATCTTGTGAAACTTTTTTGGTTAGTTATAACCATTTTGCAAATGTTATGTTTGATCAAACTGTAGCCTGGTGGCTGGAGTTCCAAGCTTTCAATCAGATCAGAATTGTACGGTTTTTTCCAAAACTGATTACTTGTTGAAAATGCCTGTTATTTTCAAATGAACCTTATTTAAAGGTGGTTTTGTATAATGTGCATTGTGTTGTTATAAAAATGTATCACATTATTCAGTTGATGTTATATTGGAAGATTTAAATAAAGGAATTAAGTTGTAAGTTTCCCACATATTATATCCAGATGGATATGTTTGGTTTCCTTTGCATAAGGAACTTTGAGGTATTCTTATTTTGGGAAGGATTGTTTCCCTTTGGTAAATTGTAAAAAGGTGAATTGTTTCCCTTTAATTTTTAAGGATGTTTTTTATTGACATAGAAATTTTGTTAGTTACTATAATTGGACATTTTTTGTGTCAGATTTGTTCCATATAGTGATTGCCATTTTTGTGTAACAAAAATGCCTCTCTAAAAGGGAGGGGATGTGACCTACTTAGGTCTGTTTGGCTTTATGTATATTTAATCTCCTGAGTTATGTATTTGTCCTTGGGAGAATTGTCAGTTCACTGGTACAACCCGGTCAACTGAACGCTGTCATATCATGTGATTGTAAGTTTAATCCCTGGCAGACCCTCAACCAATGGACTTGCGACCGTGAGGATCCTTGACTGACCCTCAACCAATAGTCGTAAGACTTTTGAGTTATTTCCCCTTACTCTGAGTTGTATTTAATCACGGGATTTTCATGTCCAGACGCCGCCAGATTGACCTAGGGACCAGGAGAGGTGTGCCTGTGGTTAGGTACGCCATTTTGCAGTATTGTTATTTTGTGACATGATTTCACCTTTTGTATAAGGGATTATGTGACTAGTTGTAGTTTACTGAATTTGTGTTCTGGTGTATTATTACACCTTTTTGACTATCGGTGATAGTTTAACCTGTATAAGGATTTCTATTGTTATAGAGGCAACTTGTCTCTCCCTGGTTTTTTGTTGTGGTTATTATGAGGCCAGTTCAGTTGTGTGTATTAATGATTTATCACAGCTGTGATATTGTGATTTTTCTCAAACTGTAAGTTGGAGTTGAGTTTATTTATATTACACTGAGAATCTGTACATTTTGATCTTACTTAGTGTCATTATCTTGTACATAAATTAAAAAGGTATTCATAGTTTAAGTCGTGTGAGTCTCTTCGATTTGTCGTGTTTTACCCCTAGACTGCATTAACGAGCTCACGGCAAGTTGTTGAGATTCCGTTACAACGTCTTCTATCGGTACCATACCAAACGAACCTGGGGTGTCCGCTCCTGACTGGCTGTCGGAGGTCGGACATAACACTGCTATGTTTACTGTATGAGTTGTCTACAAAAATCTCACCTGTATGCTGCTATGTTTACTGTATGAGTTGTCTACAAAAATCTCACCTGTATGCTGCTATGTTTACTGTATGAGGTGTCTACAAAAATCTCACCTGTATGCTGCTATGTTTACTGTATGGTGTCTACAAAAATCTCACCTGTATGCTGCTATGTTTACTGTATGAGGTGTCTACAAAAATCTCACCTGTATGCTGCTATGTTTACTGTATGAGTTGTCTACAAAAATCTCACCTGTATGCTGCTATGTTTACTGTATGGTGTCTACAAAAATCTCACCTGTATGCTGCTATGTTTACTGTATGAGGTGTCTACAAAAATCTCACCTGTATGCTGCTATGTTTACTGTATGAGGTGTCTACAAAAATCTCACCTGTATGCTGCTATGTTTACTGTATGAGGTGTCTACAAAAATCTCACCTGTATGCTGCTATGTTTACTGTATGAGGTGTCTACAAAAATCTCACCTGTATGCTGCTATGTTTACTGTATGAGGTGTCTACAAAAATCTCACCTGTATGCTGCTATGTTTACTGTATGAGGTGTCTACAAAAATCTCACCTGTATGCTGCTATGTTTACTGTATGGTGTCTACAAAAATCTCACCTGTATGCTGCTATGTTTACTGTATGAGGTGTCTACAAAAATCTCACCTGTATGCTGCTATGTTTACTGTATGAGTTGTCTACAAAAATCTCACCTGTATGCTGCTATGTTTACTGTATGAGGTGTCTACAAAAATCTCACCTGTATGCTGCTATGTTTACTGTATGAGGTGTCTACAAAAATCTCACCTGTATGCTGCTATGTTTACTGTATGAGTTGTCTACAAAAATCTCACCTGTATGCTGCTATGTTTACTGTATGAGGTGTCTACAAAAATCTCACCTGTATGCTGCTATGTTTACTGTATGAGGTGTCTACAAAAATCTCACCTGTATGCCACCATTTCAGCCTTAGGTTGGTCCCAGTTGGAGACAACAGTCCTCTGTAAACAAAAACAACCAGCTACATCAAACTTGTCACACAACACTCACCTAAACTTGTCACACAACACTCACCTAAACTTGTCACACAACACTCACCTAAACTTGTCACACAACACTTGTCACACAACACTCACCTAAACTTGTCACACAACACTCACCTAAACTTGTCACACAACACTCACCTAAACTTGTCACACAACACTCACCTAAACTTGTCACACAACACTTGTCACACAACACTCACCTAAACTTGTCACACAACACTCACCTAAACTTGTCACACAACACTCACCTAAACTTGTCACACAACACTCATCTAAACTTGTCACACAACACTCACCTAAACTTGTCACACAACACTCACCTAAACTTGTCACACAACACTCACCTAAACTTGTCACACAACACTCACCTATACTTGTCACACAACACTCACCTAAACTTGTCACACAACACTCACCTAAACTTGTCACACAATACTCACCTAAACTTGTCACACAACACTCACCTAAACTTGTCACACAACACTCACTTAAACTTGTCACACAACACTCACCTAAACTTGTCACACAACACTTGTCACACAACACTCACCTAAACTTGTCACACAACACTCACCTAAACTTGTCACACAACACTCACCTAAACTTGTCACACAACACTCACCTAAACTTGTCACACAACACTCACCTAAACTTGTCACACAACACTCACCTAAACTTGTCACACAACACTCACCAAATCTTCCAAAATGTCGTATCTATCAAGACCAGCAATACTTCTCCAAGCCTCATCACCATCACTGCACAGATGGGCCAAGATACCAGCAGCAAAGTAGCTGACATCAATGTGTTTGCCACCTAGCATCTGCCTGGAGGGGACGGCAAATGGTCAGTCTATAGCTCCAGTTTTGGTCAGTCCATTTGTAGTCAACTTAGTCCATAAATGGTCAGTCTATAGCTCCAGTTTTGGTCAGTCCATTTGTAGTCAACTTAGTCCATAAATGGTCAGTCTATAGCTCCAGTTTTGGTCAGTCCATTTGTAGTCAACTTAGTCCATAAATGGTCAGTCTATAGCTCCAGTTTTGGTCAGTCCATTTGTAGTCAACTTAGTCCATAAATGGTCAGTCTATAGCTCCTGTTTTGGTCAGTCCATTTGTAGTCAGCTTAGTCCATAAATGGTCAGTCTATAGCTCCAGTTTTGGTCAGTCCATTTGTAGTCAACTTAGTCAATATATGGTCAGCTTAGTCCATATATGGTCAGCTTAGTCCATTTATGGTCAGCTTAGTCCATATATGGTCAGCTTAGACCATATATGGTCAGCTATCCACATACGGTTAGCTTGGTCCAATGTAAATGAACAAGACTGAAGCGAACTTACTTAATCAGCATGATAAAATCTTCTCTCATCAGCTTGTGGCGCAGTATTTTCACCTCAGCTATGTTGTTCTGGGGGGAGATGACAGCACGAGTTTCATGGGGTGTAGGACATAATGGGTAGGACATGTGTTGTAGGACATGGGGTGTAGGACATGTGTTGTGGGAAATAGGGTGTAGGACATGTGGTTTAGGACATGTGTTTTAGAACATGTGTTGTAGGACATGGGGTGTAGGACATATGTTGTGGGACATGTGTTGTAGGACATGTGTTTTAGGACATGGGGTGTAGGACATGTGTTGTGGGAAATAGGGTGTAGGACATGTGTTTTAGGACATGTGTTTTAGGACATGTGTTTTAGGACATGTGTTGTGGGACATGGGGTGTAGGACATGTGTTGTAGGACATGTGTTGTAGGACATGGGGTGTAGGACATGTGTTTTTGGACATGTGTTTTAGGACATGTGTTTTAGGACATGTGTTGTGGGACATGGGGTGTAGAACATGTGTTGTAGGACATGGGGTGTGGGACATGGGGTGTAGGACATGTGTTGTAGGACTTGTGTTGTAGGACATGGGGTGTAGGACATGTGTTGTGGGACATGGGGTGTAGGACATGTGTTGTGGGACATGGGGTGTAGGACATGGGGTGTGGGACATGGGATGTAGGACATGGGGTGTAGGACATGTGTTGTAGGACATGGGGTGTAGAACATGTGTTGTAGGACATGGGGAGTAGGACATGTGTTGTGGGACATGGGGTGTAGGACATGGGGTGTGGGACATGGGGTGTAGGACATGTGTTGTAGGACATGTGTTGTGGGACATGTGTTGTAGGACATGGGGTGTAGGACATGTGTTGTGGGACATGGGGTGTAGGACATGTGTTGTAGGACATGGGGTGTAGGACATGTGTTGTAGGACATGGGGTGGAGGACATGTGTTGTGGGACATGGGGTGTAGGACATGGGGTGTAGGACATGTGTTGTGGGACATGGGGTGTAGGACATGGGGTGTAGGACATGTGTTTTAGGACATGGAATGTAGGTCATGTGTTGTAGGACATGTGTTGTGGGACATGGGGTGTAGGACATGGGGTGTAGGACGTGTGTTGTGGGACATGGGGTGTAGGACATGTATTGTGGGACATGGGGTGTAGGACATGGAGTGTAGGACATGTGTTGTAGGACATGTGTTGTAGGACATGTGTTGTGGGACATGGGGTGTAGGACATAGGGTGTAGGAAATGCGGTGTAGGACATGTGTTGTAGAACATGTGTTGTAGGACATGGGGTGTAGGACGTGTGTTGTAGGACATGGGGTGTAGAACATGTGTTGTGGGACATGGGGTGTAGGACATGTGTTGTGGGACATGGGGTGTAGGACATGGGGTGTAGGACATGGGGTGTAGGACATGGGGTGTAGGACATGGGGTGTAGGATGTGTGTTGTAGGACATGGGGTGTAGAACATGTGTTGTAGGACATGTGTTGTAGGACATGTGTTGTAGGACATGGGGTGTAGGACATGGGGTGTAGGACATGTGTTGTGGGACATGGGGTGTAGGACATGTGTTGTGGGACATGGGGTGTAGGACGTGTTGTAGGACATGTGTTGTAGGACATGTGTTGTGGGACATGGGGTGTAGGACATGGGGTGTAGGGCATGGAGGGTAGGACATGGGGTGTAGGACATGTGTTGTAGGGCATGGAGCGTAGGACATGTGGTGTAGGACATGTGTTGTGGGACATGTGTTGTAGGACATGGGGTGTAGGACATGGGGTGTAGGACATGTGTTGTGAGACATGCGGTGTAGGACATGGGGTGTAGGACATGTGGTTTAGGACATGTGTTTTAGGACATGTGTTGTAGGACATGGGGTGTAGGACATGTGTTTTAGGACATGTGTTGTGGGACATGGGGTGTAGGACATGGGGTGTAGGACATGTGTTGTGGGACATGGGGTGTAGGACATGTGTTGTAGGACATGTGTTTTAGGACATGTGTTTTAGGACATGTGTTTTAGGACATGTGTTTTAGGACATGTGTTGTAGGACATGGGGTGTAGGACATGGGGTGTAGGACATGTGTTGTGGGACATGGGGTGTAGGACATGTGTTGTGGGACATGGGGTGTAGGACATGTTGTAGGACATGTGTTGTAGGACATGGGGTGTAGGACATGTGTTGTGGGACATGGGGTGTAGGGCATGGAGGGTAGGACATGGGGTGTAGGACATGTGTTGTAGGGCATTGAGCGTAGGACATGTGGTGTAGGACATGTGTTGTGGGACATGTGTTGTAGGACATGGGGTGTAGGACATGGGGCGTAGGACATGTGTTGTGGGACATGAGGTGTAGGACATGGGGTGTAGGACATGGGGTGTAGGACATGTGTTGTAGGACATGGGGTGTAGGACATGTGTTGTGGGACATGGGGTGTAGGACATGGGATGTAGGACATGTGTTGTAGGGCATGATGGAGCGTAGGACATGTGTTGTAGGACATGTGTTGTAGGACATGTGTTGTGGGACATGGGGTGTAGGACATAAGTGTTGGTAGAAGTGAATTCATATACAGCCAGAAGGAAGTTGTAAAAAGTTGTGTTTACTTTGGCTCTAAGCATAGAAACTGAGGTAAATGTCAATTAAAACATGGACTTCTACATTTTGTTGAACACAACAGTGGCACATTTTCAAACTGACCAGTAAGATGAAACAAAAACACTTCCCACTAAGATGACAAAAGCACTGACCACTAAGATGACAAAAGCACTTCCCACTAAGATGACAAAAGCACTGCCCACTAAGATGACAAAAGCACTGCCCACTAAGATGACAAAAACACTTCCCACTTAGATGACAAAAGCACTGCCCACTAAGATGACAAAAGCACTGCCCACTAAGATGACAAAAGCACTTCCCACTAAGATGACAAAAGCACTGCCCACTAAGATGACAAAAGCACTGACCACTTAGATGACTAAAGCACTGACCAGCAAGCCAAGAATTTTGGTCTCCACTTGAACATGGTTCTCCGTCTCCTCCCCATCTGTCAGCTGCAAGAGTTTCATGAAGAGTTCAAGGCCACCCTCTGTCAGGAAGACGTTACATGTTGATGGGGCCTCATCTGGGGAAACATGGCTTTTAAAAGATCACATCATAACTAATGGTGGTGGGTGAGAGGGGTGGTGGTGGGGAGAGGGGGGAGAGGGGTGGTGGTGGGGAGAGGGGTGGAGACGGGGAGAGGGGTGGAGACAGGGAGAGGGGTGGTGGTGGGGAGAGGGGTGGAGACGGGGAGAGGGGTGGAGACGGGGAGAGGGGTGGTGGTGGGGAGAGGGGTGGAGACGGGGAGAGGGGTGGAGACGGGGAGAGGGGTGGTGGTGGGGAGAGGGGTGGAGACGGGGAGAGGGGTGGTGGTGGGGAGAGGGGGGAGAGGGGTGGAGACGGGGAGAGGGGTGGAGACGGGGAGAGGGAAGGTGGTGGGGAGAGGGGTGGAGACGGGGAGAGGGGTGGAGACGGGGAGAGGGGTGGTGGTGGGGAGAGGGGGGAGAGGGGTGGAGACGGGGAGAGGGGTGGAGACGGGGAGAGGGGTGGTGGTGGGGAGAGGGGGGAGAGGGGTGGAGACGGGGAGAGGGGTGGAGACGGGGAGAGGGATGCTTCTGGGAATTATTAGTTTGAACTACGTTCCTCACATGTAGGGTGAGTTTGGTTGGCGTGAGATAGCTTACCTGCAGGTTGAGGCAGCTTACCTGCAGGTTGAGGCAGCTTACCTGCAGGTTGAGGCAGCTTACCTGCAGGTTGAGGCAGCTTACCTGCAGGTTGAGGCAGCTTACCTGTCAGATACCAGAGTGCACTTAGAGTAAATCTGGCAACTTACCTGTAAGATTCCAGAGTGCACTTAGAGTAAATCTGGCAACTTACCTGTAAGATTCCAGAGTGCACTTAGAGTAAATCTGAGTGTGATATCAAGCTCATGATTGACCAGTCTCTCTTCCACCAGCATCAACAGCTTCTTCATGTAGCGAGCCTTGGCCCCAAGTATAGTGGTCTGTTCTGTTGAGATCTGTACACACACATCATGAGATCTCAAACATGTACACACGCATCATGAGATCTCAAACATGTACACACACATCATGAGATCTCAAACATGTACACACACATCATGTCATCTCAAACATGTACACACATCATGAGATCTCAAACATGTACACACACATCATGAGATCTCAAACATGTACACACATCATGAGATCTCAAACATGTACAAATCCAAATCATGAGATCTCAAACATGTACACACAGCATGAGATCTCAAACATGTACAAATCCAAATCATGAGATCTCAAACATGTACACACATCATGAGATCTCAAACATGTACAAATCCAAATCATGAGATCTCAAACATGTACACACATCATGAGATCTCAAACATGTACACACGCATCATGAGATCTCAAACATGTACACACACATCATGAGATCTCAAACATGTACACACATCATGAGATCTTAAAAATGAAATACAACCAAACACAAGTTACCACAACAAATTTTATCCAAACTTGGGCCAAAAAGTACGTGGCAAATTGGGCCATTATAGTACGTGGCAACTTGGGCCATTATAGTACGTGGCAACTTGGGCCATAAAGTACGTGGCAACTTGGGCCATTATAGTATGTGGCAACTTGGGCCATAAAGTACGTGGCAACTTGGGCCATTATAGTACGTGGCAACTTGGGCCATTATAGTACGTGGCAACTTGGGCCATATAGTACGTGGCAACTTGGGCCATAAAGACAAATCTTCAAGTCTTACAACCAGTCTTGTCCATCACTTGGTCCTGAAGGTTTTCTATCCCAAAACTTCAAGTTTGATCTCAATACTTTTTTGTGTGGGTTATATACCTGGGCAAATAATATACTAATCTAATATGCCCACGCAACTAATATACCCAGGCAACTAAAATGCTATCTAATATTCCTGGGCAACTAATATACTAATCTAATATGCCCAGGCAACTAATATACTAATCTTATATTCCCAGGCAACTAATATAATAATCTAATATGCCCAGGCAACTAATATACTAATCTTATATTCCCAGGCAACTAATATACTAATCTAATATTCCCAGGCAACTAATATAATAATCTAATATGCCCAGGCAACTAATATACTAATCTAAAATGCCCAGGCAACTAATATACTAATCTAATATGCCCAGGCAACTAATATAATAATCTAATATGCCCAGGCAACTAATATACTAATCTTATATTCCCAGGCAACTAATATACTAATCTAATATTCCCAGGCAACTAATATAATAATCTAATATGCCCAGGCAACTAATATACTAATCTAAAATGCCCAGGCAACTAATATACTAATCTTATATTCCCAGGCAACTAATATACTAATCTAATATGCCCAGGCAACTAATATACTAATCTTATATTCCCAGGCAACTAATATACTAATCTAATATTCCCAGGCAACTAATATAATAATCTAATATGCCCAGGCAACTTATATAATAATCTAATATGCCCAGGCAACTAATATAATAATCTAATATGCCCAGGCAACTAATATACTAATCTAAAATGCCCAGGCAACTAATATACTAATCTTATATTCCCAGGCAACTAATATACTAATCTAATATGCCCAGGCAACTAATATACTAATCTAAAATGCCCAGGCAACTAATATACTAATCTTATATTCCCAGGCAACTAATATACTAATCTAATATGCCCAGGCAACTAATATACTAATCTAATATTCCCGGGCAACTAATATACTAATCTAATATGCCCAGGCAACTAATATACTAATCTAATATTCCCGGGCAACTAATATACTAATCTAATATGCTTAGGCAACTAATATACTAATCTAATATGCCCAGGCAACTAATATACTAATCTAATATTCCCAGGCAACTAATATACTAATCTAATATGCCCAGGCAACTAATATACTAATCTTATATTCCCAGGCAACTAATATACTAATCTAATATTCCCAGGCAACTAATATAATAATCTAATATGCCCAGGCAACTTATATAATAATCTAATATGCCCAGGCAACTAATATAATAATCTAATATGCCCAGGCAACTAATATACTAATCTAAAATGCCCAGGCAACTAATATACTAATCTTATATTCCCAGGCAACTAATATACTAATCTAATATGCCCAGGCAACTAATATACTAATCTAAAATGCCCAGGCAACTAATATACTAATCTTATATTCCCAGGCAACTAATATACTAATCTAATATGCCCAGGCAACTAATATACTAATCTAATATTCCCGGGCAACTAATATACTAATCTAATATGCCCAGGCAACTAATATACTAATCTAATATTCCCGGGCAACTAATATACTAATCTAATATGCTTAGGCAACTAATATACTAATCTAATATGCCCAGGCAACTAATATACTAATCTAATATTCCTGGGCAACTAATATACTAATCTAAAATGCCCAGGCAACTAATATACTAATCTTATATTCCCAGGCAACTAATATACTAATCTAATATTCCCGGGCAACTAATATACTAATCTAATATGCCTAGGCAACTAATATAATAATCTAATATGCCCAGGCAACTAATATACTAATCTAATATTCCCGGGCAACTAATATACTAATTTAATATGCCCAGGCAACTAATATACTAATCTAATATGCCCAGGCAACTAATATACTAATCTAATATGCCCAGGCAACTAATATACTAATCTAATATTCCCGGGCAACTAATATACTAATCTAATATGCACAGGCAACTAATATACCCACGCAACTAATATGCTATCTAATATTAATATACCTGGGCAAACTAATATACCAGTCTAATATACCCAGGCAATTAATATACTAACTAATATTGGGCACATGAAGTTCATATGTCCCAAGGACAACTAAAATACCTAGGCAACTAATATACCAGTCTATTATACCTCAGCAACTAAAATATGTCTAATATGCCCAGGCAACTAATATGCCCAGGTAAATAATAAACCAGTCTAATATACACAGGCAACTAATAAAACAGTCTAATATACCCAGGCAACTAATATGCCCAGGCAACTAATATGCCCAGGCAACTAATATGCCCAGGCAACTAATATACCCAAGTAACTAATATAACAGTCTAATATGCCCAGGCTACTACTAATATGCCCGGGCAAGTAATATGCCCAGGCAACTAATATACCCAGACAACTAATACACCAGCCTAATATGCCCAGGCAAGTAATATGCCCAAACAACTTATATGCACAGGCAAATAATAAGCCCTGGCAACTAATATGCACAGGCAACTAATATGCCCTGGCAACTAATATGCCCTGGCAACTAATATGCCAGGCAACTAATATACCTGGGTATATTAGTAGTATGACAGGTAGAAGCCTACAAAAAAAAAAAGTTTACCTTAGCAGCAAGTATGGAGCAAATGGCCACAGACATGCGGTTCATTGAAGCATCATCAAACTGGCACATACATTCCATGACAAGTCTGGAGCAGCGGAAACGATCAAAGTTCTGGGACAGAAAGATTTTGTGTAGTTTTTTAAAGTTCTGGGACAGAAAGATTTTGTGTAGTTTTTTAAAGTTCTGGGACAGAAAGATTTTGTGTAGTTTTTTAAAGTTTTGGGACAGAAAGATTTTATGTAGTTTTTTAAAGTTCTGGGACAGAAAGATTTTGTGTAGTTTTTCAAAGTTCTGGGACAGAAAGATTTTGTGTAGTTTTTTAAAGTTCTGGGACAGAAAGATTTTGTGTAGTTTTTTAAAGTTCTGGGACAGAAAGATTTTGTGTAGTTTTTTAAAGTTCTGGGACAGAAAGATTTTGTGTAGTTTTTCAAAGTTCTGGGACAGAAAGATTTTGTGTAGTTTTTTAAAGTTCTGGGACAGAAAGATTTTGTGAAGTCACTTAAAGTTCTGGGACAGAAAGATTTTGTGAAGTTTTTAAAGTTCTGGGACAGAAAGATTTTGTGAAGTCACTTAAAGTCCTGGGACAGAAAGATTTTGTGTAGTTTTTTAAAGTTCTGGGACAGAAAGATTTTGTGAAGTTTTTTAAAGTTCTGGGACAGAAAGATTTTGTGAAGTTTTTTAAAGTTCTGGGACAGAAAGATTTTATGTAGTTTTTTAAAGTTCTGGGACAGAAAGATTTTGTGTAGTTTTTCAAAGTTCTGGGACAGAAAGATTTTGTGTAGTTTTTTAAAGTTCTGGGACAGAAAGATTTTGTGTAGTTTTTTAAAGTTCTGGGACAGAAAGATTTTGTGTAGTTTTTTAAAGTTCTGGGACAGAAAGATTTTGTGTAGTTTTTCAAAGTTCTGGGACAGAAAGATTTTGTGTAGTTTTTTAAAGTTCTGGGACAGAAAGATTTTGTGAAGTCACTTAAAGTTCTGGGACAGAAAGATTTTGTGAAGTTTTTTAAAGTTCTGGGACAGAAAGATTTTGTGAAGTCACTTAAAGTCCTGGGACAGAAAGATTTTGTGTAGTTTTTTAAAGTTCTGGGACAGAAAGATTTTGTGAAGTTTTTTAAAGTTCTGGGACAGAAAGATTTTGTGAAGTTTTTTAAAGTTCTGGGACAGAAAGATTTTGTGAAGTCACTTAAAGTCCTGGGACAGAAAGATTTTGTGTAGTTTTTTAAAGTTCTGGGACAGAAAGATTTTGTGTAGTTTTTTTTTTAGAAAATTGTGTGCATACTTTGGCAAGTAGTGCTGTATGCGGCTATGTCAAAGTGTAGCACTAAAGTAGGATGTCCTGTCAAAGTGTAGCACTAAAGTAGGATGTCCTGTCAAAGTGTAGCACTAAAGTAGGATGTCCTGACAAAGTGTAGAACTAAAGTAGGATGTCCTGACAAAGTGTAGAACTAAAGTAGGTGACAATAAGTTTTTATTACCACTTCCTGCAGGATTCTGTCACTGCAAATGGTGAGCAGGGCATTTTTTTGTAGCTGAAACACCATAAGGTATAACTAGTCAGTTTTTAGAAGATAAACAATGTTAACATAACTTGTATCACCACCTGGCCCTAGTCACCACCTGGCCCTAGTCACCACCTGGCCTTACAGTCACCACCTGTCCCCCCCTAAAGTCACCACCTGCCCCCCTAAAGTCACCACCTGCCCCCCCCCCCCACCCTAAAGTCACCACCTGCCCCCCCCTAAAGTCACCACTTGCCCCCCTAGTCACCACCTGCCCCCCTACAGTCACCACCTGCCCCCCCCCCCCCCTAAAGTCACCACCTGCCCCCCTAAAGTCACCACCTGCCCCCCTAAAGTCACCACCTGCCCCCCAAAAGTCACCACCTGCCCCCCGAAAGTCACCACTTGCCCCCTACAGTCACCACCTGCCCCCCCTAAAGTCACCACCTGCCCCCCCTAAAGTCACCACCTGCCCCCCAAAAGTCACCACCTGCCCCCCCTACAGTCACCACCTGTCCCCCCTACAGTCACCACCTGCCCCCCCCACTACAGTCACCACCTGGCCCCTAGTCACCACCTACCCCTAGTCACCACTTGCCCCTACAGTCACCACCTGCCATTAGTCACCACCACCCCCCTACAGTCACCACCTGCCCCCCTAAAGTCACCACCTGCCCCCCCCCCTAAAGTCAGCACCTGCCCCCTAAAGTCACCACCTGCCCCCCCTAAAGTCACCACCTGCCCCCCTAAAGTCACCACCTGCCCCCCTAAACTTAAAGTCACCACTTGCCCCCCCCCTACAGTCACCACCTGGCCCCTAGTCACCACTTGCCCCTACAGTCACCACCTGCCATTACAGTCACCACCACCCCCCTACAGTCACCACCTGCCCCCCTAAAGTCACCACCTGCCCCCCCCTAAAGTCAGCACCTGCCCCCCTAAAGTCACCACTTGCCCCCCTAGTCACCACCTGCCCCTAGTCACCACTTGCCCCTACAGTCACCACCTGCCATTACAGTCACCACCTGCCCCGCTACAGTCACCACCTGCCCCCCTAAAGTCACCACCTGCCCCCCCTAAAGTCACCACCTGCCCCCCCTAAAGTCACCACCTGCCCCCCCCCCTAAAGTCACCACCTGCCCCCCCTAAAGTCACCACCTGCCCCTACAGTCACCTGTTGGTGGTTGGGGAAGTTCTCCATGGCTGTGAGGGTCAGGTCGACACACTTGGACAGCATGACAGGGTGGATCTTCAAGCCCACGTCTCCGCGGGTCAGGTTGTAAAGGCAGGCAGTCGCAGCCATCTGCACAGAGAGAATCTTGGGGTGGCTCTTCATGGCTGGTAGCACCAGCTGTAGACACAGAGAAGGTAGCCCCGGCTATTAACATACACAAGGTAGCACCAGCTATTAACATACACAAGGTAGCACCAGCTATTAACAAACAACAAGGTAGCACCAGCTATTAACATACACAAGGTAGCACCAGCTATAAACATACACAAGGTAGCACCAGCTATTACTATACACAAGGTAGAACCAGCTATTAACATACACAAAGTAGCACCGGCTATTAACATACACAAGGTAGCACCAGCTATTAACATACACAAAGTAGCCCCAGCTATTAACATACACAAGGTAGCACCAGCTATTAACATACACAAGGTAGCACCAGGTGTTAACACACCACCTGTTAACATACACAAGGTAGCTCCAACTGTTAACATACACAAGGTAGCCCCAGCTATTAACAGATATAAGGTAGCCCCAGCTATTAACAGATATAAGGTAGCCCCAGCTATTAACATCATACAGAAGGTAGCTCCAACTGTTAACAGATATAAGGTAGCTCCAACTGTTAACAGATATAAGGTAGCTCCAACTGTTAACACACATGAGGTAAGCCAGCTGTTAACAGATATTAGGTAGCTCCAACTGTTAACAGATATAAGGTAGCTCCAACTGTTAACAGATATAAGGTAGCTCCAACTGTTAACAGATATAAGGTAGCTCCAACTGTTAACACACATGAGGTAAGCCAGCTGTTAACAGATATTAGGTAGCTCCAACTGTTAACAGATATTAGGTAGCTCCAACTGTTAACAGATATAAGGTAGCTCCAACTGTTAACAGATATAAGGTAGCTCCAGCTGTTAACAGATATTAGGTAGCACCAACTGTTAACAGATATAAGGTAGCTCCAACTGTTAACAGATATAACGTAGCTCCAACTGTTAACAGATATAAGGTAGCTCCAACTGTTAACAGATATAAGGTAGTACAAAAAAGTACCTTGATAATGTCTTCCCTTGGCTCCTCTGTCCCCTGGGATAGATTGAAGAGTTTAAACAGAGCCTTCTGCATGTAGGTGCTGCGTGGTAAGTATCTGCGCAGTGACTCCATTATCTGGGCTTCTGTTGACTCACCAGATATCTGAAAGTTCATTCACAGTCTGCTAGTGACCTAACAAATGTTCAGGTCAGTCTGTCAGTGACCTAACAAACCTTGAGGTCAGTCTGTCAGTGACCTAACAAACCTTGAGGTCAGTCTGTCAGTGACCTAACAAACCTTGAGGTCAGTCTGTCAGTGACCTAACAAACCTTGAGGTCAGTCTGTCAGTGACCTAACAAACCTTGAGGTCAGTCTGACAGTGACCTAACAAACCTTCAGGTCAGTCTGTCAGTGACCTAACAAACCTTGAGGTCAGTCTGTCAGTGACCTAACAAACCTTGAGGTCAGTCTGTCAGTGACCTAACAAACCTTGAGGTCAGTCTGTCAGTGACCTAACAAACCTTCAGGTCAGTCTGTCAGTGACCTAACAAATGTTCAGGTCAGTCTGTCAGTGACCTAACAAACCTTGAGGTCAGTCTGTCAGTGACCTAACAAACCTTGAGGTCAGTCTGTCAGTGACCTAACAAACCTTGAGGTCAGTGTGTCAGTGACCTAACAAACCTTGAGGTCAGTCTGTCAGTGACCTAACAAATGTTCAGGTCAGTCTGTCAGTGACCTAACAAACCTTGAGGTCAGTCTGTCAGTGACCTAACAAACCTTGAGGTCAGTCTGTCAGTGACCTAACAAACCTTGAGGTCAGTGTGTCAGTGACCTAACAAACCTTGAGGTCAGTGTGTCAGTGACCTAACAAACCTTGAGGTCAGTCTGTAAGTGACCTAACAAACCTTGAGGTCAGTCTGTCAGTGACCTAACAAACCTTGAGGTCAGTCTGTCAGTGACCTAACAAACCTTGAGGTCAGTCTGTAAATGACCTAACAAACCTGAGGTCAGTATGTCAGTGACCAAGCAAGTGTGAGCATGGCTGTACTCACCTTCAGATCAGCATGTGAACGGTGCCAACTACTTTCAGGCTGGAACATCTCATATTCTGATATTGACGTCAAGGCTAGGCCAAAGAAATTTAATTTTGGATGTTTTTCTAGAAAAGACCTGAGGAAAAGAAGTTTACTAATGTAAATGACAATGTAACTGACAATGTAAGTGACAATGTAAATGACAATGTAAGTGACAATGTAAGTGACAATGTAAGTGACAATGTAACTGACAATGTAAATGACAATGTGAGTGCCAATGTAAATGACAATGTAATTGACAATGTAAAAATGTAATTGACAACTACATAGAGCTTTTGAATTGCTGTTGCTATCACAGCATCAGTGTCAAACAGTATTAGTTAGTTACTACCTAACTGGCATCTAGAACTAGATCTGTATATTAGGCCTTATAGCCTACTTGCTAACCATCCTGTATAGTGTGTGGTCTCAGAAGAAAGAATGACACATTATTTGAAGATGATTTCATCAATACTTTACCAATCATGAATAGGTAACTTGATTTGTTGTTGCTATAACAGGTTGGGGAACTCATGACGCCAATGATTTACATTAACTAGATTTGTTGTTGCTATAACAGGCTGGGGAACTCATGACGCCAATGATTTACATGAACTAGATTTGTTGTTGCTATAACAGGCTGGGGAACTCATGACGCCAATGATTTACATTAACTAGATTTGTTGTTGCTATAACAGGCTGGGGGACCAATGATTTACATTAACTAGATTTGTTGTTGCTATAACAGGCTAGGGGACTCATGACGCCAATGATTTACATGAACTAGATTTGTTGTTGCTATAACAGGCTGGGGAACTCATGACGCCAATGATTTACATTAACTAGATTTGTTGTTGCTATAACAGGCTGGGGAACTCATGACGCCAATGATTTACATTAACTAGATTTGTTGTTGCTATAACAGGCTGGGGGACCAATGATTTACATTAACTAGATTTGTTGTTGCTATAACAGGCTGGGGGACCAATGATTTACATTAACTAGATTTGTTGTTGCTATAACAGGCTAGGGGACTCATGACGCCAATGATTTACATTAACTAGATTTGTTGTTGCTATAACAGGCTGGGGGACCAATGATTTACATTAACTAGATTTGTTGTTGCTATAACAGGCTGGGGAACTCATGACGCCAATGATTTACATTAACTAGATTTGTTGTTGCTATAACAGGCTGGGGGACCAATGATTTACATTAACTAGATTTGTTGTTGCTATAACAGGCTAGGGGACTCATGACGCCAATGATTTACATTAACTAGATTTGTTGTTGCTATAACAGGCTGGGGAACTCATGACGCCAATGATTTACATTAACTAGATTTGTTGTTGCTATAACAGGCTGGGGGACCAATGATTTACATTAACTAGATTTGTTGTTGCTATAACAGGCTGGGGGACCAATGATTTACATTAACTAGATTTGTTGTTGCTATAACAGGCTGGGGGACTCATGACGCCAATGATTTACATTAACTAGATTTGTTGTTGCTATAACAGGCTGGGGGACCAATGATTTACATTAACTAGATTTGTTGTTGCTATAACAGACTAGGGAACTCATGACGCCAATGATTTACATTAACTAGATTTGTTGTTGCTATAACAGGCTGGGGGACCAATGATTTACATTAACTAGATTTGTTGTTGCTATAACAGGCTGGGGAACTCATGACGCCAATGATTTACATTAACTAGATTTGTTGTTGCTATAACAGGCTGGGGGACCAATGATTTACATTAACTAGATTTGTTGTTGCTATAACAGGCTAGGGGACTCATGACGCCAATGATTTACATTAACTAGATTTGTTGTTGCTATAACAGGCTGGGGAACTCATGACGCCAATGATTTACATTAACTAGATTTGTTGTTGCTATAACAGGCTGGGGGACCAATGATTTACATTAACTAGATTTGTTGTTGCTATAACAGGCTGGGGGACCAATGATTTACATTAACTAGATTTGTTGTTGCTATAACAGGCTGGGGGACCAATGATTTACATTAACTAGATTTGTTGTTGCTATAACAGGCTGGGGAACTCATGACGCCAATGATTTACATGAACTAGATTTGTTGTTGCTATAACAGGCTGGGGGACCAATGATTTACATTAACTAGATTTGTTGTTGCTATAACAGGCTGGGGGACCAATGATTTACATTAACTAGATTTGTTGTTGCTATAACAGGCTGGGGGACCAATGATTTACATTAACTAGATTTGTTGTTGCTATAACAGGCTGGGGGACTCATGACGCCAATGATTTACATTAACTAGATTTGTTGTTGCTATAACAGGCTGGGGGACCAATGATTTACATTAACTAGATTTGTTGTTGCTATAACAGACTAGGGAACTCATGACGCCAATGATTTACATTAACTAGATTTGTTGTTGCTATAACAGGCTGGGGGACCAATGATTTACATTAACTAGATTTGTTGTTGCTATAACAGGCTGGGGAACTCATGACGCCAATGATTTACATTAACTAGATTTGTTGTTGCTATAACAGGCTAGGGGACCAATGATTTACATTAACTAGATTTGTTGTTGCTATAACAGGCTGGGGGACCAATGATTTACATTAACTAGATTTGTTGTTGCTATAACAGGCTGGGGGACCAATGATTTACATTAACTAGATTTGTTGTTGCTATAACAGGCTAGGGGACTCATGACGCCAATGATTTACATTAACTAGATTTGTTGTTGCTATAACAGGCTGGGGAACTCATGACGCCAATGATTTACATTAACTAGATTTGTTGTTGCTATAACAGGCTAGGGGACCAATGATTTACATTAACTAGATTTGTTGTTGCTATAACAGGCTAGGGGACTCATGACGCCAATGATTTACATTAACTAGATTTGTTGTTGCTATAACAGGCTGGGGAACTCATGACGCCAATGATTTACATTAACTAGATTTGTTGTTGCTATAACAGGCTGGGGGACCAATGATTTACATTAACTAGATTTGTTGTTGCTATAACAGGCTGGGGGACCAATGATTTACATGAACTAGATTTGTTGTTGCTATAACAGGCTGGGGAACTCATGACGCCAATGATTTACATTAACTAGATTTGTTGTTGCTATAACAGGCTGGGGGACCAATGATTTACATTAACTAGATTTGTTGTTGCTATAACAGGCTGGGGAACTCATGACGCCAATGATTTACATTTGTTGTTGCTATAACAATCTGAAACTATTTTGGATTCTTTGTTTTGCTTTCCAAGCTCCTGTGTCCTGACTTGCTATGTAAAGGTAATGTACCAGCTAGTAGTAGGCCATATGAACAAAGTAGTGGATTGATCATATTTAGTTGTGTAACTAATAAGTAAACATTGATCAATATAATCAACTTGTGTAACTTAGAAGTAAACACTGAAATGAAAACAAATAACAAAGAAAAAAAATTTAAACGAGATTTTAAAAAAAAAAATACGTTTTCAATTTTTTTTTTACTTAGCGGAACAAGCTTTGCTGAAAGCGGAATGGCGGAGCGACATAATTTTTTAAAATTTAGCCGAACAATTCCACTATTGGCAGGCATGCCTAAATGTTGTTACAACGAATATTACATAGTAAAAATGTGATACACTACCAGGGTTGTGCTCTAGTAAAATGTGATACATTATGAGCGTTGTGCTCTGATAAAATTTGATACATTGTGAGGGTTGTTCTCTAGTAAAATGTGATACATTGTGAGAGTTGTGCCCTAGTAAAATCTGTCAAATGTGATACATTGTGAGGGTTGTGCTCTAGTAAAATCTGTCAAATGTGATACATTGTGAGGGTTGTGCTCTAGTAAAATGTGATACATTGTGAGGGTTGTGCTCTAGTAAAATGTGATACATTGTGAGGGTTGTGCTCTAGTAAAATGTGATACATTGTGAGAGTTGTGCTCTAGTAAAATCTGTCAAATGTGATACATTGTGAGGGTTATGCTCTAGTAAAATCTGTCAAATGTGATACATTGTGAGGGTTGTGCCCTAGTAAAATCTGTCAAATGTGATACATTGTGAGGGTTGTGCTCTAGTAAAATGTGATACATTATGAGGGTTGTGCTCTAGTAAAATGTGATACATTATGAGAGTTGTGCCCTAGTAAAATCTGTCAAATGTGATACATTGTGAGGGTTGTGCTCTAGTAAAATGTGATACATTGTGAGGGTTGTGCTCTAGTAAAATGTGATACATTATGAGAGTTGTGCCCTAGTAAAATCTGTCAAATGTGATACATTGTGAGGGTTGTGCTCTAGTAAATAGTTATACATTGTGAGGGTTGTGCTCTAGTAAAATGTGATACATTATGAGAGTTGTGCCCTAGTAAAATCTGTCAAATGTGATACATTGTGAGGGTTGTGCTCTAGTAAATAGTTATACATTATGAGGGTTGTGCTCTAGTAAAATGTGATACATTGTGAGAGTTGTGCTCTAGTAAAATGTGATACATTGTGAGGGTTGTGCTCTAGTAAATAGTTATACATTATGAGGGTTGTGCTCTAGTAAAATGTGATACATTGTGAGGGTTGTGCTCTAGTAAAATCTGTCAAATGTGATACATTGTGAGAGTTGTGCTCTAGTAAAATCTGTCAAATGTGATACATTGTGAGAGTTGTGCTCTAGTAAAATCTGTCAAATGTGATACATTGTGAGGGTTGTGCTCTAGTAAAATGTGATACATTGTGAGGGTTGTGCTCTAGTAAAATGTGATACATTGTGAGAGTTGTGCCCTAGTAAAATCTGTCAAATGTGATACATTGTGAGGGTTATGCTCTAGTAAAATCTGTCAAATGTGATACATTGAGAGGGTTGTGCTCTAATAAAATTTGATACATTATGAGAGTTGTGCTCTAGTAAAATCTGTCAAATGTGATACATTATGAGGGTTGTGCTCTAGTAAAATGTGATACATTATGAGGGTTGTGCTCTAGTAAAATGTGATACATTATGAGGGTTGTGCTCTAGTAAAATGTGATACATTGTGAGGATTGTGCTCTAGTAAAGTGTGATACATTGTGAGGATTGTGCTCTAGTAAAATGTGATACATTAAGAGAGTTGTGCCCTAGTAAAATCTGTAATATGTGATACATTATGAGGGTTGTGCTCTAGTAAAATGTGATACATTGTGAGAGTTGTGCTCTAGTAAAATGTGATACATTGTGAGGGTTGTGCTCTAGTAAAATGTGATACATTATGAGAGTTGTGCCCTAGTAAAATCTGTCAAATGTGATACATTGTGAGAGTTGTGCTCTAGTAAAATCTGTCAAATGTGATACATTGTGAGGGTTGTGCTCTAGTAAAATGTGATACATTGTGAGGGTTGTGCTCTAGTAAAATGTGATACATTGTGAGGGTTGTGCTCTAATAAAATTTGATACATTAGAGTTGTGCTCTAGTAAAATGTGATACATTATTAGAGTTATGCTCTAGTAAAATCTGTCAAATGTGATACATTGTGAGGGTTGTGCCCTAGTAAAATGTGATACATTGTGAGGGTTGTGATATAAAGCTTATTAGGTGACTTACTCTACAATACATGGTGCAACGTCAGCTGCCCCAGAAACATCAACGGAGATTAAGTTTGGGTTGGTCTCACACCTAGACAGGTATTCTGGCACCTGGAAACGTTCTGTGGCCACCGAGGTGATGATAGACTCGCGAGTGGCATCGTTAGAGACATCCAACTGGACCAGGTGCACCAGGTCACTGACCACACCGATGGGGTCAGAGTTCTTGTGCAGCTGCAGGTTGTACATGCTCAGGGACTTCAAGCGGTTTTTACATTTCCTCAGAGGTGAGATGTCATTGATTTCAGTGCAAGAAATATCTAACACCTCTAGACAAGGGAGATCTTCAGCAATTATTTCCAGTCCGTGGCGGTTGAACTCTGTGAAACTGACGTTGAGTGTGTGGAGGTTTCTTAGTTTGGACAGGGAGACAACTACACAAAATTTGGAGTTGTTGAGGAAAGTGTTTCTGCTGACATTCAGGATGCGAAGATTGGACAGTGTCCATTCTCCAAGACAACCAATGATGTCATTGACTGTGACATCTTTAATGCCTGTCACCTCCAGCTGAGACACCCTGTGACCTTTAAGAATTCTGAGTCCCCTACTAGTCACTGGTGCATTGTGGATGCTGACATGGCGCAGGGCAGTGACGCTGGGATCAAATAATGACAGCGACTCATCATTGAGCTTGCCCTTTTCACTGAGTGTAGAGAGCAGCTGGTCAGAGAGGTTGGCATGGAAACAGGTCTCAGGGTCTTTAAACACCATCTTGGTTTGTTTAGGGTCTGCTGTGGCAGCCGGCTGCACCTCGCACAGTGCAGACAGATTGTCACATATAAAGTCCACGCAGCAGATCTGCAGGCTCATTGGTGTGTCGTACATTTTTTAAATAATGGCCGACAAGTTGGGCTGGTAGGGACCCTGGAAAAAATAGACATTTAACATTAGCTTCAACAATATATGACATAAGATTTTTACAAGAAGACATTATTATTGTGTTATATTTTTTAATAAAAAAATTCTTATGGTTTAAGTTTAGTTTAGCATTACAATACATAGCTGAAACATAACTGATCAATTAAAAATTGTCTATTTTATTTAGCCTAGTATTTACTAGACCTAGTAGAGATCTAGATCTAGGGCAAACTCCACGCTTTTCTGAAAAATCTAGTCTAGAATTCTTGAATCTAGAAAAGATTCTAGATCAAAAGGTCTAGATCTAGAATCTAGATAGATCTATATTATTAAATTATTAATAATAGTAATGACAAGTACAAGTTCTACAAGTAAGCCTAATACTAATCCTAATGTCTTTTTTATTGGGTAATCTATCGTTTTAGGTACGTAAAATCGGCAGAGACTAGTAACGTAAAAAAAGGTGACTTTTAAATTTTAGTAATTATTTCACATTTTTAAGAGGATTTACGTTTTGAAAGTTACAAAAATGTTTCAAAGTTTCATTAAAGTTCCTGTTTTTAAACAATTCTATTAAAACTTTTCAGTAAAAAAAAAAAATACTAGCAATGTTTTCATCTGATGCAACCAAGCTCATTTACTTTAGCAGCCATCTTGTATAAGTTTTTTTTGTGGTAAAATTATAGTTAGAGATTCAGGGGAAAACACTTTAACTTACAGATGGCCGCTTTTTATTTAGCAAATCCTGCTCGCAAAACTGCTGTTTAGAGTTAATTTCTTGCCTATAGGCTATTGAGATATATTTAAATATTTAGCCATTAATTTTGGTTTATTATTCAGTTATCTATAAGGATCTGACACAAATATCAAAATATTGAATATAGCATTTTATAGGCCCTACTTCTATTAAAAAGCCTTAACAATGAAGCAACTTTTTCGCACATTACAAGCTTCAGATGATTCTATGTACCTAAAAAGATAGGTTACCTTTTAATACTTTATTGTTATATTCAATTGTGACATTATGCCTACTTAATTATTTAATTAATTTATTAGGTCTACATCTAGATCTAGATCTACTATATTATTAAATTATAGTCTAGATATGTGTGATATAGTGACAGTCTAGTCTAATCTAATCTTAATCAAGATATAGATCTAGTAGACTAGTAGTAATCTAGATCTTGAGTTTAGAACCTAAAGTTTATCTGTCTAGACCAGGGGTTCCCAACCTTTTTTTTTACTCTAGAGCACATTCTAAAATATCTGTAGGGTGGCGGGCACCACCTATTTTAAATCGACAAACTCCTTCCATAACTTGTCATTTTCCCATAATTTATTTTCTAATAGTCATAATGTATTAATAAATAATAAACAAAAATGTTTCAAAATAATAAAATTATTTGGCATTTTTTTTTCAAATTGCATAATCACAGAGAAATGTATTTACAAAATGTAGGCCTAAATAGTAAATAGTGTATCTGGCTCGCCGCTAAACAAATTGGGACAAGTAGGGCCTATCGAACAAATTTAATAAACCTAGGCAGTCAAAAAAAAATAAAATTAAAACTGTAGGCCTAACAAATGAATAAAAATAAATCATATTTTAAAATAGATCTAGATTCTAGATGTAGATCTAGATCTAGATCTAGATCTAATGTTTATGAAAAAAATTCTGTCTCTGTCGAATAGTGAGAGGCTGGCGGTAATCTATCGTTTTGGGTACGTAAAATCGCCCGCGGCTATTAATGTACGAAAACGTTACCTCATTGTCAAGGCTTTAATAGAAGTTTATTGTCATACTTTTGTGTCAAATATTATAGATAAATGAATAATAAACCTAAATCAATGGCAAAATATATCGATATAGGCCAGAAATTAACTTTAAACAGCAGTGTCTGAGAGCAAGGTTTGCTATATAAACAGCAGCCATTCGTAAAATAGAGTGGCTTCCCCCTGAATCTGGCGCTAAAAGCTTATAAAAATAAAACTTAGACAAGATGGCTGCTATAGTAAATGAGCATGGTTGCATCTGTTGGAAACATCGCTAGTCTTCATTTATTACGGAACAGTTTTAATTCAATTGTTTAAAAACAGATACATAAATGAATCAAGGAAACATTTTTGTATTTTTTAATACATAAATCCTCCTCAAAATGTGAAATAATTATTAAAATTTAAGGAGTCACCTGTTTTTCACATTACAAATCGCGGGCGATTTTACGTACCCAAAACGATAGATTACCGGCTGGCAAATTAATCATGCGATCTCTAGAACTAGGATCTAGATATCTAGATTAGATCTTGAATTTTAGTAGGTGAGTGGTCCTAAAAAGACAAGTACTTCAAGTAGATTCTAGATCTAGATAGATCTTCTAGATCTAGATAGAATAGATCTATCTAGATCTATATTCTATTTATTTGACTATTTCTAAGTTAAGTCAGTAATCTAAATCAGACTAAATCACACGTAGACTAGATCTAATATTTGTAATAAAAAGGCTTGAACTTTACCACAAGCAAAATAACAATAAGAGTATTTTATCGTTTATAAAATTATACAGTTGAGTTGCAAAATAGATCGTAGTTCCCACTGAAGTGGTAAAATAATATTGCATTAACTAAAGACAGCCATATTGGCTACACCTGCCATCTACATGTGCCAGATAATTACATAGCTCTAAACTAAAAATTTAAAAATGGATTATTTCCCTTTAACCTTTTTTACCTTTAACATTGACATCTTCGCCTATGAAATATTATTTGTATTTTTAAGTAATAGATGAAAGTTTTAATCGCTCATTTGTATTCATAAAACGTTTACATTGATTCTATGAATATCTAGAGCCAGTGCAACCCGTTTGTAGAAAAAAAATATAGCTTAGCCTGAAAATTTAGGGGTGTTAGGTGTGTTAGAAACACCTCATTAAGAGCGATTTTTTTCACAGATTACTAATGTTGCTGTCACTGGTGTTGCTGTCAATGATGTCACTGTCACTGATGTCACTGATGTCACTGTCACTGATGTCACTGTCACTGATGTCACTGTCACTGATGTCACTGTCACTGATGTCACTGTCACTGATGTCACTGTCACTGATGTCACTGTCACTGATGTCACTGTCACTGATGTCGCTGTCACTGATGTCACTGTCACTGATGTTGCTGTCACTGATGTCACTGTCACTGATGTCACTGTCACTGATGTCACTGTCACTGATGTCAATGATGTCACTGTTACTGATGTTGCTGTCACTGATGTCACTGTCACTGATGTCAATGATGTCACTGTCACTGATGTTGCTGTCACTGATGTCACTGTCACTGATGTCACTGTTACTGATGTCACTGTCACTGATGTTGCTGTCACTGATGTCAATGATGTCACTGTCACTGATGTTGCTGTCACTGATGTCACTGTCACTGATGTCACTGTCACTGATGTCAATGATGTCACTGTCAATGATGTCACTGTTACTGATGTCACTGTCACTGATGTCACTGTCACTGATGTCAATGATATCACTGTCAATGATGTCACTGTTACTGATGTCACTGTCACTGATGTCACTGTCACTGATGTCAATGATGTCACTGTCACTGATGTCACTGTCACTGATGTCAATGATGTCACTGTCACTGATGTCACTGTCACTGATGTCACTGTCACTGATGTCACTGTCACTGATGTCACTGTCACTGATGTCAATGATGTCACTGTCACTGATGTCACTGTCACTGATGTCAATGATGTCACTGTCACTGATGTCACTGTCACTGATGTCACTGTCACTGATGTCACTGTTACTGATGTCACTGTCACTGATGTCACTGTCACTGATGTCACTGTCACTGATGTCACTGTCACTGATGTCACTGTCACTGATGTCACTGTCACTGATGTCACTGTCACTGATGTCACTGTCACTGATGTCACTGTTACTGATGTCACTGTCACTGATGTCACTGTCACTGATGTCACTGTCACTGATGTCACTGTCACTGATGTCACTGTTACTGATGTCACTGTCAATGATGTTGATGTCGATGATTACATTTTTAGACGCCAAAAAGGGCGGTTACCTAATTAGAGGTTACCTAATTAGTTCAGCAGTGGCATAGGCTTGTATATATACATACACATACACAGACCCCAGACCATACACACATATACAGAATTTCTTCCATGCATCTCTTCGGGGGGGGGGCGGTCAACATTTTCCGGGGGTGCGGACACTAGTAAAAGAATATGTTTACTATATAAATTACATCTCGTTCGGGAGGGGGGGGGGGTAGATTTTCTCCGGAGGAGATGCCTGGAAGAAACTGTCTGAACTAGTTTTTAGCCACTGTATCAAAGTTTTATTAGCTTTTTGTATTTTGTGTTTAGAATAGACTGTGTTAGGTGTAGATAGTGTAGATATTATTATTTTAATTTTAACGAGCCTTTGTTTTCATTCAATCTTGTTTTGTAACTCGTTTGTGGTTGTTTGTCTTATTTATATGTTGCTTTCCGCATCGGATCACCCCTAAGGCATATCCGTGTGTTCACAGCATCTTTATATATATATATATATATATATATATATATATATATATATATATATATATATATATACAATACAATACAATACAATACAATACAATACAATACAATACAATACAATACAATACAATACAATACAATACAATACAATACAATACAATACAATACAATACAATACAATACAATACAATACAATACAATACAATACAATACAATACAATACAGTACAGTACAGTACAGTACAGTACAGTACAGTACAGTACAGTACAGTACAGTACAGTACAGTACAGTACAGTACAGTACAGTACAGTACAGTACAGTACAGTACAGTACAGTACAGTACAGTACAGTACAGTACAGTACAGTACAGTACAATACAAAACAATACAATACAATACAATACAATACAATACAATACAATACAATACAATACAATACAATACAATACAATACAATACAATACAATACAATACAATACAATACAATACAATACAATACAATACAATACAATACAATACAATACAATACAATACAATACAATACAATACAATACAATACAATACAATACAATACAATACAATACAATACAATACAATACAATACAATACAATACAATACAATACAATACAATACAATACAATACAATACAATACAATACAATACAATACAATACAATACAATACAATACAATTCAATACAATACAATACAATACAATACAATACAATACAATACAATACAATACAATACAATACAATACAATACAATACAATACAATACAATACAATACAATGCAATACAATACAATACAATACAATCAGAGTTTCTTCCAGACATCTCTTCGGGAGGGCTATGCCCCCCCCCCCCCCCCCCGAAATTTTTTTACCACCCCCCCCCCTCCCCCCCCCCCCCCCCGAACGAAATGAAATTTATATAATTTATATAGAAAATATATACTTTTAGCAGTGTCCGCCCCCCCGAAGAAAGTTTACCGCCCCCCCCCCTGAAAATTTTAAGTGCCCCCCCCCCCCCCCCCGGAGAAAAAAGTCTGGAAGAAACACTGAATACAATACAATATAATATACCCATACACTTACACTTACACATATGGTAAATGTGTCTTTAGAACTGGTCAGTGTGTAATGGAAACGCAACTCATGTGAACAATGGAAGATGTAGACCATAACAAGGCAATAAAAACGGATGTAGACTACACTGACACTGATACTGTATGCTACTTAAAAATGTTGATAAAACGAGATAAGGGAAGTAAACAGACTACTGTGAGAAATGAGTAGCTTATCCAGTGATTTCCCTTAGTTAAAAAAATACCTTCTTGAAATCGTGTGTCATTTGTTGTGGTCTGGGGTCAGTATGTCATTTGTTGTGGTCTGGGGTCAGCGTGTCATTTGTTGTGGTCTGGGGTCAGTGTGTCATTTGTTGTGGTCTGGGGTCAGCGTGTCATTTGTTGTGGTCTGGGGTCAGTGTGTCATTTGTTGTGGTCTGGGGTCAGCGTGTCATTTGTTGTGGTCTGTGGTCAGCGTGTCAGCGTGTCATTTGTTGTGGTCTGGGGTCAGTGTGTCATTTGTTGTGGTCTGGGGTCAGTGTGTCATTTGTTGTGTTCTGGGGTCAGTGTGTCATTTGTTGTGGTCTGGGGTCAGCGTGTCATTTGTTGTGGTCTGGGGTCAGTGTGTCATTTGTTGTGGTCTGGGGTCAGTGTGTCATTTGTTGTGGTCTGGGGTCAGCGTGTCATTTGTTGTGGTCTGGGGTCAGCGTGTCATTTGTTGTGGTCTGGGGTCAGCGTGTCATTTGTTGTGGTCTGGGGTCAGCGTGTCATTTGTTGTGGTCTGGGGTCAGTGTGTCATTTGATGTGGTCTGGGGTCAGTGTGTCATTTGTTGTGGTCTGGGGTCAGCAAGTCATTTGTTGTGGTCTGGGGTCAGCGTGTCATTTGTTGTGGTCTGTGGTCTGCGTGTCAGTGTGTCATTTGTTGTGGTCTGGGGTCAGTGTGTCATTTGTTGTGGTCTGGGGTCAGCGTGTCAGTTTGTCTTTTGTTGTGGTCTGGAGTCAGTGTGTCATTTGTTGTGGTCTGGGGTCAGTGTGTCATTTGTTGTGGTCTGGGGTCAGCGTGTCATTTGTTGTGGTCTGGGGTCAGTGTGTCATTTGTTGTGGTCTGGGGTCGGCGTGTCATTTGTTGTGGTCTGTGGTCTGCGTGTCAGTGTGTCATTTGTTGTGGTCTGGGGTCAGCGTGTCATTTGTTGTGGTCTGTGGTCTGCGTGTCAGTGTGTCATTTGTTGTGGTCTGGGGTCAGCGTGTCAGTGTGTCATTTGTTGTGTTCTGGGGTCAGTGTGTCATTTGTTGTGGTCTTGGTTCAGTGTGTCATTTGTTGTGGTCTGGGGTCAGTGTGTCATTTGTCGTGGTCTGGGGTCAGCGTGTCAGTGTGTCATTTGTTGTGGTCTGGGGTCAGTGTGTCATTTGTTGTGGTCTGGGGTCAGTGTGTCATTTGTTGTGGTCTGGGGTCAGCGTGTCAGCGTGTCATTTGTTGTGGTCTTGGTTCAGTGTGTCATTTGTTGTGGTCTGGGGGTCAGTGTGTCATTTGTTGTGTTCTGGGGTCAGTGTGTCATTTGTTGTGGTCTGGGGTCAGTGTGTCATTTGTTGTGGTCTGGGGTCAGTGTGTCTTTTGTTGTGGTCTGTGGTCAGTGTGTCAGTGTGTCATTTGTTGTGGTCTGGGGTCAGTGTGTCATTTGTTGTGGTCTGGGGTCAGTGTGTCATTTGTTGTGGTCTGGGGTCAGTGTGTCATTTGTTGTGGTCTGGGGTCAGTGTGTCATTTGTTGTGGTCTGGGGTCAGCGTGTCATTTGTTGTGGTCTGGGGTCAGCGTGTCATTTGTTGTGTTCTGGGGTCAGCGTGTCATTTGTTGTGGTCTGGGGTCAGTGTGTCATTTGTTGTGGTCTGGGGTCAGTGTGTCATTTGTTGTGGTCTGGGGTCAGTGTGTCATTTGTCTAATGTAGCCGTATGGTTGAGCTAGTCCCGCCAACTAAAGTACTGGCCTGTAGGAAAGTATATCCGTGTGTATAAGCTGAGGCCCTCGATGTAAGACCGTCTATCAGTTCTGGCCGTCTATAGTATGTAGGGGACGTCTATTGTATGTAGGGAACGTCTATTGTATGTAGGGAACGTCTATTGTATTTATGGCCGTCTATTGTATTTATGGCCGTCTATTGTATTTATAGCCGTCTATTGTATTTATAGCCGTCTACAAAGACCCGCAATCGCTTCCGACCTTAATTTGGCCTCGCCATTGAGCCTCTATTTGTGTGGTGTTTGTGTGGGTTCCTGTGTGTGGGCCCGAGGACGGCTGAATGGTGCCCATCTGTGCGGGACGGGAGACAAAGACACCGATCTCGCCAAGACGTAGTTTTTTGTCTGCTCCCCCCCCCCCCCTTTGCCATCCCCAGCCCTACACACTTTACACGGGCGAGTTGTTGCTACAAGATACAACGGCTGTCCACAAGATACAAATGGTCAACGGCTGTCTAAGATATGACCCCGACCCACAGCTAGTTTTTTTTTTTTGGAAATTAAGATATTTCTAATTAATACATTGTTTCCTCATCTAGCTGTGTAATGTGTGTGTGTGTGTAGTGTGTGTGTGTGTAGTGTGTGTGTGTGTAGTGTGTGTGTGTGTAGTGTGTGTGTGTGTAGTGTGTGTGTGTAGTGTGTGTGTGTGTAGTGTGTGTGTGTGTAGTGTGCTCCTCGCTTTTCTGTCTGCTCATCTTGTTGTGCTCATTTTGATATGCACATCTTGATGTGTGCACATCTTGCTGTCTGCTCATCTTGATGTGCACATCTTGCTGTCTGCTCATCTTGATGTGTGCACATCTTGCTGTCTGCTCATCTTGATGTGCACATCTTGCTGTCTGCTCATCTTGATGTGCACATCTTGCTGTCTGCTCATCTTGATATGCACATCTTGCTGTCTGCTCATCTTGATGTGCACATCTTGCTGACTGCTCATCTTGATGTGTACATCTTGCTGTCTGCTCATCTTGATGTTAGAATGAAACCCTTCCAATGGCACTGTTAAAGTTAAACTCGACTTGACAACATCTGAGACAACATCTAAGACAACATCTAAGACTTCATCTAAGACAACATATCAGACAACATATCAGACAACATCTAAGACAACATCTAAGACAACATTTAAGACAACATCTAAGACAACATCTAAGACAACATCTAAGACAACATCTAAGACAACATCTAAGACAACATCTCAGACAACATCTCAGACAACATCTAAGACAACATTTAAGACAACATCAAGACAACATCTAAGACAACATCTAAGACATCATCTAAGACAACAGCTAAGACAACATCTAAGACAACATCTAAGACATCATCTAAGACAACATCTCAGACATCATCTAAGACAACATCTAAGACAACTTTCTCACCGAAAGATGGAAATGTGTGTGTGTAGCATCTCAGAAAACTTCCTCATGTGTGTGTGTGTCTTTGTGCAAGCACGTCTGTGTGCGTTTACACATGTGTGTGTGTGTGTGTGTGCGCGCGCGTTTATCTCTGTGATTTGTGTTGTTCAAATCTACGGCCAGCTACTCTGAAGTTTATCTCTGTGATTTGTGTTGTTCAAATCTACGGCCAGCAACTCTGAAGTTTATCTCTGTGATTTGTGTTGTTCAAATATACGGTCAGCAACTCTGAAGTTTATCTCTGTGATTTGTATTGTTCAAATCTACGGTCAGCAACTCTGAAGTTTATCTCTGTGATTTGTGTTGTTCAAATCTACGGCCAGCAACTCTGAAGCCCGTGATGAAATCAAACGGGCGGGGCAGCCAATAACTGGCATATCTCCCCCCCCCCCCCCTTCTGGGGATGGTCTTTATTCTGCGCACACCACTCCATTCCTTCCCTTAATTCAATCCTTGATTTAATATCTCTCGTAGTTCGCACCACTAGCCAACCAACGAGCAAACACATTCCAGTGCTCATTATTCAAATGTTCATTTATAATCACTAGAAGGCGCTTAGTTCTTGAAATATGACCTTACATTTTTTAAATAAAAAATTCTTTAAAACTGTGACGTATTCTTGTCTAATGAGTGGACCTCTGGACTCAACTGAATAAAATTAGATTCGTTTCAGTCAGCTGTGGGTACCATCATCAACATTGTGGGTACCATCATCAACATTGTGGGTATGACACCATCAGCAACATTGTGGGTACGACACCATCAGCAACATTGTGGGCATGACACCATCAGCAACATTGTGGGTATGACACCATCAGCAACATTGTGGGTACGACACCATCAGCAACCTTGTGGGTACGACACCTTCAGCAACATTGTGGGTATGACACCATCAGCAACATTGTGGGTACGACACCATCAGCAACATTGTGGGTATGACACCATCAGCAACATTGTGGGTACGACAACATCAGCAACATTGTGGGTACGACACCATCAGCAACATTGTGGGTATGACACCATCAGCAACATTGTGGGTACGACACCATCAGCAACATTGTGGGTATGACACCATCAGCAACATTGTGGGTACGACACCATCAGCAACATTGTGGGTATGACACCATCAGCAACATTGTGGGTACGACAACATCAGCAACATTGTGGGTACGACACCATCAGCAACATTGTGGGTATGACACCATCAGCAACATTGTGGGTACGACACCATCAGCAACATTGTGGGTATGACACCATCAGCAACATTGTGGGTATGACACCATCAGCAACATTGTGGGTGCGACACCATCATCAACATTGTGGGTACGACACCATCAGCAACATTGTGGGTATGACACCATCAGCAACATTGTGGGTATGACACCATCAGCAACATTGTGGGTATGACACCATCAGCAACATTGTGGGTATGACACCATCAGCAACATTGTGGGTACGACACCATCAGCAACGCCGCAGGTACGACACCATTAGCAACGCTCCCCCCTCCTCCCCATTCCTGTTGTGACAAGCGGCCACTGTGAGCGTTAAGCAAGATTATTGATCCCCTCCACGGGCTGTAAGGGGCCAGCCTGTGAGAGAGACTGTCTCGTCCCCTTTACAAATTGGCTGGAGTGGATGCCCCGGCCCCTCAATCAATACAATCATCCCTCACTTGACGGGCCGGCGTTTGGCCCCACAATCAATACAATCATCTCCCAGATTTCCACCACCCAGGACAAACACACCCCAGTAGCTGATCCCCCCCATCTCGCCCTACACCCCAGTAGCTGACCCCCCCCCCCCCCATCTCGCCCTACACCCCAGTAACTGATCCACCCCCCCATCTCGCCCTACACCCCAGTAACTGATCCCCCCCCCCATCTCGCCCTACACCCCAGTAGCTGATCCCCCCCCCCATCTCGCCCTACACCCCAGTAGCTGATCCACCACCCCCCCCCCATCTCACCCTACACCCCAGTAGCTGATCCCCCCCCCCATCTCGCCCTACACCCCAGTAAATTTCCACCCCCCCCCATCTCGCCCTACACCCCAGTAGCTGATCCACCCCCCCCCCCATCTCACCCTACACCCCAGTAGCTGATCCACCCCCCCCCATCTCGCCCTACACCCCAGTAGCTGATCCCCCCCCCCCCATCTCGCCCTACACCCCAGTAGCTGATCCACCACCCCCCATCTCGCCCTACACCCCAGTAGCTGATCCCCCCCCCCCCATCTCGCCCTACACCCCAGTAGCTGATCCCCCCCATCTCGCCCTACACCCCAGTAACTTATCCCCCCCATCTCGCCCTACACCCCAGTAGCTGATCCCCCCCCCATCTCACCCTACACCCCAGTAGCTGATCCCCCCCATCTCGCCCTACACCCCAGTAGCTGATCCCCCCCCCCCATCTCGCCCTACACCCCAGTAGCTGACCCCCCCATCTCGCCCTACACCCCAGTAGCTGATCCACCCCCCCCCCCCATCTCGCCCTACACCCCAGTAGCTGATCCCCCCCCCCCCATCTCGCCCTACACCCCAGTAGCTGACCCCCCCATCTCGCCCTACACCCCAGTAGCTGATCCACCCCCCCCCCTCTCGCCCTACACCCCAGTGGCTGATCTACCCCCCCCCATCTCGCCCTACACCCCAGTAGCTGATCCACCCCCCCCCCATCTCGCCCTACACCCCAGTAGCTGATCCCCCCCATCTCGCCCTACACCCCAGTAACTTATCCCCCCCATCTCGCCCTACACCCCAGTAGCTGAACCACCCCCCCCCCCATCTCGCCCTACACCCCAGTAGCTGATCCCCCCCATCTCGCCCTACACCCCAGTAGCTGATCCACCCCCCCCATCTCGCCCTACACCCCAGTAACTTATCCCCCCCATCTCGCCCTACACCCCAGTAGCTGATCCACCCCCCCATCTCGCCCTACACCCCAGTAACTTATCCCCCCACATCTCGCCCTACACCCCAGTAACTTATCCCCCCCCATCTCGCCCTACACCCCAGTAACTTATCCCCCCCATCTCGCCCTACACCCCAGTAGCTGAACCACCCCCCCCCCATCTCGCCCTACACCCCAGTAGCTGACCCCCCCATCTCGCCCTACACCCCAGTAACTTATCCACCCCCCCATCTCGCCCTACACCCCAGTAGCTGAACCACCCCCCCATCTCGCCCTACACCCCAGTAACTTATCCACCCCCCCATCTCGCCCTACACCCCAGTAGCTGATCCCCCCCATCTCGCCCTACACCCCAGTAGCTGAACCACCCCCCCATCTCGCCCTACACCCCAGTAGCTGAACCACCCCCCCATCTCGCCCTACACCCCAGTAGCTGAACCACCCCCCCATCTCGCCCTACACCCCAGTAGCTGAACCACCCCCCCATCTCGCCCTACACCCCAGTAGCTGAACCACCCCCCATCTCGCCCTACACCCCAGTAACTTATCCACCCCCCCCATCTCGCCCTACACCCCAGTAGCTGATCCCCCCCCCCCCATCTCGCCCTACACCCCAGTAGCTGATCCCCCCCATCTCGCCCTACACCCCAGTAGCTGATCCCCCCCATCTCGCCCTACACCCCAGTAGCTGACCCCCCCATCTCGCCCTACACCCAAGTAACTTATCCACCCCCCCATCTCGCCCTACACCCCAGTAGCTGACCCCCCCCCCCATCTCGCCCTACACCCCAGTAACTGACCCCCCCATCTCGCCCTACACCCCAGTAGCTGACCCCCCCCATCTCGCCCTACACCCCAGTAGCTGACCCCCCCATCTCGCCCTACACCCCAGTAGCTGACCCCCCCATCTCGCCCTACACCCCAGTAGCTGATCCCCCCCCCATCTCGCCCTACACCCCAGTAGCTGACCCCCCCATCTCGCCCTACACCCCAGTAGCTGATCCCCCCCCCATCTCGCCCTACACCCCAGTAGCTGATCCACCCCCCATCTCGCCATACACCCCAGTAGCTGATCCACCCCCCCCCCATCTCGCCCTACACCCCAGTGGCTGATCCACCCCCCCCCATCTCGCCCTTCACCCCAGTAGCTGATCCCCCCCCCCCCATCTCGCCCTACACCCCAGTAGCTGATCCACCCCCCATCTCGCCATACACCCCAGTAGCTGATCCACCCCCCCCCCCCCCATCTCGCCCTACACCCCAGTAGCTGATCCACCCCCCCCCCCCATCTCGCCCTACACCCCAGTGGCTGATCCACCCCCCCCCCATCTCGCCCTTCACCCCAGTAGCTGATCCACCCCCCCATCTCGCCCTACACCCCAGTAGCTGATCCATCCCCCCCCCATCTCGCCCTACACCCCAGTAGCTGATTTCCCCCCCCCCTCCATCTTGCCCAACACCCCCGTAGCTGACCCCCCCCCCCCCTCCACGATCTCGTCCACACTTTTTTCTTTCTCCCTCATTTCAGTTTTACTTTATTTCTCGACGATTTGTTAATGTCTATCAAAGATATGTTGTTTCCCATCAAAGATTTGTTGTTTCCCATCAAAGATTTGTTGTTGCCCATCAAATATTTGTTGTTGCCTATCAAAGATTTGTTGTTGCCCTTCAAAGATGTGTTGTTGCCCATAAAAGATCTGAACCCTAACTTCGAAGATGACTTACCTTCACGGCAGTGTAAATGTCGCCAAAACATTTGGAAAAATGTTTTCACATTTGCCCAGATTTTGACATCCAGAACATTTGGAAAAACATTTTTGACTTTTTTCCCAGATTTTGACATTTCTTCCGTTGAAAACTTGTTGGTCCCAGATTTTGACATTTCTTCCGTTGAAAACTTGTTGGTCCCAGATTTTGACATTTCTTCCGTTGAAAACTTGTTGGTCCCAGATTTTGACATTTCTTCCGTTGAAAACTTGTTGGTCCCAGATTTTGACATTTCTTCCGTTGAAAACTTGTTGGTCCCAGATTTTGACATTTCTTCCGTTGAAAACTTGTTGGTCCCAGATTTTGACATTTCTTCCGTTGAAAACTTGTTGGTCCCAGATTTTGACATTTCTTCCGTTGAAAACTTGTTGGTCCCAGATTTTGACAAAGTTGCTGAAGGCTGGATGTCCCACTTGATTCGGTCCTCTCAATGTGTTTGTGTGACTCAGTCAATGTGTTTATGTGACTCAGTCAATGTGTTTATGTGACTCAGTCAATGTGTTAGTGTGACTCAGTCAATGTGTTTATGTGACTCAGTCAATGTGTTTGTGTGACTCAGTCAATGTGTTTGTGTGACTCAGTCAATGTGTTTGTGTGACTCAGTCAATGTGTTTATGTGACTCAGTCAATGTGTTTGTGTGACTCAGTCAATGTGTTTGTGTGATTGCCCATTTCAAGGCTAAAACATTTGATGATTGCCCATTTCAAGGCTAAAACATGATACGATTGCCCATTCCGTTTTGAAAAAAAAAATTGGTTCGTTGTGTTTGTTGACCTACATACTGGCATCCAAACTAAAAGACAAGTCAAGGGAAAGCATCCAATTTATTTCCGAAGGAAATCATACAACTTGACCAACCCAAGCTAGCCAGAATCTAGTCACTAACTTGTCAGTTTTCAAGTTATGACATTGTCAGTTGCCCGTCCACAAAGCAGTTTCTTCCAGGCATCTCTTCGGGGAGGCGAAGCCCCCCCCCCCCCCGCATTTTTTTAACGCCCCTTCCCCCCCCCCCCCCGCCCCGAACGAAATGAAATTTATATAATTTAGATAGAAAATATATACTTTTAACAGTGTCCGCCCCCCCCCCTAAAGAAAGTTTACCGCCCCCCCCCCCCCCCGAAGATTTCAAGTGCCCCCCCCCCCCCCGGAGAAAAAAGTCTGGAAGAAACACTGCCACAAAGTTGTCTAGCTGTGATAACTGACATCACGTAGCTGTGATGTCTGACATCACCTAGCTATGATGTCTGACATCACCTAACATGACTGAATCAACTCAGCCAACAGTACGGCGACTCGCCGAGTTTCTCAAGGTGCCACAGAACGTCATCAGTTTGTGAGCAAGTCCAAATGTGACAAGATGATCTCCCTTGCTGCAGGTTGGCCGAGTGATCGCCCTTAGCACGCGCCATTGATGAAATAATTAGGCCGAGTTTTGCAAGCAGAGTGGGCCGCTTACATACACATGGTTTATATCCAGGTTGGGGGGGGGGGGGGGGTGCCGCTGGCACGTGATGACGAGGGTGGCGATGGGGGCCACGGGGTAGACGTTTACAGCAATTGAAACTTTTTTTATGATAACATTACCAGGCGTGTATGGGAACCCCAGAGGGGTGGGGGGGGGGGGGAATGGCGTCAATTGAATATCTCTTGAGGACATCAGGACATCTTTGTATTTGTCCCTGACCAGTTGTTTTTAAATACTCAATTTTTACGTCTGTGTTCATCTGTATGCTTGTGTGCGTGTATGTGTGTGCGTGATTGTGTGCGTGTATGTATATGCTTGTGTGAGTATATGTGTGATTGTCTGCGTATATTTGTGTGATTGTGTGTGTATGTGTGTGATTGTGTGTGCGTGTATGTATGTGCTTGTGTGCGTGTATGTGTGTGATTGTGTGCGTGTATGTATATGCTTGTGTGCGTGTATGTGTGTGATTGTGTGCGTATATTTGTGTGATTGTGTGTGTATGTGTGTGATTGTGTGTGCGTGTATGTATGTGCTTGTGTGCGTGTATGTGTGTGATTGTGTGCGTGTATGTATATGCTTGTGTGCGTGTATGTGTGTGATTGTGTGCGTGTATGTATATGCTTGTGTGAGTATATATGTGTGATTGTCTGCGTATATTTGTGTGATTGGGTGTGTATGTGTGTGATTGTGTGTGCGTGTATGTATGTGCTTGTGTTCATGTATGTGTGTGATTGTGTATGTGGATACGTGTCACTGTGTGCGTGTGTATGTGTTACTGTGTGCGTGTATGTGTGTGGTTGTGTGCGTGTATGTGTGTAATTGTGTGCGTGTATGTGTGTTACTGTGTTCGTGTATATGTGTTACTGTGTGCGTATGTGTGTGTGTATGTGTGTGAGTGCGTGCGTGCGTGCGTGTATAACGCTACAGCGCTGACACATGTGTACCATATTCTAGAACATTCTCTGCCCCACCTACTGCACGTCCCTCTCCCCGGGGCGACTGGCGGCTCGTGATGGTGAGGTGGGGGGGAGGTGCTGGTAGGGCAGGGCGTCCAGGCTGGCCAGGGAGGTGTGGTGGTTGAGGTAGGCGATGATCCGCCTCATCTCCTCCAGGGCGTGGGCCTGCATGAGGATGTAGTTCTTGGCCAGGAGGAGGGTGGCTATTTTACTCAGCTTGCGGACCGACGGGCTGTGGGCGTAGGGGATGACGGACCTCAGCTCGTCCAGCGCGTCGTTCAGGTCGTGCATCCTGCGCCGCTCGCGTGAGTTGATGTTCAGACGCACGTGCTTCTGGCCGGTGGAGGACTTTTTAGCCCGGGCCTTGCCGTCCCCCTCGTGGTAGTCTTGTAGCCCCCCTTCTATGCTGGCGTCGTCGTGGTAGCGGGGGTGGTCCGTCTGTCCAGCAGCCTCGCCGTGCAGGGCGTCACGTGACTGGCGTCTGCTGGTCTCGTCATCGCTGCTGTCCGGGTCGCTGGCAGAGAAAAAAAAAACATTTAGGCGGGAAAGTCATCAAACAAGATGAACGGCCGGAGATATTGGTCAGCTTTTTGAAATTACTTTTTTTTTTAAAAATCATGTTTAGTCTAAAGCAGAGTTTTTTCCAGGCACCCCCACCCGAACAAAATGGAATTTATATAGAAAATATATACTTTTAACAGTGTCCGCCCCCCCCCCCCCCGAAGAAAGTCTACCGCCCCCCCCCGAAAATTTCAAGTGCCCCCCCCCCCCCCCCCCCGGAAAAAGGAAAAAGAAGTCTGGAAGAAACACTGCTTGTGTCTGTTTGTCTGTGTGTACGTAAACACTATAACTTGATCACGTTTAATTACTTGGGGGAAATTTCATTCAGAAGTATAAAATCAAATTTGTAGTTTTCTATTAATTTTTGGGCGATTTCCGGGAAACCAAAGTGGTACTTACTATACTTCCGGTTTCTTAAAAGCCTATAACTTAAGTACCGGATAAGTTAGATGGTCGAAAATTCGAATAAGTAGGTATTAGATAGTATGCGAAAGTGCCTTAAAAAATGTCCGGTAACCGGCTTATTCTACTTTACTCGATTTCCGAAGGAATACATTAACTTGAGTACTGTTTCAGTGGTTTGACGAAATCTCATATATAAGTATAAAATCTTATTCTTGGATTACTCTCAAATTCGATGGATCCCGAAGAAAGTCTACCGCCAGAACGAGATGGATTTTATATAGCAAACATACACTTTTACTAGTGTCCGCCCCCCCCCCCCCCCAAAAATGTTGATTTCCCCCCCCCCCCCCCCCCCCCGGAGAAAAAAGTCTGGAAGAAACACTGAATGGACCCAACCGAGATAACTCTCAAATTTATTTGAAAGGCCCGATTAATATTTTTAAAATTATGTACGAAGTTATTAAAATAAATATGATTATAAAAATCTGACTAATTTTTGTTGGACAAATAAAGATTGGATATAAATCTAATTGATATTTTTATTATTTTTTGGCAAGTAAATAATTTTTAAAAAGCCAAAAACAATTTTTTTTGCTTATTTTTATCAAAGAATTTGAAAACAATAAACCGGTAGTGATCTCCCCTAAACTTTCTCGAATATTCTTATATATGTAAGCCCTGCTAGGGGGGGATACCTCAAAATCTACCCTACCCTTCCCTAGGCTTATCTAACTAATCTGTCCGGTCAGTGCAACCGTGGTAGAACCCACAGTGGTTAAACCCTAACCTTAGTCTAAATTAAAAAAACAGAAAAACTTTTAACAATTTAATAAAATTTATTTAACAAAATAATAAATATGGAACCAAAAGTTATTATAAAAAAACCAGAATCTAGATCTAGACAAAACACTCAAGACATACAAAACAAACAGAACTCAACGAAACAAAACACCCAATCTCGGACCACCGTCCATACACCACATAAACGTGACACAGAAACTCTTCAACACACAGGCCTCGACATTCCAGCCGAATGTCCCTCCCTGTCGACGCACCACATTCACGAACAAAGAAACCAATACTAGGCCTACGAACAAAGAAACCAATGCTACGCACAAGAAAATAGTCCCTAATACAATAATAAGTAACATTCAGGACATAAAGCAAAGTGGAGCAACAATCCAAAACAAAGTTTGCATAAATAATAACATTAAAATATAAACAAGACACAATAACCAGGCTACAAACCATTGTAAAATCGAAATCATATCAGCGCCTTAATAGCGGACTACTTAACTAAAAACCACAACAATCCTCAAAGGAACATAAAAAGCGACATTCGCCTTCTTAGTTACAAATAATTATAATAACAGACAAACACACTCCAGCCGCTCACATATAAAACAACAGGGGATGGTAACTGGGGATATAGTTATGATTTTTAATCCATTTTAAATACTGAAACTTTAAAAAATAGAATAGAATCTCAGTAAAAAACAATTGCGCACCAAGCGAACGCCTAATAAAGGTGTGTATAATAGTGCGCAATAGTATTAGTACTTAATAAATTTACATTAGTTTTTTGAGAAATCGGAAGTAGCGTAAATTACTACTTCCGGTCAACGGAAATTACTCAAAATTTAACAGACGGTAGAGAATTAGATCTTTTACTTACATGTGAAATTTCATTTATCTATCTGAAATAGTACTCAAGTTATAGGCTTTTGAAAAATTCAAAGTAGAAAAAGTACCACTTCCGGTTGTCGGAAATCGCTCAAAAGTTGATACGGATCTACGATTTTGATATAATACTTATATATGAAATTTCATCAACCTAGCTGTAACGGTACTCAAGTTATCGTGTTTACACACGGACACACAGACACACACACAGACACACACACACACAGACATACGGACAAGATTGCAAAATTATGTTTTTCCGTATCAGTGAGGTGTAAAACGTCGAGATTTGTAAAAATCTCGATTTTTTTTTTTGCACGATTACAATACTTTCTCTATACTACGTATATAAGAGAAAGTAAAAATGGCTAAACTGAAAAATTGTATCGGCATAATTTTGAATACAAATTACTATTAGTTTTTTCTATAAAGAGGGTTTATAGAACATCTCTAACGTAGTTGCTGTCAAGAAAATCAATGTTTGTCTTACAAAATATAAACTTTAGGTTAAATAAATCTAGCCTTAAACAATAAATCTTTTCACCTCCACTGGATTTGCAAATTTGATAACATCGACTCTTAAATTTATTGATTTTTTTTGTTGTTGCTTTGCAAAATCTACAACAAAAAAAAACCATCATGATTTTTATCCATGTCAACAATAATGAAGAATGGATTCCTGTCAACTCGGTCATGTCCATCAGATGTTTAATTCACTTTTCAAAAATTAATCAATACTCCTTCATAAAATACTCATTTTTTGCTCTATTATGTACACATTGTTTACATTCAATCTATGCGCAATTATATTCAAGTTTAATTGTAGTTTATTATTATGTATTTAAAGGAAATCATTTTTTGTCTCATTTTTACTTTCTCGTATACGAAGTATAGAGAAAATATTGTAATCGTGCAAAAAATAACAACCAAAAAAACAATCGAGATTTTTGCTAATCTCGACGTTTTACACTTCCTTGAGTCGGAAAAACATAGTTTTGCAATCTTGTCCGTATGTCTCTCTGTGTGTGTATGTGTGTGTGTGTGTGTCTGTGAACACGATAACTTGAGTACTGCTACAGCTAGGTTGGCCAAATTTCATATATATATATATAAGTATTATATCAAATTTGTAGTTCTGTATCAACCTTTGGACGCTTTCTGGTAACCGGAGGTGGTACTGTTGTTCCGGTTAAGGCCAATAATTTGAGAACCGTCCAAAGAAGGTGGAAGAAAGTTCACATATAAGTATTGTATTTGTATTCGCATATTGTTTTTCAAATTGTGATCTATTTCCAATAAGCGGAAGTGGTATTTGACTGGGTACGCGCTGACTTGAGTATTGTTTCATTTAAGAAGTCGAGATTTCATACAATAAGTATAAAAGTTAATTACTGAGTCATCTTTAATTTTGTAGTGACCTCCGTAGCCGGGAATTCTACTTTATTTCTGGTTTCTAAAATACCAGTAATTTAAGTACCGTATCAGTTAATCAGACCAAATTGTATACATAGATATAAGTAATCTCTTGATTCTGTCACATTTTAAGTGATTTCTGGTGACTGAAGGTAGTACTTTACGCTATTTCCAATTTCTCAAATGTTTTTCATAAAAAACGTTTTAATAACAAGCTTTTATGTACGAATGCACTAAAAAGTAGAAAATAACTTATAGACTACTATTTAAATAACTATAAAGAAAAGCGTGGGCTACTTTAGTATCTATTGGATACCTTTACTAATGTTTAGGAAGAGACCCACGCTTTTCTTTATAGTTATTTGAATAGTAGTCTATAAGTTATTTTCTACTTTTTAGTGCATTAGTACATAAAAGCTTGTTATTAAAACGTTTTTTATGAAAAATTTTTTTAGTACTTTACATGTTTTTATTTACAACAGAGTTTCATGACTAAAAACCATTACGCGCCTATTGAACGTGATGATGCGCTGTTGAACGTACGTGATGACGCGAGTGGTGTGGTTCGATAAAAATGCCTACTACTTTGGTTACAATTTTAATTAATTCATAAAAAAATTAATTAGGCATCGAATTAAGTCAAATTTAATTTCAGATTGCATTGTCTTCATGTCTTGACCAACGTACCAATTACGAACCGTATCTGTCAAGTAGAAGTGCCTGTAATTTCGCTTCGGCGTTTCGATCTAGCATGACGACAGACAGTCGACAGAGGGAGTGAGTTAAATAAAAGCTTGTAAAAAAATTCATAAAAAACGTTTTAATAACAAGCTTTTATGTAATAATGCTCTAAAAAGTAGAAAATAAATTATACACTATTATTTAAATAACTATAAAGAAAAGCGTGGGTCACTTTAGTATCTATTGGATACCTTTACTAATGTTAAGGAAGACACACACGCTTTTCTTTATAGTTATTTAAATAGTAGTGTATAATTTATTTTCTACTTTTTAGTGCATTATTACATAAAAGCTTGTTATTAAAACGTTTTTATGAATTTTTTTTCAGTACTTTACATGTTTTATTTACAATAGAGTTACATGACTAAAAACCATTGCGCGCCTATTGAACGTGATGGCGCAGCTATTGAACGTGATGACGCGTGTGGTGTGGTTGGATAGACATGCCTACTAATTCGGTCCAAATTTTAATTAATTCATAAAAAATTAATAAGGCATCCAATTAAGTCAAATTTAATTTCAGATTACATTGTCTTCATGTCTTGACCCACGTGCCAACTGTGAATCGTTTCGGTCAAGTAGAAGTGTCTGAATTTTCACTCCGGCGTTTCGATCTTAAATAAAAGCTTGTAAAAAGGTAAGCAATGTTTCCCTTATAAAATACTAATTGTTTTATACACACGCTGACTGCGTTCAATTGGTGCGCAAATCTTTTTTTCTACTCGTTCTATTCTATTTTTAGAATGCAAGTATAAAAATAATTAAAAAAACATTTCTAAAGTCCGGTCGGACTAGACGTGCCATCCCCATTACTGTTATATCAATATATAGGCCTATATGCGAGAAAGTTATATCAATATATATATGCGAGAAAGTTACATCAATATATATGCGAGAAAGATTATTTAAGCTGTTATATCAATATATATGCGAGAAAGATTATTTAAGCTGATATATCAATATATATGCGAGAAAGATTATTTAAGCATCCAATTAAATAAAATTTGCATTGGCATCGGGTCTTGTTTAAAAGAAATTGGTCGGTTAGAAGTGGTCGAAATTTTGCTCGTCAGTTTCGATCCGTGACGATAAAAGCACGAGGAAACTAGTTAAAAACGTAAAACCACTAAGGCCGTACTATATGTAGTAGGACAGGACAGTAAATGTAAAGACCTGTCTACACTACCTGTAGTCGGAGTGCCTCGAGTCTTTGGACGAAGCGATACTGTGGGCGTACTTCTCCTGTTTGGCCTCGGCCTGGTAGCAGGGAGGCACCAGGCCAGTGGAGAAAAGTCTGGGGTCCATGTCTGCTGGTCGTCTGCTGCTGGCCGTCTGCTGCTGGCTACTTCATGGCCAATCTGGGCTGCCTGCCTGCTATTCCAATCCCGTCTTGTATTTAGCCTCCACTAGGCAATGATGAATCTTACACACAAAAACCAAAACAAACGTAGCTTCCAGAAATGGCTTTAAAAACAAATGGCCAACAAAATGGCTTTAAAAACAAATGGCCAACAAAATGGCCTGTGAAAACTGGCGTCAGGAAGAAACGTGGATAGAGAAGGGAGACAAAAAAAACCTGATCAAACAAGGCCGACAGCCCGTGAAGGATTAGCACAAAAAGTGGTCGAGCAAATCTAAGATATCCTCCTTTCTTCTAGGCGGTCCGCCGACTGGGCTGAGCGGGGTCCTGCTGGCCAGATCAATAGCGGTAACCAAGACGAGGGTTACAAATCACTTTTGGAGTTTGGAGGGGACAGAGACAAGTGTTCCAAACGCCTCTCATTCATTGGCTAGCTCCTTCAGCGGTCGCTGATCCCGCGGGCAATTTATCAGCTTTGGGTGCGAAGATTGTGTTAGCTGTGAGCCACGAGTGGCGTGCGCCAAAACGTGCTACCGGGTAGCCAGAAATTGAGGGGTGGGGGGAAAGAGGGGTAGGTAGAATAAAATCTTCTAGAACTATCGGGGGGGGGGGGGGGGGAGGTAAAATGTTTTTTTTCAGTTTCCTTCGCCGTTTTTCGTATTCTTTGTAGCCAATGGAGTCCCCGTGGGGTAATTAAGTAGCGAAGATAGATTTACAAATACTGGCTCGCGTGATGGATTAGCGCTTTCATCAACGTTACTTGTCAATATCAGTTAACTGCCCTGTATGATGCCCATAGAGAAATAGAATATGCACAGAGATAACCATGTTACCAATTTTAATTATTGGCACATTTACCTCCCCTTAACCCAATGAACGACCGCACATAGGCATTACACTGGGCTTCAACGGTTCAGATAAAAGCGACTAAAATAGAAATAATGACATTGTGATTATTTGATTGAACTCACTCTGCACTCCCATTTATCAATATCCACTGCTCCTTAATTTATCATCTACAAAACTCAATAAATATTATGGTAGATGTCTCCCTCATCACCCATCCCCCCACAGTTACTGAAATAAATATTTTTGAGGCTACCACCATCTCACCACACCCACCATCTCACCACACCCACCATCTCACCACACCAACCATCTCACCACACCCGCCATATCACCACACCAACCATCTCACCACACCCACCATATCACCACACTCACTATCTCACCACACCCACCATATCACCACACCCACCATATCACCAACTCACCACACCCACCATCTCACCACACCCACTATATCACCACACCCACCATATCCCCACACCCACCATACTACCACACCCACCATCTCACCAGACCCACCATCTCACCAGACCCACCATATCACCACACCCACCATATCACCACACCCACCATATCACCATCTCACCAGACCCACCATCTCACCAGACCCACCATATCACCACACCCACCATATCACCTTCTCACCACACCCACTATATCATTACACCCACCATATCACCACACCCACCATATCACCATCTCACCAGACCCACCATCTCACCAGACCCACCATATCACCACACCCACCATATCACCATCTCACCACACCCACTATATCATCACACCCACCATATCACCACACCCACCATATCACCAACTCATCACACCCACCATTTCACCATACCCACCATATCACCACACCCACCAACTCACCACACCCACCATATCACCACACCCACCATATCACCACACTCACCATCTCACCACACCCACCATATCACCACACCCACCATCTCACTAACTCACCACACCCACCACCTCACCAGACCCACCATCTCACCACACCCACCATCTCACCACACCCACTATATCACCACACCCACCACCTCACTATCTCACCACACCCACTATATCACCACGCCCACCATCTCACCAAACCCACTATATCACCACGCCCACCATATCCCCACACCCACCATTTCACCACACCCACCATATCATCACTCCCATCATATCACCACACCCACCATATCACCACACCCACCATCTCACCACACCCACCATATCACCACACCCATCATATCACCACACCCATCATATCACCACACCCATCATATCACCACACCCACCATCTCACCACACCCACCATCTCACCACGCCCACTATATCACCACGCCCACCATATCCCCACACCCACCATTTCACCACACCCATCATATCACCACACCCACCATATCACCACACCCACCATCTCACCACACCCACCATCTCACCACACCCATCATATCACCACACCCTTTATATCACCACACCCATCATATCACCACACCCACCATCTCACCACACCCATCATATCACCACACCCATCATATCACCACACCCATCATATCACCACACCCATCATATCACCACACCCATCATATCACCACACCCACCATCTCACCACACCCATTATCTCACCACCTGCCCACCCCTACATTCAGCCTACGCATAAAAAACACCCGGGTTAGACACCTCCTCCTGTCTAGCCACCTCCTCGTCTACACACCTCATGTCTACACCTCCTATCTAGAAGCCCCCTGTCTAGACACCCCATGTCTACACCTCCTATCTAGAAGCCCCCTGTCTAGACACCTCATGTCTACACCTCCTATCTAGAAGCCCCCTGTCTAGACACCCCATGTCTACACCTCCTATCTAGAAGCCCCCTGTCTAGACACCCCATGTCTACACCTCCTATCTAGAAGCCCCCTGTCTAGACACCTCATGTCTACACCTCCTATCTAGAAGCCCCCTGTCTAGACACCTCATGTCTACACCTCCTATCTAGAAGCCCCCTGTCTAGACACCCCATGTCTACACCTCCTATCTAGAAGCCCCCTGTCTAGACACCTCATGTCTACACCTCCTATCTAGAAGCCCCCTGTCTAGACACCCCATGTCTACACCTCCTATCTAGAAGCCCCCTGTCTAGACACCTCATGTCTACACCTCCTATCTAGAAGCCCCCTGTCTAGACACCCCATGTCTACACCTCCTATCTAGAAGCCCCCTGTCTAGACACCTCATGTCTACACCTCCTATCTAGAAGCCCCCTGTCTAGACACCTCATGTCTACACCTCCTATCTAGAAGCCCCCTGTCTAGACACCTCATGTCTACACCTCCTATCTAGAAGCCCCCTGTCTAGACACCTCATGTCTACACCTCCTATCTAGAAGCCCCCTGTCTAGACACCTCATGTCTACACCTCCTATCTAGAAGCCCCCTGTCTAGACACCCCATGTCTACACCTCCTACCTAGAAGCCCCCTGTCTAGACACCCCATGTCTACACCCCCTGTCTAGACACCCCATGTCTACACCTCCTATCTAGAAGCCCCCTGTCTAGACACCTCATGTCTACACCTCCTATCTAGAAGCCCCCTGTCTAGACACCTCATGTCTACACCTCCTATCTAGAAGCTCCCTGTCTAGACACCTCATGTCTACACCTCCTATCTAGAAGCCCCCTGTCTAGACACCCCATGTCTACACCTCCTATCTAGAAGCCCCCTGTCTAGTCACCTCATGTCTACACCTCCTATCTAGAAGCCCCCTGTCTAGCCACCTCATGTCTACACCTCCTATCTAGAAGACCCCTGTCTAGCCACCTCATGTTTACACCTCCTATCTAGAAGCCCCCTGTCTAGACACCTCATGTCTACACCTCCTATCTAGAAGCCCCCTGTCTAGACACCCCATGTCTACACCTCCTATCTAGAAGCCCCCTGTCTAGACACCCCATGTCTACACCTCCTATCTAGAAGCCCCCTGTCTAGACACCCCATGTCTACACCTCCTATCTAGAAGCCCCCTGTCTAGACACCCCATGTCTACACCCCCTGTCTAGACACCTCATGTCTACACCTCCTATCTAGAAGCCCCCTGTCTAGACACCCCATGTCTACACCTCCTATCTAGAAGCCCCCTGTCTAGACACCCCATGTCTACACCCCCTGTCTAGACACCTCATGTCTACACCTCCTATCTAGAAGCCCCCTGTCTAGACACCTCATGTCTACACCTCCTATCTAGAAGCCCCCTGTCTAGACACCTCATGTCTACACCTCCTATCTAGAAGCCCCCTGTCTAGACACCCCATGTCTACACCTCCTATCTAGAAGCCCCCTGTCTAGACACCTCATGTCTACACCTCCTATCTAGAAGCCCCCTGTCTAGACACCTCATGTCTACACCTCCTATCTAGAAGCCCCCTGTCTAGACACCTCATGTCTACACCTCCTATCTAGAAGCCCCCTGTCTAGACACCCCATGTCTACACCTCCTATCTAGAAGCCCCCTGTCTAGACACCCCATGTCTACACCTCCTATCTAGAAGCCCCCTGTCTAGACACCCCATGTCTACACCTCCTATCTAGAAGCCCCCTGTCTAGACACCTCATGTCTACACCTCCTATCTAGAAGCCCCCTGTCTAGACACCTCATGTCTACACCTCCTATCTAGAAGCCCCCTGTCTAGCCACCTCATGTCTACACCTCCTATCTAGAAGCCCCCTGTCTAGCCACCTCATGTCTACACCTCCTATCTAGAAGCCCCCTGTCTAGACACCCCATGTCTACACCTCCTATCTAGAAGCCCCCTGTCTAGACACCTCATGTCTACACCTCCTATCTAGAAGCCCCCTGTCTACACACCTCATGTCTACACCTCCTATCTAGAAGCCCCCTGTCTAGACACCTCATGTCTACACCTCCTATCTAGAAGCCCCCTGTCTACACACCTCATGTCTACACCTCCTATCTAGAAGCCCCCTGTCTAGACACCTCATGTCTACACCTCCTATCTAGAAGCCCCCTGTCTAGACACCTCATGTCTACACCTCCTATCTAGAAGCCCCCTGTCTAGACACCCCATGTCTACACCTCCTATCTAGAAGCCCCCTGTCTAGACACCTCATGTCTACACCTCCTATCTAGAAGCCCCCTGTCTAGACACCCCATGTCTACACCTCCTATCTAGAAGCCCCCTGTCTAGACACCTCATGTCTACACCTCCTATCTAGAAGCCCCCTGTCTAGACACCCCATGTCTACACCTCCTATCTAGAAGCCCCCTGTCTAGACACCCCATGTCTACACCTCCTATCTAGAAGCCCCCTGTCTAGCCACCTCATGTCTACACCTCCTATCTAGAAGCCCCCTGTCTAGACACCCCATGTCTACACCTCCTATCTAGAAGCCCCCTGTCTAGACACCTCATGTCTACACCTCCTATCTAGAAGCCCCCTGTCTAGACACCCCATGTCTACACCTCCTATCTAGAAGCCCCCTGTCTACACACCTCATGTCTACACCTCCTATCTAGAAGCCCCCTGTCTAGACACCCCATGTCTACACCTCCTATCTAGAAGCCCCCTGTCTAGACACCTCATGTCTACACCTCCTATCTAGAAGCCCCCTGTCTAGACACCCCATGTCTACACCTCCTATCTAGAAGCCCCCTGTCTAGACACCTCATGTCTACACCTCCTATCTAGAAGCCCCCTGTCTAGACACCCCATGTCTACACCTCCTATCTAGAAGCCCCCTGTCTACACACCCCATGTCTACACCTCCTATCTAGAAGCCCCCTGTCTAGACACCTCCCTTCACCATCTCTCCCCATCCCTCACATATACCCAGCTCTGCCATTATGAACCGACCCTCCCTCCCCACGCCCTGGCGTTACTGGGTTGATGCGGGCCACAAATCTACATAAAACCAAGGGCATGAACTCCCAACAACTATTATTGGCACGTCCCTCGTGGTGTCTCGCTCAACGATCACATATTCGATTGGATGGTTTTTGATGCTGTATTTAAAATAAATTGTGTCAATGGAGCAGTGATATTATTACAAACACATAAACACACACAGCACAAATAGATCTAGTGGCTATCACATAGTACGACACACACAAACACAGAAATAACATCATAACTAGACCTCCCCCCTCCATACACCACACGTACATGTTCCCAGACACACGCACATACGCATATACATACATAAATGTCTATATTTAAAAAATTAAACCGGGAGTGATCTCCCCTAAAGTTTCTCGAATATTTTTATATTACATTTAAGGGGGATGGCAACAGTAGCGTAGCGAGGGGGGGGGGGGGGCGGGGGGGGGGGGACATATGTCCCCGGGCGCCGACCTTAGTGGGGGCGCCAAATTGAAAGTTTGAGGAGGGGGTGCAAATGAAAAGTTCGAGGGGGGGGGGTGCAAATCGAAAGTTTGAGGTGGGGGGGGGGGTGCAAATGAAAAGTTCGAGGGGGGGGTTGCAAATCGAAAATTTGCTCCCAAGGGGGCGCCAAATTGAAAGTATGTCCCCGGGCGCCGGGAAGGGTCGCTACGCCTCTGGATGGCAAAGCGAGCTATGGTCATGATTTGTAATCCATTTTTAATTACTTAAACTTTTTATAATAGAATCTCGTAGAAAATCTCGTAGAAAATTAGATCTTTTACTTATATGTGAAATTTTGTTTATCTATCTGAAACAGTACTCAAGTTATAGGCTTTTAAAAAACTAAAAGTAGAATAAGTTCCACTTTCCCACTCAAAGTCCCACTTTCTGTTATCGGAAATCACTGAAAAGTTGATACATAACTACACATTTGATATATATTTATATATGAAATTTCATCTACCTAGCTGTAACGGTAGTCAAGTTATCGTGTTTACAGACACACATACACACACACGGACAGAATTACAAATCCGTTTTTCTGACTCGAATACGCATAAAACGTCCACATTTTGATAAATTTGGATTTAGAATGTTTGCCCGATTAAAATAAGTTCCTTATAGGCCTACTCTGTGTGTTATGAAGTACTGAGATGTAAAACGGTGAAAACTGTCAAAATTTCATGTGATTCTTGTGCACTATTACAATACTTCCTCTATAGGCTACTCTGTATACGAGAAAGTAAAAAAAAAAGTTACTCCCTCTAATGTGGTGTCTGTATCAAACCGTACGGGTGGGTAGTTCAAGTGTTCAAGGAATATTCTAGCCTCTTGTCAGTGACGTAGCTAGCGTAAAGCTAGCGTAAGCAAGGAATAGGGGGCCAAGGCAAATAGGGGCCCTTTTTCCTCTTTAAATTTTTAAAAACTTTTACATTGGAATTTTAATATTTGTATTATAAAAATAATTTTAAAAGAAAACGGAAATCCAGTTTCTTTTCTATTGTAGAAGTGATCAAATGTTCTAAAAAAGGCCCCCAGACCTTTCTTACTTGGAAGGGGTTGCACAGGGTCCATCGGTATTAATATCACTATTGGCATGGTTGCATTGTCGGGCAAGCCGTTGAGAGAAGTAGCCTATACATAAACTTGAACATTGACTCTTTTGTGAGATAGGCACCCGGCACTCGCAAATTTATACGCATCGCTAAAAACTCTCTACCCCACCGCCACAAACCTGCACCCCTCCCCTCTCAACTCTCTGTCCTCACCGAAATTCCATCCATTCATGATTACAATTGAGTCCTTTTTTTATGTATTAGTACAAAGATGATCCATTCGCCAAGAAACATTTGGAAGTCGTTTAGAATAATTCAGACAAACCTCTACTTACCGTGAAATTTCATACCTCAAGCCAACATACGAGAAGTAGAGCCCCCCCCCCCCCCCCCCATCGAAGAGAAGCCAGAAAGAAACTCTGACTGCGTTAAGGTTTTCTGCCATTAAATATTTTTTTATTTCTTTCGGAGAGCGACCCCTTGACAGTAAGGCGGTTCAGTTTGCCACGCAGTTTCCTAGCGGCTTTCTTAGTACCTGGGGTCAGTGGATTGGGTGTCCTGCACAAGGGGTCAGGAATTTAACGGTCAAACTGCACAGGTGCATCAGCCGGCGCCCCGGGCTTCCCCTCGAGCATACGGCGCATACACTTGCTTTAATGAGCGCCATGCCTTAGGGCTACAGAGAAAGAAAATTAGGGGTGTCCTCCAGCCGCCTCGGCAGTAGTATACATTAGGCGCCCCGAGTCTCTCCATTATTATGATGTTATGAAACAAGTTGTAGATATGCCTTTGGGTCAGTAACTTGTTCATCCTAAGTATCGAACATACAGCAGAAACTAAAATGGACTTCAAGGAACATATTAATCACTTTGCAAACTTAAACAAAGAAAATATATATATATATAAATGAGCAAAGTTTAAAAATGTGTATTTGGTTAGTGGCGTCACAAGGTTCGATATCACCCGGCGCGTTTAGTGAGTTTCACCCCCACCCCGTCCAACAATGCTACTGTGTTAGGTTACTAAAATGTTACAGGTTTACAGTAAATTTTTTAGTTCTTTTTTTAAAATAAAAGTGATATAAAATCAAAGGTATTTTACGATACGGGGGTACTACATAATAATACCGTATAAATACACAATCAGAACGGATAAAATGCACAATTTACAGATTGACGTAGGGGCTCAATTATAATTTTTGCATAGGGGCCCAAAAATACTAGCTACGCCACTGCCTCTTGTCTGAGATTACTGACCCTTTTCGTATCTTCGGTTGCTCTGAAACGCGATTAAAATCATTCATGAATGACAAACATACCTGTCCCGCGCGATGCTGCGGTCTCAGAAAAAAAGTCTGACGCTATATTTAAACTGATTTCATAATGCGTTACAAATCGTGTATTTTTTTAGACGCATGGTGTAAGGGGTCGTCCATAAATGGCGTCACATTCGTAGGGGGGAGGGGGGCGTAATTTTGTGACAGTGTGTGATCAGGAAGGGGAGGGAGGGGGTTCAGATTAGATGGTGTTACGTCACACTTTTGCATTATAAAAATAAATAAATTTGAAAACGAATTTTAGCCGTTATTTCGCGTTTTAGAAAACTGTTTTAATAAATTGTAATAGGAATTGATTAACATACTCTATGTTGACAGAGTTCAGACACGAGTTTGGAAAACATCGTATTTTAAGAAGAATTCAACTACAATTTTGAGGGGGCGGGGGTAGTAGGCTGAGTTGTGACGTCATGTGGGGGGTGGGGGTCTGGCTTTTTGTGACGATGTGTGACGGAGTGGAGTGAGGGAGGTAAAATTGTCAAACATCGTGACGTCATTCATGTATAAGCCCTAACTCTCCGATCTTCTGATCAGTGTTTCTTCCAGACTTTTTTCTCCGGGGGGGGGGGGGGGGGGGGCACTTGAAATTTTCGGGGGGGGGCGGACACTGTTAAATGTATATATTTCTATATAAATTCCATTTCGTTCGGGGGGGGGGGGGGGGGCGGTAGACTTTTTTTCGGGGGTGGGGGGGAGATGCCTGGAAGAAACTCTGCTTCTGATTGAATCATCTAAAAACAAATGTGTTATTAATCATTATTTTTTAGAAGTGTTACTTATCTGACGAAACTTGACATATTACCAATCGTGTATTTTTCTAAAACTGAGTTACTCAAATGTCGACAAAGGAGGCTCTCATCTGTATTTCTTGGTTCACATTTGTAGCGGCGAGGGTTTGTCTTTTTTGTCCACTCTCTTGAACGCTTCTTCCAATCCTAGTGCTAATTGAAATAAATGAAGGTCGCTAGACATGTTTATGAAAGTTTAATTCTAACCTTGAAATAATGCTGAAACATGATTTGGTTTTATGATAGGCGTTAGAAATTTACTAATTTTTGGTAAGCTAAACACCTATCAAAATTATTCGAATTCGTCAATTTGATAATAATATAATAATTATTTTAACAACAAAAACGAAAGAATAAATTGTTCTATTTTATTTCTAAACTGCTGACGCTTAGAGTTCTACATTAGTCTTTAAAATTACTAACAGCAGACGTAAATATAAATATATTTATTATAGGCCTAGGCTATTTATTTATTATTTAGTATTTAGTAATCTACTACGAGATTCTAGATCTAGATCTAGATCTTAGATTCTAAGAATCTACTAGGTGTACTATTGGGTCTAGTTACACCACATTCTAGATCTAGATTCTATTAGTAGATCTAGAAACTAACAGCATTGTAATTTACTAATATGTATAGGCTAGGCTTTTTGATGAGAATTACAGAATGATTTTTTTTATTAAAAATGTATCAATAATAGCTAGAACACTAGTAAACTAAGCTAATTTAGCATATTTTAACTTTCTGTGTAAAGTCATTATTACTGAAAAAAAATTCCAAAGTCAGGTCAGTCTGTGGCAACCTCCAATGAACTTGACAGAAGGAAAAAAAACTTGACCCGTGACCTTCATTAAAACAGAATTTGCTTTTGTTTTTTTTTTTAATTTTCAGTATACATGTGCTTAATCTTACCCAATAAGTGATAAAAATTTGAAAATTAATTTTAATTACTGGTGTAAAGTGACATAAACAGCTTAATAAACACGTGTTTTCTTGAGGGGGTGTGGCCCGGGTGTGGCACATCCTGACATCGCATTGTTTGTAACTTTATATTTCTGTGTTTTATGACTATATTTGTTCACAATCAGCATGCTATGCTTTTAATTTTGATAAAGGGTAAGTATACCAAGTTACAAAACCTGAAATCTAACTAATAATTCATACTTTCAGTTTAAAAAATAATGAAAACGATCATCAATGAAGAAAGCGTAAACATTCTATTTTTAGGTGTGACATAAAAAAACAGTCATAAATCTAGCCAAATGATTGGATTCTTGCGCAGCACACATTTTCCCGCGCCTCGTTTTCACTAAGCAAGATTATAATAAAATGGCATTATTGGGGGGTGATCGTTTTCCCACGCACATATCTCATTAACACGCCAAATTATTACCAGTTAATGGTAATGTGTGTAAAATTAATACTTTAAAGTTTACATCTGACATAAGCTGGTTTGCATCTGGAAGCGATATGTAAGAGTTATTTGATATAAAAGACAAGAATTCATAGAGCTACTTTCACTAAGGCGCCGCTTGCGAGACAAACAAAGGAATTAGGCCAAAAGTAGATCCGACAATTCTTAAATAACAGACTTAAATAGAAACGGATAGTTCCGATTTCTTAAATTAACGATGGCTTCGTAATCATTAGTTTTATCGCTCTACCCATTAGTGAAAGCGAAACTGGTCGCCATTTTTGGTAAGCGCATGAGCCGTGAGATGGCTTCAAAACAACAAACCCGGAAGCTGCGAATTCGAACGGCCTAGTATAGGCATTCCGACTTCCGCTGTTTCGATTCGGTATTCAACATCCGGACTTTTCGATGCAGTCTTTATAAAAACTCGCCCTTTTCCGAAGAATGCCGAATCTCAATGTTGGAATCGAGTTTTTAGAAATATTCGATATAGATATTCTAGTGTAGTCGTATTATATGTTTCAATTAGAAAATTACCGCCATTATGACAATCTTTAAGCCGAAATCGATCGCACGATTCTAATGAGTTTATCTCGCGAACATGTCCCGTACGGTGCTGTCACATTTTAAATGAGTTTACGTATTAAACCCTTTATAAGTGTCTTGCCATTAGTTGTAAGTGTCCATTAAATAAACAAATATTATTATAATAACGGTTTTATGGCACTTACTACTTCTGCTTACGAGTTATCATACATGTCAAATCCCCGAGCTAGCGCTTCGGCCTTGACAACGCCATGGCGTCGGTTTAGCACCGCATTACCTATTATCGATAAAATACGCGCACTAATGCCAATGACGTAGTTTTCGAAGTTGGAAAGAATTTAAATTGTGGGTGGCACTGTTAAAACTAGATAAAATACGTTGATCAAGTTATCTATTAAAACCGACAGGCAAGAAGCTTAGGCTTACATTAAATAGTGTTAAGCATTTCACACATACCTACTTACTTAATTACTTAGATTTAAGGCTAATACTAATAGCCTTTAATATACTATTATACTTTATACTATAAATAAGTTATAGGCCTATTTCTTAGTATAACTAATGCTATATACTATATGTATCGATTGATAAAGTAAGTCTGGGCCTATTATTGGTTATGATAAGTAAAGAAGCTTGGTGATAAACTTATTTAATTATTTGTAATAATTATGCTTATGACATTAGTAAATAATTAACAAAAGGTGCAGCAATTGACATGGGGGGGGGGGTACTAATTAATAAGGCAGTGAATTTAGAATGACATGAAAAAGGGATGATAATTATTATTCATAATAATTTAGGATACAATTTTTACATTTAATATTAAAAAGTAACAAAAAACAAATAACAACAAACAATACGGATTTAAATCACTGCATGTTGCCAATATATATATTCATATAAGCAGATAGACAGGGAAGCTGTAACTTCTGATTTGGTACAAATTAACACTTAGCTTAATAAACTTTTACAAGAATTTAAGGTTTTTCTATTGATTAGTAATTTAGTTGTACCAAAATATCAATAGGGTCTTATAAAGGCCCTAGTATATTAAAGTAGTTTCCCTTTTGGACCTGTCAATCCATCATCCATAAAGCAGCTGAAGTAGAGTTTATCTGTTTCTTGACCCATGCACATGAAGTGATGGTGTGGTTAGCTCTCTGCCAAGCTATCTTTACTTTCCCTTGGGTCAGGTACTCATCTGAGCTTGGTGGATGCTGCACGCTGCACAGACAGACTCGTCTAAGATCTGAGCTTAAGACTTGCATGTTAGTAGTTGAGTGCTTTAACACACCATCCCTAGTTTTATTTTTCAGCATTCTTCTTATTACATGCTTCAGTATCAATAACCAAAATGTATCCTATTATATTAACATTCTGGACATACGTCCGTTGCAGTCACTATAATTACTATAAAAGGGTGCAACACCCTTTCATAGGACTTTTTAATTATATGCAGTCATACTTAATATAATTTTTTTCTATATTTCTATTGCCCCCACCCTCTAGCAAAGTTTCAATTTTAATATTAAAAAAAAAACATAGACTTTCAGTCTGCATATTGACCTATATAGAACAGCACCCCTCACTTTAATTTGACTTGATTAGTTCTAATTATCCTTCATCAAATTTTGATTTTACTTTCATATTTCTATTGCCCACACTCTCTAGCACTAATGTGCAAAGTTTTATAATTATATCTCGAATAGCAGCAGTGGTATGCAAGCCTAAAGCCAATCACACAATTAAATCCGATGTTACAGTGATATATAACAGGTTTTATACATAACTTTAAAAATTCATATAAAAAAAACTATTAGGCCTAGAATGATAAATTTGGTATTTTTATCAATGGGGTGTATTATAGGATTAATCTGTGTACATTTTATCATTCTATGGTAATTAGGAAAAATATCCCAACATTCCTAATATGTAATTATTTACTAATTATGTATTGTAATGTAACATATTCAACCAAATAGATCTAGATCTAGACTAGATCACTAGTCACTAGACACTAGACTATCATCATTTATTACTGAAAAGTTTTAATTCAATTGTATAAAAACAGGTACATAAATGAAACAAGGAAATATTTTTGTATTTTTCAAAACACAAATCCTCCTCAAAATGTGAAATAATTAATTATTAAAATTTAAGGAGTCACCTTTTTTTAACATTACTAGTCGCGGGCGATTTTACGTACCCAAAACGATAGATTACCAATATATTGTATATAGATCTAGGCCTATTTTTGTTTGGTAATCGATCGTTTTGGGTACGTAAAATCGCCCTTAGTTAAGGGTCGGAAGTTATCCAGTAATGTTTGTTGAGTTTCGTAAACAAAAGTTACGGTAAACCATGGTATATTTGACCATTGAAATATAAAGTCAATTGTAGGAAATTAATGTTTTAATTTTTTAACTTAAGTCTAATCAACATAAGGCTAAACTAATGAAACAGGAATAAATATAATAGTAGATTTAAATTAGTAGATCTAAAGATATAGGCCTATAGATCTAAATATAAAATAATAAAGTCAAATGTAGTAATTTGTTTAATGAGGTACTAGATTTATTAGTTAAGTAGGGTAAGTTAAGTTCCCTTTTCAAACCTGACAGTCTATAGGGCAAGTGAAGTAGAGTTCACTTGTTTCTGTGATCTCGGCATATGAAGATATGGTGTGGTCAGCACTATGCCCAGCCGCCTTTCCCTGATGTGAATCAGGTACCCATCAGAGCTAGAGTCTCAAGACAGGACCAAGATCCAAACTCTAGACTTTCAGGATAGCAATTCAGCCCTCTACCACTTGACCACTCTGCCCAATTAAATCAGTAGTAATATAACTGTAAAATTTGGAAAAAGAACAACACAGATATCTTGATTAGATCTAGAACAAGATTATTCTAGATCTATCTAATAGACTAATCTAGGTTGTTGCACATTGTACACAATTATAAGTATTTAAAAAATGTGTGCTTACATTTGAACTCAGAAATATGCAAATCCTAAACATAGTCATGCATTACAGCACATAATTCTAATGTATTTAATTTAACCTTTGTTTTTTTTTAGAAGGGCATCATTTTTAAAAAGATGAATAAATCATCTATGTATGTTGACTACCCAGCAAAAAAACAATGAATTCAAATATATTAAATTTGACATGAATATATTTACGAACAGACACCAGCATATGTAGAACATGTTAGCATACACGTTGTTCAATATATGGACTCCATTCAAGGTTAGCTGTTTTATTCATGCGCAAATATTATTCTTGGAAATGTTTTGTATTAGTCAAAGCTGTTATTATTTATATCAATCTGTACCATCTGTACCAAATACATATACATACATCATGAAATTATTTGTATCAATGTTTACCAAATACATACATTTTATATATGCACAGATTGCCTAGTGAAACAGTATTTTGACTATTTTACTTACAGAATCTGAAGGGGAAAGTAACAAATCTCCCAACCTTTTCCTGCCTTTAACTGGCAATGAAAACTTCACCAGACTCCAGTAAGTACAAACAAAATACTCAGTACTTGATTTCACTAACTACCTCTGTGCTATACAATCATTTGATTTCACTAACTACCTCTGTGCTATACCATGATTTGATTTCACTAACTACCTCTGTGCTATACAATCATTTGATTTCACTAACTACCTCTGTGCTATACAATCATTTGATTTCACTAACTACCTCTGTGCTATGCATGTCATACTCAGTACTAAAAAGTTAAACTTTGCACCAGGGATAAATTTGAACAGTACTTTGGTGAGGTTGATGAAGAAAGTGAGGTTGCCAGGGGTAACGTGTCCCAATGGAAGCTGTCAGACTCACAATGGCTAAACTCACAGTACACCAGGACACCAGCTACACCTGGAAAAGGAAAACTCAGGCCAACATGGAAACCACCTAAGTAAGTTTAGACTTTAACAGGAACTTGGTTATAAACACATCATTTCTATCTCTTTTACCCTAATTTGCTGTTGTTCATTAACTCTTTAAAACCTTAAGTCAAAATATAATTTTAAACATTAAGCATTATATTTATTCTGACCAAATTGATCATTCAAAGTTAACAGCCCTCCACTTTTAAAGTATTTAATTTAAACCTAAGTAAGTAACCTGCAAAATATTTTTAAGTATTTTCAAAACCTCCCTTTCCATACAATTGTAAACCCACTAATAATCAGTTGTTCCACCTGCTTATTTATTTCTTTAGGTTGTGATCTATAATTGATTTTAAAAAATCTAAGTGTACATGTTATGTAAAGTAATCAATAGAAAACTTAAATACATCAAATATTTGCATTTGCACAAAAATTTACAAGGCAACTATCTCCCATGTTAAAAAGTAGATGGTAAGATATTTCCAGAACATTGATTCTTTGACAACAACTCGATGTTTGATAGAACATTCTCAAATTATTTAAAAAAAATTACTATGTATCTACTATATCAAAATCTATCTAAAATGTGTTATTATTAGAGTAGCCTGTTACTTGACCTACTTTTTTTACTGTCGTCATGGTAATGATTGCTGCCGAAAACGACAATACAGTGATTCCGTTTTTTAACGTTTCATGGTCATTTCAGATATATATACTTAAAATAGTTATTTTGCATATTATTCAATGATACCAGTTTAGTTTTAACAATGGACGATTAGTGTTTGACACAAACTTGCCATTTGTACATTTTTTTGGTCTAATCACTGAGAATATCAAGCAGATCATAATAAAAGTAAGCAAAACATGAATTTCTTTATTTAATATTGTTCTAAACATACTGAAAATATATTCTAAACTATAGAAAATTCTAACTTGCTTTCTACTAAACTAATGTCATTAATGTATTAAAAATCATGCAGGGTAAAAACAAAGCCTATAAAAAATAACTTGATCAAGACAACAGCTAAGTAAGCTCGCCCATTTTGCCCGCCGTGTATTTGAATAGGGAGAAATCTAGCAGACAATACATTTCTGCTAAATGGCACTGAACAACAACACTCTTTAAAAAACTAACCCACCATTTCACTGAAAATGGGTCATATCACCGTAGCCATTTATAAACAAACGCGTTTTTTCACAATTCATTTTCTAGGCTACCGATTAAATTTGATAAATAAAATTGGTATCAAATTAAAGGTAAATTAATGTAGTTTTTAATTGTTTAATTCATCTTAAACAATAATGAAGTTTAAAATCTTAGGCGACACCCTACATTAGAGCTTGACTTTTGTCCAAAGTTAGAAAGAAATGGGTTATGTGTTAGTGGATGCCAAGCTTCACAACTAACACAATCACAACTAACACAATCACAACTAACACAGTCAGAACTAACACAGTCACAACTAACACAGTCACAACTAACACAGTCACAACTAACACAATCACAACTAACACAGTCACAACTAACACAGTGAGAACTAACACAGTCACAACTAACACAATCACAACTAACACAATCACAACTAACACAATCACAACTAACACAATCACAACTAACACAATCACAACTAACACAGTCAGAACTAACACAGTCACAACTAACACAATCACAACTAACACAATCACAACTAACACAGTCACAACTAACACAGTGAGAACTAACACAGTCACAACTAACACAATCACAACTAACACAATCACAACTAACACAGTCACAACTAACACAGTCACAACTAACACAGTCACAACTAACACAATCACAACTAACACAATCACAACTAACACAATCACAACTAACACAATCACAACTAACACAATCACAACTAACACAGTCACAACTAACACAGTCACAACTAACACAGTCACAACTAACACAATCACAACTAACACAATCACAACTAACACAGTCACAACTAACACAGTCACAACTAACACAGTCACAACTAACACAATCACAACTAACACAGTCACAACTAACACAATCACAACTAACACAGTCCCAACTAACACAATCACAACTAACACAATCACAACTAACACAATCACAACTAACACAGTCACAACTAACACAATCACAACTAACACAGTCACAACTAACACAGTCACAACTAACACAGTCACAACTAACACAGTCACAACTAACACAATCACAACTAACACAATCACAACTAACACAGTCACAACTAACACAATCACAACTAACACAATCACAACTAACACAGTCACAACTTACACAAGTCACAACTAACACAGTCACAACTAACACAGTCACAACTAACACAATCACAACTAACACAGTCACAACTAACACAATCACAACTAACACAATCACAACTAACACAGTCACAACTAACACAATCACAACTAACACAGTCACAACTAACACAATCACAACTAACACAGTCACAACTAACACAGTCACAACTAACACAATCACAACTAACACAGTCCCAACTAACACAATCACAACTAACACAATCACAACTAACACAGTCACAACTAACACAGTCACAACTAACACAGTCACAACTAACACAGTCACAACTAACACAGTCACAACTAACACAGTCACAACTAACACAGTCACAACTAACACAATCACAACTAACACAGTCACAACTAACACACTCACAACTAACACAATCACAACTTACACAGTCACAACTAACACAGTCACAACTAACACAGTCACAACTAACACAATCACAACTAACACAGTCACAACTAACACAGTCACAACTAACACAATCACAACTAACACAGTCACAACTAACACAGTCACAACTAACACAGTCACAACTAACACAATCACAACTAACACAGTCACAGCTAACACACTCACAACTAACACAATCACAACTAACACAGTCACAACTAACACAATCACAACTAACACAATCACAACTAACACAATCACAACTAACACAATCACAACTAACACAATCACAACTAACACAGTCACAACTTACACAAGTCACAACTAACACAGTCACAACTAACACAATCACAACTAACACAATCACAACTAACACAATCACAACTAACACAGTCACAACTAACACAATCACAACTAACACAGTCACAACTAACACAATCACAACTAACACAGTCACAACTAACACAGTCACAACTAACACAATCACAACTAACACAATCACAACTAACACAATCACAACTAACACAATCACAACTAACACAATCACAACTAACACAGTCACAACTAACACAATCACAACTAACACAATCACAACTAACACAGTCACAACTAACACAGTCACAACTAACACAATCACAACTAACACAATCACAACTAACACAATCACAACTAACACAATCACAACTAACACTGTCACAACTAACACAATCACAACTAACACAATCACAACTAACACAATCACAACTAACACAATCACAACTAACACAATCACAACTAACACAATCACAACTAACACAATCACAACTAACACAATCACAACTAACACAATCACAACTAACACAATCACAACTAACACAATCACAACTAACACAATCACAACTAACACAATCACAACTAACACAATCACAACTAACACAATCACAACTAACACAGTCACAACTAACACAATCACAACTAACACAATCACAACTAACACCATCACAACTAACACAATCATTGTTTAAGGTCCAAGTTACAGCTGCAAGAAAAAGATGTTTCCTGCAGCTCACGGCAGTATTTAGAACCACTTCATCGAGGGGAGAGAATTCCATCTGATCAGAACTTTGATGCAGGGGAGACAACCACATCTAATAAGTGCTGGTATGAAGGGGAGACAAGTGAGGGCAGCACTCACTGGACTAGTGGTAAGAGCTTGTAAATTTTAACACATTAACCTAGACATAACCCCTAATGTCCACCCACCCAAGACTGAGAAAACCCTGCTGTATGTATACCACCCATAAGTCATGTATATTCATACAGCTGTTTATATTATAGTTGTTTATAATCTTACAGCTGTTTATCTTACTTTCAGCTATTTATATTAATACAACTTAGATGAAAACAAACACTGAGGTATAATAAATATCTACATTTCATTCATTTACTGTTAAAACAACTACCATTATTAAAGAAGTGAAAGAATGGTGTTTTGTTTCACCATGGTTACACCCGGAAGATTGTTTTTAACCAAATTTATCCTTAAATAAAAAAAAAACAACCCAGATTTTACTTTCTGGTAAAGCACATTTGTTCTTGTCCAAGAAATGTAACAAATGAGAGGAGAGTGTGGGTGTGGCCAAGTTTCTTTCATCCTCTCTATTTCACATGTCAGAAGATGGTATGTCAGAAGGTATTTTAGATACCTGTATTTCACATGTCAGAAGATGGTATGTCAGAAGGTATTTTAGATACCTGTATTTCACATGTCAGAAGATGTCCTACAGGTATTTTAGATACCTGTATTTCCTGTCTAACTGAGTCACTTGGTTTTTACTTTTTGTAACAGCTCACTTGTTTTAACTGTAAAAACAGATCAGTTGTGTCTACTTTCTGATACAGACCAATGCTATTACCTGTTGATATAGACTAGTTGTTTTACCTGTAGACCTACCTATTAATCGAATGTTTTACCCCATTTTGCTTGCCAGTACAGATAAATCTTACACCAACAAATAATGTTTTACAATTGTCTATTTTTCCAGGATTTTCCTCACATGATACAGAGAGGCCCAAACTGACCATTCCCCCACAAGGTCCAAAAGTAGACTTCCCTCTCTCAGCTACTGATGTCCAGCCTCCAGTAGTGGTCAGTTATTGTAGCAAAAGGAGCAATAATATGCATATTATATTGAAGTTACCTGCCGTTGTCCTGTTTGTTGTAACCTATTGCTTTATTACAAAGTCATAGTTACCTTGCTAAATAAAAAAAACAAAAAAAAACCAACATAAAAAGCTCACATAAAAAACATTAAAAACCCACATAAAAAACCCCACATAAAAAACCCACATAAAAAACCCACATAAAAAAACCCACATAAAAAACCCACATAAAAAAACCACATAAAAAACCCACATAAAAAAACCCACATAAAAAACCCACATAAAAAACCCCACATAAAAAACCCCACATAAAAAACCCACATAAAAAACCCCAAATAAAAAACCCACCTAAAAAACCCACTTGTTTCAGGTACCAGGGACCATCAACCAATATCTACGAGATTACCAAAGGGAGGGAATTAAGTTTTTGTATCAACACTACTGCAAGAACCTAGGAGCAATTCTAGGGGATGATATGGGTCTAGGCAAGACAATTCAGGTTTGAGCAGTTCTAGGGGATGATATGGGTCTAGGCAAGACAATTCAGGTTTGAGCAGTTCTAGGGGATGATATGGGTCTAGGCAAGACAATTCAGGTTTGAGCAGTTCTAGGGGATGATATGGGTCTAGGCAAGACAATTCAGGTTTGAGCAATTCTAGGGGATGATATGGGTCTAGGCAAGACAATGCAGGTTTGAGCAATTCTAGGGGATGATATGGGTCTAGGCAAGACAATTCAGGTTTGAGCAGTTCTAGGGGATGATATGGGTCTAGGCAAGACAATTCAGGTTTGAGCAGTTCTAGGGGATGATATGGGTCTAGGCAAGACAATTCAGGTTTGAGCAGTTCTAGGGGATGATATGGGTCTAGGCAAGACAATTCAGGTTTGAGCAATTCTAGGGGATGATATGGGTCTAGGCAAGACAATTCAGGTTTGAGCAATTCTAGGGGATGATATGGGTCTAGGCAAGACAATTCAGGTTTGAGCAATTCTAGGGGATGATATGGGTCTAGGCAAGACAATTCAGGTTTGAGCAATTCTAGGGGATGATATGGGTCTAGGCAAGACAATGCAGGTTTGAGCAATTCTTCTTGACAAATTAATCTTAAACCCTCAGGTACAGTACACACTGACACAGGAGTTGACTGAACTTTTACAATATAGGCTATTCATTGCTACCTAATAACCTCTACACACATGTTTTAGGTCATTGGATTCCTGTCAGCCCTGCTGGGTAAAAAGGGAAACTACTCTGACAGCTATTATACTTTACCTAGATTTATTCGAGAGGTAAAGACAGCCATTCAGTTATTTTAATTGAACCTAATCTTTCCGTGCCCAAAATAACAAATGTTTTTGTCACTGTAAAACTGATGACTGGGTTGTGATGAACTCATGATGACTCCAGCATTTGATCTTGAAATTAATAAGCATGACTAGTATAAACATGGTAAGAGCTCCTAGCTCATAGAAGATCATTACACCAATTAACAAGACAATCATCTAGGCAACCACTACAACACTTAATAAAAAAATGACCAACTTTAATTTACAAGCTGACACCCACGATTTTTTCAAGTTTTCAGATGATTTCCCTGAAGCTACAACACGAAGGTGTTGCAAACCATTTTTAATTATTGGGCCTAGTGCCACCTTGTACAACTGGCTGACAGAGCTCAATGTCTGGGGATACTTTACTGCCAAGTATGTCAACATGCCATGTTTAACATATCTCATCATGTCAACATGCCATGTTTAACATTTCTCATCATGTCAACATGCCATGTTTAACATTTCTCATCATGTCAACATACCATGTTTAACATTTCTCATCATGTCAACATGCCATGTTTAACATTTCTCATCATATCTATATGCCATGTTTTAGCATTTCTCATCATGTCTGCATGCCATGTTTAACATTTCTCATCATGTCAACATGCCATGTTTAACATTTCTCATCATGTCAACATGCCATGTTTAACATTTCTCATCATGTCAACATGCCATGTTTAACATTTCTCATCATGTCAACATGCCATGTTTAACATTTCTCATCATGTCTGCATGCCATGTTTAACATTTCTCATCATGTCTGCATGCCATGTTTAACATTTCTCATCATGTCAACATGCCATGTTTAACATTTCTCATCATGTCAACATGCCATGTTTAACATTTCTCATCATGTCTGCATGCCATGTTTAACATTTCTCATCATGTCAACATGCCATGTTTAACATTTCTCATCATGTCTATACATTTCTCACCCTCTATATGTGAAATGTAGAAAATTCCACGGCCCTGACAAAGAGACTTGTCTTGCTGACCTAGCTAAAGGGAAACTGGAAATCATTGTAACAACATTTGAAACCTTTAGAGAAAACCTGGTATGAGTTTGAAAGACTTTTTTTTTGTATGTCACAGTTGGCTATATGAAATACTGTTCTACAATTTGTACATAAATTGTGTGATGCTATTTGTACAGAGATTGTGTGTGTTGCTATTTGTACAAAAATTGTGTGAAATGCTATTTGTACAAAAATTGTGTGAGTTGCTATTTGTACAAAAATTGTGTGAGGTGCTATTTGTACAAAAATTGTGTGAGTTGCTATTTGTACAAAAATTGTGTGAAATGCTATTTGTACAAAAATTGTGTGAGTTGCTATTTGTACAAAAATTGTGTGAGGTGCTATTTGTACAAAAATTGTGTGAGGTGCTGTTTGTACAAAAATTGTGTGAGGTGCTGTTTGTACAAAAATTGTGTGAGGTGCTGTTTGTACAAAAATTGTGTGAGGTGCTGTTTGTACAAAAATTGTGTGAGGTGCTGTTTGTACAAAAATTGTGCGAGGTGCTATTTGTACAAAATTGTGTGAGGTGCTGTTTGTACAAAAATTGTGTGAGGTGCTGTTTGTACAAAAATTGTGTGAGGTGCTGTTTGTACAAAAATTGTGTGAGGTGCTGTTTGTACAAAAATTGTGTGAGGTGCTGTTTGTACAAAAATTGTGCGAGGTGCTATTTGTACAAAATTGTGCGAGGTGCTGTTTGTACAAAAATTGTGTGAGTTGCTATTTGTACAAAATTGTGTGAGGTGCTATTTGTACAAAATTGTGCGAGGTGCTGTTTGTACAAAATTGTGCGAGGTGCTATTTGTACAAAATTGTGTGAGGTGCTATTTGTACAAAATTGTGTGAGGTGCTGTTTGTACACAATTGTGCGAGGTGCTATTTGTACAAAATTGTGTGAGGTGCTATTTGTACAAAATTGTGTGAGGTGCTGTTTGTACCTACATACTGATGATTTTTTCCTTGTGTGTTGTCAGCATAGACTGAACCAGATCCAGTGGGAAGCTGTTATTGTTGATGAGGTTCACAAAATTAAGGTAATTAGTTTTAATGCTTTGAATTAATTTGCTAGTAACTAGATTAGTTGCCCCGGACTTTCTAATTGTTTGATTGGTTGCCCCAGACTTTCTAATTGTTTGATTGGTTGCCCCAGACTTTCTAATTGTTTGATTGGTTGCCCCAGACTTTAAAAGCTCAAGTGACTCAAGCGCTGCGCACACTGAACACACCATGTCGCTTTGGTCTGACTGGTACTGCCCTGCAGAATAACTTTCTGGAATTGTGGAGCATTTTAGATTGGTATGTTCTCTTTAACTCTTCAATCTGTACGATTTTTTAAATTTCTAAACTGGCTCATGAGGTCTGAACTAGCTATTTCTAGGACCCAGCCAGAACTAGCTATCAATTTGTTTTCTAGGACCCAGCCTGAACTAGCTATCATTCTGTTTTCTAGAGCCCAGCCTGAACTAGCTATCAATCTGTTTTCTAGGGTCCAGCCTGAACTAGCTATCATTCTGTTTTCTAGAGCCCAGCCTGAACTAGCTATCAATCTGTTTTCTAGGGCCCAGCCTGAACTAGCTATCCATTTGTTTTCTAGGGCCCAGCCTGAACTTGCTATCAATTTGTTTTCTAGGGCCCAGCCTGAACTAGCTATCAATCTGTTTTCTAGGGCCCAGCCTGAACTAGCTATCAATCTGTTTTCTAGGGCCCAGCCTGAACTAGCTATCAATCTGTTTTCTAGGGCCCAGCCTGAACTAGCTATCAATTTGTTTTCTAGGACCCAGCCTGAACTAGCTATCACTTTGTTTTCTAGGACCCAGCCTGAACTAGCTATCAATTTGTTTTCTAGGGCCCAGCCAGAACTAGCTATCAATTTGTTTTCTAGGACCCAGCCTGAACTAGCTATCATTCTGTTTTCTAGAGCCCAGCCTGAACTAGCTATCAATCTGTTTTCTAGGGTCCAGCCTGAACTAGCTATCATTCTGTTTTCTAGAGCCCAGCCTGAACTAGCTATCAATCTGTTTTCTAGGGCCCAGCCTGAACTAGCTATCCATTTGTTTTCTAGGGCCCAGCCTGAACTTGCTATCAATTTGTTTTCTAGGGCCCAGCCTGAACTAGCTATCAATCTGTTTTCTAGGGCCCAGCCTGAACTAGCTATCAATCTGTTTTCTAGGGCCCAGCCTGAACTAGCTATCAATCTGTTTTCTAGGGCCCAGCCTGAACTAGCTATCAATTTGTTTTCTAGGACCCAGCCTGAACTAGCTATCACTTTGTTTTCTAGGACCCAGCCTGAACTAGCTATCAATTTGTTTTCTAGGGCCCAGCCAGAACTAGCTATCAATTTGTTTTCTAGAGCCAAGCCTGAACTAGCTATCAATTTGTTTTCTAGGGCCCAGCCAGAACTAGCTATCAATTTGTTTTCTAGAGCCAAGCCTGAACTAGCTATCAATTTGTTTTCTAGGGCCCAGCCAGAACTAGCTATCAATTTGTTTTCTAGAGCCAAGCCTGAACTAGCTATCAATTTGTTTTCTAGGGCCCAGCCTGAACTAGCTATCACTTTGTTTTCTAGGACCCAGCCTGAACTAGCTATCAATTTGTTTTCTATGGCCCAGCCTGAACTAGCTATCACTTTGTTTTCTAGGGCCCAGTCAGAACTAGCTATCAATTTGTTTTCTAGGACCCAGCCTGAACTAGCTATCAATTTGTTTTCTAGGACCCAGCCTGAACTAGCTATCACTTTGTTTTCTTGGGCCCAGCCTGAACTAGCTATCAATTTGTTTTCTAGGGCCCAGCCTGAACTAGCTATCACTTTGTTTTCTAGGGCCCAGCCTGAACTAGCTATCATTCTGTTTTCTAGGGCCCAGCCTGAACTAGCTATCAATTTGTTTTCTAGGACCCAGCCTGAACTAGCTATCAATTTGTTTTCTAGGACCCAGCCAGAACTAGCTATCAATTTGTTTTCTAGGGCCCAGCCTGAACTAGCTATCAATCTGTTTTCTAGGGCCCAGCCTGAACTAGCTATCAATCTGTTTTCTAGGGCCCAGCCTGAACTAGCTATCAATCTGTTTTCTAGGGCCCAGCCTGAACTAGCTATCAATCTGTTTTCTAGGGCCCAGCCTGAACTAGCTATCAATTTGTTTTCTAGAGCCAAGCCTGAACTAGCTATCAATTTGTTTTCTAGGGCCCAGCCAGAACTAGCTATCAATTTGTTTTCTAGAGCCAAGCCTGAACTAGCTATCAATTTGTTTTCTAGGGCCCAGCCAGAACTAGCTATCAATTTGTTTTCTAGAGCCAAGCCTGAACTAGCTATCAATTTGTTTTCTAGGGCCCAGCCTGAACTAGCTATCACTTTGTTTTCTAGGACCCAGCCTGAACTAGCTATCAATTTGTTTTCTATGGCCCAGCCTGAACTAGCTATCACTTTGTTTTCTAGGGCCCAGTCAGAACTAGCTATCAATTTGTTTTCTAGGACCCAGCCTGAACTAGCTATCAATTTGTTTTCTAGGACCCAGCCTGAACTAGCTATCACTTTGTTTTCTAGGGCCCAGCCTGAACTAGCTATCAATTTGTTTTCTAGGGCCCAGCCTGAACTAGCTATCACTTTGTTTTCTAGGGCCCAGCCTGAACTAGCTATCATTCTGTTTTCTAGGGCCCAGCCTGAACTAGCTATCAATTTGTTTTCTAGGACCCAGCCTGAACTAGCTATCAATTTGTTTTCTAGGACCCAGCCAGAACTAGCTATCAATTTGTTTTCTAGGGCCCAGCCTGAACTAGCTATCAATCTGTTTTCTAGGGCCCAGCCTGAACTAGCTATCAATCTGTTTTCTAGGGCCCAGCCTGAACTAGCTATCAATCTGTTTTCTAGGGCCCAGCCTGAACTAGCTATCAATCTGTTTTCTAGGGCCCAGCCTGAACTAGCTATCAATCTGTTTTCTAGGGCCCAGCCTGAACTAGCTATCAATTTGTTTTCTAGGGCCCAGCCTTAACTAGCTATCATTCTGTTTTCTAGGACCCAGCCTGAACTAGCTATCATTCTGTTTTCTAGGGCCCAGCCTGAACTAGCTATCAATTTGTTTTCTAGGGCCCAGCCTTAACTAGCTATCATTCTGTTTTCTAGGGCCCAGCCTGAACTAGCTATCATTCTGTTTTCTAGGGCCCAGCCTGAACTAGCTATCATTCTGTTTTCTAGGGCCCAGCCTGAACTAGCTATCAATCTGTTTTCTTGGGCCCAGCCTGAACTAGCTATCAATTTGTTTTCTAGGGCCCAGCCTGAACTAGCTATCATTCTGTTTTCTAGGGCCCAGCCTGAACTAGCTATCATTCTGTTTTCTAGGGCCCAGCCTGAACTAGCTATCATTCTGTTTTCTAGGGCCCAGCCTGAACTAGCTATCATTCTGTTTTCTAGGGCCCAGCCTGAACTAGCTATCATTCTGTTTTCTAGGGCCCAGCCTGAACTAGCTATCATTCTGTTTTCTAGGGCCCAGCCTGAACTAGCTATCATTCTGTTTTCTAGGGCCCAGCCTGAACTAGCTATCATTCTGTTTTCTAGGGCCCAGCCTGAACTAGCTATCAATTTGTTTTCTAGGGCCCAGCCTGAACTAGCTATCAATTTGTTTTCTAGGGCCCAGCCTGAACTAGCTATCAATTTGTTTTCTAGGGCCCAGCCTGAACTAGCTATCATTCTGTTTTCTAGGGCCCAGCCTGAACTAGCTATCATTCTGTTTTCTAGGGCCCAGCCTGAACTAGCTATCATTCTGTTTTCTAGGGCCCAGCCTGAACTAGCTATCATTCTGTTTTCTAGGGCCCAGCCTGAACTAGCTATCAATTTGTTTTCTAGGGCCCAGCCTGAACTAGCTATCATTCTGTTTTCTAGGGCCCAGCCTGAACTAGCTATCAATTTGTTTTCTAGGGCCCAGCCTGAACTAGCTATCAATTTGTTTTCTAGGGCCCAGCCTGAACTAGCTATCATTCTGTTTTCTAGGGCCCAGCCTGAACTAGCTATCATTCTGTTTTCTAGGGCCCAGCCTGAACTAGCTATCATTCTGTTTTCTAGGGCCCAGCCTGAACTAGCTATCATTCTGTTTTCTAGGGCCCAGCCTGAACTAGCTATCATTCTGTTTTCTAGGGCCCAGCCTGAACTAGCTATCATTCTGTTTTCTAGGGCCCAGCCTGAACTAGCTATCATTCTGTTTTCTAGGGCCCAGCCTGAACTAGCTATCATTCTGTTTTCTAGGGCCCAGCCTGAACTAGCTATCATTCTGTTTTCTAGGGCCCAGTCAGAACTAGCTATCAATTTGTTTTCTAGGGCCCAGCCTGAACTAGCTATCATTCTGTTTTCTAGGGCCCAGCCTGAACTAGCTATCATTCTGTTTTCTAGGGCCCAGCCTGAACTAGCTATCATTCTGTTTTCTAGGGCCCAGCCTGAACTAGCTATCATTCTGTTTTCTAGGGCCCAGCCTGAACTAGCTATCATTCTGTTTTCTAGGGCCCAGCCTGAACTAGCTATCATTCTGTTTTCTAGGGCCCAGCCTGAACTAGCTATCATTCTGTTTTCTAGGGCCCAGCCTGAACTAGCTATCAATCTGTTTTCTAGGGCCCAGCCTGAACTAGCTATCATTCTGTTTTCTAGGGCCCAGCCTGAACTAGCTATCATTCTGTTTTCTAGGGTCCAGCCTGAACTAGCTATCAATTTGTTTTCTAGGGTCCAGCCTGAACTAGCTATCATTCTGTTTTCTAGGACCCAGCCTGAACTAGCTATCACTTTGTTTTCTAGGACCCAGCCTGAACTAGCTATCACTTTGTTTTCTAGGGCCCAGCCTGATCTAGCTATCATTCTGTTTTCTAGGACCCAGCCTGAACTAGCTATCACTTTGTTTTCTAGGACCCAGCCTGAACTAGCTATCACTTTGTTTTCTAGGGCCCAGCCTGATCTAGCTATCATTCTGTTTTCTAGGACCCAGCCTGAACTAGCTATCAATTTGTTTTCTAGGGCCCAGTCAGAACTAGCTATCAATCTGTTTTCTAGGGCCCAGCCTGAACTAGCTATCATTCTGTTTTCTAGGACCCAGCCTGAACTAGCTATCAATTTGTTTTCTAGGGCCCAGTCAGAACTAGCTATCACTTTGTTTTCTAGGACCCAGCCAGAACTAGCTATCAATCTGTTTTCTAGGGCCCAGCCAGAACTAGCTATCAATCTGTTTTCTAGGACCCAGCCTGATCTAGCTATCAATTTGTTTTCTAGGACCCAGCCTGAACTAGCTATCAATTTGTTTTCTAGGGCCCAGTCAGAACTAGCTATCACTTTGTTTTCTAGGACCCAGCCAGAACTAGCTATCAATCTGTTTTCTAGGGCCCAGCCAGAACTAGCTATCAATCTGTTTTCTAGGACCCAGCCTGATCTAGCTATCAATTTGTTTTCTAGGGCCCAGCCTGAACTAGCTATCATTCTGTTTTCTAGGACCCAGCCTGAACTAGCTATCAATTTGTTTTCTAGGGCCCAGTCAGAACTAGCTATCACTTTGTTTTCTAGGACCCAGCCAGAACTAGCTATCAATCTGTTTTCTAGGGCCCAGCCAGAACTAGCTATCAATCTGTTTTCTAGGACCCAGCCTGATCTAGCTATCAATTTGTTTTCTAGGGCCCAGCCAGAACTAGCTATCCATTTGTTTTCTAGGACCCAGCCTGAACTAGCTATCACTTTGTTTTCTAGGACCCAGCCTGAACTAGCTATCACTTTGTTTTCTAGGACCCAGCCTGATCTAGCTATCAATTTGTTTTCTAGGGCCCAGTCAGAACTAGCTATCAATTTGTTTTCTAGGGCCCAGCCAGAACTAGCTATCCATTTGTTTTCTAGGGCCCAGCCTGATCTAGCTATCAATTTGTTTTCTAGGACCCAGCCTAAACTAGCTATCAATTTGTTTTCTAGGGCCCAGCCTGAACTAGCTATCAATCTGTTTTCTAGGGCCCAGTCAGAACTAGCTATCAATTTGTTTTCTAGGGCCCAGCCAGAACTAGCTATCCATTTGTTTTCTAGGGCCCAGCCTGATCTAGCTATCAATTTGTTTTCTAGGACCCAGCCTGAACTAGCTATCAATTTGTTTTCTAGGGCCCAGCCTGAACTAGCTATCAATCTGTTTTCTAGGGCCCAGTCAGAACTAGCTATCAATTTGTTTTCTAGGGCCCAGCCAGAACTAGCTATCCATTTGTTTTCTAGGGCCCAGCCTGATCTAGCTATCAATTTGTTTTCTAGGACCCAGCCTGAACTAGCTATCAATTTGTTTTCTAGGACCCAGCCAGAACTAGCTATCACTTTGTTTTCTAGGGCCCAGCCTGAACTAGCTATCAATTTGTTTTCTAGGGCCCAGCCTGAACTAGCTATCAATTTGTTTTCTAGGGCCCAGCCTGAACTAGCTATCACTTTGTTTTCTAGGGCCCAGCCTGAACTAGCTATCACTTTGTTTTCTAGGACCCAGCCTGAACAAGCTATCAATTTGTTTTCTAGGACCCAGCCAGAACTAGCTATCACTTTGTTTTCTAGGGCCCAGCCTGAACTAGCTATCAATTTGTTTTCTAGGGCCCAGCCTGAACTAGCTATCAATTTGTTTTCTAGGGCCCAGCCTGAACTAGCTATCACTTTGTTTTCTAGGGCCCAGCCTGAACTAGCTATCACTTTGTTTTCTAGGGCCCAGCCTGAACTAGCTATCACTTTGTTTTCTAGGGCCCAGTCAGAACTAGCTATCAATTTGTTTTCTAGGGCCCAGCCTGAACTAGCTATCACTTTGTTTTCTAGGGCCCAGCCTGAACTAGCTATCACTTTGTTTTCTAGGGCCCAGCCTGAACTAGCTATCACTTTGTTTTCTAGGGCCCAGTCAGAACTAGCTATCAATTTGTTTTCTAGGGCCCAGTCAGAACTAGCTATCAATCTGTTTTCTAGAGCCAAGCCTGAACTAGCTATCCATTTGTTTTCTAGGGCCCAGCCTGAACTAGCTATCAATCTGTTTTCTAGGGCCCAGCCTGAACTAGCTATCAATTTGTTTTCTAGGGCCCAGCCTGAACTAGCTATCAATTTGTTTTCTAGGGCCCAGCCTGAACTAGCTATCAATCTGTTTTCTAGGGCCCAGTCAGAACTAGCTATCAATCTGTTTTCTAGGGCCCAGCCTGAACTAGCTATCACTTTGTTTTCTAGGGCCCAGTCAGAACTAGCTATCAATCTGTTTTCTAGAGCCAAGCCTGAACTAGCTATCACTTTGTTTTCTAGGGCCCAGTCAGAACTAGCTATCAATCTGTTTTCTAGAGCCAAGCCTGAACTAGCTATCAATTTGTTTTCTAGAGCCAAGCCTGAACTAGCTATCACTTTGTTTTCTAGGGCCCAGTCAGAACTAGCTATCAATTTGTTTTCTAGGGCCCAGCCTGAACTAGCTATCAATTTGTTTTCTAGGGTCCAGCCTGAACTAGCCATCAATTTGTTTTCTATGGCCCAGCCTGAACTAGCTATCAATTTGTTTTCTAGGGTCCAGCCTGAACTAGCTATCATTCTGTTTTCTAGGGCCCAGCCTGAACTAGCTATCATTCTGTTTTCTAGGGTCCAGCCTGAACTAGCTATCAATTTGTTTTCTAGGGCCCAGCCTGAACTAGCTATCATTCTGTTTTCTAGGGTCCAGCCTGAACTAGCTATCAATTTGTTTTCTAGGGCCCAGCCTGGGGTTCTAGGAAGCCAGGAGATGTTTGAGATGCAATATGTGACTGTAATAGAAACTGGCCAGCGTCATGATGCAACCAAACGAGAGTTGGCTCAAGCTCGCAAACGTTTGTATTTTTTCACAAACTCATCCCTTCACTTACCATTTAAGCATACACTAGCTGTAAAGAATAAAAATATTGTGTAATAACTTGTGAAAATATCTAAGCAGAAAAAGACAAGTTTGCCGAAGTGCGCAAGAAAATGTTGTTGAGACGAACAAAGGCACTGATAGCAGATCAGTTACCCCACAAAGGTGAGTACTGAAACTATTTCACTTGGGCCTTGTGTGTCACCTGTCCCTGTGTGTCCCATGGCCCTGTGTCACCTGGCCCTGTGTGTCACCTGGCCCTGTGTCACCTGGCTCTGTGTCACCTGGCTCTGTGTCACCTGGCCCTGTATCACCTGGCTCTGTGTCACCTGGCCCTGTGTGTCACCTGGCCCTGTGTGTCACCTGGCTCTGTGTCACCTGGCCTAGTGTGTCACCTGGCTCTGTGTCACCTGGCCTAGTGTGTCACCTGGCCCTGTATCACCTGACTATGTGTGTCACCTGGCTTTGTGTGTCAACTAACCTTGACCTTGTTGTTTATTTGACCAGAGGAGCTGGTGGTGATGTGTAAACTGACAGAGTTTCAGGTGAGTGTGTACAAGGCCATCTTGTCTCACCCAGATATGGCCCTTGTCTTACAAGCTGAGGACCCTTGTGATTGCAACAGTCAAAAATCCAGAGCCTCATGTTGTTACAAGGTAAGTCTGGTGTCAGACATTGCTGGTTAAAAAATAGATTTTTACATACTGATGTCATGGAATGTCTGGTGTCAGACATACATTGCTGGTTAAAAAATAGATTTTTACATACTGATGTCATGGAATGTCTGGTGTCAGACATACATTGTTGGTTAAAAAATAGATTTTTACATACTGATGTCATGGAATGTCTGGTGTCAGACATACATTGCTGGTTAAAAAATAGATTTTTACATACTGATGTCATGGAATGTATGATGTCAGACATACATTGCTGGTTAAAAAATAGATTTTTACATACTGATGTCATGGAATGTCTGATGTCAGACATACATTGCTGGTTAAAAAATAGATTTTTACATACTGATGTCATGGAATGTCTGGTGTCAGACATACATTGCTGGTTAAAAAATAGATTTTTACATACTGATGTCATGGAATGTCTGGTGTCAGACATACATTGCTGGTTAAAAAATAGATTTTTACATACTGATGTCATGGAATGTCTGATGTAGTCTATTTTTGTGTTTATCTAATGAAAGCCTCTAATCTATTGTTGTGTTTATCTAATGAAAGCCTCTAATCTAAATATTTGTTGTGTTTATCTAATGAAAGCCTCTAATCTATTGTTGTGTTTATCTAATGAAAGCCTCTAATCTATTGTTGTGTTTATCTAATGAAAGCCTCTAATCTAACTATTTGTTGTGTTTATCTAATGAAAGCCTCTAATCTAAATATTTGTTGTGTTTATCTAATGAAAGCCTCTAATCTATTGTTGTGTTTATCTAATGAAAGCCTCTAATCTAAATATTTGTTGTGTTTATCTAATGAAAGCCTCTAATCTATTGTTGTGTTTATCTAATGAAAGCCTCTAATCTATTGTTGTGTTTATCTAATGAAAGCCTCTAATCTATTGTTGTGTTTATCTAATGAAAGCCTCTAATCTATTGTTGTGTTTATCTAATGAAAGCCTCTAATCTATTGTTGTGTTTATCTAATGAAAGCCTCTAATCTAAATATTTGTTGTGTTTATCTAATGAAAGCCTCTAATCTATTGTTGTGTTTATCTAATGAAAGCCTCTAATCTATTGTTGTGTTTATCTAATGAAAGCCTCTAATCTAACTATTTGTTGTGTTTATCTAATGAAAGCCTCTAATCTATTGTTGTGTTTATCTAATGAAAGCCTCTAATCTATTGTTGTGTTTATCTAATGAAAGCCTCTAATCTAAATATTTGTTGTGTTTATCTAATGAAAGCCTCTAATCTATTGTTGTGTTTATCTAATGAAAGCCTCTAATCTAAATATTGTTGTGTTTATCTAATGAAAGCCTCTAATCTATTGTTGTGTTTATCTAATGAAAGCCTCTAATCTAAATATTTGTTGTGTTTATCTAATGAAAGCCTCTAATCTAAATATTTGTTGTGTTTATCTAATGAAAGCCTCTAATCTATTGTTGTGTTTATCTAATGAAAGCCTCTAATCTAAATATTTGTTGTGTTTATCTAATGAAAGCCTCTAATCTAAATATTTGTTGTGTTTATCTAATGAAAGCCTCTAATCTATTGTTGTGTTTATCTAATGAAAGCCTCTAATCTATTGTTGTGTTTATCTAATGAAAGCCTCTAATCTATTGTTGTGTTTATCTAATGAAAGCCTCTAATCTAAATATTTGTTGTGTTTATCTAATGAAAGCCTCTAATCTAAATATTTGTTGTGTTTATCTAATGAAAGCCTCTAATTTAAATATTTGTTGTGTTTATCTAATGAAAGCCTCTAATCTATTGTTGTGTTTATCTAATGAAAGCCTCTAATCTATTGTTGTGTTTATCTAATGAAAGCCTCTAATCTAAATATTTGTTGTGTTTATCTAATGAAAGCCTCTAATCTAAATATTTGTTGTGTTTATCTAATGAAAGCCTCTAATTTAAATATTTGTTGTGTTTATCTAATGAAAGCCTCTAATCTAAATATTTGTTGTGTTTATCTAATCAAAGCCTCTAATCTAAATATTTGTTGTGTTTATCTAATGAAAGCCTCTAATCTAAATATTTGTTGTGTTTATCTAATGAAAGCCTCTAATCTAACTATTGTTGTGTTTATGTAATGAAAGCCTCTAATCTAAATATTTGTTGTGTTTATCTAATGAAAGCCTCTAATCTAAATATTTGTTGTGTTTATCTAATGAAAGCCTCTAATCTAAATATTTGTTGTGTTTATCTAATGAAAGCCTCTAATCTATTGTTGTGTTTATGTAATGAAAGCCTCTAATCTAACTATTATTGTGTTTTTCAGTACAGCTCTGACGGCCGCAAAGCGTGGACCTTGGTCTTTTCTTTCATGCATGTTATGTTGAAGGCAGCCAATCACACAGCACTTCTGATACCTGATGAGAGGATGAAAGAAAAACAAGCCCAGCTGGTCCGAAGTGTGTGTGATGTGGCCTTTAAAGATCACCCCCACTTTGTTCAACAAACACAGGTTGCTGCATTCAGGACACTGTCTGACCCCAAGTATTGTGGCAAAATGAAGGTCAGAATTTTCTTAACTGTCTGTAGACTGACTAAAGTCTTGTGTAGCTGTTGATATAATCTTGTGTAGCTGTTGATAAAGTCTTGTGTAGCTGTTGATATAGCTGTTGATATAGTCTTGTGTAGCTGTTGATATAGTCTTGTGTAGCTGTTGATATAGTCTTGTGTAGCTGTTGATATAGTCTTGTGTAGCTGTTAATATAGTCTTGTGTAGCTGTTGATATAGCTGTTGATATAGTCTTGTGTAGCTGTTGATATAGTCTTGTGTAGCTGTTGATATAGTCTTGTGTAGCTGTTGATATAGCTGTTGATATAGTCTTGTGTAGCTGTTGATATAGTCTTGTGTAGCTGTTGATATAGTCTTGTGTAGCTGTTGATATAGTCTTGTGTAGCTGTTGATATAGCCTTGTGTAGCTGTTGATATAGTCTTGTATAGCTGTTGATATAGCTGTTGATATAGTCTTGTGTAGCTGTTGATATAGTCTTGTGTAGCTGTTGATATAGCTGTTGATATAGTCTTGTGTAGTTGTTGTTATAGCAGTTGATATAGTCTTGTGTAGCTGTTGATATAGTCTTGTGTAGCTGTTGATATAGCTGTTGATATAGTCTTGTGTAGCTGTTGATATAGTCTTGTGGTAGCTGTTGATATAGCTGTTGATATAGTCTTGTGTAGCTGTTGATATAGCTGTTGATATAGTCTTGTGTAGCTGTTGATATAGCTGTTAATATAGTCTTGTGTAGCTGTTGATATAGCTGTTGATATAGTCTTGTGTAGCTGTTGATATAGCTGTTAATATAGTCTTGTGTAGCTGTTGATATAGCTGTTGATATAGTCTTGTGTAGCTGTTGATATAGCTGTTAATATAGTCTTGTGTAGCTGTTGATATAGTCTTGTGTAGCTGTTAATATAGTCTTGTGTAGCTGTTGATATAGTCTTGTGTAGCTGTTGATATAGTCTTGTGTAGCTGTTGATATAGTCTTGTGTAGCTGTTGATATAGTCTTGTGTAGCTGTTGATATAGCTGTTGATATAGTCTTGTGTAGCTGTTGATATAGTCTTGTGTAGCTGTTGATATAGCTGTTGATATAGTCTTGTGTAGCTGTTGATATAGTCTTGTGTAGCTCCCAGATGCCATGACATTTTAGTGAGTTACCTTACAGGTGCCATGACATTGTAGTGAGTTACCTTACAGGTGCCATGACATTTTAGTGAGTTACCGTACAGGTGCCATGACATTGTAGTGAGTTACCTTACAGGTGCCATAACATTTTAGTGAGTTACCTTACAGGTGCCATAACATTTTAGTGAGTTACCTTACAGGTGCCGTAACATTTTAGTGAGTTACTTTATAGGTGCCATAACATTTTAGTGAGTTACCTTACAGGTGCCATAACATTTTAGTGAGTTACCTTACAGGTGCCATAACATTTTAGTGAGTTACCTTACAGGTGCGATGACATTTTTCAGATCCTGGCTGGCCTATTGTCTGTGTTTGCTGCCAACTACGACAAAGTTCTGGTGTTTTCCTACTCCACCAAGGTATTATCTTTATCTTAATACAATCAGGAGAACAGCCCAGTAGCTGCCTCATTAGGATCTCTGAGATTTTGTTTAACAATTTCTTCTTTGTGTAACAGCTTTTAGATATCATTGAACAGTATGTGATAGGTCAAGGTCACAGTTATTGCAGGATAGACGGCAAGGTGAGCAGCCAAAGAAGACAAGACATTGTGACCCAGTTCAACACAGACAGTAGCCTGTTTCTCTGTCTGGTGTCTACCAGGTGAGTGACCCAGTCAGCCTAGTTTACCTTACAGATCATTCGGTGTAGATACATAACTCTATTTACTTTATATAATGCTGCTATTTGTATGACTTCAGGGCAGGTGGGCTAGGCTTAAACCTAACTGGGGCTAACAAGGTTGTCATATTTGACCCTAACTGGAACCCAAGTCATGACCTGCAGGCTCAGGACAGGTCTGATTAAAGTTTTTTTTTAATCAGGTTTAGTTTAAATAGTTAATTTGGCTATGACTAACTTCCTGCCGTCCTTGTGTCTATAGAGCTTATCGCATTGGTCAAACCAGGGACGTACAGGTGTTCAGGCTTGTTTCTGCTGGAACTATTGAAGAAAATATTTACCTGCGCCAAATCTACAAACAGGTGAGCACAGGTGTTAGTTTGAAACAAATGAGTAGCCCTAGTGAACAAGTATTAAAACATTTTTTCCAAAGTCTCCCAAAAGTGAGTTGTTGATTGTTGTGTGCAGCAACTGGACGAGGTGGCTATAGGAACTGGCAATGCGCGCAGATATTTCCATGGGATACAAGGTGACCGTGGCCATCAAGGGGAGCTGTTTGGTGTCAAAAACTTGTTTGCTCTCAGGACTGGTGACTCCTGCCTCACCATGGACATCTTACAGGTAAAATTTGTCTTGCTGGGGTCTGACAGGTAATCTAATCTAGGTCAACATTTTAGGCGAGTGAACATGCCTCCCTTTTTAACAACAAATTTAATAAAGGTGAAGACGCTTTCTACATTGAACCTTCTCAGTTATTAACTTACTTACAAAATTAAATAAAGTCAATCCTTCACCCATTCATAAATAAAGTAACATAATTGCTTTCCTGCTGGATTTGACCAGGATGTGACTGAGGCACAAGGCTCGGAAAAAGCCATACCGTGACTGAGAGTGTTAAACTATTAGACACTTTAATTGATAAAATTAATGTGCAATATCTAACACTCAATGAAGTCTATACACTACAATATTTATTTTGTTAGCAAATGATCTCCCCTGTTGGCCTGTGCAAGAAGATAACCCCCTCCCCTTTAGCCAATGCTAGACAGTTATTTCCCCTTTTGGCCAGTGCTAGACCATTATCTCCCCTTTTGGCCAGTGCTTGACAATTACCTCCCCTTTTGGATAGTGCTTGAGAATTATCTCCCCTGTTGGCATGTTTGATGTCTTGTTATTCCTCCTGTAGAGAAATGAGAAACTAGAAAAAAGTCTGGCTGGTTACGATGTCACCAAGTATGTCCCACCAAGACAGTCTTCTGATGAAGATGTGGTCAGTGATACGGACAGTGATGGTGTGGTCACTGAATCTTGCTGTCATACTAGAGTCAGCGATTCTGACAGCGATGAGGAAACAAACTTCTGGACAAACATCTTTGGCTCAGGTGTTGTAGTAATGCTCATTAATCTCACATTGGGTAACTGGAAAGATGGGCAACTAAAAACTGCACAATGGAAAACTGCACACTAAAAAGTGCGCAAAGGCATTTTTTGTCCATTATAGCATAATAAAACATATTTACTAAAATATGACAACATTAAATAAGTTTCCGATTGCCCATTTTTCTGGAACCATAACAGTGTTCTGTTATTCTGTCTCACTATTAACAATGTCATGTTTTATGTCTTGGTGTCTTATTTGGTATTGTTGTAAATGTGTCACAGAAAAATGTGTGTGGGTGGAAACCTGATTTCTATTTGTATTGATTGTGCTGAGCCAACTGATGAACAAGTGTCTCTCAATGTTTAGCTGTGTATTGATTGTGCTGAGCCAACTGATGAACAAGTGTCTCTCAATGTTTAGCTGTGTATTGATTGTGCTGAGCCAACTGATGAACGAGTGTCTCTCAATGTTTAGCTGTGTATTGATTGTGCTGAGCCAACTGATGAACAAGTGTCTCTCAATGTTTAGCTGTGTATTGATTGTGCTGAGCCAACTGATGAACAAGTGTCTCTCAATGTTTAGCTGTGTATTGATTGTGCTGAGCCAACTGATGAACAAGTGTCTCTCAATGTTTAGCTGTCAGCACAGATCCCATCCACCAGCATCATGTCAGCCCTCCAGCTGACCCTAGCTCCAGCAGTGATGAAGAATTTTCTCACATTCCAAACCTACACAAGAGCAAGAAAAATCTGAACTTACCATCCACCTCACATCTTGGCTTGTCCAGGGATGGACCTCTGTCAGTGGTCAGTGCCTCACCTGTGTCAGTGGTCAGTGATTCCCCTGTGTCAGTGGTCAGTGATTCCCCTGTGTCAGTGGTCAGTGCCTCACCTCTGTCAGTGGTCAGTGCCTCGACTGAGACTTACCCTCTGTGTTGCCTAGAAAAAAAACAGCTTAGTATTTGCCAAAAGCCCAGCCCAGTGAAGCGGTTAAATGAGAAAAAAAGAAAGCAACCTGCGCCACTCAAGAGGTCACAAAAAACTGGCCAGAAACAAAAATTTACCTCTGTGGCATCTGTGCTGGGTGAGTAGATATTTTTTAAAATTTAAATTTGTATGTGTTGTTGGATGGACTGTTGGAGATTTAGGTGTTGTTGGATGGACTGTCTGAGATTTAGGTGTTGTTGGATGGACTGTCTGAGATTTAGGTGTTGTTGGATGGACTGTCTGAGATTTAGGTGTTGTTGGATGGACTGTCTGAGATTTAGGTGTTGTTGGATGGACTGTCTGAGATTTAGGTGTTGTTGGATGGACTGTCTGAGGTGTAACTGTGAACACATGTTCTCTAGGCAGCAGAGGTGTCCTCCACACCCACGCCCATCACCAGGTGATTGGCTCCAGTCGTGCGGAGGATCACATGACACGATGTGCCATGGAAGACGTGTTTGAACATCACATCAACTCACAGGAACCTGCTCTACAGTGTCAGCCCTATGCACAGGTCAGTTTTAGCCCTACAGGTCAGTTTTATCCCTACAGGTCAGTTTTATCCCTACAGGTCAGTTTTAGCCCTGCAGGTTATTGGTAGCCCCACAGGTCAGTGGTAGCTCTACTTACTGCTCAGATTTTCAAACTATAAAATGAAAACAAATGTGATTTGATTTAGCCAGAAGAAAAAGCCAGCAAGTCCCGCAAGGTGTGCAAGAAGGAGCTGGACTACAACACAAAGAGATGTCTGACAGCTGGGCCAGTCAAGATCCTGCTGGCTCAAACACCTATGGGTATACAAAAGTAGGTCACTGTCTTCTTGCTCAGATATTCTCTTAATGTACCACTGTCTCCACACAACTCTGCAAGATCTCTCATGTCATTTTGTTTTCTAGGTGTCAGTGGACAGAACTCTGCAGGTCAAATGGCATGGACTCTGTGACATTTGCCAAGTTCTTTGTGAGCTCCAACTTAGAGAAGAGGCTGGCTATTCTAAGGGACTTCTACACACAGCAGCACCCTCAGCTACAGGCTCAGATCACAGGCATATTTCACTTACCTGTCACATGTAAGCTTAGTGGTACAACATACACCTGCAGCGGGTGGTACAACATACACCTGCAGCGGGTGGTACAACATACACCTGCAGCGGGTGGTACAACATACACCTGCCACTGGTGGTACAACATACACCTGCAGCAGGTGGTACAACATACACCTGCCGCAGGTGGTACAACATACACCTGCCGCAGGTGGTACAACATACACCTGCCGCAGGTGGTACAACATACACCTGCCGCAGGTGGTACAACATACACCTGCCACAGGTGGTGTGCTATACAAACCACTACAATTTTGTTGTACTAGGATAATTTTAGCTTTGTTATTGGACCCTCCCAGGTATTGGCATAGCTGATGAAAGAGTTGAGTTACTTGAAGGCAGTACGGCTCTCAAGACAGCTAGCAGCACGGCTCTCAAGACAGCTGGCAGCACGGCTCTCAAGACAGCTAGCAGCACGGCTCTCAAGACAGCTGGCAGCACGGCTCTCAAGACAGCTGGCAGCACGGCTCTCAAGACAGCTGGCAGCACGGCTCTCAAGACAGCTGGCAGCACGGCTGTGAATACAAACATGGACCCAATACATACCAGGGACAGACCAGGACTAGACATGTTAGACAGCACACCCTCACATACCAGTACACCCTCACATACCAGTACACCCTCACATACCAGTACACCCTCACATACCAGTACACCCTCACATACCAGTACACCCTCACATACCAGTACACCCTCACATACCAGTACACCCTCACATACCAGTACACCCTCACATACCAGTACACCCTCACATACCAGTACACCCTCACATACCAGTACACCCTCACATACCAGTACACCCTCACATACCAGTACACCCTCACATACCAGTACACCCTCACATACCAGTACACCCTCACATACCAGTACACCCTCACATACCAGTACACCCTCACATACCAGGCACAGACCTGGGCTAAGCAAGACAAAGAGGGCAGTGAAAACCATGTCAGGTGGTGAAGCAAAGAGGAATTATAAATGTATCTTAGATGAAATATTCCACTCCCCCAATGGGGACCATACAAAGAAGTTAAAGCTTGACAGAAAGTCATCCATGACAGAAAGTCATCCAGCTTCCAGCACCAAGATGCCTGACAACCAAGAGTTGCTTGATGAGCCTCAAGTGTTGAGTCCTCTCTTCCAGACCAGCAGGTTACAAGGGGAACAGACAAGCTGTTTTGTTACACCTCATCCTGGTCACAGTGATCCAGAGATAGCAGCTTGTCAATCTAAACTACAACAGTATGACTTTGATGACTTGGATGCAGTTGATTTCAACTACCATCAACAACATGTTTCTCAAAGTTTATTTTCTGAAGCTGAAACTTTTTGATGTCCAAATTTGTATGGTCCAACTTTTTATATCTGACCTTTTATAGTCCAGCTTTTTAATGTCCAAATTTTTAATGTTCAGCAGTGAATTTATTCATTTTAACTTATTTCAATCAGTATTTTTATCTCTCAATAGCTACCCTGTTGACATTGCTGCTGAACACTTTAGATGTAGGCCTACCTGTACTATGTTTATTATTTTAGAAAACTTCATTTATATCATAAGATCTATTTATATAAGTAAAAATATTTTATATTTACATTTTTATTACAATTGTATAATTGGCAGTTTAATTGTACAGTTTTTCTAAATGTTAATTACAGCATTATCATTGCTCTGGTGTTGCTGTCACTGTTTTTTATTATTGTGTTGCTGGCAATGTTTTTTATTATTGTAGGCTATTTAAAAATGACCAGTGTAAGAGAAAAATTGTGTAAGCCACAAATGACTTTGTTACCCCTCTGCTCTCTGCCCAATATCACACAAGTCAGACTACTCCCTCTTCCATTCTCAAATAATTTCACACTTTGACAACTATCTCACTCCTATTTTCCTTTTGTAAAAAATTCAAATAAAATGGCTACAGAAAATTTAGCTAATCGGGGTCAATTTTAGATTCACTTTCTTTATAATTTACAATTTTTTTTTTCAGAAATGTTTTTAAATTTCTAATTGTAAATATGTGAGGTGACACTTTCTTGCCCCCCTCCCCCCCCCCCCCCCCAAGCAGTTTTGACATCATTTTTTTTATTATATAGTAATATATAGGCCTTTAACTTATTTAATACAAACAGTGAATTAATGCAGTACTAAGCTTAATATAAATAATGCAACACAACATATTTGCAATAAATAGAGTAAACTTTTTAGATATTTATAACAAGTAGACTATAATATTGTGTTTATTATGTGTAAAATTGTCAGGTTTTTAAAATTTTGTTGTATACAAGATTTAAGAAAAAAAATGAGTTGGTATTACATTTTATTTTTCGTTTACATTTTTATACAATTTATGACCAAAAGAAATAAAAATTTTGATTGGTGGACTATTTTAACACTAAAATAATAGCTATAAAAGCATCCAAAAACTGAATTCTATGCATCAATTCAAACCCCCATACTGGCCTATGGGGAGCTAGAATTTCACTCTGTGGAAATTTTAGGGCCCTGTACGGTGTCAATTGTAATGAGTACAGTGGAGAAAAAGTTGAGGGGAGTGGGTGAAAGTGATGTGTGTGTGTGGGGGGGGGGGGGGGGGGGTTAAACATGCTCTAACCCTCTGGTTTTCTTGTCACTGATGAAATACTAACCTGTATTGCTGGAATGGATATGTTATACCATCAGCTACTTCAGTCACTGATGAAATACTAACCTGTATTGCTGGAATGGATATGTTATACCATCAGCTACTTCAGTCACTGATGAAATACTAACCTGTATTGCTGGAATGGATATGTTATACCATCAGCTACTTCAGTCACTGATGAAATACTAACCTGTATTGCTGGAATGGATATGTTATACCATCAGCTACTTCAGTCACTGATGAAATACTAACCTGTATTGCTGGAATGGATATGTTATACCATCAGCTACTTCAGTCACTGATGAAATACTAACCTGTATTGCTGGAATGGATATGTTATACCATCAGCTACTTCAGTCACTGATGAAATACTAACCTGTATTGCTGGAATGGATATGTTATACCATCAGCTACTTCAGTCACTGATGAAATACTAACCTGTATTGCTGGAATGGATATGTTATACCATCAGCTACTTCAGTCACTGATGAAATACTAACCTGTATTGCTGGGATGGATATGTTATACCATCAGCTACTTCAGTCACTGATGAAATACTAACCTGTATTGCTGGAATGGATATGTTATACCATCAGCTACTTCAGTCACTGATGAAATACTAACCTGTATTGCTGGAATGGATATGTTATACCATCAGCTACTTCAGTCACTGATGAAATACTAACCTGTATTGCTGGAATGGATATGTTATACCATCAGCTACTTCAGTCACTGATGAAATACTAACCTGTATTGCTGGAATGGATATGTTATACCATCAGCTACTTCAGTCACTGATGAAATACTAACCTGTATTGCTGGAATGGATATGTTATACCATCAGCTACTTCAGTCACTGATGAAATACTAACCTGTATTGCTGGGATGGATATGTTATACCATCAGCTACTTCAGTCACTGATGAAATACTAACCTGTATTGCTGGAATGGATATGTTATACCATCAGCTACTTCAGTCACTGATGAAATACTAACCTGTATTGCTGGAATGGATATGTTATACCATCAGCTACTTCAGTCACTGATGAAATACTAACCTGTATTGCTGGAATGGATATGTTATACCATCAGCTACTTCAGTCACTGATGAAATACTAACCTGTATTGCTGGAATGGATATGTTATACCATCAGCTACTTCAGTCACTGATGAAATACTAACCTGTATTGCTGGAATGGATATGATATACCATCAGCTACTTCAGTCACTGATGAAATACTAACCTGTATTGCTGGAATGGATATGTTATACCATCAGCTACTTCAGTCACTGATGAAATACTAACCTGTATTGCTGGAATGGATATGTTATACCATCAGCTACTTCAGTCACTGATGAAATACTAACCTGTATTGCTGGGATGGATATGTTATACCATCAGCTACTTCAGTCACTGATGAAATACTAACCTGTATTGCTGGAATGGATATGTTATACCATCAGCTACTTCAGTCACTGATGAAATACTAACCTGTATTGCTGGAATGGATATGTTATACCATCAGCTACTTCAGTCACTGATGAAATACTAACCTGTATTGCTGGAATGGATATGTTATACCATCAGCTACTTCAGTCACTGATGAAATACTAACCTGTATTGCTGGAATGGATATGTTATACCATCAGCTACTTCAGTCACTGATGAAATACTAACCTGTATTGCTGGAATGGATATGTTATACCATCAGCTACTTCAGTCACTGATGAAATACTAACCTGTATTGCTGGAATGGATATGTTATACCATCAGCTACTTCAGTCACTGATGAAATACTAACCTGTATTGCTGGAATGGATATGTTATACCATCAGCTACTTCAGTCACTGATGAAATACTAACCTGTATTGCTGGAATGGATATGTTATACCATCAGCTACTTCAGTCACTGATGAAATACTAACCTGTATTGCTGGGATGGATATGTTATACCATCAGCTACTTCAGTCACTGATGAAATACTAACCTGTATTGCTGGAATGGATATGTTATACCATCAGCTACTTCAGTCACTGATGAAATACTAACCTGTATTGCTGGAATGGATATGTTATACCATCAGCTACTTCAGTCACTGATGAAATACTAACCTGTATTGCTGGAATGGATATGTTATACCATCAGCTACTTCAGTCACTGATGAAATACTAACCTGTATTGCTGGAATGGATATGTTATACCATCAGCTACTTCAGTCACTGATGAAATACTAACCTGTATTGCTGGAATGGATATGTTATACCATCAGCTACTTCAGTCACTGATGAAATACTAACCTGTATTGCTGGAATGGATATGTTATACCATCAGCTACTTCAGTCACTGATGAAATACTAACCTGTATTGCTGGAATGGATATGTTATACCATCAGCTACTTCAGTCACTGATGAAATACTAACCTGTATTGCTGGAATGGATATGTTATACCATCAGCTACTTCAGTCACTGATGAAATACTAACCTGTATTGCTGGAATGGATATGTTATACCATCAGCTACTTCAGTCACTGATGAAATACTAACCTGTATTGCTGGAATGGATATGTTATACCATCAGCTACTTCAGTCACTGATGAAATACTAACCTGTATTGCTGGAATGGATATGTTATACCATCAGCTACTTCAGTCACTGATGAAATACTAACCTGTATTGCTGGAATGGATATGTTATACCATCAGCTACTTCAGTCACTGATGAAATACTAACCTGTATTGCTGGAATGGATATGTTATACCATCAGCTACTTCAGTCACTGATGAAATACTAACCTGTATTGCTGGAATGGATATGTTATACCATCAGCTACTTCAGTCACTGATGAAATACTAACCTGTATTGCTGGAATGGATATGTTATACCATCAGCTACTTCAGTCACTGATGAAATACTAACCTGTATTGCTGGAATGGATATGTTATACCATCAGCTACTTCAGTCACTGATGAAATACTAACCTGTATTGCTGGAATGGATATGTTATACCATCAGCTACTTCAGTCACTGATGAAATACTAACCTGTATTGCTGGAATGGATATGTTATACCATCAGCTACTTCAGTCACTGATGAAATACTAACCTGTATTGCTGGAATGGATATGTTATACCATCAGCTACTTCAGTCACTGATGAAATACTAACCTGTATTGCTGGAATGGATATGTTATACCATCAGCTACTTCAGTCACTGATGAAATACTAACCTGTATTGCTGGAATGGATATGATATGCTGTCTTGAGTGCTCCTGATGTATGCTGCTACCTGCATGTACCACACTCATTATATGACAAACCATGAGATCAGTTCAAACAAGTAGCGGACACTGTGATTTGTCGTGTCATACCATTACCATAAGGGTAAAGATTTGTGGTGTCATACCATTACCATAAGGGTGAAGATTTGTGGTTTCGTACCATTAGGTGTAAAGATTTGTGGTGTCATACCATTATCATAGGTGTAAAGATTTGTGGTGTCATACCATTATCATAGGTGTAAAGATTTGTCGTGTCATACCATTACCATAGTGGTTAAACCTACTATTACCATAGGGGTAATGATTTGTGGTGTCATACCATTACCATAGGTGTAAAGATTTGTGGTGTCATACCATTAGGTGTAAAGATTTGTGTTGTCATACTATTACCATAAGGTTAAAGATTTGTAGTGTCATACCATTACCATAGGGGTAAAGATTTGTGGTGTCATACCATTACCATAGGTGTAAAGATTTGTAGTGTCATACCATTACCATAGGTGTAAAGATTTGTAGTGTCATACCATAAACCCCACGTTATTGCACACACCCTGCCGTGTAAACTGGAACTAAAAACGAAAAATAGCCTACGGCAAGAATTTCTCAGAACACGTAGGCCTTTGTTTCTTTTCTTTCCACGCTAGTGGCGCGGTTGACACAAAACCAAAACACGTTTGTAAGTAAATAAGTTCTAACTATCTAAAATATCTACATGCCTCAGTGATCCGGCCTTGAATGTGTGTGTGGGGTTGACCTACAACATATAAATGTGTAGTGTACGACTTAGAACTCTTAAGGCATAAATATGAGAAGGAAGGTGTGTGACTGAGTGCATACAAAGAGGACGCTTTGTGACTGAGTGCATACAAAGAGGACGCTGTGTGACAGTGAATACAGACGATCAGGTGGATCTTAAACTGCTGTGTCACATGTATAGCACGATACTCGATACATGTTGAACTTCAAGGTTGGTGTTTGTTTTAATTAGCCTACTAGCTTAATTAACAATGTTTGTGCTAATTAGCCTATTGTTGTCTGCTTAGTTTAACCATTTTTACACCCCATTAGGTTAACATCGGTAACTACCTAGCCGGTCAACCCCCCCCCCCCCCCCAATCAGACAGCTGATTAATGCCAACATCTGGTCTTTTTTTGCCAAACCTGATCAGAACCTCAATCCTTGGCAGAGCCTCAGCTATTTAGTCTGATTAGGCCGAGAGAGCTGTGTCGACAAGAGCAACGCCCCGATTGGCTGTGATACTAGTGATAGACAGCAGATTCCATGAGCAGGTAATAATTTTAGGTGCTGCAACTATCCGGTTTGTCTAATATTCTACCGTTTTTGTCTGTGTTTTTTTTTAATGCGTTCACTGTTGTTTAGATGTTTCTCCTTTAGCTAAATGGATGACGCCTAAAGCTAAATGTATGACCCATAAAGCTGAACGTATGACCCCTAAAGCTAAACGTCTGACCTCTAAAGCTCAGTGGTAGCACCTAACGTTTGTTTCTCTCCTAAACTTCAGATGGGCACGTGTTCTGTCAGTGACTTCGATCTGCTCCAGGTCGTCTATTATGACGTCAACGGTCTTCCAAGGGGCAAAACTGTGCCCAGAAATGTGGCGAAACGAGTGACCCAAAGTGGACTAGAGTTAATTCATGGTAAGCCAGTGTACGATATATAAAATGGGGAAGTGACATCAGAGAAGAAATATAAGGCCAGAGAAAATTATTGAAAAACATTGGGAAAAATGATTCAGTTGACATGTGTTTAGCCCCCCCCCCTCCCACATAGTTGACACGTGTGTGTTTAGCGCCCCCCCCCCCACACATAGTTGACACGTGTATGTTTAGCGCCCCCCACACATAGTTGACACGTGTATGTTTAGCCCCCCCACACATAGTTGACACACGTGTATGTTTAGCGCCCCCCACACATAGTTGACACGTGTGTGTTTAACGCCCCCCCCCCCCACACATAGCTGACACACGTGTGTGTTTAGCCCCCCCCCCCCCCCCCCCCACATAGTTGACACGTGTGTGTTTAGCCCCCCCCCCCCACATAGTTGACACGTGTGTGTTTAGCGCCCCCCACACATAGTTGACACGTGTGTGTTTAGCCCCCCCCCACATAGTTGACACGTGTGTGTTTAACGCCCCCCCACACACACAGATGACACGTGTGTGTTTAGCCACCCCCCCACATAGTCGACACGTGTGTGTTTAACGCCCCCCCACACACAGATGACACGTGTGTGTTTAACGCCCCCCCCCACACACCCACAGATGACACGTGTGTGTTTAACGCCCCCCCCCCCACACACACAGATGACACGTGTGTGTTTAGCCACCCCCCACATAGTCGACACGTGTGTGTTTAACGCCCCCCCCCACACACAGATGACACGTGTGTGTTTAACGCCCCCCCCCACACAGATGACACGTGTGTGTTTAGCCACCCCCCCCCCCCCCCACATAGTCGACACGTGTGAGTTTAGCCACCCCCCCCCCCCCCACATAGTCGACACGTGTGTGTTTAGCCCCCCCCCACCCCACACACACACATAGTTGACACGTGTGTTTAGCCCCCCCCCCCCCACACATAGTCGACACGTGTGTGTTTAGACACACCCCCCCCCCCCCACATAGTTTACACATGTGTGTATTTAGTTCTGCAGGTGGTAGGTCTAGCAGCAGACTTCCCGATGAGCGTGGCAGATCTGATGCAAGATTTCTCCAATGGTCTTTACAAGCCTGACCTTGACACGCTTGTCCAATGGCCTTGGGCTAGTAAATCAGAATGTAACGTAGGTCAGGTCATAGGTCACATTATTAAGGAAGATGGCAGCCCTGACCCATTAGCTGTCAGACATCAGGTGATATTGGTGGGGTCAGCTTGTTGGTGTGGTCAGCTTGTTGATGTGGTCAGCTTGTTGGTGTGGTATGGTCAGCTTGTTGGTGTGGTGTGGTCAGCTTGTTGGTATGGTCAGCTTGTTGGTGTGGTCAGCTTGTTGGTGTGGTATGGTCAGCTTGTTGATGTGGTCAGCTTGTTGGTGTGGTCAGCTTGTTGGTGTGGTCAGCTTGTTGGTGTGGTCAGCTTGTTGGTGTGGTCAGCTTGTTGGTGTGGTCAGCTTGTTGATGTGGTCAGCTTGTTGGTGTGGTGTGGTCAGCTTGTTGGTGTGGTGTGGTCAGCTTGTTGGTGTGGTCAGCTTGTTGATGTGGTCAGCTTGTTGGTGTGGTCAGCTTGTTGATGTGGTCAGCTTGTTGGTGTGGTGTGGTCAGCTTGTTGGTGTGGTATGGTCAGCTTGTTGGTGTGGTCAGCTTGTTGGTGTGGTCAGCTTGTTGGTGTGGTGTGGTCAGCTTGTTGGTGTGGTGTGGTCAGCTTGTTGGTGTGGTATGGTCAGCTTGTTGGTGTGGTCAGCTTGTTGGTGTGGTCAGCTTGTTGGTGTGGTGTGGTCAGCTTGTTGGTGTGGTGTGGTCAGCTTGTTGGTGTGGTCAGCTTGTTGGTGTGGTCAGCTTGTTGGTATGGTCAGCTTGTTGGTGTGGTCAGCTTGTTGGTGTGGTCAGCTTGTTGGTGTGGTATGGTCAGCTTGTTGGTGTGGTCAGCTTGTTGATGTGGTCAGCTTGTTGGTGTGGTCAGCTTGTTGGTGTGGTGTGGTCAGCTTGTTGATGTGGTTAGCTTGTTGGTGTGGTCAGCTTGTTGGTGTGGTCAGCTTGTTGGTGTGGTATGGTCAGCTTGTTGGTATGGTCAGCTTGTTGGTGTGGTCAGCTTGTTGGTGTGGTCAGCTTGTTGGTGTGGTCAGCTTGTTGGTGTGGTCAGCTTGTTGGTGTGGTATGGTCAGCTTGTTGGTGTGGTCAGCTTGTTGATGTGGTCAGCTTGTTGGTGTGGTGTGGTCAGCTTGTTGGTGTGGTGTGGTCAGCTTGTTGGTGTGGTCAGCTTGTTGGTGTGGTCAGCTTGTTGGTGTGGTATGGTCAGCTTGTTGGTGTGGTGTGGTCAGCTTGTTGGTGTGGTATGGTCAGCTTGTTGGTGTGGTGTGGTCAGCTTGTTGGTATGGTCAGCTTGTTGGTGTGGTCAGCTTGTTGGTGTGGTCAGCTTGTTGATGTGGTCAGCTTGTTGGTGTGGTATGGTCAGCTTGTTGGTGTGGTCAGCTTGTTGATGTGGTCAGCTTGTTGGTGTGGTGTGGTCAGCTTGTTGGTGTGGTCAGCTTGTTGGTGTGGTGTGGTCAGCTTGTTGGTGTGGTCAGCTTGTTGGTGTGGTCAGCTTGTTGATGTGGTCAGCTTGTTGGTGTGGTGTGGTCAGCTTGTTGGTGTGGCGTGGTCAGCTTGTTGGTGTGGTATGGTCAGCTTGTTGGTGTGGTATGGTCAGCTTGTTGGTGTGGTCAGCTTGTTGGTGTGGTATGGTCAGCTTGTTGGTGTGGTCAGCTTGTTGGTGTGGTCAGCTTGTTGGTGTGGTATGGTCAGCTTGTTGGTGTGGTGTGGTCAGCTTGTTGGTGTGGTCAGCTTGTTGGTGTGGTATGGTCAGCTTGTTGGTGTGGTCAGCTTGTTGGTGTGGTATGGTCAGCTTGTTGGTGTGGTCAGCTTGTTGGTGTGGTCAGCTTGTTGGTGTGGTATGGTCAGCTTGTTGGTGTGGTGTGGTCAGCTTGTTGGTGTGGTATGGTCAGCTTGTTGGTGTGGTGTGGTCAGCTTGTTGGTATGGTCAGCTTGTTGGTGTGGTCAGCTTGTTGGTGTGGTCAGCTTGTTGATGTGGTCAGCTTGTTGGTGTGGTATGGTCAGCTTGTTGGTGTGGTGTGGTCAGCTTGTTGGTGTGGTATGGTCAGCTTGTTGGTGTGGTCAGCTTGTTGGTGTGGTATGGTCAGCTTGTTGGTGTGGTCAGCTTGTTGGTGTGGTATGGTCAGCTTGTTGGTGTGGTCAGCTTGTTGGTATGGTCAGCTTGTTGATGTGGTGTGGTCAGCTTGTTGGTGTGGTCAGCTTGTTGGTGTGGTCAGCTTGTTGGTGTGGTATGGTCAGCTTGTTGGTGTGGTCAGCTTGTTGGTATGGTCAGCTTGTTGGTGTGGTCAGCTTGTTGGTGTGGTCAGCTTGTTGGTGTGGTGTGGTCAGCTTGTTGGTGTGGTGTGGTCAGCTTGTTGGTGTGGTATGGTCAGCTTGTTGGTGTGGTCAGCTTGTTGGTATGGTCAGCTTGTTGGTGTGGTATGGTCAGCTTGTTGGTGTGGTCAGCTTGTTGGTATGGTCAGCTTGTTGGTGTGGTATGGTCAGCTTGTTGGTGTGGTCAGCTTGTTGGTGTGGTGTGGTCAGCTTGTTGGTGTGGTCAGCTTGTTGGTATGGTCAGCTTGTTGGTGTTGTATGGTCAGCTTGTTGGTATGGTCAGCTTGTTGGTGTGGTATGGTCAGCTTGTTGGTGTGGTCAGCTTGTTGGTGTGGTCAGCTTGTTGGTGTGGTCAGCTTGTTGGTGTGGTAAGCTTGTTGGTGTGGTGTGGTCAGCTTGTTGGTGTGGTCAGCTTGTTGGTGTGGTCAGCTTGTTGGTGTGGTATGGTCAGCTTGTTGGTGTGGTCAGCTTGTTGGTATGGTCAGCTTGTTGGTGTGGTCAGCTTGTTGGTGTGGTCAGCTTGTTGATGTGGTCAGCTTGTTGGTGTGGTATGGTCAGCTTGTTGGTGTGGTCAGCTTGTTGATGTGGTCAGCTTGTTGGTGTGGTGTGGTCAGCTTGTTGGTGTGGTCAGCTTGTTGGTGTGGTGTGGTCAGCTTGTTGGTGTGGTCAGCTTGTTGGTGTGGTCAGCTTGTTGATGTGGTCAGCTTGTTGGTGTGGTGTGGTCAGCTTGTTGGTGTGGTCAGCTTGTTGGTGTGGTCAGCTTGTTGGTGTGGTGTGGTCAGCTTGTTGGTGTGGTGTGGTCAGCTTGTTGGTGTGGTCAGCTTGTTGGTGTGGTCAGCTTGTTGGTGTGGTATGGTCAGCTTGTTGGTGTGGTCAGCTTGTTGGTGTGGTATGGTCAGCTTGTTGGTGTGGTCAGCTTGTTGGTGTGGTATGGTCAGCTTGTTGGTGTGGTCAGCTTGTTGGTGTGGTCAGCTTGTTGGTGTGGTATGGTCAGCTTGTCGGTGTGGTGTGGTCAGCTTGTTGGTGTGGTATGGTCAGCTTGTTGGTGTGGTGTGGTCAGCTTGTTGGTATGGTCAGCTTGTTGGTGTGGTCAGCTTGTTGGTGTGGTCAGCTTGTTGATGTGGTCAGCTTGTTGGTGTGGTATGGTCAGCTTGTTGGTGTGGTGTGGTCAGCTTGTTGGTGTGGTATGGTCAGCTTGTTGGTGTGGTCAGCTTGTTGGTGTGGTATGGTCAGCTTGTTGGTGTGGTCAGCTTGTTGGTGTGGTATGGTCAGCTTGATGGTGTGGTCAGCTTGTTGGTATGGTCAGCTTGTTGATGTGGTGTGGTCAGCTTGTTGGTGTGGTCAGCTTGTTGGTGTGGTCAGCTTCTTGGTGTGGTATGGTCAGCTTGTTGGTGTGGTCAGCTTGTTGGTATGGTCAGCTTGTTGGTGTGGTCAGCTTGTTGGTGTGGTATGGTCAGCTTGTTGGTGTGGTGTGGTCAGCTTGTTGGTGTGGTATGGTCAACTTGTTGGTGTGGTCAGCTTGTTGGTATGGTCAGCTTGTTGGTGTGGTATGGTCAGCTTGTTGGTGTGGTCAGCTTGTTGGTATGGTCAGCTTGTTGGTGTGGTATGGTCAGCTTGTTGGTGTGGTCAGCTTGTTGGTGTGGTCAGCTTGTTGGTATGGTCAGCTTGTTGGTGTGGTATGGTCAGCTTGTTGGTGTGGTATGGTCAGCTTGTTGGTGTGGTCAGCTTGTTGGTATGGTCAGCTTGTTGGTGTGGTATGGTCAGCTTGTTGGTGTGGTCAGCTTGTTGGTATGGTCAGCTTGTTGGTGTGGTCAGCTTGTTGGTGTGGTCAGCTTGTTGGTGTGGTCAGCTTGTTGGTGTGGTCAGCTTGTTGGTGTGGTGTGGTCAGCTTGTTGGTGTGGTCAGCTTGTTGGTGTGGTCAGCTTGTTGGTGTGGTATGGTCAGCTTGTTGGTGTGGTCAGCTTGTTGGTATGGTCAGCTTGTTGGTGTGGTCAGCTTGTTGGTGTGGTCAGCTTGTTGGTGTGGTCAGCTTGTTGGTGTGGTCAGCTTGTTGGTGTGGTCAGCTTGTTGGTGTGGTGTGGTCAGCTTGTTGGTGTGGTCAGCTTGTTGGTGTGGTCAGCTTGTTGGTGTGGTGTGGTCAGCTTGTTGGTATGGTCAGCTTGTTGGTGTGGTCAGCTTGTTGGTGTGGTCAGCTTGTTGGTGTGGTCAGCTTGTTGGTGTGGTCAGCTTGTTGGTGTGGTCAGCTTGTTGGTGTGGTGTGGTCAGCTTGTTGGTGTGGTCAGCTTGTTGGTGTGGTCAGCTTGTTGATGTGGTATGGTCAGCTTGTTGATGTGGTATGGTCAGCTTGTTGGTGTGGTCAGCTTGTTGATGTGGTCAGCTTGTTGATGTGGTCAGATTGTTGGTGTGGTCAGCTTGTTGGTGTGGTATGGTCAGCTTGTTGGTGTGGTATGGTCAGCTTGTTGGTGTGGTCAGCTTGTTCGTGTGGTCAGCTTGTTGATGTGGTCAGCTTGTTGGTGTGGTCAGCTTGTTGATGTGGTCAGCTTGTTGGTGTGGTGTGGTCAGCTTGTTGGTGTGGTGTGGTCAGCTTGTTGGTGTGGTCAGCTTGTTGGTGTGGTGTGGTCAGCTTGTTGGTGTGGTCAGCTTGTTGATGTGGTCAGCTTGTTGATGTGGTCAATTTGTTGATGTAGTCAGCTTGTTGGTGTGGTCAGCTTGTTGGTGTGGTCAGCTTGTTGGTGTGGTGTGGTCAGCTTGTTGGTGTGGTCAGCTTGTTGGTGTGGTCAGCTTGTTGGTGTGGTGTGGTCAGCTTGTTGGTGTGGTCAGCTTGTTGGTGTGGTATGGTCAGCTTGTTGGTGTGGTCAGCTTGTTGGTATGGTCAGCTTGTTGGTGTGGTATGGTCAGCTTGTTGGTGTGGTCAGCTTGTTGGTGTGGTCAGCTTGTTGGTATGGTCAGCTTGTTGGTGTGGTATGGTCAGCTTGTTGGTGTGGTATGGTCAGCTTGTTGGTGTGGTCAGCTTGTTGGTATGGTCAGCTTGTTGGTGTGGTATGGTCAGCTTGTTGGTGTGGTCAGCTTGTTGGTATGGTCAGCTTGTTGGTGTGGTCAGCTTGTTGGTGTGGTCAGCTTGTTGGTGTGGTCAGCTTGTTGGTGTGGTCAGCTTGTTGGTGTGGTGTGGTCAGCTTGTTGGTGTGGTCAGCTTGTTGGTGTGGTCAGCTTGTTGGTGTGGTATGGTCAGCTTGTTGGTGTGGTCAGCTTGTTGGTATGGTCAGCTTGTTGGTGTGGTCAGCTTGTTGGTGTGGTCAGCTTGTTGGTGTGGTCAGCTTGTTGGTGTGGTCAGCTTGTTGGTGTGGTCAGCTTGTTGGTGTGGTGTGGTCAGCTTGTTGGTGTGGTCAGCTTGTTGGTATGGTCAGCTTGTTGGTGTGGTATGGTCAGCTTGTTGGTGTGGTATGGTCAGCTTTGTGGTGTGGTCAGCTTGTTGGTGTGGTCAGCTTGTTGGTGTGGTCAGCTTGTTGATGTGGTCAGCTTGTTGGTGTGGTCAGCTTGTTGATGTGGTCAGCTTGTTGGTGTGGTATGGTCAGCTTGTTGGTGTGGTGTGGTCAGCTTGTTGGTGTGGTATGGTCAGCTTGTTGGTGTGGTCAGCTTGTTGGTGTGGTCAGCTTGTTGATGTGGTCAGCTTGTTGGTGTGGTCAGCTTGTTGATGTGGTCAGCTTGTTGGTGTGGTGTGGTCAGCTTGTTGGTGTGGTGTGGTCAGCTTGTTGGTGTGGTCAGCTTGTTGGTGTGGTCAGCTTGTTGGTGTGGTGTGGTCAGCTTGTTGGTGTGGTCAGCTTGTTGATGTGGTCAGCTTGTTGATGTGGTCAGCTTGTTGATGTAGTCAGCTTGTTGGTGTGGTCAGCTTGTTGGTGTGGTCAGCTTGTTGGTGTGGTGTGGTCAGCTTGTTGGTGTGGTCAGCTTGTTGGTGTGGTCAGCTTGTTGGTGTGGTGTGGTCAGCTTGTTGGTGTGGTGTGGTCAGCTTGTTGGTGTGGTCAGCTTGTTGGTGTGGTGTGGTCAGCTTGTTGGTATGGTCAGCTTGTTGGTGTGGTCAGCTTGTTGGTGTGGTCAGCTTGTTGATGTGGTCAGCTTGTTGGTGTGGTCAGCTTGTTGGTGTGGTCAGCTTGTTGGTGTGGTCAGCTTGTTGGTGTGGTCAGCTTGTTGGTGTGGTCAGCTTGTTGGTGTGGTCAGCTTGTTGGTATGGTGTGGTCAGCTTGTTGGTGTGGTCAGCTTGTTGGTGTGGTCAGCTTGTTGGTGTGGTCAGCTTGTTGGTGTGGTCAGCTTGTTGATGTGGTCAGCTTGTTGGTGTTGTGTGGTCAGCTTGTTGGTGTGGTCAGCTTGTTGATGTGGTCAGCTTGTTGATGTGGTCAGCTTGTTGATGTGGTCAGCTTGTTGGTGTGGTGTGGTCAGCTTGTTGGTATGGTCAGCTTGTTGGTGTGGTCAGCTTGTTGGTGTGGTGTGGTCAGCTTGTTGGTGTGGTGTGGTCAGCTTGTTGGTGTGGTGTGGTCAGCTTGTTGGTGTGGTGTGGTGTGGTCAGCTTGTTGGTGTGGTGTGGTCAGCTTGTTGGTGTGGTCAGCTTGTTGGTGTGGTCAGCTTGTTGGTGTGGTGTGGTCAGCTTGTTGGTGTGGTCAGCTTGTTGGTGTGGTGTGGTCAGCTTGTTGGTGTGGTCAGCTTGTTGGTGTGGTGTGGTCAGCTTGTTGGTGTGGTGTGGTGTGGTCAGCTTGTTGGTGTGGTGTGGTCAGCTTGTTGGTGTGGTGTGGTGTGGTCAGCTTGTTGGTGTGGTGTGGTCAGCTTGTTGGTGTGGTCGGCTTGTTGGTGTGGTATGGTCAGCTTGTTGGTGTGGTCAGCTTGTTGGTGTGGTCAGCTTGTTGGTGTGGTGTGGTCAGCTTGTTGGTGTGGTGTGGTCAGCTTGTTGGTGTGGTCAGCTTGTTGGTGTGGTGTGGTCAGCTTGTTGGTGTGGTCAGCTTGTTGGTTTGGTGTGGTCAGCTTGTTGGTGTGGTCAGCTTGTTGATGTGGTATGGTCAGCTTGTTGATGTGGTATGGTCAGCTTGTTGGTGTGGTCAGCTTGTTGATGTGGTCAGCTTGTTGGTGTGGTCAGCTTGTTGGTGTGGTCAGCTTGTTGATGTGGTCAGCTTGTTGATGTGGTCAGCTTGTTGATGTGGTCAGCTTGTTGGTGTGGTCAGCTTGTTGGTGTGGTATGGTCAGCTTGTTGGTGTGGTCAGCTTGTTGGTGTGGTCAGCTTGTTGGTGTGGTATGGTCAGCTTGTTGGTGTGGTGTGGTCAGCTTGTTGGTGTGGTCAGCTTGTTGGTGTGGTGTGGTCAGCTTGTTGGTGTGGTGTGGTCAGCTTGTTGGTGTGGTCAGCTTGTTGGTGTGGTCAGCTTGTTGGTGTGGTCAGCTTGTTGGTGTGGTGTGGTCAGCTTGTTGGTGTGGTGTGGTCAGCTTGTTGATGTGGTCAGCTTGTTGGTGTGGTCAGCTTGTTGGTGTGGTGTGGTCAGCTTGTTGGTGTGGTGTGGTCAGCTTGTTGGTGTGGTGTGGTCAGCCAGTCAACCTTTAGGTTCAGGACTGTCCCATTTGATGAGATGTGTATTGTACCCTAGGCCCAGAATCAGCTCCTGAAGCTGCAGCAGCTGGGCCACCAGCTCGTGTCCTCATTCAGCTGTCAGTTCACTGTCTACAGGTCCAGTGGGGACACATGTGAAGATTTCCTGGGTGAGTTGTCAGACCTGTATGTACAGCTGCCAGTGGGTGAGTTGTCAGACCTGTATGTACAGCTGCCAGTGGGTGAGTTGTCAGACCTGTATGTACAGCTGCCAGTGGGTGAGTTGTCAGACCTGTATGTACAGCTGCCAGTGGGTGAGTTGTCAGACCTGTATGTACCGCTGCCAGTGGATTGTGTGTCATGGAAGTCATTGACTGCCAGCTGTTTGTTCTGCTTGTTAACTTGAGCCTGTTAACTTGAACCTGTTACCTTGAGCCTGTTACCTTGAGCCTGTTACTTTGAGCCTGTTAACTTGAACCTGTTGCCTTGAGCCTGTTACCTTGAGCCTGTTAACTTGAACCTGTTACCTTGAACCTGTTACTTTGAGCCTGTTAACTTGAACCTGTTACATTGAGCCTGTTACCTTGAGCCTGTTAACTGGTGTCTGTTAACTTGAGCCTGTTAACTTGAGACTGTTACCTTGAACCTGTTACTTTGAGCCTGTTAACTTGAACCTGTTAACTTGAACCTGTTACCTTGAGCCTGTTAACTGGTGTCTGTTAACTTGAGCCTGTTAACTTGAGCCTGTTACCTTGAACCTGTTACTTTGAGCCTGTTAACTTGAACCTGTTACCTTGAGCCTGTTACCTTGAGCCTGTTAACTTGAACCTGTTACCTTGAACCTGTTACTTTGAGCCTGTTAACTTGAACCTGTTACATTGAGCCTGTTACCTTGAGCCTGTTAACTGGTGTTTGTTAACTTGAGCCTGTTAACTTGTGTCTGCTAACTTATGGCTGTTAACTTGAGCCTGTTAACTTGTGCCTGTTAACTTGAGCCTGTTACCTTGAGCCTGTTACCTTTAGCCTGTTAACTGGTGTTTGTTAACTTGAGCCTGTTAACTTGAGCCTGTTAACTTGAGCCTGTTAACTTGTGTCTGCTAACTTATGGCTGTTAACTTGTGTCTGTTAACTTGAGCCTGTTACCTTGAGCCTGTTACATTGAGCCTGTTAACTTGAGCCTGTTAACATGTGCCTGTTAACTTGTGCCTGTTAACTTGAGCCTGTTAACTTGTGCCTGTTAACTTCAGCCTGTTAACTTCAGCCTGTTAACTTGTGTCTGTTAACTTGTGCCTGTTAACTTGTGCCTGTTAACTTGAGCCTGTTAACTTGTGCCTGTTAACTTGTGCCTGTTAACTTGAGCCTGTTAACTTGTGCCTGTTAACTTGAGCCTGTTAACTTGTGCCTGTTAACTTGAGCCTGTTAACTTGTGTCTGTTAACTTGAGCCTGTTAACTTGAGCCTGTTAACTTGTGCCTGTTAACTTGAGCCTGTTAACTTGTGCCTGTTAACTTGTGCCTATTAACTTGAGCCTGTTAACTTGAGCCTGTTAACTTGTGCCTGTTAACTTGAGCCTGTTAACTTGTGCCTGTTAACATGTGCCTGTTAACTTGTGCCTGTTAACTTGTGCCTGTTAAGTTGTGCCTGTTAACTTGAGCCTGTTAACTTGTGCCTGTTAACTTGTGCCTGTTAACTTGTGCCTGTTAACTTGAGCCTGTTAACTTGAGCCTGTTAACTTGTGCCTGTTAACTTGAGCCTGTTAACTTGTGCCTGTTAACATGTGCCTGTTAACTTGTGCCTGTTAACTTGTGCCTGTTAAGTTGTGCCTGTTAACTTGAGCCTGTTAACTTGTGCCTGTTAACTTGTGCCTGTTAACTTGAGCCTGTTAATCTGTCTGCAGGGGGTGACGGCCATCTTGGTATTGCTCCCTATGACAGTGCCGGGCAGGAGAAGATGATGCTGGACATATGCTGGCAGCTGCAGGCAGCAGGTGTACAGGTGGAGTCTTGGTCTGCAGGTACAGGTCCAGGTGAGTCTATGTCTGGGTGTGGTGGTGGTGTGTATGAGGGTGTGGTGGTGTTTGTATGAGTGTATTGGTGTGTGTGAGGGTGTGGTAGTGTTTGTGTGAGGGTGTGGTGGTGTTTGTGTGAGTGTATTGGTGTGTGTGAGGGTGTGGTGGTGTTTGTGTGAGGGTGTGGTGGTGTTAGTTTGAGGGTGTGGTGGTGTTTGTGTGAGTGTATTGGTGTGTGTGAGGGTGTGGTGGTGTTTGTGGGAGGGTGTGGTGGTGTTTGTGTGAGGGTGTGGTGGTGTTAGTTTGAGGGTGTGGTGGTGTTTGTGTGAGTGTATTGGTGTGTGTGAGGGTGTGGTGGTGTTTGTGGGAGGGTGTGGTGGTGTTTGTGTGAGGGTGTGGTGGTGTTTGTGGGAGGGTGTGGTGGTGTTTGTGTGAGGGTGTGGTGGTGTTAGTTTGAGGGTGTGGTGGTGTTTGTGTGAGTGTATTGGTGTGTGTGAGGGTGTGGTGGTGTTTGTGGGAGGGTGTGGTGGTGTTTGTGTGAGGGTGTGGTGGTGTTAGTTTGAGGGTGTGGTGGTGTTTGTGTGAGTGTATTGGTGTGTGTGAGGGTGTGGTGGTGTTTGTGGGAGGGTGTGGTGGTGTTTGTGTGAGGGTGTGGTGGTGTTAGTGTGAGGGTGTGGTGGTGTTTGTGTGAGTGTATATGTGTGTGTGAGGGTGTGGTGGTGTTTGTGTGAGGGTGTGGTGGTGTTAGTGTGAGGGTGTGGTGGTGTTTGTGTGAGTGTATTGGTGTGTGGGAGGGTGTGGTGGTGTTTGTGTGAGTGTATTGGTGTGTGTGAGGGTGTGGTGGTGTTTGTGTGAGGGTGTGGTGGTGTTAGTGTGAGGGTGTGGTGGTGTTTGTGTGAGGGTGTGTGTGAGGGTGTTGTGGTGTATGTTAGAGTGTAGTGTGTGCAACCAGCTCATGCAGGACTATTCAAGTCTTGTGGTAAATGTGTGACACAGGGCTTGTAGACTGCATAATCTATAAGATTACACTGTATTTTTTTAGGCAGGTTTGAGATGACATTAATGCCATCACATGGCATTCAAGCTGCCGACATGGCATGCAGACTAAGACATGGCATAAAGAGTGCTGTGGCCAGGCATGGCTACAAGGCCACATTCATGGCCCACCCTCCTGGCGGTGCCAGTTTCTCAGCCCTGGCCTTTCAGTTTGGAGTCCTGAGCGCTGCAGGAGAAAATATTTTTCTGGACACGGCTGACCCAGACAAATTATCTGGTAAGATAATAGAAGTGTGCTACTGGTTGTGGAAGAAGATTTGACAAATTATCTGGTAAGATAATGGAAGTGTGCAGAGTTTCTTCCAGGCATCTCTTTGGGGGCCCCCGAAAAATTTTTACCGCCCCCCCCCCCCCCCCCCCCGAACGAAATTAAATTTATATAATTTATATAGAAAATATATACTTTTAACAGTGTCTGCCCCCCCCCCCGAAGAAAGTCTACCGCCCCACCCCCCCGCCGAAAATTTCAAATGCCCCCCCCCCCCCCCCCCCCCGGAGAAAAAAGTCTGGAAGAAACACTGGAAGTGTGCTGCTGATTGTGGGAGATTTGAATGGAATAAAACTTTCTCATTGAATAAATGCTTGTCGCTGTCAATCTATATCAAATGTGTTCTGATTGATTAGGTGTTGGAAAGTCCTGGCTAGCTGGGCTGTTGCATCATGGTCCGGCTCTGACAGCCCTTTGCTGCCCTACTGTCAACTGCTACCAGCGGCTGTCACGTGACCCAGCTGCCCCCCACAGGTTGGACTGGGATGTGGAAAACTCGTCAGCGTTCCTCAACGTTCACGTCAATCAAGATGACATCATGTTTGAGATCAAACTGGCAAGTCCTGCTTGTAACCCGTATTTGGTTTTCCTGGCAACTCTTGCTGCTGGCCTGGATGGTGTGGAGAAAAATCTGGCATGTCCTGAGAGAAACAGCCCTGTAGCAGCTGCTGTCCCACAGCGTCTGGAGACAGCCCTTCAAGCCTTGCACAAGGATCCTGTTCTAGAGCAGGCTATGTCTCGCCTTCTGTTTGAAGCATTCATCGCCCTCAAGCGGGATTACGAGGTGCCAAAGTTTGGAGCTGTAGAGGCTGATGAGGAGGAGATGAAAAAACTTGAAAACTTTTATTATCTCAGCAGGATTTAAGTAGGGCAACAGTGTTATGAATGCCCTATACAAGCCTCCAGCAAATGATATAAATAAATATCACATTACCTTTTTTTACTGGCCTTTTTGTGTTCTTTATTCAGAACGTGTTTGGGTTTTTTTTTTTTTTTTTTTATCTTGTATGATTGTCAAATCTCTGTCTAAACATCATTGTCAAATCTCTGGTTAAACATGATTGTCAGCGGCCAACTGAATCCAATCTGAATAAACCGGTAGTGATCTCCCCTAAACTTTCTCGAATATTCTTATATAAAACAACAGGGGATGGTAACTGGGGATATAGTTATGATTTTTAATCCATTTTAAATACTGAAACTTTTAAAAATAGAATAGAATCTCAGTAAAAAACAATTGCGCACCAAGCGAACGCCTAATAAAGGTGTGTATAATAGTGCGCAATAGTATTAGTACTTATAAATTTACATTAGTTTTTTGAGAAATCGGAAGTAGCGTAAATTACTACTTCCGGTCAACGGAAATTACTCAAAATTTAACAGAAGGTAGAGAATTAGATCTTTTACTTACATGTGAAATTTCATTTATCTATCTGAAATAGTACTCAAGTTATAGGCTTTTGAAAAATTCAAAGTAGAAAAAGTACCACTTCCGGTTATCGGAAATCACTCAAAAGTTGATACGGATCAACGATTTTGATATAATACTTATATATGAAATTTCATCAACCTAACTGTAACGGCACTCAAGTTATCGTGTTTACACACGGACACACAGACACACACAGACATACGGACAAGATTGCAAAATTATGTTTTTCCGTATCAGTGAGGTGTAAAACGTCGAGATTTGTAAAAATCTCGATTTTTTTTTGCACGATTACAATACTTTCTCTATACTACGTATATACGAGAAAGTAAAAACAGCCAAATGATCTGGCTCATTGATTGGCTTCCTCTTTTTTATTCACAACTTAATCTAAAAACATTTGAATAATTTGACATACTGAAAAATCAAATTCCGTTGAAAAACACATTTTTCATGTCAGATCAGAGAAATTTTATGGTAGCCCAGACTGCTGCCCCGATCAGCTCTGATTAATCTGTCACTACAATTTGCCCCCCCCCCCCCCCCATTCCAATTTATTTTAATTAGGGGATACAAACGAGCCAGATTGTTTTTACCGAAGTATAATTGAGTTATTTCCTTTCCAATGAAAAAACAATAACCTCTAGGCCTATTTGAGTTAATACTAAAAATTGTGTCCAATCCGGGTCAATATCGTTTTTAAAATAAATTTCCAAATTTTTTTTTAAACTGACGTTACCATACATCAAAAAGACTCTATACAGACTAGATCTATATTGTCCATATTCTACCCACTATCTATCAAGAGTGTCAATGAATGTCACATGTGGACACCCCCCCCCCCCGAACACTCAACTTCTCAAGTGTTATTTTCTTCACCTGAGCATTTCATAAAGATTCAATATAGAATCTAGATCTAGCAATGATTTGATTATGATTCTCTATTTTTTATCTGATCTAATCAGAGGCGTAGCGGGGGGTGCGGACCGCACCGGGTGACACCATTTAGGGGGGTGACACCAAGGCAAAAAATAACAAAATATATAGAGAAAAAATTGAGGGGGGGGTATGCAAATCGAAAGTTTGAGGGGGGGGGGGGTGCAAATCGAAAATTTGATAGTTTGTCCCCGAGAAGGGTGCCGCACCGGGTGACACTCGACCTCGCTACGTCACTGGATCTAATCACTCAGTAGCCTACGTAAACCTCATTCTTTTAACAATTATTTTTAATTGTTCAGTTTAATAATGGACAGATCTAAACCTTTAGTCATAGAGCGGTTATTGTATCAAAAATTTCTTTCGTATTTACTATTTTCATTTTGGTTTACGAGTATTTATAACGTCTTCTGTTTCGGGAATTCTTATAATTTTTATTTAGGCCTAGACATTTCTTGTGATAAAACTAAAAATACATTAGAATTTATTATTGGCGATTGGGAATTTCCGCTGCACATTTTAAAATGGCTTCTCCGCCGACTGGTTAGCTCACCATCTTACCCAGATCTAGAATTTTGTTTATTAATTATACAGGCCTACGCCTATTAATAATATTATCTAGGACCTAGGCCCTATATAATATATAATATCGGCATAACTTTTAAAATTTAGCCTAGGCCTAAATAAATAAACTAAATATTATTATAGATCTAGAATCTAGAATCTAGGTAATCTATCGTTTTGGGTACGTAAAATCGCCCGCGGCTATTAATGTACGAAAACGTTACCTCATTGTCAATGCTGTAAAAAGAAGTATATTGTGATATGTTTATGTCAAATATTATAGATAAATGGATAATAAACCTAGTAGTAGGCTAAAATAAAATAAAATATTGTTAGAATACTGAATAGGCCTAGATTTAGATGTTATACTTATATACTATATACTATACAGTACACATACACTATTATTATACACTAATACTACTAAATACTACTAATACTATACATTAATTAATTACTTTTATTTAATAAAATTAATCACATGATTAAATTTAATTAATCAATCCGTAATCACAAATCCCTGCAGTAATCACACAGGCCTATTATTAATTTATTAGCCTATTATATTAATATTATTCATTAGGCTAATTATTATTAGGTATTTTATTACTAATTTATTAGTAATTATTACTAAATAGCTTAATAATACTTTATTATTATTAATTATTACTAATAATAATATATCTGTGTGGTCGAATCGGTAAAGCTCATGGTTGCTAAACCGAAAAGTCTCGAGTTCGAACCCTCGGGCAGATGAGGCTCGTTAGCTGGGGACAGCCACTCTTCTAGGAGAGACAACTCCAAAATCAAACAACTGCTGCCTTGTAGTTTGTTCTTGGTTGGACAAATGTTATGGAATCAAAATCCAAAAAGAAAAGCAGGGTGAAATCTGAGTCAATGGCCTCAATGGCGCAAAACCAGTTGACACGTAACGCTTAATTGTGTTGGAGGCGTGGTCGAGTCGGCAAAAAGCTCATGGTTGATAAATTCGAACAAAGTCTCGAGTTCAAACCCTCTGGCAGATAAGGCTTGATCCCTCCCAACACTAAAAATTAAGAACGAAGAAGAAGAAAGAAACTAATATATATTAGTATGGCCCCTGCCTCTACGCTTACATTGAGCCTACTACTACTACTACTACTACTACTATAATAGACTATATAAACTTTATATAGTAGTAGTAGTAGTAGTAGTAGTAGGCTCAGTGTAAGCGTAGAGGCAGGGGCCATACTAATATATATTAGTAATAATTAATAATAATAAAGTATTATTAAGCTATTTAGTAATAATTACTAATAAATTAGTAATAAAATGTACTTTTATATACTATAGGCTAATAAAAACTATCTATAAATTAAATTAAGGTAAAACATGAAGCGGGGAATAAAATACGCTAAAATGGAGTTTTACCTTAAATTAAACAGTAAAAGTATAGGGCCTATTTATATTAATAATTAAATAATTATACTATACTAATGAGTGAGACTAGTACCACTCTGCAGCAGTGTAGCTACTGTAAAGCTAGCAAAAGCAAGTCATAGCGGACCAAGGAACATAGGGGACCAAGGAACATAGGGGACCAAGGAACATAGGGGACCATGGAACATAGGGGACCATGGAACATAGGGGACCATGGAACATAGGGGACCAAGGAACATAGGGGACCATGGAACATAGGGGACCATGGAACATAGGGGACCAAGGAACATAGGGGACCATGGAACATAGGGGACCATGGAACATAGGGGACCAAGGAACATAGGGGACCATGGAACATAGGGACCAAGGAACATAGGGGACCATGGAACATAGGGGACCATGGAACATAGGGGACCATGGAACATAGGGGACCATGGAACATAGGGGACCATGGAACATAAGGGACCAAGGGACATAGGGGACCAAGGAACATAGGGGACCATGGAACATAGGGGACCAAGGAACATAGGGGACCATGGAACATAGGGACCAAGGAACATAGGGGACCATGGAACATAGGGGACCATGGAACATAGGGGACCATGGAACATAGGGGACCATGGAACATAGGGGACCATGGAACATATGGGACCATGGAACATAGGGGACCATGGAACATAGGGGACCATGGAACATAGGGGACCATGGAACATAGGGGACCATGGAACATAGGGGACCATGGAACATAGGGGACCATGGAACATAAGGGACCAAGGGACATAGGGGACCAAGGAACATAGGGGACCATGGAACATAGGGACCAAGGAACATAGGGGACCATGGAACATAGGGGACCATGGAACATAGGGGACCATGGAACATAGGGGACCATGGAACATAGGGGACCATGGAACATAGGGGACCATGGAACATAGGGGACCATGGAACATATGGGACCATGGAACATAGGGGACATGGAACATAGGGGACATGGAACATAGGGGACCATGGAACATAGGGGACCATGGAACATAGGGGACCATGGAACATAGGGGACCAAGGAACATAGAGGACCATGGAACATAGGGGACCACATAGGGGACCATGGAACATAGGGGACCAAGGAACATAGAGGACCATGGAACATAGGGGACCATGGAACATAGGGGACCATGGAACATAGGGGATCATGGAACATAGGGGACCATGGAACATAAGGGACCAAGGGACATAGGGGACCAAGGAACATAGGGGACCATGGAACATAGGGGACCATGGAACATAGGGGACCATGGAACATAAGGGACCAAGGGACATAGGGGACCATGGAACATAGGGGACCAAGGAACATAGGGGACCATGGAACATAGGGGACATGGAACATGGGGGCCTTTTCCCTCTTTAAAAAATTAAAACTTTAGATTGGAATTTTAATATTTGTTTTTTATGAATTATTTAAAAAGAAAAAGGAAATTTTCTGTTGTAGAAACTATTTTAAAATCTTCGTCGCCCACATTTAACTCCTTGTAGTCCAATGGCCCCCTGATAAGTTTTGCATAATAATGGCTAAAAAATAATAGCTACTCCACAGGTATTAGGCCTACTACTAGTTTATTTGGTTTATTTTTCAGAAACTTTAAGACAAAGACATTTAACCAATAACTCTTTAGCAGAAGAAGGGAAATTCTTGCTCTATCACAATGTCAAGTACCTGCTAAAGGAGAGAGACAACATTGAAGTGGATGTCAGCACAAACAAACAGGTGGAGACCCTCATTCACAACAGTGAGAACAAACATTCAACCTTTCTTCAACATCTTATCAACATTCAAACTTAATATAGCTGAGCAACATTCAAACTTTATATAGCTGATCAACATTCAAACTTTATATAGCTGATCAACATTCAAACTTAATATAGCTGAGCAACATTCAAACTTTATATAGCTGATCAACATTCAAACTTTATATAGCTGAGCAACATTCAAACTTTATATAGCTGATCAACATTCTAACTTTATATAGCTGATCAACATTCAAACTTTATATAGCTGATCAACATTCTAACTTTATATAGCTGATCAACATTCAAACTTTATATAGCTGATCAACATTCAAACTTTATATAGCTGATCAACATTCAAACTTTATATAGCTGATCAACATTCAAACTTTATATAGCTGATCAACATTCAAACTTTATATAGCTGATCAACATTAAAACTTTATATAGCTGATCAACATTCAAACTTTATATAGCTGATCAACATTCAAACTTTATATAGCTGATCAACATTCAAACTTTATATAGCTGATCATTCAACGCTTTTCTGCTTTTAAATGTGTTCTTGTTTCTGTAAAAAGAATTTGAATGGCTGTTAAATTTTTATTGCCATACACCTGAATGTCTGATTAAATGCCATACATCTGAATGTCTGATTTCGTGCGTACACCTGAATGTCTGATTTAATGCGTACACCTGAATGTCTGATTTAATGCGTACACCTGAATGTCTGATTTAATGTGTACACATGATTGTCTGATTTAATGTGTACACATGATTGTCTGATTTAATGTGTACACCTGAATGGTTTAAACAGAGGGAAACTTCCAGCCTGAATATTTGCGAGAGTTTGCCAGGGCTAATAAGCTGATAGCTGAGGAGCTGGAGAGTGATAGGAGAACACAAGAGTAAGCTTCAGACATTTTTTTTGTAGTTTTTCTTTGTGACTTAAGGTCTTCAAATTGTTTTTCATCTCTGGTGGTTTCTGTTCATTGGTGACCAAATTAGTTTTTGTTAAGTCAATTGCTTAAGTAGGATACATCACCAGGAATGCAATAAAAGCAAACTATTCAGACTTTATACTAGAACAAATTTCACAAACTCAGAGCCAAAACAATTTTCACAAATTAATTGCCAAAACAAATTTCACAAACTCAGTTGCCAGAACAAATTTCACAAACTAATTACCAGAACAAATTTCACAAACTCAGAGCCAAAACAATTTTCACAAATGAATTGCCAAAACAAATTTCACAAACTCAGTTGCCAGAACAAATTTCACAAACTAATTGCCAAAACAAATTTCACAAACTCAGTTGCAAGAACAAATTTCACAAACTAATTACCAGAACAAATTTCACAAACTCAGTTGCAAGAACAAATTTCACAAACTAATTGCCAGAACAAATTTCACAAACTCAGTGCCCAAAACAATTTCTTGTAGACTTATCAATAAAGTGCCAGAAGGAGCAGAGGAAGAAACCATCACCAAAGTGGCTAATGCCTTTATCAACCTGGGAAACATTACATGGTCCAAGATACTGGCTCTCTTTTACTTTGGCTACAAGCTTTGTCGAAAGGTAAGGTAACCCATCATAATAATTCATTCAAATGAAGGTAAGGTAACCCATCATAATAATTCATTCAAATGAAGGTAAGGTAACCCATCATAATAATTCATTCAAATGAAGGTAAGGTAACCCATCATAATAATTCTTTCAAATGAAGGTAAGGTAACCCATCATAATAATTCATTCAAATGCAGGTAAGGTAACCCATCATAATAATTCATTCAAATGAAGGTAAGGTAACCCATCATAATAATTCATTCAAATGAAGGTAAGGTAACCCATCATAATAATTCATTCAAATGCAGGTAAGGTAACCCATCATAATAATTCATTCAAATGAAGGTAAGGTAACCCATCATAATAATTCATTCAAATGAAGGTAAGGTAACCCATCATAATAATTCATTCAAATGCAGGTAAGGTAACCCATCATAATAATTCATTCAAATGAAGGTAAGGTAACCCATCATAATAATTCATTCAAATGAAGGTAAGGTAACCCATCATAATAATTCATTGAAATGAAGGTAAGGTAACCCATCATAATAATTCATTGAAATGAAGGTAAGGTAACCCATCATAATAATTCATTCAAATGAAGGTAAGGTAACCCATCATAATAATTCATTCAAATGAAGGTAAGGTAACCCATCATAATAATTCTTTCAAATGAAGGTAAGGTAACCCATCATAATAATTCATTCAAATGCAGGTAAGGTAACCCATCATAATAATTCATTCAAATGAAGGTAAGGTAACCCATCATAATAATTCATTCAAATGAAGGTAAGGTAACCCATCATAATAATTCATTCAAATGCAGGTAAGGTAACCCATCATAATAATTCATTCAAATGAAGGTAAGGTAACCCATCATAATAATTCATTCAAATGAAGGTAAGGTAACCCATCATAATAATTCATTCAAATGCAGGTAAGGTAACCCATCATAATAATTCATTCAAATGAAGGTAAGGTAACCCATCATAATAATTCATTCAAATGAAGGTAAGGTAACCCATCATAATAATTCATTCAAATGAAGGTAAGGTAACCCATCATAATAATTCATTCAAATGAAGGTAAGGTAACCCATCATAATAATTCATTCAAATGAAGGTAAGGTAACCCATCATAATAATTTGTTCAAATGAAGGTAAGGTAACCCATCATAATAATTCATTCAAATGAAGGTAAGGTAACCCATCATTAAATTCATTCAAATGAAGGTAAGGTAACACATCATAATAATTCATTCAAATGAAGGTAAGGTAACCCATCATAATAATTCATTCAAATGAAGGTAAGGTAACCCATCATAATAATTCATTCAAATGAAGGTAAGGTAACCCATCATAATAATTCATTCAAATGAAGGTAAGGTAACCCATCATAATAATTCTTTCAAATGTAGGTAAGGTAACCCATCATAATAATTAATTCAATTGAAGGTAAGGTAACCCATCATAATAATTCATTCAAATGAAGGTAAGGTAACCCATCATAATAATTCATTCAAATGAAGGTAAGGTAACCCATCATAATAATTCATTCAAATGAAGGTAAGGTAACCCATCATAATAATTCTTTCAAATGAAGGTAAGGTAACCCATCATAATAATTCATTCAAATGCAGGTAAGGTAACCCATCATAATAATTCATTCAAATGAAGGTAAGGTAACCCATCATAATAATTCATTCAAATGAAGGTAAGGTAACCCATCATAATAATTCATTCAAATGCAGGTAAGGTAACCCATCATAATAATTAATTCAAATGAAGGTAAGGTAACCCATCATAATAATTCATTCAAATGAAGGTAAGGTAACCCATCATAATAATTCATTCAAATGCAGGTAAGGTAACCCATCATAATAATTCATTCAAATGAAGGTAAGGTAACCCATCATAATAATTCATTCAAATGAAGGTAAGGTAACCCATCATAATAATTCATTCAAATGAAGGTAAGGTAACCCATCATAATAATTCATTGAAATGAAGGTAAGGTAACCCATCATAATAATTCATTCAAATGAAGGTAAGGTAACCCATCATAATAATTCATTCAAATGAAGGTAAGGTAACCCATCATAATAATTCTTTCAAATGAAGGTAAGGTAACCCATCATAATAATTCATTCAAATGCAGGTAAGGTAACCCATCATAATAATTCATTCAAATGAAGGTAAGGTAACCCATCATAATAATTCATTCAAATGAAGGTAAGGTAACCCATCATAATAATTCATTCAAATGCAGGTAAGGTAACCCATCATAATAATTCATTCAAATGAAGGTAAGGTAACCCATCATAATAATTCATTCAAATGAAGGTAAGGTAACCCATCATAATAATTCATTCAAATGCAGGTAAGGTAACCCATCATAATAATTCATTCAAATGAAGGTAAGGTAACCCATCATAATAATTCATTCAAATGAAGGTAAGGTAACCCATCATAATAATTCATTCAAATGAAGGTAAGGTAACCCATCATAATAATTCATTCAAATGAAGGTAAGGTAACCCATCATAATAATTCATTCAAATGAAGGTAAGGTAACCCATCATAATAATTTGTTCAAATGAAGGTAAGGTAACCCATCATAATAATTCATTCAAATGAAGGTAAGGTAACCCATCATTAAATTCATTCAAATGAAGGTAAGGTAACACATCATAATAATTCATTCAAATGAAGGTAAGGTAACCCATCATAATAATTCATTCAAATGAAGGTAAGGTAACCCATCATAATAATTCATTCAAATGAAGGTAAGGTAACCCATCATAATAATTCATTCAAATGAAGGTAAGGTAACCCATCATAATAATTCTTTCAAATGTAGGTAAGGTAACCCATCATAATAATTAATTCAATTGAAGGTAAGGTAACCCATCATAATAATTCATTCAAATGAAGGTAAGGTAACCCATCATAATAATTCATTCAAATGAAGGTAAGGTAACCCATCATAATAATTCATTCAAATGAAGGTAAGGTAACCCATCATAATAATTCATTCAAATGAAGGTAAGGTAACCCATCATAATAATTCATTCAAATGAAGGTAAGGTAACCCATCATAATAATTCATTCAAATGAAGGTAAGGTAACCCATCATAATAATTCATTCAAATGAAGGTAAGGTAACCCATCATAATAATTCATTCAAATGAAGGTAAGGTAACCCATCATAATAATTCTTTCAAATGAAGGTAAGGTAACCCATCATAATAATTCATTCAAATGAAGGTAAGGTAACCCATCATAATAATTCATTCAAATGCAGGTAAGGTAACCCATCATAATAATTCATTCAAATGAAGGTAAGGTAACCCATCATAATAATTCATTCAAATGAAGGTAAGGTAACCCATCATAATAATTCATTCAAATGCAGGTAAGGTAACCCATCATAATACTTCATTCAAATGAAGGTAAGGTAACCCATCATAATAATTCATTCAAATGAAGGTAAGGTAACCCATCATAATAATTCATTCAAATGCAGGTAAGGTAACCCATCATAATAATTCATTCAAATGAAGGTAAGGTAACCCATCATAATAATTCATTCAAATGAAGGTAAGGTAACCCATCATAATAATTCATTCAAATGAAGGTAAGGTAACCCATCATAATAATTCATTCAAATGAAGGTAAGGTAACCCATCATAATAATTCATTCAAATGAAGGTAAGGTAACCCATCATAATAATTTGTTCAAATGAAGGTAAGGTAACCCATCATAATAATTCATTCAAATGAAGGTAAGGTAACCCATCATTAAATTCATTCAAATTAAGGTAAGGTAACCCATCATAATAATTCATTCAAATGAAGGTAAGGTAACCCATCATAATAATTCATTCAAATGCAGGTAAGGTAACCCATCATAATAATTCATTCAAATGAAGGTAAGGTAACCCATCATAATAATTCATTCAAATGAAGGTAAGGTAACCCATCATAATAATTCATTCAAATGCAGGTAAGGTAACCCATCATAATAATTCATTCAAATGAAGGTAAGGTAACCCATCATAATAATTCATTCAAATGCAGGTAAGGTAACCCATCATAATAATTCATTCAAATGCAGGTAAGGTAACCCATCATAATAATTCATTCAAATGAAGGTAAGGTAACCCATCATAATAATTCATTCAAATGAAGGTAAGGTAACCCATCATAATAATTCATTCAAATGAAGGTAAGGTAACCCATCATAATAATTCATTCAAATGAAGGTAAGGTAACCCATCATAATAATTCATTCAAATGAAGGTAAGGTAACCCATCATAATAATTTGTTCAAATGAAGGTAAGGTAACCCATCATAATAATTCATTCAAATGAAGGTAAGGTAACCCATCATAATAATTCATTCAAATGAAGGTAAGGTAACCCATCATAATAATTCATTCAAATGAAGGTAAGGTAACCCATCATAATAATTCATTCAAATGAAGGTAAGGTAACCCATCATAATAATTCATTCAAATGAAGGTAAGGTAACCCATCATTAAATTCATTCAAATTAAGGTAAGGTAACCCATCATAATAATTCATTCAAATGAAGGTAAGGTAACCCATCATAATAATTCATTCAAATGCAGGTAAGGTAACCCATCATAATAATTCATTCAAATGAAGGTAAGGTAACCCATCATAATAATTCATTCAAATGAAGGTAAGGTAACCCATCATAATAATTCATTCAAATGCAGGTAAGGTAACCCATCATAATAATTCATTCAAATGAAGGTAAGGTAACCCATCATAATAATTCATTCAAATGAAGGTAAGGTAACCCATCATAATAATTCATTCAAATGCAGGTAAGGTAACCCATCATAATAATTCATTCAAATGAAGGTAAGGTAACCCATCATAATAATTCATTCAAATGAAGGTAAGGTAACCCATCATAATAATTCATTCAAATGAAGGTAAGGTAACCCATCATAATAATTCATTCAAATGAAGGTAAGGTAACCCATCATAATAATTCATTCAAATGAAGGTAAGGTAACCCATCATAATAATTTGTTCAAATGAAGGTAAGGTAACCCATCATAATAATTCATTCAAATGAAGGTAAGGTAACCCATCATTAAATTCATTCAAATTAAGGTAAGGTAACACATCATAATAATTCATTCAAATGAAGGTAAGGTAACCCATCATAATAATTCATTCAAATGAAGGTAAGGTAACCCATCATAATAATTCATTCAAATGAAGGTAAGGTAACCCATCATAATAATTCATTCAAATGCAGGTAAGGTAACCCATCATAATAATTCATTCAAATGAAGGTAAGGTAACCCATCATAATAATTCATTCAAATGAAGGTAAGGTAACCCATCATAATAATTCATTCAAATGCAGGTAAGGTAACCCATCATAATAATTCATTCGAATGAAGGTAAGGTAACCCATCATAATAATTCATTCAAATGAAGGTAAGGTAACCCATCATAATAATTCATTCAAATGAAGGTAAGGTAACCCATCATAATAATTCATTTAAATGAAGGTAAGGTAACCCATCAATAATTTGTTCAAATGAAGGTAAGGTAACCCATCATAATAATTCATTCAAATGAAGGTAAGGTAACCCATCATTAAATTCATTCAAATGAAGGTAAGGTAACACATCATAATAATTCATTCAAATGAAGGTAAGGTAACCCATCATAATAATTCATTCAAATGAAGGTAAGGTAACCCATCATAATAATTCATTCAAATGAAGGTAAGGTAACCCATCATAATAATTCATTCAAATGAAGGTAAGGTAACCCATCATAATAGTTCATTCAAATGAAGGTAAGGTAACCCATCATAATAGTTCATTCAAATGAAGGTAAGGTAACCCATCATAATAATTCATTCAAATGAAGGCAACTTATTTTATCCTTGAACTCCCTTCCTGCAAGAAGTCTAGTTGTAGTAATGTAATGTAATCAGACACCAAGCTGGGATGTAATCAAACATTAAGCCATGATGTAATCAAACATCAAGCCATGATGTAATCAAACATCAAGCCATGATGTAATCAAACATCAAGCCATGATGTAATCAAACATTAAGCTATGATGTAATCAAACATTAAGCCATGATGTAATCAAACATTAAGCCATGATGTAATCACACATTAAGCCGTGATGTAATCAAACATTAAGCTATGATGTAATCAAACATTAAGCCATGATGTAATCAAACATTAAGCCATGATGTAATCAAACATTAAGCCATGATGTAATCAAACATTAAGCCATGATGTAATCAAACATTAAGCCGTGATGTAATCAAACATTAAGCTATGATGTAATCAAACATTTAGCTGTTATGTAATCAAACATTAAGCTGTGATGTAATCAAACATTAAGCCATGATGTAATCAAACATTAAGCTGTGATGTAATCAAACATTAAGCTGTGATGTTTTAAAATATTCTCCCAGTCCCTGACTCGCATGTACCAGTACATCAAGATCTTTGGCAATGTGCTGGCCAGCAAAATTGTGGATTGGATTAAAACAATGGGAGGATGGGTGAGTCAATCAACAAATGCTGCAATAGTTTTATTTCAACATCTAGATCTACCTAAAGGTTGCAATAGTTTTATTTCAACATCTAGGTCTACCTAAAGGTTGCAATAGTTTTATTTCAACATCTAGGTCTACCTAAAGGTTGCAATAGTTTTATTTCAACATCTACATCTACCTAAAGGCTGCAATAGTTTTATTTCAACATCTAGATCTACCTAAAGGTTGCAATAGTTTTATTTCAACATCTAGATCTACCTAAAGGTTGCAATAGTTTTATTTCAACATCTAGGTCTACCTAAAGGTTGCAATAGTTTTATTTCAACATCTAGGTCTACCTAAAGGTTGCAATAGTTTTATTTCAACATCTAGATCTACCTAAAGGTTGCAATAGTTTTATTTCAACATCTAGATCTACCTAAAGGCTGCAATAGTTTTATTTCAACATCTAGATCTACCTAAAGGTTGCAATAGTTTTATTTCAACATCTAGATCTACCTAAAGGTTGCAATAGTTTTATTTCAACATCTGGATCTACCTAAATTCTAAAGGCTGCAATAGTTTTATTTCAACATCTAGATCTATCTAAAGGTTGCAATAGTTTTATTTCAACATCTAGATCTACCTAAAGGTTGCAATAGTTTTATTTCAACATCTAGATCTACCTAAAGGTTGCAATAGTTTTATTTCAACATCTAGATCTACCTAAAGGTTGCAATAGTTTTATTTCAACATCTAGGTCTACCTAAAGGCTGCAATAGTTTTATTTCAACATCTAGATCTACCTAAAGGTTGCAATAGTTTTATTTCAACATCTAGATCTACCTAAAGGTTGCAATAGTTTTATTTCAACATCTAGGTCTACCTAAAGGTTGCAATAGTTTTATTTCAACATCTAGATCTATCTAAATTCTAAAGGTTGCAATAGTTTTATTTCAACATCTAGATCTACCTAAAGGTTGCAATAGTTTTATTTCAACATCTAGATCTACCTAAAGGTTGCAATAGTTTTATTTCAACATCTAGATCTATCTAAATTCTAAAGGTTGCAATAGTTTTATTTCAACATCTAGATCTACCTAAAGGCTGCAATAGTTTTATTTCAACATCTAGATCTATCTAAAGGTTGCAATAGTTTTATTTCAACATCTAGATCTACCTAAAGGTTGCAGTAGTTTTATTTCAACATCTACTTAAATGTTGCAATAATTTTACTTCAGCATCTACCTAAAGGTTGCAATATTTTTGTTTCAGCTTTCGTTTACAGTAAAACGGAAAGGATTTCTAGGCATCGAATCATTTTCTAGGCTTTCTCTACCTCTAGGGGTTGCCATAGTGGGCGGAGCCTTAGTGGGAGGAGTTTTAGTTTATAAAAGATATTCATCTTAACTTTACTACCACTTAACCTGACCCTAACCTTTAACCTAATCAAAAACCTTAACCTTACCATAAACCTTAACTTTTACCTCACGTTTAACCTTTTCCAACCTTAAACGTGACTCTAGGTCTCAACCTGACCTTAACCCTTAACCTGACCTTAACCCTTAACCTGACTTTTACCTTTAATTCTTTGTCTAGTGCTAGAGCCTTGTTGTGGCCTGGCAGCTATACCAGCGGGAGTGTAAACTCCTGTCACCCCCCCCCCCCCCCCCCCCAGAGCTATACCAGCGGGAGTGTAAACTCCTGTCACCCCCCCCCCAGAGCTATACCAGCGGGAGTGTAAACTCCTGTCACCCCCCCCCCCAGAGCTATACCAGCGGGAGTGTAAACTCCTGTCACCCCCCCCCCCCCAGAGCTATACCAGCGGGAGTGTAAACTCCTGTCACCCCCCCCCCCCCAGAGCTATACCAGCGGGAGTGTAAACTCCTGTCACCCCCCCCCCCAGAGCTATACCAGCAGGAGTGTAAACTCCTGTCACCCCCCCCCCCCCCAGAGCTATACCAGCGGGAGTGTAAACTCCTGTCACCCCCCCCCCCAGAGCTATACCAGCGGGAGTGTAAACTCCTGTCACCCCCCCCCCCCCCCAGAGCTATACCAGCGGGAGTGTAAACTCCTGTCACCCCCCCCCCCCCCAGAGCTATACCAGCGGGAGTGTAAACTCCTGTCACCCCCCCCCCCCCAGAGCTATACCAGCGGGAGTGTAAACTCCTGTCACCCCCCCCCCCAGAGCTATACCAGCGGGAGTGTAAACTCCTGTCACCCCCCCCCCCCCCAGAGCTATACCAGCGTGAGTGTAAACTCCTGTCACCCCCCCCCCCCCCCCAGAGCTATACCAGCGGGAGTGTAAACTCCTGTCACCCCCCCCCCCCAGAGCTATACCAGCGGGAGTGTAAACTCCTGTCACCCCCCCCCCCCCCAGAGCTATACCAGCGGGAGTGTAAACTCCTGTCACCCCCCCCCCCCCCCCAGAGCTATACCAGCGGGAGTGTAAACTCCTGTCACCCCCCCCCCCCCAGAGCTATACCAGCGGGAGTGTAAACTCCTGTCACCCCCCCCCCCCCAGAGCTATACCAGCGGGAGTGTAAACTCCTGTCACCCCCCCCCCCCAGAGCTATACCAGCGGGAGTGTAAACTCCTGTCACCCCCCCCCCCCCAGAGCTATACCAGCGGGAGTGTAAACTCCTGTCACCCCCCCCCCCCCAGAGCTATACCAGCGGGAGTGTAAACTCCTGTCACCCCCCCCCCCCCCAGAGCTATACCAGCGGGAGTGTAAACTCCTGTCACCCCCCCCCCCCCCAGAGCTATACCAGCGGGAGTGTAAACTCCTGTCACCCCCCCCCCCCCAGAGCTATACCAGCGGGAGTGTAAACTCCTGTCACCCCCCCCCCCCCCCAGAGCTATACCAGCGGGAGTGTAAACTCCTGTCACCCCCCCCCCCCCAGAGCTATACCAGCGGGAGTGTAAACTCCTGTCACCCCCCCCCCCCCCAGATCTATACCAGCGGGAGTGTAAACTCCTGTCACCCCCCCCCCCCCCCCCAGAGCTATACCAGCGGGAGTGTAAACTCCTGTCACCCCCCCCCCCCCCCCAGAGCTATACCAGCGGGAGTGTAAACTCCTGTCACCCCCCCCCCCCCAGAGCTATACCAGCGGGAGTGTAAACTCCTGTCACCCCCCCCCCCCCCCCAGAGCTATACCAGCGGGAGTGTAAACTCCTGTCACCCCCCCCCCCAGAGCTATACCAGCGGGAGTGTAAACTCCTGTCACCCCCCCCCCCCCAGAGCTATACCAGCGGGAGTGTAAACTCCTGTCACCCCCCCCCCCCCCCCAGAGCTATACCAGCGGGAGTGTAAACTCCTGTCACCCCCCCCCCCAGAGCTATACCAGCGGGAGTGTAAACTCCTGTCACCCCCCCCCCCAGAGCTATACCAGCGGGAGTGTAAACTCCTGGCAGGTTCAACCAAGCTGGGAAGATCTGCGCGGGTAGGGGTCAGACAAAAGCTAGCACCCTGGTCCTCCAGGTTGGGGGTTGAATGTAAGGCCAGTAACCTGGGATTAGGGTTAGGGTCATGACCTGACCTTTGACCTGACCTTAAACCTGACCCTTAGATGGAATGGTTAGCACAGTGTTGGTGCTAACCTGATCTTATGTCCACTATTTTTTTATGGACATCTTTCATTGTCATTGTTCAAAATATTTTTTATGGACATCTTTCATTGTCATTGTTCAAAATATTTTTTATGGACATCTTTCATTGTCATTGTTCAAAATATTTTTTATGGACATCTTTCATTGTCATTGTTCAAAATATTTTTTATGGACATCTTTCATTGTCATTGTTCAAAATATTTTTTATGGACATCTTTCATTGTCATTGTTCAAAATATTTTTTATGGACATCTTTCATTGTCATTGTTCAAAATATTTTTTATGGACATTTTTCATTGTCATTGTTCAAAATATTTTTTATGGACATCTTTCATTGTCATTGTTCAAAATATTTTTTATGGACATCTTTCATTGTCATTGTTCAAAATATTTTTTATGGACATCTTTCATTGTCATTGTTCAAAATATTTTTTATGGACATTTTTCATTGTCATTGTTCAAAATATTTTTTATGGACATCTTTCATTGTCATTGTTCAAAATATTTTTTATGGACATCTTTCATTCTTCATTTTTCAAAATAGCTGTTTGAAATTATATTTATTCACATACACTCAGAACTTTAACGTATATGTTTAATGGTTTATTATATAAACATTTTATGCACATATTAACAAATGTTTACAATCATTGTATGTAGAAGTTAACAAATGAACTATCTGTTTATACTAGATAAATGGCCCGTTGAGGAAGGGTACAACGGGCGCTAGGCTGATAGTGCTGTCTCTTTTCTCTAAACTAAAACCATCCCACCCCCCCCCCCCACACACCCCCACCCCCCCCACCCCACACACACCACCCCCACCCCCACCCCCCACCCCCACACACACCTCCACCCCCCACACACAACCCACCCCCACCCCCACCCCCACCACCCCCACCCCCCCACACACCTCCCCCCACCCACCCCCACCCACCCACCCCCACCCCCCAAAAAACATGTCTACCGTCCCATTCAACGAAATATAATTATATACTTTTTCCAGTGTCCGCCCCCTTCCCGAAAATTCTACCCCCGCCCCCGAAAACCTCAAGTACCCCCCTGCCCCTCTCCGGGGAGGAAAAAGTCTGAAAGAAACACTGGTGTCGCGCTTAGCCACTACGCGAAGAATTGCATTAAAGAAATTGCGAGAAAACCACTTTTTAGATTAGACACATTAATTAGGTGGTAATTTTATTATAGAGTATCGATGAGGAAACCACCCCACCCCACCCCCCCCCCACACACACACCTCCACACACCACCCACCCCCACCCCCACACACACCACCCCCACCCCCACCCCCCACACACCACCCGCCACCCCCCCCCCACACACCACCCACCCCCACCCCCACACACACCACCCCCCACCCCCACCCCCCACACACCACCCGCCACCCCCCCCCCCCACACACCACCCCCCCACCCCCCCACCACCCCCCCCCCCCCCCGCCACCCCCCACCTCCCACCCCCCACCCCCCACTCCCAAAAAAATCATGTCTACCGTCCCATTCAACGAAATATAATTATATACTTTTTCCAGTGTCCGCCCCCTCCCAGAAAATTCTACCCCCGCCCCCGAAAATTTCAAGTACCCCCACCCCTCTCCGGGGAGGAAAAAGTCTGAAAGAAACACTGAAACCAACCCACCCCCCACACACCACCCCCCACCACCCCCCCACACACCACCCCCCCACCCCCCCCCCCCCCCACACAACACCCCCACCACCCCCCCCCACACCCCCACCCCCCCCCACCCCTCCACCACCCCCACCCCCAAAAAAAACATGTCTACCGTCCCATTCAACGAAATATAATTATATACTTTTTCCAGTGTCCGCCCCCTCCCAGAAAATTCTACCCCCCGCCCCCGAAAATTTCAAGTACCCCCCACCCCTCTCCGGGGAGGAAAAAGTCTGAAAGAAACACTGAAACCAACCCACCCCCCCACACACCACCCCCCCCCACACCCCCCCCCCCCACACACACACACACCCCCCCCCCCCACCCCTCCAACCCCCCCCCCCCCCCCCCCAAAAAAAACATGTCTACCGTCCCATTGCAAGAAAACCACTTTTTAGATTAGACACATTAATTAGGCGGTAATTTTGTTATAGAGTATCGATGAAGAAATTTCTTTTGAGTTGGGGAGGGGGGGGGGGGGGGCTCAGACGTTCTTACGCGGGGGGTGGGGCTTCGCCCCTACCCGAAGAATTGTATGCAAGAAACTCTTCACGCAAACCATTTAGATTAGACAACATTTCCTTTTTATTATTCCATGTTTACGCGATAATCAATGACGTCAGTGCACTAAATGTGGCGACGTCATACTTCGTCTTTCGTTTCACTGTGAGAGTTTTTATTTTCCTTTTGTTTTCTCTAGAGCGTTCTTGTCAGAATTTTTGCTTATGTTTTCTCTAGAGCGTTCCTTTTTTGCTTATGTTTTCTCTAGAGCGTTCCAGAGCGTTCTTGTCAGACTAGATAAATGGCCCGTTGAGGAAGGGTACAACGGGCGCTAGGCTGATAGTGCTGTCTCTTTTCTCTAAACTAAAACCATCCCACCCCCCCCCCCCACACACCCCCACCCCCCCCACCCCACACACACCACCCCCACCCCCACCCCCCACCCCCACACACACCTCCACCCCCCACACACAACCCACCCCCACCCCCACCCCCACCACCCCCACCCCCCCACACACCTCCCCCCACCCACCCCCACCCACCCACCCCCACCCCCCAAAAAAACATGTCTACCGTCCCATTCAACGAAATATAATTATATACTTTTTCCAGTGTCCGCCCCCTTCCCGAAAATTCTACCCCCCGCCCCCGAAAACCTCAAGTACCCCCTGCCCCTCTCCGGGGAGGAAAAAGTCTGAAAGAAACACTGGTGTCGCGCTTAGCCACTACGCGAAGAATTGCATTAAAGAAATTGCGAGAAAACCACTTTTTAGATTAGACACATTAATTAGGTGGTAATTTTATTATAGAGTATCGATGAGGAAACCACCCCACCCCACCCCCCCCCCCCACACACACACCTCCACACACCACCCACCCCCACCCCCACACACACCACCCCCACCCCCACCCCCCACACACCACCCGCCACCCCCCCCCCCACACACCACCCACCCCCACCCCCACACACACCACCCCCACCCCCACCCCCCACACACCACCCGCCACCCCCCCCCCCACACACCACCCCCCACCCCCCCACCACCCCCCCCCCCCCCCCGCCACCCCCCACCTCCCACCCCCCACCCCCCACTCCCAAAAAAAATCATGTCTACCGTCCCATTCAACGAAATATAATTATATACTTTTTCCAGTGTCCGCCCCCTCCCAGAAAATTCTACCCCCGCCCCCGAAAATTTCAAGTACCCCCACCCCTCTCCGGGGAGGAAAAAGTCTGAAAGAAACACTGAAACCAACCCACCCCCCCCACACCACCCCCCACCACCCCCCCACACACCACCCCCCACCCCCCCCCCCCCCACACAACACCCCCACCACCCCCCCCCCCACACCCCCCCCCCACCCCTCCACCACCCCCACCCCCAAAAAAAAACATGTCTACCGTCCCATTCAACGAAATATAATTATATACTTTTTCCAGTGTCCGCCCCCTCCCAGAAAATTCTACCCCCGCCCCCGAAAATTTCAAGTACCCCCACCCCTCTCCGGGGAGGAAAAAGTCTGAAAGAAACACTGAAACCAACCCACCCCCCCACACACCACCCCCCCCCCCACACCCCCCCCCCCCACACACACACACACACCCCCCCCCACCCCTCCACCCCCCCCCCCCCCCCCCCCAAAAAAACATGTCTACCGTCCCATTGCAAGAAAACCACTTTTTAGATTAGACACATTAATTAGGCGGTAATTTTGTTATAGAGTATCGATGAAGAAATTTCTTTTGAGTTGGGGAGGGGGGGGGGGGGGCTCAGACGTTCTTACGCGGGGGGTGGGGCTTCGCCCCTACGCGAAGAATTGTATGCAAGAAACTCTTCACGCAAACCATTTAGATTAGACAACATTTCCTTTTTATTATTCCATGTTTACGCGATAATCAATGACGTCAGTGCACTAAATGTGGCGACGTCATACTTCGTCTTTCGTTTCACTGTGAGAGTTTTTATTTTCCTTATGTTTTCTCTAGAGCGTTCTTGTCAGAATTTTTGCTTATGTTTTCTCTAGAGCGTTCCTTTTTTGCTTATGTTTTCTCTAGAGCGTTCCAGAGCGTTCTTGTCAGATAGATAGATACACAGACAGCGAAACTATTAGTATTGATAGATAGATACACAGACAGCGAAACTATTAGTATTGATACTTCAGCATTCCATGTCCAAGTTTGATTCATAGTGAGTGCCTGTCTTTTGTTGACCTCAAATGTAACCAAACAAAATTTTACCAAAAACATTTTTAACAAACAAAATTTTACCAAAAAAAATTTAATCAAAACAAAATTTAAAATGACATAAAGTTTGTGATTTCAAATGTATAACAACTGAATGATATAAAGTTTGTTAATAAAAATGTATTGACAACTGAATGACATAAAATATAAAGTTTATTTTTCAAATGTATAATAGCTGAATAACATAACATTTGTTATTTCAAATGTCTACTAAATGCATTGTTTGGGGTTATTTAAAAATATTTTATGCTTGTGTTTGTTGATTGCCTCTAGTTGATTGCACTGCATGAAAAGAACCATTATATCTAGACATCAGTTGCAAAATCAACATTTTTATTGGCCAATGTTTTCCTATTATCTGCCTCAAATCATTAGACTGCAAGATTTGAGGCCGAGCTGATCAACTAATGAGAAGAGAGATCAGCTCAAAAACTGATTTAAAAAAGCAATCAAATTATACCTGACTCGGACCAGCATTGAAATGTAGAGAAGGGGAAATGGAAAGACACGGTTATGATAACTTTACATTGTTTAAAGATAAAACTTATGATAACATTACATTGTTTAAAGACATGCTTATGATAACATTACATTGTTTAAAGACACGGCTTATGATAACATTACATTGTTCAAAGACAAAACTTATGATAACATTACATTGTTTAAAGACATGCTTATGATAACATTACATTGTTTAAAGACACGGCTTATGATAACATTACATTGTTCAAAGATACAACTTATGATAACATTACATTGTTTCAAATTCAAATTGTGTGTTTTAGACATTTGACCTAATTTACTGGATAGCACTTATTTGGGCCAACGGTAAAGGAAACATTCAAGGTTCTTATATCCTCGCATATCCTATGGAGGAAAAAAACACTGCTTATATCCTCTCATACCCTATGGAGGAAAAAAACACTGCTTATATCCTCTCATACCCTATGGAGGAAAAAAACACTGCTTATATCCTCTCATACCCTATGGAGGAAAAAAACACTGCTTATATCCTCTCATATCCTATGGAGGAAAAAAACACTGCTTATATCCTCTCATGGGTGGTAGTGTTGATTTCCTCGACAGTGTGTGAAAGGATATAACTTGCGTATTTCCTCTACTGTGAGATGAAACTATCTGAGAAAAAACAAAAGCTCTTCTATACACAAGTTAAATCCATGCGTCAAAAGATATCCTACCAATTTCATTAATTGTTTTGTTGTGAGGTCCACGGGAAAGATTTCTTGTGTCTACACTACCATCTAGACACCACAACTAGAGTCTACACTACCATCTAGACACCACAAATAGAGTCTACACTACCATCTAGACACCACAACTAGAGTCTACACTACCACCCATACACCACAAATAGAGTCTACACTACCACCCATACACCACAAATAGAGTCTACACTACCACCCATACACCACAACTAAAGTCTACACTACCACCCATACACCACAAATAGAGTCTACACTACCACCCATACACCACAAATAGAGTCTACACTACCACCCATACACCACAAATAGAGTCTACACTACGACCCATACACCACAACTAGAGTCTACACTACCACCCATACACCACAACTAGAGTCTACACTACCACCCATACACCACAACTAAAGTCTACACTACCACCCATACACCACAAATAGAGTCTACACTACCATCTAGACACCACAACTAGAGTCTACACTACCACCCATACACCACAACTAGAGTCTACACTACCACCCATACACCACAACTAGAGTCTACACTACCACCCATACACCACAACTAAAGTCTACACTACCACCCATACACCACAACTAGAGTCTACACTACCACCCATACACCACAACTAAAGTCTACACTACCACCCATACACCACAAATAGAGTCTACACTACCATCTAGACACCACAACTAGAGTCTACACTACCACCCATACACCACAAATAGAGTCTACACTACCACCCATACACCACAAATAGAGTCTACACTACCACCCATACACCACAACTAGAGTCTACACTACCACCCATACACCACAACTAGAGTCTACACTACCACCCATACACCACAACTAGAGTCTACACTACCACCCATACACCACAAATAGAGTCTACACTACCACCCATACACCACAACTAGAGTCTACACTACCACCCATACACCACAACTAAAGTCTACACTACCACCCATACACCACAACTAAAGTCTACACTACCACCCATACACCACAAATAGAGTCTACACTACCACCCATACACCACAACTAGAGTCTACACTACCACCCATACACCACAAATAGAGTCTACACTACCACCCATACACCACAACTTGAGTCTACACTACCACCCAGACACCATAAATAGAGTCTACACTACCACCCAGACACCGCCGGCGCCCTGAAGGGTGCTATTTGGCTCCGCGAGCTTTCCTTTGAGCGCTATTGCGCATACGATCTTTTTAAAGAGTGCGATATAATATGGACAAGATGTAGTATTATAGTTCACTAAATTGAATGAGGCGCGTCCGCTGGCGCCCCTGTATGGTGCGATGCTGCGACCTGGGCTATGCCATGATCACTATGGCATCTACGTTAGTTTAAGGAGCACACTACAATATTGACACGGATGCACGCAACGTTCGATGATGAAACCGAGCCAGGGGACTAGGGACGTACGCTGCACCCTGTGGTAGTGTAATCAGGGGATCTCGAGAGCACCCTGCTACGTCTCTAACACCTGGGCGGTTGCCCAACTATGACGGAGAGTGATTAAAGTACACTCAAGCCTTTCATACACCACGCCGGGTGGCGTGCTAGGCGATATTGTAAGCAAACCCGTGATCCAATAAATATGACCCAAGCGAAGGCATTGTTTACATAACTCAGTTTTAAAAAACAAGGTCACAAGTCTAAGAATTAGTAACGCATTGATGAAACCCTCCTAATGTATTTCGTCAGACTTGCTTCTAACCCCGCGACAACGCGCAGGGACGGGCACGCTAGACTTTAAATAAAATAGAATTTTTAAAAATGAATTTAACTTATGGTATTTTAAAAATATACACGGCTGTAATTTGTTTCACATAGAGGAGCCACTCAGGGCTTGCTTAGTTGAAAAATCAAAACTTCGATTAAGACCTCCCTGATATATATATATATATATATATATATATATATATATATATATATATATATATATATATATATATATATATATATATATATATATATATATATATATATATATATATATATATATATATATATATATATATATATATATATATATATATATATATATATATATATATATATATATATATATATATTGTTTTTTGCCTAGTTCCGCCAATGAAGATGCCAACATGAGGTCAGGTGAGGTAATAAAGTTGACATTTGGAATGATATGCCACCTAGGCCAAAGTACTGTCAACAAACTGGCGGACTGCACTCGGTCAGACATAGTGTGCTCCTCGAACTGCAGGCTGTGCTGTTGTAAGTTTCTCTACACATAGTTCATTCCTAGCGTAAAAGTTAATGGTCGAGAATAATTTAACGCTAAATTTCAATGAGAGATTATGTTAAATATAAATCTTTTAATCTTTAGATGATAAACCTTGTGTTGTACAAACTTTGTGTTGTACAAACCTTGTGTTGTACAAACTTTGTGTTGTACAAACTTTGTGTTGTACAAACCTTGTGTTGTACAAACTTTGTGTTGTACAAACTTTGTGTTGTACAAACTTTGTGTTGTACAAACTTTGTGTTGTACAAACCTTGTGTTGTACAAACCTTGTGTTGTATAAACCTATAAACCTTGTGTTGTACAAACTTTGTGTTGTACAAACCTTGTGTTGTACAAACCTTGTGTTGTATAAACCTATAAACCTTGTGTTGTACAAACTTTGTGTTGTACAAACCTTGTGTTGTACAAACCTTGTGTTACTCTTACAGAAACGTTTTTGTGGTGATAAAAACTTCGTGTTACAAACATTGTTCACCTATTCTCAATGTTCTTATTGACTTAAGTCAACATTTAGTAACATTGTTCACCTATTCTCAATGTTCTTATTGACTTAAGTCAACATTTAGTAACATTGTTCACCTATTCTCAATGTTCTTATTGACTTAAGTCAACATTTAGTAACATTGTTCACCTATTCTCAATGTTCTTATTGACTTGAGTCAACATTTAGTAACATTGTTCACCTATTCTCAATGTTCTTATTGACTTAAGTCAACATTTAGTAACATTGTTCACCTATTCTCAATGTTCTTATTGACTTAAGTCAACATTTAGTAACATTGTTCACCTATTCTCAATGTTCTTATTGACTTGAGTCAACATTCAGTAACATTGTTCACCTATTCTCAATGTTCTTATTGACTTGAGTCAACATTCAGTAACATCGTTCACCTATTCTCAATGTTCTTATTGACTTGAGTCAACATTCAGTATATTTATAACAGATGGCCAAATACATGACCCAACTAACAGATGGCCAAATACATGACCCAACTAACAGATGGCCAAATACATGACCCAACTGACAGATGGCCAAATACATGACCCAACTGACAGATGCATTAGTGACATCAGACAACCGATGCAGCATACGATCTTTTGAACTTTGACCTACATGAGGAACATGACCTACATGTCAAATGTCAGTGATATTATTTCGGCTGACCTTTACAGATGTCGGTTACCATGGCAACTAGTCTGTGCCTAGATGACTTTGACCTCATCCAGCTAGTGACGTCAGACATGAACGGAATCCCCAGGGGCAAGCTGATCCCTCGAGATGTGGCTAAAAATAAACTAGCCGGTTTAGAGGTTCCACAAAGTAGGTCATTTCTATTTACTTTCGTTTGACGCGATGACACGAGCTGAAGGAATATATGGTGCAAGCCATAAGCCTTGATCGGTGTTTGTGAGTGGAATGTGTGGTGGAGTGTGTGGTGGAGTGTGTGGTGGAGTGTGTGGTGGAGTGTGTGGTGGAGTGTGTGTTTGTGAGGGCTTCTATCCGCCTTCTGGACAACATTGTTGTGTCTGTCAGTCTGTCTGTCTCATCTACTGCTGCTATGTCTGTCATCAGTCATCCACTGCTGCTATGTCTGTCATCAGTCATCCACTGCTGCGGTACTGCCTGTGACCTTCCCCCGATGTCCCGAGAAGACAACTTCGGCAATGGCGTCACAGTTCCAGACTGGTCTAGCCTGGTTGGGCTCCCGTCGGCCACCCGCCCTGGCCGCAGGGTGGGCCAGCTCATCATTGGCCACCTGCTCCAGGAAGATGGCCAGCCTGACCCCACCTCGCCTCGATATTGTGTAAGGCCGTCCGACAGTTTTTTCTCTCTTTACCTTGACCGTCTAAAACAACCTGACCGTCTAAAACAACTGACCGTCTAAAACAACCTGACCGTCTAAAACAACCTGACCGTCTAAAACAACCCTGACCGTCTAAAACTATCCTTACCGTCTAAAACAACTGACCGTCCAAATCTACCCACCCTGTGTTACCGACGGCCAGTAAAAATGTTTCAACAATTGATCTGATAAGGTGCAGCAACTGTTGACCAAACTGGACGGTCTCGGCTACAAATTACACGGCTATTTCTCCTGTCAGTTTTTTGTCTTCAAACAGGGAGAGAACCGAGAATATCTTGGTAGGTAAAAGTTGATTTACTGAATTACTTCCCTTTTTAAGGAAGCGAAAATTTTATCACAAGAACATTTCACTTAATAAATCATTAATAACCTAACACAATTAATAAGCTATACACATAATTGGTAAAGCGATAAAACATTAAAATAATTAGATCAACCATCTAATTAGACTCCGCACACATCTGATGAACTAAATAATTTTGTCAACAGATGAAAGCCAGGTGCCGGTCTACACGGGAGGGGAGGGAGGGGAGGGAGGGGAGGGCATGATGCTGGAACTGTGTCGACAACTGCTGATGGTTGGGGTTGAGGTTCATTCATGGTCAGCTGGAGGTCAAGGTCAGTGATTCATTGAAATGAAAGGTTGTTGCAGGTGTGGTGATTTTGTAGGCGTGTTGATTATTGCAGGTGTTGATTATTACAGGTGTTGATTGTTACAGGTGTTGACTGTTGCAGTTGTTGACTGTTGCAGTTGTTGACTGTTGCAGTTGTTGACTGTTGCAGGTGTTGATTGTTGCAGGTGTTGATTGTTGCAGATGTTGACTGTTGCAAGTGTTGACTGTTGCAGGTGTTGACTGTTGCAGGTGTTGATTGTTGCAGGTGTTGACTGTTGCAGGTGTTGACTGTTGCAGGTGTTGACTGTTGCAGGTGTTGACTGTTGCAGGTGTTGACTGTTGTAGGTGTTGACTGTTGCAGGTGTTGACTGTTGCAGGTGTTGACTGTTGCAGGTGTTGACTGTTGCAGGTGTTGACTGTTGCAGGTGTTGACTGTTGCAGATGTTGACTGTTGCAGGTGTTGACTGTTGCAGGTGTTGACTGTTGCAGGTATTGACTGTTGCAGGTGTTGACTGTTGCAGGTGTTGACTGTTGCAGGTGTTGACTGTTGCAGGTGTTGACTGTTGCAGGTGTTGACTGTTGCAGGTATTGACTGTTGCAGGTGTTGACTGTTGCAGGTGTTGACTGTTGCAGGTGTTGACTGTTGCAGGTGTTGACTGTTGCAGGTGTTGACTGTTGCAGGTGTTGACTGTTGCAGGTATGTATGAGATCTCTCTAGCCCCCTGTGAAGGCCTGACGGTGGCTGACATGGCCTGGCGGCTTCGACTGGGGGTCAGGGCTGTGCTGGCCCAACACGGATACCACGTGACTTTCATGACCCGACCTCAGGGTCACAAGCCTGCAGGGACCAAGCTGACCTTCACGCTACGTGACGTCACTGGCCGAAATCTTTTTCTCGACAGATCTACACCTGATCATTTCTCAGGTAAATGTCTGTGTTGACAAGTAGAGAGTGTGTGTGTTGACATGTAGAGAGTGTGTGTGTTGACATGTAGAGAGTGTGTGTGTTGACATGTAAGAGAGTGTGTGTGTTGACATGTAGAGAGTGTGTGTGTTGACATGTAGAGAGTGTGTGTGTTGACATGTAGAGAGTGTGTGTGTTGACATGTAGAGAGTGTGTGTGTTGACATGTTGTGTGTGTGTGTATTGACATGTAGAGAGTGTGTGTGTATAGAAAGTGTGTGTGTTGACATGCATAGATAAACCTACCCACCTGTCCTGACTGACCTACCCACCTGTGCTGACTTACCTATCCACCTGTCCTGACTGACCTACCCACCTGTCCTGACTGACCTACCCACCTGTGCTGACTTACCTATCCACCTGTCCTGACTGACCTACCCACCTGTGCTGACTTACCTACCCACCTGTCCTGACTGACCTACCCACCTGTCCTGACTGACCTACTGACCTGTGCTGACTGACCTACTGACCTGTCCTGACTGACCAACTGACCTGTGCTGATGTTTCCAGTCGTGTGTGGTCAGTGGTTGGCTGGTATCATTCACCACGGCCCCGCCCTGACTGCCCTATGCCGCCCTACGGTCAACTGTTATGGTCACGATGACGTCACGTCACCTAGACGTTTTGACTGGGACGTCAACAACGTGACGTCATTTCTCAACGTTCAAGTCGCTGAGCATGAGGTGTGGGTGGAGCAGCAGACGGCTAGTTCCGCCAGCAACCCCTACCTGCTCCTGCTGGCCACACTAGCGGCGGGGTGGGACGGCCAGAACACGGGGCTGACCTGCCCAGAGAGACGCAGTCCGGCGGCCGTCGCTAGGCCCAGCACATTGGCAGATTGTCTGCCTGCTCTACAGGCGGACGGGGTGATGGCACGCGCCATGACGTCACTCATCCACCAGTCCTTCGTCTCAGTCAAACAACATTTTGAAGTTGACAAGTTCAAGGCCACAGAAACTCTGGAGGCCACGAGAGAGCTGGAAAACTATCTTTATTACACGCGAATTTAGTTTTTTTTTTCCCACAACAATGTATGTGCTTTTTTTTTATTTAACTGTATTAACCAGTTGGTAAAACTTTCTTACTCACATGTATTTCAGTTTCTAGTAAAACTTATAATTCACATTCATTTTAGTTTTTAGTAAAACTAATAATTCACATTCATTTTAGTTTTTAGTAAAACTTATGATTTACATTCATTTCAGTTTTTAATAAAACTTATAATTCACATTCATTTTAGTTTTTAGTTTAACTTATAATTCACATTCATTTTAGTTTTTACAAGCTTTTATTTAACTCACTTCCTTTGTCGTCAGTCTGTCGTCAGCAGTGTTTCTTCCAGACTTTTTTTCTCCGGGGGGGGGGGGGGGGGCGGACACTAGTAAAAGTGTATGTTTACTATATAAAATCCATCTCGTTCGGGGGGGGGGGGCGGTAGACTTTCTTCGGAGGGGCTCCGCCCCCCCCCCCCCCCGAAGAGATGCAGTCTAGACTCTGGTCCCAATACAACCCACCCAGAAAAAAATTAGCGGTCTAGACTCTGGTCCCAATACAACCCACCCAGAAAAAAATTAGCGGTCTAGACTCTGGTCCCAATACAACCCACCCAGAAAATATTAGCGGTCTAGACTCTGGTCCCAATACAACCCACCCAGAAAAAAATTAGCGGTCTAGACTCTGGTCCCAATACAACCCACCCAGAAAAAAATTAGCGGTCTAGACTCTGGTCCCAATACAACCCACCCAGAAAAAAATTAGCGGTCTAGGCTCTGACCTCAATGTCGACATTGACGTCAACAGCACTCAATGTCGACGATAAAGACGAGCTGAGGAAAAGCCTGCAGGAAATAATCAACACTTCTTAGACTTGCTTGTTTAAACACTTCTTAGACTTGCTTCTTCCTTTGGAGCCCTTGATGAGCAAAAGGCTGAAGCGACATCTCTCCGCCAGGTCCACGACGGATTCAACACCCGAATGCCGTTTTCCCAAATAGACACTTGCCCAGATGCGACTCATCTCCGACTTGCCTAGATGCGACTCATCTCCGACTTGCCCAGATGCGACTCATCTCCGACTTGCCCAGATGCGACTCATCTCCGACTTGCCCAGATGCGACTCATCTCCGACTTGCCCAGATGCGACTCATCTCCGACTTGCCCAGATGCGACTCATCTCCGACTTGCCCAGATGCGACTCATCTCCGACTTGCCCAGATGCGACTCATCTCCGACTTGCCCAGATGCGACTCATCTCCGACTTGCCCAGATGCGACTCATCTCCGAAAGCCTTTTGCTCGAAGGCCGTTTGTCCGAAAAATAATTAGACATATTTATTAACAAAGTTGACAAATAAACGTAAATGTGACATTTTGATAATCAACACAAGTATAAATAAATTGATAATCAACACAATTATAAAGAAATTGATAATCAACACAATTATAAATAATTTGATAATCAACACAATTATAAAGAAATTGATAATCAACACAATTATAGATAAATTGATAATCAACACAATTATAAATAATTTGATAATCAACACAATTATAAAGAAATTGATAATCAACACAATTATAAATAATTTGATAATCAACACAATTATGAAGAAATTGATAATCAACACAATTATAAATAATTTGATAATCAACACAATTATAAAGAAATTGATAATCAACACAATTATAAAGAAATTGATAACACAATTATAGATAAATTGATAAGCATCACAATTATAAATAAATCGATAATCAACACAATTATAGATACATTGATAATCAGCACAATTATCAATAAATTTAAAAAACATCTATAGGACCTATACATATAAGGCAAAATAGTCTGATGCTTGTCCGGACACTTGCCGGCGCCGCGGGCGCTTCAAATTTGGCATACGCTCGCATCCGAGAAATAGACGGGGGGGGGGGGGGGGATCGGTCATTACCATGCTTAATCGTACTTGTAGAGATTGAGTAGGCATCGTAATCATTCCATCAGAGGTTAATTTATGTTTGCATAAATGAATTAGTTATTTATTCGGTTTAAATGGTTTAGGTGAGAGATAGAAATCAACGGTCTATTGGGTAGGTGAAGTTTAGTTTAGTTGTTTCTGTACCCTTGGCATATTGGGATGGAGTGTGGTACGTTCTAGGTGAACGGGAAAAAAAAACGCTAGGAAAAAAAACCCAGAAAAAGTCAGATTTTTTGCTAGGAAAAAATGACAAAGAAAAAAAGTCACACAAATCTACAGACTTGGATCTATTATCTGAACTAGAGATTTTTTGTAGGAAAAAATGACACAGAAAAAAAGTCACACAAATCTACAGACTTGGATCTATTATCTGAACTAGAGATTTTTTGTAGGAAAAAATGACACAGAAAAAAAGTCACACAAATCTACAGACTTGGATCTATTATCTGAACTAGAGATTTTTTGCTAGGAAAAAATGACACAGAAAAAAAGTCACACAAATCTACAGACTTGGATCTATTATCTGAACTAGAGATTTTTTGTAGGAAAAAATGACGCAGAAAAAAAGTCACACAAATCTACAGACTTGGATCTATTATCTGAACTAGAGATTTTTTGTAGGAAAAAATGACACAGAAAAAAAGTCACACAAATCTACAGACTTGGATCTATTATCTGAACTAGAGATTTTTTGTAGGAAAAAATGACACAGAAAAAAAGTCACACAAATCTACAGACTTGGATCTATTATCTGAACTAGAGATTTTTTGTAGGAAAAAATGACGCAGAAAAAAAGTCACACAAATCTACAGACTTGGATCTATTATCTGAACTAGAGATTTTTTGTAGGAAAAAATGACGCAGAAAAAAAGTCACACAAATCTACAGACTTGGATCTATTATCTGAACTAGAGATTTTTTGTAGGAAAAAATGACACAGAAAAAAAGTCACACAAATCTACAGACTTGGATCTATTATCTGAACTAGAGATTTTTTGTAGGAAAAAATGACACAGAAAAAAAGTCACACAAATCTACAGACTTGGATCTATTATCTGAACTAGAGATTTTTTGTAGGAAAAAATGACGCAGAAAAAAAGTCACACAAATCTACAGACTTGGATCTATTATCTGAACTAGAGATTTTTTGCTAGGAAAAAATGACGCAGAAAAAAAGTCACACAAATCTACAGACATGGATCTATTATCTGAACTAGAGATTTTTTGTAGGAAAAAATGACGCAGAAAAAAGTCACACAAATCTACAGACTTGGATCTATTATCTGAACTAGAGATTTTTTGCTAGGAAAAAATGACACAGAAAAAAAGTCACACAAATCTACAGACTTGGATCTATTATCTGAACTAGAGATTTTTTGTAGGAAAAAATGACACAGAAAAAAAGTCACACAAATCTACAGACTTGGATCTATTATCTGAACTAGAGATTTTTTGCTAGGAAAAAATGACGCAGAAAAAAAGTCACACAAATCTACAGACTTGGATCTATTATCTGAACTAGAGATTTTTTGTAGGAAAAAATGACACAGAAAAAAAGTCACACAAATCTACAGACTTGGATCTATTATCTGAACTAGAGATTTTTTGCTAGGAAAAAATGACGCAGAAAAAAAGTCACACAAATCTACAGACTTGGATCTATTATCTGAACTAGAGATTTTTTGAACTGCCGGCATGCGCCCTAACAGATTGTAGGAAAAATAAACCGAGAGTGATCTCCCCTAAACTTTCTCGAATATTTTTATATAAAACTACAGGGGATGGGAACTCGGGCTATAGACATGATTTTTAATCCATTTTAAATACTTAAAGTTTTAAAAATAGAATAAAATCTCGTAGACAAATTAATTGCACACCAAGTGAACGCGAAATAAAAAAGCGCATAATAGTGCGCAATATTATTATTACTTTTAAAATTTACATTAGTTTTTTGAGAAATCGGAAGTAGCGTAAATTACTACTTCCTGTCAACGGAAATTACTCAAAATTTAACAGAAGGTAGAGAATTAGATCTTTTACTTACATGTGAAATTTCATTTATCTATCTGAAATAGTACTCAAGTTATAGGCTTTTGAAAAATTCAAAGTAGAAAAAGTACCACTTCCGGTTGTCGGAAATCGCTCAAAAGTTGATACGGATCTACGATTTTGATAAAATACTTATATATGAAATTTCATCAACCTAGCTGTAACGGTACTCAAGTTATCGTGTTTACACACGGACAGACAGACAGACAGACAGACACACACACACACAGACATACGGACAAGATTGCAAAATTATGTTTTTCCGTATCAGTGAGGTGTAAAACGTCGAGATTTGTAAAAATCTCGATTTTTTTTTTTTTGCACGATTACAATACTTTCTCTATACTACGTATATACGAGAAAGTAAAAAGTCACAAAAATATATTTGCATGGAATTTGTTAATACTTTTATGTATTAAATATGCAGAGAGTGCAAATTAACTTAGGATTAATTAAATGTAATGTCTGCAGGTTGTACACGCATAATAAGTTTTATAATTCATCTACAAATATTTAGTATGAAGTATGTAGATTGTAATTATGCTAAACATAATATTAATTAATAGCATTTAATAGAATGCTCCAAAGTCCACGGTTTTCATCGTGTTTTTTTAAAACATCAACATCTGACTTGCTGCCTTCAACTCATGGCAACAATAGTTATGCTTAGTTCAACCACCTTTACTGCCCACATTTATCACGCTCATTACATAACAAAACTTCGGATCAAAACAGAAAGCCGACAAGGTTCAAAGGCTGTCATTGACACTAAACGTCAACAACACAAAATATTTTCGGACAATGCCTACTGAGGAGAGGCCGACCAGAGAATAGCCTACGGCAAAACATATGCAAAACAGAATGATGTGCCTAAATTTCTTTTATAATTAAATTTTCTACCGCGTATTTAACTAAATAAGTAACTAAAGTTGAGATTATTGTGTAAATTATCTTAGAGCATTTTTACTTACAATTGTTATAAACCATAATGCTTTTGACGTCTATAAATAATGTACGCTATCAAAAATACAACCCACAACAATAAACATACAAAATTTTACAATTCTTAACAAATAAATCAAAAGATTTTTAAAAAGATTTTTGTGACTTTTTACTTTCTCGTATATACGAAGTATAGAGAAAGTCTTGTAATCGTGCAAAAAAAAATCGAGATTTTTACAAATCTCGACGTTTTACACCTCACTGATACGGAAAAACATAATTTTGCAATCTTGTCCGTATGTCTGTGTGTGTGTGTGTGTGTCTGTCTGTCTGTCTGTGTGTGTGTGTGTGTAAACACGATAACTTGAATACCGTTACAGATAGGTTGATGAAATTTCATATATAGGTATTTTATCGAAATCGTAGATCCGTATAAACTTTTGAGCGATTTCCGACAACCGGAAGTGGTACTTTTTCTACTTTGAATTTTCAAAAGCCTATAACTTGAGTACTATTTCAGATAGATAAATGAAATTTCACATGTAAGTTAAAGGTCTAATTCTCTACCTTCTGTCAAATTTTGAGTAATTTCCGTTGACTGGAAGTACTAATTTACGCTATTTCCGATTTCTCAAAAAAACGCATGTAAATTTATAAAGAACTAATAATATTGCGCTCTATTATGCACTGTTTGCTTTTGCGTTCGCTTGGTGCGCATTTCTTTTTTCTACTAGATTTTATTCTATTTTTAAAAGTTTAAGTAAACAAAAATCATGTCTATATTCCGAGTTGCCATCCCACGTAGTGTTATATTAGAATATTCGAGAAAGTTTAGGGGAGATCACTCCCGGTTTATTTTCTGTGACTTTATTTCTGTGACTTTTTTCCGATAAAATTTCTCCATTGTGACTTTTTTTCTGTGACTTTTTTCCTAGCAAAAACTGTGACTTTTTTCTGTGTTTTTTTTCCCTGTGATTTTTTTACCGCTCACCCCCTAACCACCCCACCTCCTCTCTCTTGACGCCATCCCTGATATGAATTGAGTGAAGTGAACGAGAAGAAATCTCTTGGTTATTAATGATTCAAATATTAACTTGACGTTTACAATTTTGGTATTAAATTAGCAGTTGAGTATTGGTTTAATTATTACAAACCTTATGAAAAGGGTACAAGTTTAAGCAAATGTTTATCGTTAACCGAAGTGATGCGAGGCAGTATCCCTAGTTTGTTAATTTTTTTTAAATTTGTCATTTTACACGTTTTTATTTAACTTTCTCTGTCTGTCTACTGTGCTTTTAACTTTCTCTGTCTGTCTGTCTGTCTGTCTGTCTGTCTGTCTGTCTGTCTGTCTGTCTGTCTGTCTGTCTGTCTGTCTGTCTGTCTGTCTGTCTGTCTGTCTGTCTGTCTGTCTGTCTGTCTGTCTGTCTGTCTGTCTGTCTGTCTGTCTGTCTGTCTGTCTGTCTGTCTGTCTGTCTGTCTGTCTGTCTGTCTGTCTGTCTGTCTGTCTGTCTGTCTGTCTGTCTGTCTGTCTGTCTGTCTGTCTGTCTGTCTGTCTGTCTGTCTGTCTGTCTGTCTGTCTGTCTGTCTGTCTGTCTGTCTGTCTGTCTGTCTGTCTGTCTGTCTGTCTGTCTGTCTGTCTGTCTGTCTGTCTGTCTGTCTGTCTGTCTGTCTGTCTGTCTGTCTGTCTGTCTGTCTGTCTGTCTGTCTGTCTGTCTGTCTGTCTGTCTGTCTGTCTGTCTGTCTGTCTGTCTGTCTGTCTGTCTGTCTGTCTGTCTGTCTGTCTGTCTGTCTGTCTGTCTGTCTGTCTGTCTGTCTGTCTGTCTGTCTGTCTGTCTACTGTGCTTTTGTCGAAAATGTCACACGGAATTTCGATCGATTCGTTTCAAACAGCACGTGGATCAAGGCCCGATGATTGGTAATGCAATTTGACATCACATGCACTTAATTGACTGCCTAATTAATTTTGTATGAATATAAAATATATAAAATATAAACCGGTAGTGATCTCCCCTAAACTTTCTCGAATATTCTTATATAAAACAACAGGGGATGGTAACTGGGGATATAGTTATGATTTTTAATCCATTTTAAATACTTAAACTTTTAAAAATAAAATAGAATCTCATAAAAAAAACATTGCGCACCAAGCAAACGCCGAATAAAATCGCGTATAATAGTGCGCAATATTATTAGTACTTTAAAAATTTACATTAGTTTTTTGAGAAATCGGAAGTAGCGTAAATTACTACTTCCAGTCAACGGAAATTACTCAAAATTTAACAGAAGGTAGAGAATTAGATCTTTTACTTACATGTGAAATTTCATTTATCTATCTGAAATAGTACTCAAGTTATGGACTTTTAAAAAATTCAAAGTAGGAAAAGTACCACTTCCGGTTATCGGAAATCGCTCAAAAGTTGATACGGTTCTACGATTTTGATAAAATACTTATATATGAAATTTCATCAACCTAGCTGTAACGGTACTCAAGTTATCGTGTTTACACACGGACAGACACACAGACACACACACACACAGACATACGGACAAGATTGCAAAATTATGTTTTTCCGTATCAGTGAGGTGTAAAACGTCGAGATTTGTAAAAATCTCGATTTTTTTTTTGCACGATTACAATACTTTCTCTATACTACGTATATACGAGAAAGTAAAAATACTATTTACCGCGCTGTAATGTGGCATATATGTCATAAAAGGCATGTGCCCCTGATTAGAATGTATGCCTTTAGGGACAATATCCTGATGGGATATATATATATATATATATATATATATATATATATATATATATATATATATATATATATATATATATATATATATATATATATTTATATATATATAAACATATCCTATTCGACGGGACTGGTCAAGTAAAACGGCGTGTACACACTTTCGTCACGCGACACATACATTCTAACACACTTGTGGGATAGGATGGATGTGACGTTACAGATCGCCTTGGGCCGTCATTAAGCCATCCCTCTATTGGTGGGCCGACATTCTAGTACAAAATTAATTAGCCCCTAATTACCTGTACTGATGAGGAATATTGGAGAAACTAGTGTGCCCAGAACAGATTCAAGTCAGCCACAGATCAACACATCGTCTACCAGTGATCAACACAAGTGGTCAACACATCATCTAGCCAGTGGTCAACACATCATCTCGCCAGTGGTCAACTCATCATCTAGCCAGTGGTCAACACATCATCTGGCCAGTGGTCAACACAAGTGGTCAACACATCATCTAGCCAGTGGTCAACACATCATCTCGCCAGTGGTCAACACATCATCTAGCCAGTGGTCAACACATCATCTACCAGTGGTCAACACAAGTGGTCAACAAATCATCTCACCAGTGGTCAACACATCATCTAGCCAGTGGTCAACACAAGTGGTCAACACATCATCTCACCAGTGGTCAACACATCATCTAGCCAGTGGTCAACACAAGTGGTCAACACATCATCTCGCCAGTGGTCAACACATCATCTAGCCAGTGGTCAACACATCATCTAGCCAGTGGTCAACACATCATCTCGCCAGTGGTCAACACATCATCTAGCCAGTGGTCAACAAATCATCTCACCAGTGGTCAACACATCATCTCGCCAGTGGTCAACACATCATCTAGCCAGTGGTCAACACATCATCTCGCCAGTGGTCAACACATCATCTAGCCAGTGGTCAACACAAGTGGTCAACACATCATCTCGCCAGTGGTCAACACATCATCTCGCCAGTGATCAACACATCATCTCGCCAGTGATCAACACATCTCGCCAGTGGTCAACACATCATCTAGCCAGTGGTCAACACATCATCTAGTCAGTGGTCAACACATCATCTAGCCAGTGGTCAACAAATCATCTCGCCAGTGGTCAACACAAGTGGTCAACACATCTCGCCAGTGGTCAACACATCATCTAGCAAGTGGTCAACACATCATCTCACAAGTGGTCAACACATCATCTAGCCAGTGATCAACACATCATCTAGCCAGTGGTCAACACAAGTGGTCAACACATCATCTCGCCAGTGGTCAACACATCATCTAGCCAGTGGTCAACACATCATCTAGCCAGTGGTCAACACATCATCTCGCCAGTGATCAACACATCATCTAGCCAGTGATCAACACATCTCGCCAGTGGTCAACACATCATCTAGCCAGTGGTCAACACAAGTGGTCAACACATCATCTAGCCAGTGATCAACACATCATCTAGCCAGTGATCAACACATCATCTAGCCAGTGATCAACACATCTCGCCAGTGGTCAACACATCATCTCGCCAGTGGTCAACACATCATCTAGCCAGTGGTCAACACATCATCTAGCCAGTGGTCAACACATCATCTAGCCAGTGATCAACACATCTCGCCAGTGGTCAACACATCATCTAGCCAGTGGTCAACACATCATCTAGCCAGTGATCAACACAAGTGGTCAACACATCATCTCGCCAGTGGTCAACACATCATCCCGCCAGTGATCAACACAAGTGGTCAACACATCATCTCGCCAGTGGTCAACACATCATCTCGCCAGTGGTCAACACATCATCTCGCCAGTGGTCAACACATCATCTCGCCAGTGGTCAACACAAGTGGTGAACACATCATCTAGTCAGTGGTCAACACATCATCTCGCCAGTGGTCAACACATCATCTAGCCAGTGGTCAACACATCATCTAGCCAGTGGTCAACACATCATCTAGCCAGTGGTCAACACATCATCTCGCCAGTGGTCAACACATCATCTCGCCAGTGATCAACACATCATCTCGCCAGTGGTCAACACATCATCTCGCCAGTGATCAACACAAGTGGTCAACACATCATCTAGCCAGTGGTCAACACATCATCTCGCCAGTAGTCAACACATCATCTCGCCAGTTGTGGTAGTGTCCACGTCAACTCTACTGTCTCTACAACGATTAAACGTTTCATGATGGTAAGTGGGTGTACTTCCACTGCGTTTTTTTTTCAAATGCTACATGTTTAGGTACCATATAATAGGTGTCAAAACCCCATATAATATGTACCAAGGCCCAATATAATAGGTGTCAAGACCCCATATACTAGGTGTATAAGCCTCACAGAAATGTGTATGGGCTTCATATTATACGTTGATGGGCTCGCTCCTAGCCCTGACAGCTATCCTGTGGAGAAAAACCTGTTTATATATGTATATATATATATATATATATATATATATATATATATATATATATATATATATATATATATATATATATATATATATATATATATATATATATATATATATATATATATATATATATATTATAATACTAATAGTTTCGCTGTCTGTCTATCTGACAAGAACGCTCTAGATATATATATATATATATATATATATATATATATATATATATATATATATATATATATACACTGGGTCTAGAGATGTCATATGGGCAAGATATGGGTCTAGAGATGTCATATGGGCATGATATAGGTCTAGAGATGTCATATAAGCATGATATAGGTCTAGAGATGTCATATGGGCATGATATAGGTCTAGAGATGTCATATAAGTATGATATAGGTCTAGAGATGTCATATAAGCATGATATAGGTCTAGAGATGTCATATAAGTATGATATAGGTCTAGAGATGTCATATAAGCATGATATAGGTCTAGAGATGTCATATAAGCATGATATAGGTCTAGAGATGTCATATAAGCATGATATAGGTCTAGAGATGTCATATAAGCATGATATAGGTCTAGAGATGTCATATAAGCATGATATAGGTCTAGAGATGTCATATAAGCATGATATAGGTCTAGAGATGTCATATAAGCATGATATAGGTCTAGAGATGTCATATAAGCATGATATAGGTCTAGAGATGTCATATAAGCATGATATAGGTCTAGAGATGTCATATAGGTCTAGAGATGTCATATAGGTCTAGAGATGTCATATAGGTCTAGAGATGTCATATAGGTCTAGAGATGTCATATAGGTCTAGAGATGTCATATAGGTCTAGAGATATCATATAGGTCTAGAGATGTCATATAGGTCTAGAGATGTCATATAGGTCTAGAGATATCATATAGGTCTAGAGATGTCAAATAGGTCTAGAGATATCATATAGGTCTAGAGATGTCATATAGGTCTAGAGATGTCATATAGGTCTAGAGATGTCATATAGGTCTAGAGATGTCATATAGGTCTAGAGATGTCATATAGGTCTAGAGATGTCATATAGGTCTAGAGATGTCATATAGGTCTAGAGATGTCAAATAGGTCTAGAGATATCATATAGGTCTAGAGATGTCAAATAGGTGTCACCAAAAAAACAATGGCCAGATTTTTCCACGACCTCTTCTTAAAACGCTGCTCTACAGAAGATGATTTGGCTGTTAGCTCTGGCGCTGTTGGCTGTTCCGGTAGCGGCCAGATCGAGTGGCGCCCCCTCAACAGCCTGCCAGACCATGATCCCCACCCACGGGACGAACGTCCCCAGGTCTGACACCAGCCCGTTCACAATTCTCGTCTCACAAGCTGTCTACAGGCCGGGTGACAATATCACAGGTAGGCGAGTAGGTGACATGACAGGTAGGTGACATGACAGGTAGGTGACATGACAGGTAGGTGACATGACAGGTAGGTGACATGACAAGTAGGTGACATGACAGGTAGGTGACATGACAGGTAGGTGACATGACAGGTAGGTGACATGACAGGTAGGTGACATGACAGGTAGGTGACATGACAGGTAGGTGAGTAGGTGACATGACAGGTAGGTGACATGACAGGTAGGTGACATGACAGGTAGGTGACATGACAGGTAGGTGACATGACAGGTAGGTGACATGACAGGTAGGTGAGTAGGTGACATGACAGGTAGGTGACATGACAGGTAGGTGACATGACAGGTAGGTGACATGACAGGTAGGTGACATGACAGGTAGGTGACAATATCACAAGAAGGTGAGTATGTGACTTCCCTTTTGTTTGTGCTTTTGTTGTGGTTAGTGTTAAAAATAAATATATTTCCTAAATCCGGACAATGCCGGGTATATTCTGATTTCTAAACACACAAGTAATGATCCTTTACAGATAGGTTTTTCACAGAGGCCAGTGCAAGGCCTGGCCGGGACGGCTAGTATATTTATAAACCACATAATTTAGTCAGAAGTCTGTAGTTTTTAATCAGGTTTTTTATATAATATGTAATAGAATTCAAAAGAATGTTCCAATCTATTCGGCTTGTGTTGTAATTTGTTTCTAACTTTGAATTCGCGTGAAATGAGAAGAAAACGGAAGATCTAGTTAATGAAATTTGCCTTCCTCAACTCATGAAATCAATAGTTCAACAACCGGCTATTCAAATAAATATGTAACAAAAGTTGTGCTGCTATATAAATTATCTTCAGTATTTTTACTTATTGAGTAAATGAAAATACAGATTATTATTGTAAACCATAATGCTTTTTTTAAAGTAAATATCGTAACTAAACAAAGAAAAAAAAACACCGCCCAAATTTTTAAAAAGTGCATGTTTTATAGTTTTCAAAGCTAAATCAAAATACCTCTAAGATCATTCTTGTGACTTTTCTATTACTTCTTTCCTGTGACATTTTTCCGCTCATTCATCCATCCCCCCCCCCCCGTGTATGTAAACATAGCTCAAGCCCCTCCCCCCCCCGTGTATGTAAACCTACCTCAAGCTCCCCCCCATGTATGTAAACCTACCTCAAGCCCCCCCCCGTGTATGTAAACCTACCTCAAGCCCCCCCGTGTATGTAAACCTACCTCAAGCCCCCCCCGTGTATGTAAACCTACCTCAAGCCCCCCCCCCCCACCATATTGTTCCAGTGATGTTAAAAGGCATGTGCGGGAACCAGTTCCTCGGGTTCCTCATCCAGGCCCGACGGGTGGACAAGAATGACGTCAGGACTCAGCAGAGGCCGCTAGAGGCGCTGGGCATCTTCTCGCTGGTGCCGGGCAGCAGATTCGAGTGCGGGGAGGTAGGTCAAGGTCAAGGTCTCGTCTTGTCGAGTAGGGGAAGATGATAGTGGGTCAAGGTCATTTGTAGGTCAGGATGGTGTGTTGAAGTCATATGTAGGTCAAGGCCATCTGTAGGTCATTATGTTGGGTTAAGGCCATTTGTAGATACATTTTTTTCATATGTCAAGGTCACAGAAATAGGTGAACTCTACTGCACTAGCCCGAAGGAGCGTCAGGTTAAAAACTTTTGAAACTAACTGCTCAAATTGTTTGGCGTGGGGCCGAACCAAATGAAATCACGTGACAATTTAATGGTGTCATGTCATGTCACATCTTGACGCACATTTTTAGGGACGCAACACTCTGACGCATGCTGGACGTCTAAATGTGACGTCACTTGTCGTGACGTGGACAGCTCCTACAGTGCCACAAGGTCATCTTCAGTTCACGTGAGTGGTCTATATGGTCATCTTCAGTTCACGTGAGTGGTCTATATGGTCATCTTCAGTTCACGTGAGTGGTCTATATGGTCATCTTCAGTTCACGTGAGTGGTCTATATGGTCATCTTTAGATGTGCTCATGTTTTGGTGTGTCAATGTACTAATGTTTTGATGTCTTCATGTTTTGATGTACTGATGTGTCGATGTTTTGATGATTTGATGTACTGATGTGTCGATGTTTTGATGATTTGATGTACTGATGTGTCGATGTTTTGACGTCCGATAGAGCGACCCTTGTCCAAAAGTTTGAGACCTTCTGGACCAAAGTGACGTCTGCCGTCATCCAAGACCCCGCCTCCCCGCCCCTGTCCGTCAGCCCGGGGGAGCTACGCAGCCCTTTCACCCCGCCCTGCGATGGGGACAGGCCAACCACATCGACGGCTGTCGCAGTCACGACAACCACATTAACAACGTCAACCCCAACCCAGCCAACCACACCAACCAACAGTTTAATCAACCCATCCACGCCAGTCGATCTCGTGACGACAACTCAGACGTTTATGACGTCATCGGTTGTCCAGGAGCCGCTGCCCACAGGGCCACCATCTCACCCGCTAACAACGCCGGCTTCGACAGCAGACGTGAAGCCGCCATCTTGGTCCGTGGCGTCGGCCTTTGAGGTGGGTCAGACTTTGTTTTGATACGACAGACACACAGTCCGACACACATACCGACACCTTCTTTTAGACAGACCGACACCGTCTATTTTAGACCGAGACCTTCTATTTTAGACGGACTGATACAATTAACAGACGGTGATAAGCCAACACGTTATCCTAACAGGCAGACTTGATGGACGATCCCAAATGTGGCCAGGACCGCGGCTGTTTCCTGTCGTGTCGCGCCAAATCTTGTGACGCGGTGGTCATGTGGGCAGATCTGGGCGACCACGTGTGGTTTGACATAAGAGCCAAGATGGCCGCCAAACTTCCGGCACAGTACGTAGCTGTGGGCTTCTCATCGGACACACAGATGGTCAGTCTAGAACTTTTGTGTGTTTTAATGTGTGTTTTATGTGTTTTACTGTGTGTTTTAATGTGTGTTTTAATGTGTTTTACTGTGTGTTTTACTGTGTTTTAATGTGTGTTTTACTGTGTGTTTTAATTTGTGTTTTAATGTGTTTTACTGTGTGTTTTACTGTGTTTTACTGTGTGTTTTACTGTGTGTTTTACTGTCTGTTTTACTGTGTTTTACTCTGTGTTTTAATGTGTGTTTTACTGTGTGTTTTAATGTGTTTTAGTGTGTGTTTTACTGTGTTTTAATGTGTTTTACTGTGTGTTTTACTGTGTGTTTTAATGTGTTTTAATGTGCTTTACTGTGTGTTTTACTGTGTGTTTTACTGTGTGTTTTAATGTGTTTTAATGTGTTTTACTGTGTGTTTTAATGTGTTTTACTGTGTTTTACTGTGTGTTTTACTGTGTGTTTTAATGTGTTTTAATGTGTTTTACTGTGTGTTTTAATGTGTTTTACTGTGTGTTTTACTGTGTGTTTTACTGTGTGTTTTAATGTGTTTTACTGTGTGTTTTACTGTGTGTTTTAATGTGTTTTACTGTGTGTTTTACGATTATCTGACCCGTGAAAATCAGCAGTCCGAGACCAGAATTTATAGACAACATCAAGCTGAGAAAGCGAATGATCGTCCTTGATCGTGATACCTTCCTTTAGTTTCAAATCGCTAAAAAACTTTCTGCCCCTAATAGCCTTCACTAGATCGACCACCTCTACGATGGTCAATATTCTTGTAAGCCACAGCTCACCAGACTGGTATTAGGGTGGTCACGTCTAGCTATCTATCGCACCTTGTTATTGAAAATAGTAATCTATCGATAGATTTCATTTTCTTATCTCCTCTTAGTTTCGAAACCGTTTAATTAATTTTTAATGACTAATGTGGAACGTATCTGGAAAGTTTGAACGAAATCGCTACATTAGAAGTGGGTCAAATTGAGTTACAATTTCTGCCACAAACAAACAAACAAACAAACAAACAAACAAACAAACAAACAAACAAACAAACAGAATAAAAATATTCATAGAATCTAAAACCGTGAAACGTCTTTGTGTATGCCCCAACCCACAACCTGAACCACCTGTGTGTGCCCTACCCCCAGGGTTCTGACAGCGTGGTGGAGTGTCTTGTGACCAGTGACCACCGCAACACCGTCCAGCTGTCCTACAACAGCCGCTTCGACAACTCCGTACTGGAGCAAGTGGTGAGTAGTTGTTCTTGTCATTCAGTGGGATTGGTAGCCCAAGATGTTCTTGTATGGTTGACTGAATCATTGGACGAATTAGTAGTATTAGTAAATCGTTGTTGTTTTTTAGCGCAATTTCCATTCTGGAGAATTGCGTTTATTAACCCGTCATTTCTGGATGTATGAATGTATGAATGAATGGATGGATGGATGGATGGATGGATGGATGGATGTGTGTCCGCAGCTTTAAGTCGTATCTCCTCCTCAACGAAGCAATATCGATGACTAGATCCAAAAGCAATTATGTTAAGCAAGTTACGAGGATGAACATAGGCCATAAAAATTCCGGGTTTCTTTCATGGATTTCCCGGAAAAGCCAAAAAACCTCGAAAAAAAGCAGTTTTTGGCCCATATCTCGGCAACCAGACCACTTAGCGACTTGAAACATGTACCAATCGATTCCTGCCATAATTTAGAACAATATTGCCGAAGAAAGTTTTCAAAAATATCCTTTCGTTCGGTCACAAAAAAATTTTTTGAATTAATTAAAATTTGGACCGAATTAGTAGGCATTTTATGCAACCACACCACACGCGTCATCACGTTCAATAGCTGCGCCATCACGTTCAATGGCTGCGACGTCACGTTCGGTAGCTGGGCGCGCAATGGTTTTTAGTCATGTTACTCTATTGTAAATAAAACATGTAAAATACTGAAAAAAAAAATTAATAAAAAACGTTTTAATAACTAACCAATGGTTTTACTAACCCTGCTCTTGATTTACGCTACGACAGAGCTATTTTTAGATAACACAAGGAAATTGCGCTAAAATTGTCACTAGACTTTTTTTAATTACTTGTTTAAGTCATAAATTAACCCTTGTTTTTTTTAAGTCATAAATTAACCCTTTGATTGGAAAAATCTTCAGCTTTTCAATGTGTACATGCATCCAGATTTTTATAACAGCCTCTTTTTGTCCACCTCTAGTTGATTTAGTACATTAAGTCTGTACAATAGATAGAAGTGTTTGTACAATAGATAGAAGTGTTTGTACAATAGATAAAAGTGTTTGTACAATAGATAGAAGTGTTTGTACAATAGATAAAAGTGTTTGTACAATAGATAGAAGTGTTTGTACAATAGATAGAAGTGTTTGTACAATAGATAGAAGTGTTTGTACAATAGATAGAAGTGTTTGTACAATAGATAGAAACGATTTGACTGTACCATTTAATTGAAAGCCGAGAGTATCAAAAATTGTGTGTTGAGATGGAAACCACTAATACCCCCCCCCCCCCCCACCGATGTGTCCACAGGAAGGTGTTCTGGTGAAGGAGCAGATTGAGGTCAAGGACGGTACCATCCGGTGTCAGTTCGCCAGAAAAAAATTTCTCACCCGTGAAGGTCAAATCTATGACCTTGAAAAGGACTGGTACATTTTTGTAGCTCAGGGGCTGGTGAAAAACGGTCAGTGGTGTTGATGTAATGGCTATACTGCCCAGATTTTATGACGGTCAGTGATGTTGATGTAATGGCTATACTGCCCAGATTTTATGACGCAGTAGCCAGTGGCTATCAGAGTTTCATCCAGGCATCTCTCCGCACTCCCCCCCCCCCCCCCAACGAGATGGAATTTGTTTAGTAAACATATACTTTTACTAGTGTCCCCTCCCGCAATATGTAGACCGGCTCCCCCCCCCCCCCCCCGAAAATATCAAGTGCACCCCCCCCCCCCCCCCGGAGAAAAAAGTCTGGAAGAAACACTGGTGGCTATACTGAGCAGATTTGATGACGCAGTAGCCAGTACTGACCAGATTTTTCATTTGGCCAGGACTAAAGGAAGAGCACGTGACCTTGCCAGCAGTGAGCAGCAAGATGGCGGACTTTCAAAGTCGTCTGGTGTTGTACCAAGCGACCAAATCCAACATTTTCATCAAGGCACATGGTACAGTTTATTTTTTTTTTAATTGGGCTAATCAGAGTGTTGGCGCCCCCACCCCTCCTGGCGCCCCTACCCCTCCCCCGTTTTTATTGCTAATACATTTCAACACGATTGGTCTACACAGAGGCTTCACCAAATTGTCTCCCCTGTATCTACCAAATTCTCTCCCTCTGTATCCACCAAATTCTCTCCCTCTGTATCCACCAAATTCTCTCCCTCTGTATCCACCAAATTATCTCCCCTGTATCTACCAAATTGTCTCCCCTGTATCTACCAAATTGTCTCCCCTGTATCCACCAAATTCTCTCCCTCTGTATCCACCAAATTATCTCCCCTGTATCTACCAAATTGTCTCCCCTGTATCCACCAAATTCTCTCCCTCTGTATCCACCAAATTCTCTCCCCTGTATCCACCAAATTATCTCCCCTGTATCCACCAAATTCTCTCCCCCTGCAGCCTGTATGATGCTCGTGGCCTGGGTCTTCTGTGCCAGTGTGGGGACGGTCATGGCCAGGTTCTACAAACATCTGTGGCCCCACACAATGTTGTGTGGGAGGAAGGTGTGGTTCACGGTAAGTGGGGTTCACGGCAAGTGGGGTTCACGGCAAGTGGAGTTCACGGCAAGTGGGGTTCACGGCAAGTGGGGTTCACGGCAAGTGGGGTTCACGGTGTGGTACGATGGTTGGGTTCGACACAGTGACGCAACCAAAAGATGAATCACATAATGAATTGAAGCAGAAGGGAATTGATGAATAACCCCTATAATGAATTGAACGGTTGGTTGACCAAACATCTTCTGGTTGACGTCTGTATCAAACAGTTGGTTTACTGTATCACATATAATATGTGCAGAATGAGCATATATGTTGTTGTATGTGGGATACAAGTGACGTCACCAGAAGTTACCGAGACAAACAATGTCAGCATTTCTTTTATAAATTATATACCAATATTAAAAGCAGTAGTTAATTTTTAAAAATGTCAACATGAGATGTGTCTGTCAACTTCCTCCATTCGACTCTGTCGTCTGCTATCTTCACCGCCCCTCACCACGGTACAACTCGCCCCTCACCACGGTACAACTCGCCCCTCACCACGTACAACTCGCCCCTCACCACGGTACAACTCGCCCCTCACCACGGTACAGCTCACCCCTCACCACGGTACAACTCGCCCCTCACCAAAGTACAACTCGCCCATACTTTACTGATCTCTCCCATCTTTTGCGTCTGCCTCTTCTGTTTGCCAATATATTTTAGAGTTTGTAACGATACACCACTCTATCAGCCAGATAGTTGGCGAACGCTCCCGGATTCGTTTAAATGATTATACACAGATGGCGACAAGCCTAAATAAAAGAAAGCTAACTCAATAGTTTACTAGGACTCGTACTTGATGTCTAGGGGAAACACTAGAGAAACCACTGATGCCAACAATACATTTAATCTGCATATAACTTTTAATGAGTGTACAAAGTCGTGGCAGAACACTAGATTTATACAGGATAAAATAGATTTACAGAATGAACAAAACCCAACTTACAATTTGTGAGAAAAAATAATATGATACACTATCACAGCTTTTAACACTTCAGAAAAATCACCACAGTTTACACAACATTTCTATAAGCATAAAGTATTACTTAACCACAAGCTTAAACAACTTAGTACTACACGGCGACACACAGGGCTTATTATCTCTCAACGATGTCTGGTCAAGTAACTGCCTCGAGAAACCTGTGCGCGGTCTATTTATGGACTTAGGCAACATGGAAGGTCACCTTCAAATCATAAGGCTATTGGTTGGGGTATCACCTGGTCCGAATCAACCAATCATCTCATAATGGAAAAATACTGAGTCTAAGACTTTCTTAAGACAGTGGAAAAAACCAGTGATTACACCACAGACCATATATGGTAAAGTAACAAATGTAAAAATGAAAATTACCAGACCTAGTAGGTCACAAGTTTCACAAAATATCTAGATTGATTCACATAAATATTTTAAAATAATTATCGTATTAACAACACGAAAAACCTATATATATATATATATATATATATATATATATATATATATATATATATATATATATATATATATATATATATATATATATATATATATATATATATATATATATATATATCTTGAGAAACGGGCGCCGTGCTGTACATTCCTCGCTCCCTCCACAGGTACACCGCGCGTGTATGATGTTGGCGGCCGCCCTGACGGTCGCGGCTTTTGTGCTCGTCTTCCTGCACGTCAAGGGGCTCAGTGACGTAAGTGGTGTGTCTGTGACGTCAATATGTTAGTGACGTCAGTCGACACGTACAGGACGAGAAACTGGGGTTAATTAGCTCAATCAATTACACACCTGAACAATGCTGAGTGGGGAAATGTCACGGGTAGAAAGTCAAAAAAAAATTCTAGGAAAAAAAGTCACAGAAAAAAGTCACAGAAAAAAAGTCACAGAAAAAAAGTCACAGAAAAAAAGTCACAAAGGAAAAAACTTGTCGGAAAAACGTCGCAAAACTACTTGAATAAAATAATATTTCTAGTAATCGGTAAACGTTTATATATAAAATTGTGTTGACGTAACAATACTTCCGGGAATTCTGTGTAACGATCTTAAAATTATGTGCAAAATATCGTTCACCCATCTAAACAGGTACTAAACTTATCGTGTTCACACACACACACATACACACATACGCACGCACAAACATACACACATAGATATGATTGACAAGATGTTAGTTTCACCAACATGTGACGGTTGTGTCACCAACATGTGACGGTTGTGTCACCAACATGTGACGGTTGTGTCACCAACATGTGACGGTTGTGTCACCAACATGTGACGGTTGTGTCACCAACATGTGACGGTTGTGTCACCAACATGTGACGGTTGTGTCACTAATGTGTGACGGTTGTGTCATCAACATGTGACGGTTGTGTCACTAATGTGTGACGTCCCACCAATAAACCTGCTCTCACCTACAGATCAGCATCCTGCGACTGAAAAAACTTCACCCCGTCATTGGCATCGCTGGGACTGCCTTGGTTCTTCTACAGGTGGGTAGGCTTTAATACATCACAGGTGGGTAGGCTTTAATACATCACAGGTGGGTAGGCTTTAATACATCACAGGTGGGTAGGCTTTAATACATCACAGGTGGGTAGGCTTTAATACATCACAGGTGGGTAGGCTTTAATACATCACAGGTGGGTAGGCTTTAATACATCACAGGTGGGTAGGCTTTAATACATCACAGGTGGGTAGGCTTTAATACATCACAGGTGGGTAGGCTTTAATACATCACAGGTGGGTAGGCTTTAATACATCACAGGTGGGTAGGCTTTAATACATCACAGGTGGGTAGGCTTTAATACATCACAGGTGGGTAGGCTTTAATACATCACAGGTGGGTAGGCTTTAATACATCACAGGTGGGTAGGCTTTAATACATCACAGGTGGGTAGGCTTTAATACATCACAGGTGGGTAGGCTTTAATACATCACAGGTGGGTAGGCTTTAATACATCACAGGTGGGTAGGCTTTCATACATCACAGGTGGGTAGGCTTTAATACATCACAGGTGGGTAGGCTTTAATACATCACAGGTGGGCAGGCTTTAATACATCACAGGTGGGTAGGCTTTAATACATCACAGGTGGGTAGGTTTTAATACATCACAGGTGGGTAGGCTTTAATACATCACAGGTGGGTAGGCTTTAATACATCACAGGTGGGTAGGCTTTAATACATCACAGGTGGGTAGGCTTTAATACATCACAGGTGGGTAGGTTTTAATACATCACAGGTGGGTAGGCTTTAATACATCACAGGTAGCCTGCATGTGTCTTACATCACATGTAGCCTGCGGGTGTCTTACATGAATGTCTACTTTTATAAAGCCACCTGTGTATAATGCAATCGTGTCCTCTCCTCCAGACCGCCATGGGTCTTTTTAGACCCAGCTCGCTGGCCCAGAGCCGACCAGTCTTCAACTGTGGCCATCTGTTTCTAGGGGCGACAACCCATCTTGTTACAGGTAGGTGCGGCAAGTCATCTTGTTACAGGTAGGTGCGGCAAGTGATGTAGGCCTGCCTGTCTATTTTTGGTCAACTGAATCAAGTATTGCGATTAATGTTGATACTGTCCATTATGATTGTGGACAGAGTGGGGGGGGGGGGGGTGGTGGAGGGGTATGGACAGAGTGAAGGGGTGGACAGAGTGGAGGGGTGGACAGAGTGGAGGGGTGGAAAGAGTGGAGGGGTGGAAAGAGTGGAGGGGTGGAAAGAGTGGAGGGGGTGTGGACAGAGTAGAGGGGTGTGGACAGGTGTGTTGTCAGCAGTTTTATTGGGGAAGACTGCAGACGACAGACCGTTTTCCAAAGGGAAACTGGGTCCTCTAGTAGCTTACAAATAAGATTTGTATAAAAGATAAAAACGTATAAACAGTTTAATTTTAAAACTGTACAATACAATGTTGCTGTAGCTATTAGATGTCGTTTAGTTGTGAAGCATTTTTGATTATTTAACCAGTTTTCACACCAGGTTGAAGGGAACAATTAAACATTTACAACATCAAATAAAAGATGGTCTCTAAAAGTAAACTGTTTAATGATAATATCCCCCCTTCCTTGTCAGTATTTAACCTGGTGTTGGGCTGTCAGCTTCAGACAGCAAACATCCACTTCTCCATCGTCTACATGCTCTACGCCTTCGCTGCTTACCATGTGCTGGTCTTTCTTACACTGGAGATTATTTTGTGCAAGATACGAGTTAATGGTAAGTGGAAATCTAGGGGTCAGTGAGTGAGTGGTCAGTGAGTGAGTGGTCAGTGAGTGAGTGGTCAGTGAGTGAGTGGTCAGTGAGTGAGTGGTCAGTGAGTCAGTGGTCAGTGAGTCAGTGGTCAGTGAGTGAGTGGTCAGTGAGTGAGTGGTCAGTGAGTGAGTGGTCAGTGAGTCAGTGAGTGAGTAGTCAGTGAGTGAGTGGTCAGTGAGTCAGTGGTCAGTGAGTGAGTGGTCAGTGAGTGAGTGAGTGAGTGAGTGGTCAGTGAGTGAGTGAGTGAGTGAGTGGTCAGTGAGTGAGTGAGTGAGTGAGTGGTCAGTGAGTGAGTGAGTGAGTGGTCAGTCAGTGAGTGAGTGAGTGGTCAGTCAGTGAGTGAGTGCTTAGTCAGTGAGTGAGTGGTCAGTGAGTGAGTGAGTGGTCAGTGAGTGAGTGGTCAGTCAGTTGGCAGTAGCATTCTGATTGGTAGTTGTCCTTACACATTCATCAGTAGAGTGAGGTAGAATGTTAAAAGAATGAGCAACGAATGTCAGGTAAATAACCAATAGCCAGAAGCATTGACTCATTCAACGCTTGAGAATGATGTTCGTGTGTCCCCAGTCAAGAAGCAACAGTCCTACGCCATCTATGAGATGAGGAACGCCATGTACTCCAGTACCAAGGACTTGCTGGACGTGGGGACACCAGAGCCCAAGGTACCAGATTTTTGTCTTGCTAGACCAGGGTACCAGATTTTTGTCTAGCTAGACCAGGGTACCAGACTTTTGTCTAGCTAGACCAGGGTACCAGACTTTTGTCTTGCTAGACCAGGGTACCAGACTTTTGTCTTGCTAGACCAGACTTTTGTCTTGCTAGACCAGGGTACCAGATTTTTGTCTAGCTAGACCAGGGTACCAGACTTTTGTCTAGCTAGACCAGGGTACCAGACTTTTGTCTTGCTAGACCAGGGTACCAGATTTTTGTCTTGCTAGACCAGGGTACCAGACTTTTGTCTAGCTAGACCAGGGTACCAGACTTTTGTCTTGCTAGACCAGGGTACCAGACTTTTGTCTTGCTAGACCAGGGTACCAGACTTTTGTCTTGTTGGGGCCCAGGGTACCAGACTTTTGTCTAGCTAGACCAGGGTACCAGACTTTTGTCTTGTTGGGGCCCAGGGTACCAGACCTTTGTCTAGCTAGACCAGGGTACCAGACTTTTGTCTAGCTAGACCAGGGTACCAGACTTTTGTCTTGCTAGACCAGGGGACCAGACTTTTGTCTAGCTAGACCAGGGTACCAGACTTTTGTCTTGCTAGACCAGGGTACCAGACTTTTGTCTTGCTAGACTTTTGTCTTGCTAGACCAGGGTACCAGACTTTTGTCTAGCTAGACCAGGGTACCAGACTTTTGTCTTGCTAGACCAGGGTACCAGATTTTTGTCTTGCTAGACCAGGGTACCAGACTTTTGTCTAGCTAGACCAGGGTACCAGACTTTTGTCTTGCTAGACCAGGGGACCAGACTTTTGTCTTGCTAGACCAGGGTACCAGACTTTTGTCTTGCTAGACCAGGGTACCAGACTTTTGTCTTGCTAGACCAGGGTACCAGACTTTTGTCTTGTTGGGGCCCAGGGTACCAGACTTTTGTCTAGCTAGACCAGGGTACCAGACTTTTGTCTTGTTGGGGCCCAGGGTACCAGACTTTTGTCTAGCTAGACCAGGGTACCAGACTTTTGTCTAGCTAGACCAGGGTACCAGACTTTTGTCTTGCTAGACCAGGGGACCAGACTTTTGTCTAGCTAGACCAGGGTACCAGACTTTTGTCTTGCTAGACCAGGGTACCAGACTTTTGTCTTGCTAGACTTTTGTCTTGCTAGACCAGGGTACCAGACTTTTGTCTAGCTAGACCAGGGTACCAGACTTTTGTCTTGCTAGACCAGGGTACCAGATTTTTGTCTTGCTAGACCAGGGTACCAGACTTTTGTCTAGCTAGACCAGGGTACCAGACTTTTGTCTTGCTAGACCAGGGGACCAGACTTTTGTCTTGCTAGACCAGGGTACCAGACTTTTGTCTTGCTAGACCAGGGTACCAGACTTTTGTCTAGCTAGACCAGGGTATACCAGACTTAAGTCTTGCTAGACCAGGGTACCAGACTTTTGTCTTGCTAGACCAGGGTATACCAGACTTTTGTCTTGCTAGACCAGGGGACCAGACTTTAGTCTTGCTAGACCAGGGTACCAGACTTTTGTCTAGCTAGACCAGGGGACCAGACTTTTGTCTTGCTAGACCAGGGTATACCAGACTTTTGTCTTGCTAGACCAGGGGACCAGACTTTTGTCTTGCTAGACCAGGGTACCAGACTTTTGTTTTGCTAGACCAGGGGACCAGACTTTTGTCTGGCTAGACCAGGGGACCAGACTTTTGTATTGCTAGACCAGGGTACCAGACTTTTGTCTTGCTAGACTTTTGAATCCACTGGTGTATAGACCTTGTGTTGATGGTCCTCACTGTTGCAGGGTGCAGCTGTCCTCCGTGTAGTACTGGGTACTCACGCGCTGCTGATCGGCTCACTGACGACCGCCATGGTAGCGATGGTCATACTCTTGGACGGTCAACACACCGGTCAGCGCTAGCCGGATAGACGGTCAACAGCGATAGCAAATGTCTCAAGTTTTCATTATGCCCCCCCCCCCCACCAGCCACCCCTCCACCACCCCACCAGCCACCCCTCCACCTCCCACCCCTCCACCTCCCACCCCTCCACCAGCCACACCTCCCACCCCTCCACCTCCCACCCCTCCACCTCCCAACCTCCCACCCCTCCTCCAGCCACCCCTCCACCTCCCACCTCTCCACCTCCCACCCCTCCACTAGCAACCCCTCCCACCTCTTTACCAGCCACCCCTCCACCAGCCACCCCTCCACCAGCCACCCCTCCACCAGCCACTCCTCCACCTCCCACCCCTCCACCAGCCACCCCTCCCACCCCTCCACCTCCCACCCCTCCACCAGCCACCCCTCCACCTCCCACCCCTCCACCAGCCACCCCTCCACCTCCCACCCCTCCACCAGCCACCCCTCCACCTCCCACCCCTCCACCAGCCACCCCTCCCACCCCTCCACCTCCCGTCCCTCCACTAGCCGCCCTTCCACCTCCCTCCCTTCCACCTCCCACCCCTCCACCAGCCACCCCTCCACCAGCCACCAGCCACCCCTCCACCAGCCACCCCTCCACCAGCCACCCCTCCACCAGCCACCCCTCCATCAGCCACCTCTCCACCTCCCACCCCTCCACCAGCCACCCCTCCACCAGCCACCAGCCACCCCTCCACCAGCCACCAGCCACCCCTCCACCAGCCACCAGCCACCCCTCCACCAGCCACCAGCCACCCCTCCACCAGCCACCCCTCCATCAGCCACCTCTCCACCTCCCACCTCTCCACACCGCTCCTCGGAAAGGAATTTTTCTTTTCAACATTTGTAATTTCATTCACGTCAGAATCTTCCAACACCAGCTGCGTAGGCATGGGGGGGGGGTGCAAGAGGGTTATAAACACCCCCCCCCCCGCCCAAATAGTAAATCGTCGGAACAATATTATTTGTTTTACACCCCCCACCCCTTCCTGTCTACACCACAAAGTCCCAAATATCCAACATCCCATTACTCCGATGTTTACTCAGTCTACATCCACCGCACTCATCCGATATCCACAAAATACATCCTATATCCACCACATAAACAGAAATTACACAATGGATTGCTTTAACTTTAACAGGAAAAAAAAAAAAAAAAATTATGTACTGTTAGATTCGTCTATAGCAATTTTTTTCTGCTGCGATGTCATGTGATGTGCTGTGATGTCATGTCATGTCATGTCATGTCATGTCATGTCATGTGCTGCGATGTCATGTGTTCTTCAAATAAATTTCCATTTGTTATTTTTTCCATTTCTTTCAATTGTTGTGTAGGGTTAGGTTTGGAAATGTTGAGTGAAACGAAAATCTAAATTTATTTTTGAACGTTTGCTTAAACGACTTCAAACCGAACAGCGGGGGCGTCATAAAGCAATGCCGTGTGTAATTGCCTTTTCTAATCTTTGCTCGACCAATGTCCAGCACCTGTATCTGATGTCTGATGAGGTCAGACACACCACCTATATATACAAGTACTTACACATACCCACTTTCTTTACCTGTACTGATGAAAGGAATGTTGTGGAATATTTTTTAAATACAAATTTTTGAATAAATTATCGATTCATGTGAATCAAGTATCGCTTTATGTGAATCAAGTATCGCTTCATGTGAATAAAGTACAGTGTTTCTTCCAGACTTTTTTTTCAGGGGGAGGGGGCGGACTAAATTATCCGGGGGGGGGGGAAGCTGACACTGTTAAAAGTTTATATTTTCTATCTAAATTCCATTTCGTTGGGGAAGGGGGCGGTAGACTTTCTTTGTGAGGTGCTCCCCCCCCCCCCCCGAATAGATGCCTGGAAGAAACTCTGATCAAGTATCGCTTCAAGTTACCTGTAGGGTGTGGTCGGCTTGGATATATGGGGAGAGGGAGTATTTTTGCATGTTTTACAATATCCATTTACAGTGTTTAAGTTGGTTAACGTGAGATCTAGCATACACACTTGTAAGTTTACCTAGGCTATACACACCTGCAAGTTTACCTGTGCTATACACTTGTACGTTTACCTGTGCTATACACACCTGTAAGTTTACCTAGGCTATACACACCTGTAAGTTAACCTGTGCTATACACACCTGCAAGTTTACCTGTGCTATACACACCTGTAAGTTAACCTGTGCTATACACTTGTACGTTTACCTGTGCTATACACCTGTAAGTTAACCTGTGCTATACACACCTGTAAGTTTACCTGTGCTATACACACCTGCAAGTTTACCTGTGCTATACACTTGTAAGTTTACCTGTGCTATACACACCTGTAAGTTTACCTGTGCTATACACTTGTAAGTTTACCTAGGCTATACACTTGTACGTTTACCTGTGCTATACACACCTGTAAGTTTACCTGTGCTATACACACCTGTAAGTTAACCTGTGCTATACACACCTGTAAGTTAACCTGTGCCATACACACCTGTAAGTTTACTTGTGCTATACACACCTGTAAGTTTACTTGTGCTATACACACCTGTAAGTTTACTTGTGCTATACACACCTGTAAGTTAACCTGTGCTATACACACCTGTAAGTTAACCTGTGCTATACACACCTGTAAGTTTACCTGTGCTATACACACCTGTAAGTTTACCTGTGCTATACACACCTGTAAGTTTACCTGTGCTATACACACCTGTAAGTTTACTTGTGTTATACACACCTGTAAGTTTACCTGTGCTATACACACCTGTAAGTTTACCTGTGCTATACACACCTGTAAGTTAACCTGTGCTATACACACCTGTAAGTTTACCTGTGCTATACACACCTGTAAGTTTACCTGTGCTATACACACCTGTAAGTTAACCTGTGCTATACACACCTGTAGGGCCACCCCCACTCCCCCAGGCCACCCATGGTTTATTACTTCTGACAATTAGGCGGAAGTGTAAAAAGAATGTCACAGTTCACTCCCCTGTGATGACGCGCTGTGACGTAGACTTTGAAACGGAAGTTGATGTAAAAATAGCATACGACAGAAACTCGACGAAGCTTGTTGTACTTTCAACAACAACACCACAGTTAAAGCTAAATTTTTTTAGGATTGTAGGCTACCGTAGGCCTACCGCATTAGGATTGTAGGCTACCGTAGGCCCACCGCATTAGGATTATAGGCCTGTCACCTAAAGATTGTGTCAATCCACCAGCACATTGGAGGTCTACTACGTCATCATTTCGCTACAGTCAAGGCCAATTTTAATGACATGCCCATCCATCAACTGGGACGTCACCAAGTGCGAGATAGAGGTGTGTCAAATTGTGTACGTCAATTGTGTACAAAAAGGTAAAGAAATAAACCGGGAGCGATCTCCCCTAAACTTTCTCGAATATTCTTAAATAATACTACGGGGGATGGCACCTCAGGATATAGATATGAGTTTTGATTATTTTTTAATTACTTAAACTTTTTAAAATAGAATAGAATCTCGTAGAAAAAAAATTGCGCACCAAGTAAACGCCAAACAAAATGTGTATAATAGTTTTGAATGTTATTAGTACTTTAAAAATTCACATCCGTTTTTTGAGAAATCGGAAATAGCGTAAATTTTGTGAAATTCAAAGTATCTATCTGAAATAGTACTCAAGTTATAGGCTTTTGAAAAATTCAAAGTAGATAAAGTACCACATCCGGGTATCGGAAATCGCTGAAAAGTTTTTGCGGATCTACAAATTCGATATAATACTTATATATGAAACTTCATCAACCTAACTGTAACGGTACTCAAGTTATCGTGTTTACAGACACAAACACACACACACAAACAAACACAGACATACGGGCAAGATTGCAAAACTATGTTTTTCCGACTCAGGCAGGTGTAAATCGTCGAGATTGAGATTTGCATAAATCTCGATATTTTTTGTGCACGATTACAATACTTTCTCTAAACTCCGTATACGAGAAAGTAAAAAAATGTAGCCGCCAGTTTCAGAATTCAGAGTGCTCTGGTCCATTTTTTGTCTGTGGTTCCTTCTGGCCACCAGCCTCCCACACACCAGCCTCCCACACACCAACCTCCCACACACCAGCCTCCCACACACCAACCTCTCACACACCAACCTCTCACACACCAGCCTCCCACACACCAGCCTCCCACACACCAGCCTCCCACACACCAACCTCCCACACACCAGCCTCCCACACACCAACCTCTCACACACCAGCCTCCCACACACCAACCTCCCACACACCAACCTCCCACACACCAACCTCCCACACACCAACCTCCCACACACCAACCTCCCACACACCAGCCTCCCACACACCAACCTCCCACACACCAACCTCCCACACACCAACCTCCCACACACCAACCGCCCACACACCAGCCTCCCACACACCAACCTCCCACACACCAACCTCCCACACACCAACCTCCCACACACCAGCCTCCCACACACCAACCTCCCACACACCAACCTCCCACACACCAACCTCCCACACACCAACCTCTCACACACCAGCCTCCCACACACCAACCTCCCACACACCAACCTCCCACACACCAACCTCCCACACACCAGCCTCCCACACACCAACCTCCCACACACCAACCTCCCACACACCAACCTCCCACACACCAACCGCCCACACACCAGCCTCCCACACACCAGCCTCCCACACACCAACCTCCCCCACGTCAATCTCCCACACCAACCTCTCACACACCAACCGCCCACACACCAACTTACCACACATTAACCTCCCATGGACCAGCCTCTCACAGACTCTGGTACACCTGCACTAAAGACCCGTTAGTATTTGTGGTGATGTGTGATTTACAAATATGACGTCATAGCAAACGGACATTGTGAGTCCCCCTCCCCCACCCCCTACAGCAGGCAAGACAGTCAAACCCAGACATTGGTGTGAGAGACGAATGGACGTCATCAGTTGACACGTGACTAGAAAAGTTTCCGTAGTCTGCTGACACCTGGACGTCTCGTGTATTTCCGCTCCTGCGTGTCGAGACAAGAAAGATGACAAGCTACTCTCCAGGTAGGTACGCCATCTTTGTTCTACCTTTGGTTTCGATAAAGATTCTTTAGCCCTAACACATTAGCACCCTAGAGCTCGATTCTACCTCAACACAAATCATACGATGTTAATGGTATCAAAACAGAACAATTACGAATCTTACAGCATCATTCTTAATGGTTAAAAACTTGTCACAACAATATTCGTAAGAAAATAAAGCGGGAGTGATCTCCCCTAAACTTTTTATAAAAAAAACTACGGGGATGGCAACTCGGGATATAGACCTGATTTTAATCCATTTTTAATTAATTAAACTTTTTAAAATATAAGATAATCTCGTAGCAAACAATATGTGTATAATAGGGTGGAATATTAGTACTTTATAAATTCAGGCGCGTTTTTTTTTTTTAAGAAATCGGAAATAGCATAAAGTACTACTTCCAGTCAACGGAAATTACTCAAAATTTGAAAGAATGAAGCAAATTAGATTTTATTCATTTAAATTTAGATGAAAATTCGTTTATTTATTTGAAACAGTTTTCAAGTTATAGGCATTTGAAAACCACACGTAGAATAAGTTCCATTTTCGGTTACCGGAAATCGCCTTAAAGGTGATACAGAACTACAAATTTTATAAAATACTTATATATGAAATGGTACTCAAGTTATCGCTTTTTTCAGTACTTAAACTTTTTTATTTACAATAGAATTGCTTGACTAAAAACTATTGCGCACCTAATGAACATGATAATGCGGTATAACAGTGCGGAATAGTTGGATACGGCTACCTACTAATTTGGATAAAAATTTAATTAATTCATAAAATGTTGATTAGGCATTCAAATTAAGACAAATTCAATGTCAGATTGCATTGTCTTTAAGTCTTGACCCACGTGCCAATTTTGAAAAGGAATCTGTCACTTAGAAGTGCCTAAAATTACGCTCGAGCGTTTTGATCTATGAGGACAGACAGACAGAGGAAGCAAGTTAAATAAAAGGTTGTAATAAAACGTTTTAATAACAACCTTATATGTTTGTTACTAGCTGCATACCCGTGCCTCAACGAGAGAACATAAGAACAGAACAAAAGCAAACACAATCACAAAAGAAAACGCAAACACCAACGCAAACACAACGCAAACGTAGCACTCAAAAGTAAACACAAACACAGATACAAACACAAAAGAAAAAACCGCAAACAAACGCATACGCTAACTCAAACAAAAACACAAACGCTTTATCAAATGGCTATAAGAAACAAACATAAACGCAAACTGTAAAATAACCACAAACGTAAACACAAACTCTGTCGCAAACTCAAACATAAACGCAAACTTTATCGGAAACATAAACTCGAACGTAAACGCAAATTAAACATAAACATACACGCAAACACAAACATAAACAGAAACTTATAGCAAAACATAAGCGCAAATGCAAGCATAAATGCAAACAATAACGCAATAATTTAAGCGTAAACATAAACGCGAACGTAAAGATTTAGTTTTATTTAAAACGCATGAATTCAAAGTAGAATAGAAACAAATATAGAAACTTTTATAATAACAAGGTTTTAAATGAAATAAAACAGATAAAATAAAACAAACTTCATTAATAAAAGCTTGGGTCGCTTTAATGTGTAAAAGATCTTTTGAAGCAACCAAAGCTTTTAATAATGAAGTTTGATTTTATTTTAAGTAAATTTTGAAGCTTGTAGTTATAAAGGGTTTTTTTTGTGTAGCTTTATGACTAGGCTTTTGAACTCAAATTCTGCTGTATGCCCTTGACTGGTAAACTCATCCTTATGCTCTATGTGTGCTAAACTCATCCTTATGCTCTATGTGTGCTAAACTCATCCTTATGCTCTATGTGTGCTAAACTCATCCTTATGCTCTATGTCCTTGTAAACTCATCCTTATGCTCTATGTCCTTGTAAACTCATCCTTATGCTCTATGTCCTTGTAAACTCATGATTCTACTGTAGACCTGCACCATGATAGCACTGGATGGCATCATTTGACTCCCCGAGACAGAGGCAACAGGAGCGTATCGAGGGAGATGGACGGTCGTTTGTGGGTCACACTGATCGTCCTCGTGCATCTGTTGAGGGGCGTGGGCGGCTTCCACCAGGGTGCGCCCGCCTACTCATGCAGGAGCATGGTCCCCGGGCACACCCACGGCCCACAGAGTGACGCCCCACCCTACGTCATCAGGCTGTCGCGCGCTATTCTAGGACCAGGGGAGACAATATCAAGTAAGTTTTTCTCAGGTTCTCTAAGGTCCTCTCGCCTCTCAGGTTCCGAAGTTAAAAAGTTTAAGGAATCAACATCCTTAGGTACCAGACCAAAGACGTCCTGTCGACACCATTAGGCTATTCGACAAGTCAATGTTTTATTTTATGTATCAACTGTTACTTAATTTATCAACTGTTACTTAATTTAATTGATTAACTGTTAGTGAATTGAACAACTGTTAGTGAATTGATCAACTTGTTGTCTCCGCTGCTAGTCGACCTTGAGAGCACAGCGGACATTCCTTTTCGCGGCTTTCTGTGTGCAGTCAGCGCAGGTGATGACGTCACCAACAACACGATGGGTGCCTTCTCTCTGACGTCATCTTCTAACCAAGTTCAGCTTCTAACTTGTTTAGTAAGTACCACTAGGTCACGTGATTGGGTTGTTTGGACGGTAATAATAAGAGGCGGCTTAAAATGGCGAGTTGGGTTCGATTGTTTATGTTGACATGGGTAAAAAAGAAAAGCGGCCTGAAAAAAAACCCAATAATTTTGGGATTTTTTTTTTTAGAACCGTCCATGTGCCCGGGAGCCACCGATACACTACCGCAGGGGCGCCGGGAGCCACCGATACACTACCGCAGGGGCGCCGGGAGCCACCGATACACTACCGCAGGGGCGCCGGGAGCCACCGATACACTACCGCAGGGGCGCCGGGAGCCACCGATACACTACCGCAGGGGCGCCGGGAGCCACCGATACACTACCGCAGGGGCGCCGGGAGCCACCGATACACTACCGCAGGGGCGCCGGTACGGCCCCGTGCCACTTTGTCAGTATCACGCTGCTTAACTTAAATGTAGGCGCCATAGTGCTCTCGGGGGATCCAGGGGTGCCAAATTGGACCCTACTGGAGCAACGCCACTTCGGAATTTTTTTTCGTAGAAATCTCTCATTGCGTTTTTTCAACAACTTCATAAAAGACAAACGCAGAGACAAAAAGACATACTTTCATTTTAATATGGATAAATAGATAGATTACCAAACGGTATTTTTTAGACAAAACTCAAGATGTATACTTAAGGTGTCACTAATCATTATTATTTAGGACGTTATGCCCAGCTCAATGTTTTTGTTATAGATTTTTTATTGACAAAGGGAAACAACCAAGTTAATATGGTTTGCAAAAAAAAATCTAATTTTGTGAAAAACGATGACCATTTGCAAAACCCTTTTTTAGGGTACATTGGCTCTGTACATCTGGAGCATTTTTTGCATAAATCTGGGTAAATAAATCTGCCATAAATCTGGGTAAATAAATCTGCCATAAATCTGGGTAAATAAATCTTCCATAAATCTGGGTAAATAAATCTGCCATAAATCTGGGTAAATAAATCTGCCATAAATCTGGGTAAATAAATCTGCCATAAATCTGGGTAAATAAATCTGCCATAAACCTGGGTAAATAAATCTTCCATAAATCTGGGTAAATAAATCTGCCATAAATCTGGGTAAATAAATCTGCCATAAATCTGGGTAAATAAATCTGCCATAAATCTGGGTAAATAAATCTGCCATAAATCTGGGTAAATAAATCTGCCATAAACCTGGGTAAATAAATCTTCCATAAATTTGGGTAAATAAATCTGCCATAAATCTGGGTAAATAAATCTGCCATAAACCTGGGTAAATAAATCTGCCATAAACCTGGGTAAATAAATCTGCCATAAATCTGGGTAAATAAATCTGCCATAAATCTGGGTAAATAAATCTGCCATAAACCTGGGTAAATAAATCTGCCATAAATCTGGGTAAATAAATCTTCCATAAATCTGGGTAAATAAATCTGCCATAAATCTGGGTAAATAAATCTGCCATAAACCTGGGTAAATAAATCTGCCATAAACCTGGGTAAATAAATCTGCCATAAATCTGGGTAAATAAATCTGCCATAAACCTGGGTAAATAAATCTGCCATAAATCTGGGTAAATAAATCTGCCATAAATCTGGGTAAATAAATCTGCCATAAATCTGGGTAAATAAATCTGCTAAATCTGGGTAAATAAATCTGCTAAATCTGGGTAAATGAATCTGCCATAAACCTGGGTAAATAAATCTGCCATAAATCTGGGTAAATAAATCTGCCATAACTCTGGGTAAATAAATCTGCCATAAATCTGGGTAAATAAATCTGCTAAATCTGGGTAAATAAATCTGCTAAATCTGGGTAAATAAATCTGCCATAAACCTGGGTAAATAAATCTGCCTTCTGGACAAACTATCGGCCAGCCGCAGCTAAAAAGAGATCACGAGTGAAAATCCTTATATGAGATATATATCGAACTCCCCTTAAATTTTGTGAGGTCGTAGACAGATCCTGGAGGATAACAAAAAAAAAAAAACTTTATTCACGACGGAAAAAGAAGCTGTATTTGCTTATATAAGCATAGTAACTGTTTGCTAATAAACGTAAACAAAGACTACGTCTTTAGTTCAATTTACAACGGTGGTGACTTTTTTTTAATTATTAACAATTTTATACTATTTTAAACAGAAAATGAAGTATAGCATTCATTTGAGTAAGATTTGTGTTAATTTGTAGAAATTAATTTTAAAAGTCAATGAAATATAAATTAAGTTATATATATATATATATACCAGTCAACTCTGTAGTTCTAATTACCTTCCAAGTAATAAATTGCGAACGTTTTAACTTAAGCGCTCCACAAAAGCCAATAAATAATTCGTTAAGCATTCAAACTCTCAAATGTTTTTTGAAAACCTAAGCGAAGCTTGGCAGTATGCCTAGTTCAATAATTTTCCTTAGTTTTATGGACAAAGGGATACAGTGATACAGCCAAGTTAATATGGTTCGCAAAATAATCTAAGCATGGTTGATTCCCCTGAATACTCAAAATTCAAGATTTCTTAGTTTTATGGACAAAGGGAAACAGCCAAGTTAATATGGTTCGCAAAATAATCTAAGCCTGGTTAATTCCCCTGAATACTCAAAATTCAATAATGTTCCTTAGGTTTATTGTAGGTAGTTCAAACTGGCGAAAAAGTGCGTTTTGGGGTCAGTTTTTGTGGTTGATTTTTTTTTTTTTAAATTTCACTACTTCTAGTGTTAAAAATCGCATAACTTTTTTATTTATTGAGATATTTTTATAAAATTTGTGGCATAGACCTTACAATTAAAAGTTCTTTCATGAAATATTCACTCCAGAAGTCTGCAATCAATAGTTAATTTCAGTTTGGACTACCTTTTTATAGACAAAGGGAAACAACCAAGTTAATGTGGTTTGCAAAAGAAATCTAAGACTGGTTGATTCCCCCGAATACTCAAAATTCAATATTTCTTAGTTTTATGGACAAAGGGAAACAACCAAATTAATATGGTTCGCAAAATAATCTAAGCCTGGTTAATTCCCCTGAATACTCAAAATTCAATAATGTTCCTTAGGTTTATTGTAGGTAGTTCAAACTGGCGAAAAAGTGCGTTTTGGGGTCAGTTTTTGTGGTTGATTTTTTTTTTAAATTTCACTACTTCTAGTGTTAGTTATAGTGTCTTATAAGAATAAAAATCATGTCTATAAAGTTTAAGTCTTTGTCTGTCGTAATCTGGTATTTTTATATCTGTAACACATGTTTGAATGTGTTTTATATTTGTTTGAGAGGTATCAGTTACGTCAACAAATTTCACCGTTTTGTGAGTACCGATCGACCCCACTCCATTAAATTTTGATTCTGTTTCTCCTGCACTAGATAACTGGCATTTTAAAAAATAATATTTTAACTCATGTGATTTTTTAAAATAATGAACACATTCTTTCTGTTAATGTTACCAACACAATAGTTTTAGAGTTATTCTATGTCCAAGCAAAAAAAAAATTGGATTTTTTTTAAAATGAAAATAAAAGTGACCAAAACGCATTTTTGTTATTTTCAATTATTTTTTTTTTACCTTAGAAAAACTCATTTTAGGTGACTGAAAAAAATTGTGCATATATATTACAAACTTTGCAGTAACTTTACCAATTTCTACACTTCTATTGTTCTTTAGTTCAGAAAATATGGGTTCTCAAAATGTCACTTTTTGAAAATCAGTTATTTTACTAAATTTTGCTTTTTTAAAAATCGCATAACTTTTTTATTTATTGAGATATTTTTATAAAATTTGTGGCATAGACCTTACAATTAAAAGTTCTTTCATGACATATTCACTCCAGAAGTCTGCAATCAATAGTTAATTTCAGTTTGGACTACCTTTTTATAGACAAAGGGAAACAACCAAGTTAATGTGGTTTGCAAAAGAGATCTAAGCCTGGTTGATTCCCCTGAATACTCAAAATTTAATATTTCTTAGTTTTATGGACAAGGGAAACAACCAAGTTATTCTGGTTTGCAAAATAATCTAAGCCTGATTGATTCCCCTGAATACTCAAAATTCAATAATATCCTTATTTTTATCGTATGTATTTTTATATACGAGGAAGTTAAGGGGCGATTACTCTCGCTTTACTTTTCAAATACTTTTTAATCAGACTATTTTGTTGGCCTATGTTTGTGTCAAATGAATTCCCCTGTCTCTATCATCCACTTTTCCCCCAGAGATCGACAGCTGATACAGCGGTAACCCACACCAACCCCTCGGATAAGTGGAGCGTAGATTTCCATTGGAGGGCACCGTCTGATGCCAGAGTTGGTCAGGTCTACAAACTCAGGTCAGTTTTCTTCTTCTGTGCTCAATATGTCCTCTCTTGCTTCACCCTCACACGTACTTCCACTCCCCCACCTCTCACCCCTAACTCCCCCCACCTCTCTACCTCTACTCTCCCCTCACTCCACCACCTCCCTCCCCGCACTCCCCCACCTCTCTATCTCCACACTCCCCTCACTCCCCCACCTCTCTACCTCTACTCTCCCCCACTCCCCCACCTCTCTACCTCTACTCTCCCCATCTCTCTCCCCCACGTCTCTACCTCTACTCTCCCCCACCTCTCTACCCCCACTCCCCCACCTCTCTACCTCCACTCCCCACCTCCCTCCCCTCCCTCCCCCACCTCTCTCCCCTAACTCCTCCACCTCTCTATCTCCACGCTCCCCTCACTCCCCCACCTCTCTACCTCTACTCTCCCCCACTCCCCCACCTCTCTACCTCTACTCTCCCCCACTCCCCCACCTCCTCCCCTCACTCCCCCACCTCTCTACCTCTACTCTCCCCCACCTCTCTCCCCTAACTCCCCCACCTCTCTACCCCCACTCCCCCACCTCTCTCCCCTAACTCCCCTCACCTCTCTATCTCCAGATGCACGTTCGTCCAGGCGTTCTCTGTATTCTGGAGCAATTACCAAGTTGACCTTACGATTGCTGAGGTCAATGACCGGCGTCAACAGTTGGCCAGCAGTAACGTGACAGTCAGCGCGGTCAATGACCCCCAGTCTAACACTAGGACTGCGGTCAATGACCCCCAGTCTAACACTAGGACTGGGGTCAATGACCCCCAGTCGAATATTAGGACTGCGGTCAATGACCCCCAGTCTATCAGTAGGACTGGGGTCAATGAACCCCAGTCTAACACTAGGACTGGGGTCAATGACCCCCAGTCTAACATAAGAACTGCGGTCAATGACCCCCAGTCTAACATAAGAACTGCGGTCAATGACCCCCAGTCTAACACTAGGACTGGGGTCAATGACCCCCAGTCGAATATTAGGACTGGGGTCAATGACCCCCAGTCTAACACTAGGACTGGGGTCAATGACCCCCAGTCTAACACTAGGACTGGGGTCAATGACCCCCAGTCGAATATTAGGACTGGGGTCAATGACCCCCAGTCTAACACTAGGACTGGGGTCAATGACCCACTTGGCCCCCACAGATTTAATGTGAGTGAGGTCGTCGATCGGGTTCAGACATCTGTGGACACTGCAAACTTCGAGGGATTCGAACCAAATACCGCACAAACAGGGTTCAGTACCACACAGCCATCTCTTCATCCCAGAACTGTTCAAAACTTTCCTTCGTTTGTACCTGCTTCAAATACAGAACAGATACTTGCAGCTTCTGCACGTGACGTCACTGGGGAAGTGGAGCGTGACGTCACTGGGGAGCGGGTCACCACCACGACAAGGCGCCCCAGAGCCCGGAGCCCAGGTACCCCTGCGGGCTCCAGGAACGTCCCCAGTTTTGTGCTGCTGAGCCCCAACGCTCGGTTCCTGACCGCAGAACATCTCAGGGGCGTCGCTAGGGTCAGGTTTTCGGCAGCTGCAGTCAGAGGTACAGCTAGAACTACAAGTCCAGCTAGAGATACAGCTAGAACTACAAGTCCAGCTACAGATACAGCTAGAACTACAAGTCCAGCTACAGATACAGCTAGCAGTAGAGCTACACTAGACTTTTAACAAAAGTACCACGTGACAACACCATCCATGTCAGCCAACCGCTGTCTCGCTGGTGCTGAGATATGGGGGCAGAGACCGGCAGGGACCCAAAAACTCACCAGTTACCATGGCAACAGTCACGCTTCCATCAATTGATGACCAGAAGTTTTAGATCTTTATTACATTCTGCCATTTTTTTTTGTTGTTGTTGTTTTTTTTTTTTTTTTGGGGGGGGGGGGGGGTCATATGGAGAGGGGTGTCATATGGAGAGGGGTGTCATATGGAGAGGGGTGTCATATGGAGAGGGGTGTCATATGGAGAGGGGTGTCATATGGAGAGGGGTGTCATATAGAGAGGGGTGTCATATGGAGAGGGGTGTCATATGGAGTGGGGTGTCATATGGAGAGGGGTGTCATATGGAGAGGGGTGTCATATGGAGAGGGGTGTCATATGGAGAGGGGTGTCATATGGAGAGGGGTGTCATATGGAGAGGGGTGTCATATAGAGAGGGGTGTCATATGGAGAGGGGTGTCATATGGAGTGGGGTGTCATATGGAGAGGGGTGTCATATGGAGAGGGGTGTCATATGGAGAGGGGTGTCATATGGAGAGGGGTGTCATATGGAGAGGGGTGTCATATGGAGAGGGGTGTCATATGGAGAGGGGTGTCATATGGAGAGGGGTGTCATATAGAGAGGGGTGTCATATGGAGAGGGGTGTCATATAGAGAGGGCTGTCATATGGAGAGGGGTGTCATATAGAGAGGGCTGTCATATGGAGAGGGGTGTCATATGGAGTGGGGTGTCATATGGAGAGGGGTGTCATATGGAGTGGGGTGTCATATGGAGAGGGGTGTCATATGGAGAGGGGTGTCATATGGAGAGGGGTGTCATATGGAGAGGGGTGTCATATGGAGAGGGGTGTCATATGGAGAGGGGTGTCATATGGAGAGGGGTGTCATATGGAGAGGGGTGTCATATGGAGAGGGGTGTCATATGGAGAGGGGGGTCAAGTTGTGTTGAAAGACTGGGTGCTTGGTTAAATATTTCGTAATATTTGGTGGCTGCGGTGGATGTTTAGAATCTCTTGTGGTGGCTGCGGTGGATGTTTAGAATCTCTTGTGGTGGCTGCGGTGGATGTTTAGAATCTCTTGTGGTGGCTGCGGTGGATGTTTAGAATCTCTTGTGGTGGCTGCGGTGGATGTTTAGAATCTCTTGTGGTGGCTGCGGTGGATGTTTAGAATCTCTTGTGGTGGCTGCGGTGGATGTTTAGAATCTCTTGTGGTGGCTGCGGTGGATGTTTAGAATCTCTTGTGGTGGCTGCGGTGGATGTTTAGAATCTCTTGTGGTGGCTGCGGTGGATGTTTAGAATCTCTTGTGGTGGCTGCGGTGGATGTTTAGAATCTCTTGTGGTGGCTGCGGTGGATGTTTAGAATCTCTTGTGGTGGCTGCGGTGGATGTTTAGAATCTCTTGTGGTGGCTGCGGTGGATGTTTAGAATCTCTTGTGGTGGCTGCGGTGGATGTTTAGAATCTCTTGTGGTGGCTGCGGTGGATGTTTAGAATCTCTTGTGGTGGCTGCGGTGGATGTTTAGAATCTCTTGTGGTGGCTGCGGTGGATGTTTAGAATCTCTTGTGGTGGCTGCGGTGGATGTTTAGAATCTCTTGTGGTGGCTGCGGTGGATGTTTAGAATCTCTTGTGGTGGCTGCGGTGGATGTTTAGAATCTCTTGTGGTGGCTGCGGTGGATGTTTAGAATCTCTTGTGGTGGCTGCGGTGGATGTTTAGAATCTCTTGTGGTGGCTGCGGTGGATGTTTAGAATCTCTTGTGGTGGCTGCGGTGGATGTTTAGAATCTCTTGTGGTGGCTGCGGTGGATGTTTAGAATCTCTTGTGGTGGCTGCGGTGGATGTTTAGAATCTCTTGTGGTGGCTGCGGTGGATGTTTAGAATCTCTTGTGGTGGCTGCGGTGGATGTTTAGAATCTCTTGTGGTGGCTGCGGTGGATGTTTAGAATCTCTTGTGGTGGCTGCGGTGGATGTTTAGAATCTCTTGTGGTGGCTGCGGTGGATGTTTAGAATCTCTTGTGGTGGCTGCGGTGGATGTTTAGAATCTCTTGTGGTGGCTGCGGTGGATGTTTAGAATCTCTTGTGGTGGCTGCGGTGGATGTTTAGAATCTCTTGTGGTGGCTGCGGTGGATGTTTAGAATCTCTTGTTAGGTTTACAGTAGTTCATGTTAAAAAATAATTGTGGGGTTTTTTTGTTGTTTTTTTTAATAAAGTTTGGTTTAACAATTTCTCCCTTATATAATAGTTATAATTAGTCAATTAGTTTTTGTTTGTGTTTTTATTTTTAAAAATCGAAATTGACAATTTTCACAAATCTCGACTTTTACACCACCCTGAGACGGAAAAAAAAAGTGCCTGTATGTCTTTCTGTGAACACTATACAGTGGCAGAACTATGGTGCCGCCAGACCGAGCAATGCGGGGGGGGGGGGGGGGGGCACGTCATTTAGGGGCCCACTGCCGACATTAAAAAATTTATTGTTAATTTTTTTTTTATTTCTTGCATTTTTTTACTTGAATGTTGTTTTGTAAAAAGATTACCGTAGCTGCGGTTGGATTATCTTTATTCTATAGACACCACCCACCGCTCTTGTATATTCTTTTTCCCTTTGTTTTTTAAACCACTGTGAAAGTCGAGTCCTCTTTCTCCTACAATTAAACTTATCAAAGATAAGCAAACGTTCCAACCACTTCCATGACTGATTTCCCTTTTTTAAATAGTCAAATATGGGTGCTCATCATAAGCTCCTTTTAATAAATTTGTACTAAACAAATTAAAAAGCAATTACTTCTCTTAATTATTTTTTTATAAAGTACTTACTTAAGAATGACATGTATAAAAAGGAAATGTATTTAAAATGAACAATATAAATACAAAAACACATAAAAGTAAACATAACACGAGACACCATTACTTATTCAAAGCTTTCATGTTTTATATTCCTTTGACCGCCTCGATGTTAAGAGGGTTTATAGCAGACAAAATAAAACTGATTTTCAAAACATACTAATGCACTAACACACATGACACGTTGTTGTAAATTGTTACACATATATATATATATATATATATATATATATATATATATATATATATATATATATATTGAGGGGGTGCTAAAAAAAATTCCGGGGTGTTCCTTTTTTTCTAGTTCCGCCACTGACACTATAACTTGAATACCGTTACAGCTATTACAAATCTCATATAAAAGTATTATTATATCAAATTTTCAGTTCTGTATCCTTTTCAGCCAGTGTTTCTTCCAGACTTTTTTCTTCGGGGAAGGGGCACTTAAAATATTCGGGGGGGGGGGCGGTAGACTTTCTTCGGGGGGCGGACACTGTTAAAAGTATATATTTTCTATATAAATTATATAAATTTCAGATGCCTGGAAGAAACTCTCTTTTCAGTGATTTCCGGTAACCGGAACTTATTCTACTTTCGGTTTTCAAAAGCATATAACGTAATTTCACATACATCATGTAGGAGATCTAATTCTATTTTTTTTTTTACAAATTTTGAGTTATTTCCTTTGACCGGAAGTAGTAATTTACCCTATTTTCGATTTCTCAAAAAAAAAACTCATAATTTTTAACTTGATTATTCTACCGTTCGTCCCTCATAGTCAGAAATTTGCTAGCGAAATTTCGAACTTTACCAGACTGAGTTATTTTAAACTTTTCACGTAGGTCAAGACTCGAAGTTCTATGAATTGTTACATAAAAAAATTACTTAATTAGATGATTAATAAACTCTTTGAAAATTAATCAAGGTTTTCTTTATTATGCACTAATGTTCCGAACTATTATAAAATTAAAGTATTAAAAAAAATATATGTCTATATCCCGACTGCACTGGAGGTGCCATTCCCATTTGAATGAGTGTTATCACTATAATAGTTTGGCTATTCTGTCTTTCTGCCCGGAACGCTCTAGAGAAAGGACAAGTAAATTAAAGATGCATAGTGAAAGACAGTGAAGTCACATGGAACACACAGGAAATGTACATGTGTAAGGGTGACCATCATGACACGGGTCATCTAGTGCGTCCCCTGGTTTGGTTTGTCATGGAATGTAGTGGCCCAACATGCCCGTAGGGTGCTCAGTAAAACAGTTGTAGATGCCAGGGTGCTCCATGGGGGAGCCCGGGGTGCTCAAGGGAAAGCCTGGGGTGCTCAAAGGGGAGCCCGGGGTGCAAGTAGTCATAAAGTTTCATGGCAATCGGATAAAATGTGTTGAGTAATTTATATATATATATATATATATATATATATATATATATATATATATATATATATATATATATATATATATATATATATATATATATATATATATATATACATATATATATATATATATATATATATATATATATATATATATACATAAACACTACCAAACCTGTTGCTACAACCTCAGAGGAAAAGCAATTCAGTGACATTTGTTCTAACATTCAATTGGTACCAATACTTTATTAAGGATGCGGGACTACCTTTTCTTGCCTACACCCATTGCTAATGATGTCAAACTCATTTCTAAATGAACCCTCTGCCCAGAAAGTGCCAACCCACCTCTTATGACAACCAAGGTTGTAGAACTCTTACGGCAACCAAGGCTGATAAGAATTATACAACCTTGGTTATCATAAGCAATGTTCCCTCTAAGGGAAAAAAGTTAGTGTGCAACGTCTACTTTGTGTGCGCGGTGTTCTAAAAGTCGTTATAAGGATACAAGTATTTTACAAAATGACTGCGCGGCAGTTAAAAACTACTGCGCGGCCGCGCAGCTTAGATACAGCATTACTAAGTCCTGGAAACATGAAATAACCAAATGAAATGTGAGTACCCCTTGAAAAAAAATTGATCTAACTAAATAGCTTCATCCTAGTGAGTTTCAGATGGAATTAGCAAATTTTTTTAATATAATAAATTAATTTAAAATATTTCTTGTATTATATTATCATTAGGTCTAATAATTATATATTTATAACAGTAAATAGGTAGTCCAGACTGGCGAAAAAGTGCGTTTTAGGGTCAGTTTTTGCGGTTTTCAAAAAAAATAATTTCACTACTTCTAGTTGTCCTATAAGAATAAAAATTATATGTCAATAAAGTTTAAGTCTTTATCTGTCGTAATCTGGTATTTTTATATCTGTAACACATGTTTGAATGTGTTTAATATATGTTTGAAAAGTATCAGTACGTCAACAAATTTCACCGTTTTTCGAGTACCGATCGACCCCACACTGTTTTATTTGGTCGCGGCTTCGCGACGAAGCATCGTAGAAGCATAATCTTAATGTCATTTTAAAGATCGAATTCTAGGCTATCGTTTGATGTATAAATTGAAAAAATAACAAGTTTATTTCATTTAAAAAATACAGATTTTAAACTTTAAATGACGATATATACACGGAAACAAACTAATTCTGTTTCAATTTTTACACCGATGTAAAGTTCAATTTTATAACTACTTTGTGTTGTAAATTCAAGTATTTCTGATTTACGGTCGCGAAGCCGTACCCTCAATAAACATATAACCCTCGAGTCGACTTTCAGCCCCGAGTGAGTTGCTCGCCGAACCGTTTTATAGGTTGACGACCGATGATGCTAAACGGATTTTACCCTTGCTAGAGCCTTCAAACAAGTTGTAAGTACCATTTTTAAAGTTTCATTTCCATTTTAATAAATGAATTTTAAGTTTGAATGTCAGTTTGGTTTAATTAGTACACGTTATTAATGTAAATTTGAACTCTACTAGTCCACGGTTTCTAGCGTGTGAACTACGCTTGTACACAGGGTGTGTTTAGACGTGAAGCTATTTAATTCAGGACATTCTATGGACTTAAAATATGGATGCACTTAACTATTAGATGCTAGTGTTTACTAATTCTTTAAAATCTATCGAATGGGATTAATGATAGGGTCGTATTACTACAGTTTATCTGGACTATCACGTCAAAATTATGAATCGACAAATTCAAAATGGCCACCAGACAATCCTGGTTACTATGTGGACGAACTCAATTATTTACGAAGGTTAAATACTTATAAAATATTAATGAAACACAAAAGAAATGTATAATTATAATAACTATACATTTTTATCGATTTATTTAAAACAAAAGACACTAAATTTTAAGGACTAATGTGATTAATTTTTTAATTTTCTTTTGTGTACTCTGATTCTGATTCCCCTGCTAAATAATGTGAAATGGTCTGCGCCAGTCTCCGTAATAAAATATACCAGATCAATTTTTAGATGGTGGTGCAATTTATTAAGATTCTACATGTTGTGTGACTTAGTTTTAAATGTTATATTAGTTGTAAGTGTAAGTAGTACTCAGGGGCGGAACTACAGTGCCGCCAGACCCCGCAATGCGGGGGGGGCCAACGATGTTTAGAGGCCCAATTCCGACCAAAAAAATAAATGAATTTTCTTTTCATAAATAATGTTTTTCGTGCACCTTGATAGTGGTTTTGTAAAAAACAAACAGGTCTACTATAGCAGTGATTGTTCTACAGTAACTAACACACACTGTTGCGTAGAAAAATATAAAATCTACAAGAGCTCTGCTTTGAAAGATAGGCAAACGTTCACACTACTTCCATGACTTACTGCCCTTCATTAAAACACAAGTGCCCATAAAGCTCATTTAAATAGTTTTGTACTATGTAAATTAAAGTGCCATTTATTCTCTTATTTATTATTTAAATGAGGCATACTAAAGAATTCTATAGCTATAAAAATTAATGTATTCAAAACTAATAATATAAATACAAAAAATCATAAAAATAAACATAACGCGAGAAACCATTGCAAAATCAAGCTTACGTGTTTATATAATTTTGACCAGCCAACATTATTTGGCAATTTTCGGTAACCATAAGACGTAATACAAACATTTGTAAAACACGATTATTACGGGCCCGAAATGAGTTCGGACTTATTGTTGACTTTGTTGTTTGGCTCGTTATCTCATAGTGGTTATACATTGCTATAAAATTGATTAAAATACTCAGGTAATACACTATTTAAAATTTAGAGGAGCGGGCTACTTATATATATATATATATATATATATATGTGTGTGTGTGTATGTATGTATGTATGTATATATATATATATATATATATATATATATATATATATATATATATATATATATATATATATATATACATATAGGGGGGGCCCAATTTTTTTTTTTGCGGGGGAGCCTTTTTTTTCTAGTTCCGCCACTGGTAGTACTAGTAGTATTTCTCATTATTTATTTTTTTTTTTATGCATATAATAGTAACAATGAAGGACGGTTAAGTTGAGAACCACAGTATGGCATCTTCATCATTGGATATCTCAACCAGTGTGGCACAAGCAACGAATATTTCAAATTTCATTCAGTAGAATTACTCTTAAAATTATATATAAAGTATAAATTACTTTTAACAAAAAGGTGTTTTCAGGCTTTTTCATATGTTTCCAGTTATAGTCATAGGACAAATAGTAGGCCTACACAATAGGCTAGTAGTAAATTTAATTATATTTTATTAATCACTAAATCAATAGTTTATTCCATAGCTGGAGACATTTACGGTGGCCTATCCAGAACTTTCCTTACAAGGGAAGGGAAGAAGGCCAAGCCCTTACTCCCCCCTACAATTCCCAAAACATATTACTCACTCTTGATGCTCCACAAGATCAAGGTTGAGGGAAACAAGACGTACAAAGATGTGGAGTTGTAGTTTTAAAAACTGTTCCCCCAAAGCAGTTATCAACCGGATAGGTTTGAAAAGAAACCAAAGCATGTGGCATCAACTGCTGCATCACGTCTTTATTAAACTACATTACATTACATTTACTCTACTAAATTTTGATTCTGTTTCTCCTGCACTAGATAACTGTGGTATTTTTTAAAATAATATTTTAACCCATGTGATTTTTGAAAATAATTAACACATTTTTCCACGTTGATGTTACCAACACAATAGTTTTAGAGTTATTCCAAAGCAAAAAAAAAAAAATTTGAATTTTTTTTTTAATGAAAATAAAAGTGACCAAAACGCATTTTTGTCATTTTCAATTATTTTTTTACCTTAGAAAGACCCATTTTAGATGACTGAAAAAAATTGGGCATATATATTACAGCAACTTTACCTATTTCTACACTTCTATGTTATTTAGTTTAAAAAATATGGGTTCTCAAAAATGGCACTTTTTGAAAATCAGTTTTTTACCACATTTTGCTTTTTTTAAAATCGCATAACGTTTTTATTTATTGAGATATTTTTATAAAATTTGTGGCATAGACCTTACAATTAAAAGTTCTTTCATGACATACTCACTCCAGAAGTCTGCAATCAATAGTTAATTTCAGTTTGGACTACCTAAATCAATAGCCACAATAGTCACCATAAACGGTCAACATAATTTAGAGAACATTACAAGGTTTTTTTCGTAGACAAAGGCTATATTCTTTTTAAAGGAATCTAATAACGGTTTATTTCCAAGCTGACTGCAAAGTGTAAATGCATCTGCACTGATCATTAATATATATTGACATTGTTACAACTGTAGTAAATATCTCGCTCCCTCCCCCCATTCCAATAAAAATATACTGAAGAAATAAAGTATAAAAAGTAGACTCACAAACTTGTTTACATGTTTTTATTTATCTTACTGAACTATCAAGCCTCTAAAATAAAACTTGCTAACATCAATTTAGAAAAGCTTGTTGGTGCGTTGTTAACGAAGAAAACGGCCATTTTCTTCCACCGGGTCTAGAGCTATTTTAGTGATCGCTATAGTGTGTTTTGTCGAGCTCGGTCTTTTTTGACCATGTCCAGAAAAGATAAACAAAATGTTTTAACAGAAAAAAGGACCACCTTTCTGAATATGCTAATAAAAAATGTATACTATGATAGAATCAGATGGTAATTTTCAAATTTCTTAGTTGTTTTTTTTAACATTTAAAATATTTAGTCTATTATGCATTTTTTGTTTGTTTAGTAACCCATTAAAGGCTATTCAATCCTGCACATTTTACAGGTATTTGTAAAGAAATAAGTTGAACGGTCATAAAAGGCCCGCGAGTTGAATGAGAGAGGGGTCAAAATCCCCTACTCGACTGCCGTTGAAAAATCATCTCGGTGATAGTTTTCAATTGGTAAATGAGATATATTGTTCAATATCAACAACTATAAAAATTACACATAATTAGAGGGCTTAAAAAAAACCTCCTTTTTAATGGTACCAAGCTAATTACTATACGAGCCCTTTTTTATTATCAAAACTACGAAGTGAAAAGCTACTATATTATTACGACGCGGGCGAAAAATCCGTTTTTTACGGCAGTTTGACTTGCCTAATTAAAGTTATAATAGGCCTGTTTAGTTCATCTTTACACATAATAGGCCTGTTTAGTTCATCATTAAAGTTGTAATAGGCCTGTTTAGTTCATCATTAAAGTTGTAATAGGTCTGGTTAGTTCATCATTAAAGTTGTAATAGGTCTGGTTAGTTCATCATTAAAGTTATAATAGGCCTGTTTAGTCCATAATTAAAGTTGTAATAGGCCGGGTTAGTTCATCATTAAAGTTATAATAGGCCAGGCTAGTCCATTAAAGTTAAATAATAGGCCTGGTTAGTCCATCATTAAAGTTATAATTGGCCTGTTTAGTTCATCATTAAAGTTATAATAGGCCTGGTTAGTTCATCATTAAAGTTATAAAATCTGTGTAATACACGCTGGCTTGACCAACATTGTGACATTGAAAGACTGAGTAACAAGAATCTCATTCAAGTAGAAGCAATGCAAATGTATTCTGTACATAACATAATATCCTTTTTAAAACAATTGGGTAGTATTGGTAGTTAACCTTGTACGGGTTTCTCTTTGTAACAAATTTCATTGAAACTATGGTTTAACATGACACTGACATAGCACACCCACACACTGACATAGCACATCCACACATTGACATAGCACATCCACACACTGACATAGCACACCCACACACTGACATAGCACACCCACACACTAACATAGCACACCCACACACTGACATAGCACACCCACACACTGACATAGCACACCCACACACTGACATAGCACATCCACACACTGACATAGCACACCCACACACTGACATAGCACATCCACACATTGACATAGCACATCCACACACTGACATAGCACACCCACACACTGACATAGCACACCCACACACTGACATAGCACACCCACACACTGACATGACACTCTGACACTATAGTTTACTTCCTCCTGCCTTTACCGGGGGTCAAGGTCTTCTCAGTAAAGATAGAGTATCTGACCAAGGTCAAGGATAAAATACTGGTCTGTCAGTTTAGAGCAGCTCAAACTTAGAGCAGCTTTTCAGAAACTCACTGCCACAATACATTCAGTGTTGATGGTCCAATAAATATTGTGTATGTTTTGAAAGGGTCTACGACAAATTCTCGAAAGACACTTGCCCGAATGCCGTTTGCCTGAAGGCCGATTTCCCGAATGGTCACTTGCCCGAATGTGACAAATGCCCGAATGGTCACTTGCCCGAATGTGACAAATGCCCGAATGGACACTTGCCCGAATGTGACAAATGCCCGAATGGTCACTTGCCCGAATGTGACAAATGCCCGAATGGACACTTGCCCGAATGGACACTTGCCCGACTGCGACAAATGCCAAAAAGCCACTTGCCCTGGCATTTGTCACATTCTGGCCAGTGTCCATCGGCCTTCGGACAAATGGCATTCGGGCAAGTGTCTTTTGGGAAAACATCCGGCTCCCGTTTTGAAAGACAATCTGATAGAAAAAGGATACGATTTGATGTCGATTTCCTGCCTGAGGATGCCAGTCAGGATGAATTCAGCCTCGACAATTGGAAGACCAGCCTTGATGGCAGCTTGGCAAAGGGCCACATCCTCAGGGCACGACACGACCAGCGTGTGCTCAGCAAACTTCTGGGGCATGGCGCTCACATACTGCAACAAAAGTTGGTTCAATGAGGCGCTCACATACTGCAACAAAAGTTGGTTCAATGAGGCGCTCACATACTGCAACAAAAGTTGGTTCAATGAGGCGCTCACATACTGCAACAAAAGTTGGTTCAATGAGGCGCTCACATACTGCAACAAAAGTTGGTTCAATGAGGCGCTCACATACTGCAACAAAAGTTGGTTCAATGAGGCGCTCACATACTGCAACAAAAGTTGGTTCAATGAGGCGCTCACATACTGCAACAAAAGTTGGTTCAATGAGGCGCTCACATACTGCAACAAAAGTTGGTTTAATGAGGCGCTCACATACTGCAACAAAAGTTGGTTCAATGAGGCGCTCACATACTGCAACAAAAGTTGGCTCAATGAGGCGCTCACATACTGCAACAAAAGTTGGTTCAATGAGGCGCTCACATACTGCAACAAAAGTTGGCTCAATGAGGCGCTCACATACTCCAACAAAAGTTGGTTCAATGAGGCGCTCACATACTGCAACAAAAGTTGGTTCAATGAGGCGCTCACATACTGCAACAAAAGTTGGTTCAATGGGGCGCTCACATACTCCAACAAAAGTTGGTTCAATGAGGCGCTCACATACTCCAACAAAAGTTGGTTCAATGAGGCGCTCACATACTGCAACAAAAGTTGGTTCAATGAGGCGCTCACATACTGCAACAAAAGTTGGTTCAATGGGGCGCTCACATACTGCAACAAAAGTTGGTTCAATGGGGCGCTCACATACTGCAACAAAAGTTGGCTCAATGAGGCGCTCACATACTGCAACAAAAGTTGGTTCAATGAGGCGCTCACATACTGCAACAAAAGTTGGTTCAATGAGGCGCTCACATACTGCAACAAAAGTTGGTTCAATGGGGCGCTCACATACTGCAACAAAAGTTGGTTCAATGAGGCGCTCACATACTGCAACAAAAGTTGGTTCAATGGGGCGCTCACATACTGCAACAAAAGTTGGTTCAATGAGGCGCTCACATACTCCAACAAAAGTTGGTTCAATGAAGCGCTCACATACTGCAACAAGATGAGGCTTTCATACACTTATCTTTTGCTCATTTAAACCAGTTGACTCAACAAAGCTTTGATACACAAGGTAAACAAACATGAGACCACAATGTCAACAAACATGACACAACAATGTAAATGTTAACAAACATGACACCACAAGGTAAACAGACATGACACCACAAGGTAAATGTTAACAAACATGACACCACATGGTAAACAGACATGAAACCACAATGTAAATGTTAACAAACATGACACCACAAGGTAAATGTTAACAAACATGACACCACAAGGTAAATGTTAACAAACATGACACCACATGGTAAATGTTAACAAACTTGACACCACATGGTAAATGTTAACAAACTTGACTTTACTAAGTCAGGCTCTTGTGGTCACTGTTGTATAAATTCACAATTTTTAAAATTTAGATTCTAAAAACTCTTTCATTGTTTGAGCTTTAATTGTAATTTTTTTTTTTATTTGAGACTTTTCATAAGAAGAAATCTACACAAACAGTTTGAAGTATTTTCAAGAAATGTAGACATAATTAAAAGCAAATTGATTTTTTTTTTACATTAACAAAAGTAATTTACCTTGGCACCTGCACAGGCAAGAATCTCTGGAATAAAAGTACAAGATGGCATCAGGTATTTGGGTTGGTGGAGGTACAGGTGTTCTATTGTTAGATGAGTGCTCCCCCTCCCATCTCCAGTACATGAAATGTGAGGTCATTTCCCCCCACCCCCCCCCCCCCCCCCAATGAAATGTGAAGTTCCTTACCTTGCATCTGAGTTGGGTCAGGACGTACAGATTGTGTGACATGAACCTTGTAGCCTGACAACATGGGCTTGAGACCAGCTTTGGTGATGGAGGTGGCCAGCTGGAACTTGAACTGTTTCTCCATGGCCGGGTCAGACACCAGGAACTTTTGGCCATCTGCACACCAAACACCACATGTAAACACCAGCTCATACAGACACCAAACACCAGCTCATACAGACACCAAACACCAGCTCATACAGACACCAAACACCAGCTCATACAGACACCAAACACCACCTCATACAGACACCAAACACCAGCTCATACAGACACCAAAAACCACATGTAAACACCAGCTCATACAGACACCAAACACCAGCTCATACAGACACCAAAAACCAGCTCATACAGACACCAAACACCAGCTCATACAGACACCAAACACCACCTCATACAGACACCAAACACCAGCTCATACAGACACCAAACACCAGCTCATACAGACACCAAACACCACATGTAAACACCAGCTCATACAGACACCAAACACCACCTCATACAGACACCAAACACCAGCTCATACAGACACCAAACACCAGCTCATACAGACACCAAACACCACCTCATACAGACACCAAACACCACATGTAAACACCAGCTCATACAGACACCAAACACCAGCTCATACAGACACCAAACACCACATGTAAACACCAGCTCATACAGACACCAAACACCAGCTCATACAGACACCAAACACCAGCTCATACAGACACCAAACACCAGCTCATACAGACACCAAACACCAGCTCATACAGACACCAAACACCAGCTCATAAAGACACCAAACACCACATGTAAACACCAGCTCATACAGACACCAAACACCACCTCATACAGACACCAAACACCAGCTCATACAGACACCAAACACCAGCTCATACAGACACCAAACACCAGCTCATACAGACACCAAACACCAGCTCATACAGACACCAAACACCAGCTCATAAAGACACCAAACACCACATGTAAACACCAGCTCATACAGACACCAAACACCAGCTCATACAGACACCAAAAACCACATGTAAACACCAGCTCATACAGACACCAAACACCAGCTCATACAGACACCAAACACCAGCTCATACAGACACCAAACACCACCTCATACAGACACCAAACACCAGCTCATACAGACACCAAACACCAGCTCATACAGACACCAAACACCAGCTCATACAGACACCAAACACCACATGTAAACACCAGCTCATACAGACACCAAACAACACCACATGTAAACACCAGTTCATACAGACACCAAACACCAGCTCATACAGACACCAAACACCAGCTCATACAGACACCAAACACCAGCTCATACAGACACCAAACACCAGCTCATACAGACACCAAACACCAGTTCATACAGACACCAAACACCACCTCATACAGACACCAAACACCACATGTAAACACCAGCTCATACAGACACCAAACACCAGCTCATACAGACACCAAACACCAGCTCATACAGACACCAAACACCAGCTCATACAGACACCAAACACCAGCTCATACAGACACCAAACACCAGCTCATACAGACACCAAACACCAGCTCATAAAGACACCAAACACCACATGTAAACACCAGCTCATACAGACACCAAACACCACCTCATACAGACACCAAACACCACATGTAAACACCAGCTCATACAGACACCAAACACCAGCTCATACAGACACCAAACACCACATGTAAACACCAGCTCATACAGACACCAAACACCAGCTCATACAGACACCAAACACCAGCTCATACAGACACCAAACACCAGCTCATACAGACACCAAACACCAGCTCATACAGACACCAAACACCAGCTCATAAAGACACCAAACACCACATGTAAACACCAGCTCATACAGACACCAAACACCACCTCATACAGACACCAAACACCAGCTCATACAGACACCAAACACCACCTCATACAGACACCAAACACCAGCTCATACAGACACCAAACACCAGCTCATACAGACACCAAACACCAGCTCATAAAGACACCAAACACCACATGTAAACACCAGCTCATACAGACACCAAACACCAGCTCATACAGACACCAAAAACCACATGTAAACACCAGCTCATACAGACACCAAACACCAGCTCATACAGACACCAAACACCAGCTCATACAGACACCAAACACCACCTCATACAGACACCAAACACCAGCTCATACAGACACCAAACACCAGCTCATACAGACACCAAACACCAGCTCATACAGACACCAAACACCACATGTAAACACCAGCTCATACAGACACCAAACAACACCACATGTAAACACCAGTTCATACAGACACCAAACACCAGCTCATACAGACACCAAACACCAGCTCATACAGACACCAAACACCAGCTCATACAGACACCAAACACCAGCTCATACAGACACCAAACACCAGTTCATACAGACACCAAACACCACCTCATACAGACACCAAACACCACATGTAAACACCAGCTCATACAGACACCAAACACCAGCTCATACAGACACCAAACACCAGCTCATACAGACACCAAACACCAGCTCATACAGACACCAAACACCAGCTCATACAGACACCAAACACCAGCTCATACAGACACCAAACACCAGCTCATAAAGACACCAAACACCACATGTAAACACCAGCTCATACAGACACCAAACACCAGCTCATACAGACACCAAACACAACATGTAAACACTAGCTCATACAGACACCAAACACCAGCTCATACAGACACCAAACACCAGCTCATACAGACACCAAACACCACCTCATACAGACACCAAACACCAGCTCATACAGACACCAAACACCAGCTCATACAGACACCAAACACCAGCTCATACAGACACCAAACACCAGCTCATACAGACACCAAACACCACATGTAAACACCAGCTCATACAGACACCAAACAACACCACATGTAAACACCAGCTCATACAGACACCAAACACCAGCTCATACAGACACCAAACACCAGCTCATACAGACACCAAACACCAGTTCATACAGACACCAAACACCACCTCATACAGACACCAAACACCACATGTAAACACCAGCTCATACAGACACCAAACACCAGCTCATACAGACACCAAACACCAGCTCATACAGACACCAAACACCAGCTCATACAGACACCAAACACCAGCTCATACAGACACCAAACACCAGCTCATAAAGACACCAAACACCACATGTAAACACCAGCTCATACAGACACCAAACACCACCTCATACAGACACCAAACACCAGCTCATACAGACACCAAACACCAGCTCATACAGACACCAAACACCAGCTCATACAGACACCAAACACCACATGTAAACACCAGCTCATACAGACACCAAACAACACCACATGTAAACACCAGTTCATACAGACACCAAACACCAGCTCATACAGACACCAAACACCAGCTCATACAGACACCAAACACCAGCTCATACAGACACCAAACACCAGCTCATACAGACACCAAACACCAGTTCATACAGACACCAAACACCACCTCATACAGACACCAAACACCACATGTAAACACCAGCTCATACAGACACCAAACACCAGCTCATACAGACACCAAACACCAGCTCATACAGACACCAAACACCAGCTCATACAGACACCAAACACCAGCTCATACAGACACCAAACACCAGCTCATACAGACACCAAACACCAGCTCATAAAGACACCAAACACCACATGTAAACACCAGCTCATACAGACACCAAACACCACCTCATACAGACACCAAACACCACATGTAAACACCAGCTCATACAGACACCAAACACCAGCTCATACAGACACCAAACACCACATGTAAACACCAGCTCATACAGACACCAAACACCAGCTCATACAGACACCAAACACCAGCTCATACAGACACCAAACACCAGCTCATACAGACACCAAACACCAGCTCATACAGACACCAAACACCAGCTCATAAAGACACCAAACACCACATGTAAACACCAGCTCATACAGACACCAAACACCACCTCATACAGACACCAAACACCAGCTCATACAGACACCAAACACCACCTCATACAGACACCAAACACCAGCTCATACAGACACCAAACACCAGCTCATACAGACACCAAACACCAGCTCATAAAGACACCAAACACCACATGTAAACACCAGCTCATACAGACACCAAACACCAGCTCATACAGACACCAAAAACCACATGTAAACACCAGCTCATACAGACACCAAACACCAGCTCATACAGACACCAAACACCAGCTCATACAGACACCAAACACCACCTCATACAGACACCAAACACCAGCTCATACAGACACCAAACACCAGCTCATACAGACACCAAACACCAGCTCATACAGACACCAAACACCACATGTAAACACCAGCTCATACAGACACCAAACAACACCACATGTAAACACCAGTTCATACAGACACCAAACACCAGCTCATACAGACACCAAACACCAGCTCATACAGACACCAAACACCAGCTCATACAGACACCAAACACCAGCTCATACAGACACCAAACACCAGTTCATACAGACACCAAACACCACCTCATACAGACACCAAACACCACATGTAAACACCAGCTCATACAGACACCAAACACCAGCTCATACAGACACCAAACACCAGCTCATACAGACACCAAACACCAGCTCATACAGACACCAAACACCAGCTCATACAGACACCAAACACCAGCTCATACAGACACCAAACACCAGCTCATAAAGACACCAAACACCACATGTAAACACCAGCTCATACAGACACCAAACACCAGCTCATACAGACACCAAACACAACATGTAAACACTAGCTCATACAGACACCAAACACCAGCTCATACAGACACCAAACACCAGCTCATACAGACACCAAACACCACCTCATACAGACACCAAACACCAGCTCATACAGACACCAAACACCAGCTCATACAGACACCAAACACCAGCTCATACAGACACCAAACACCAGCTCATACAGACACCAAACACCACATGTAAACACCAGCTCATACAGACACCAAACAACACCACATGTAAACACCAGCT